CATTTTATAATCAAGAGCCACCAGTTGGTCTGTAGCTTACATTAAGTGCTGTTCTTCCACTGTTCAAAGGTTGGATTTTGACCGTCATTTAGCTTTGCAGGGTCTGCCAGCTTGATGGAATGTCGCATGGCATTTGAGATTGATGCCATAGAAGCTGGGGAGTCCCATCTATGGGTTGTTGTGTATGGAGAACCTGTTTCTAAAGAAGGAAAGGCTCGTTCTTCTTGTGGTGCGCTGAAATATACAGACTGTCGTTCTGTTATGTGCCTTAATGGCTCAGACCTCGGGATCCGGGTGTGTAATTTGGTTTGCAGTCTGGCTAGCTGCTCTGGCGTAAGCGCATCCAGGTTAAAGAGCAAGGGGTTGTTTGATCGGCCTAGAGCACCGCTCATGGTTGGTGCCATGGGCTGGGTCTGTAGGTCCTGGGATGTGATCCTGGAGGAAGATGGAGACGATGAAACGTTTGAGAGAGATTTACTGTGGGTCAAAGCGGCCCTTGATCGCGTGTTTGGCTTGCTCTGGCCCCCTCGTGCCTTGGTTCTCTGTTTCTTTGGTTCTTTGTTTGGGGGAAGGTTGTTGGTATTGGGGGATGTTTGGATAGGTTGGGCTGGTCTTCCAGTCCCTTCAGAACTATCCTGATATTCTGGAATAATAATGGTACTCATCGTCACAGTATATTGGACGGAATCAATAGTAATAATAGGTGGGATAATAAAGGGATAATAAAGTCTTGGGATAGGTGGGTGTTCAGAGACACTGTACCTGTCATTGCTAGAGGCAAAACTTCTTACAATGGTGATCTAAAGACAAGGCTTCTAATCTGGTATAGAGGAGTCTTGATATTATGTCGCGGCGAGCATACTGAGGAGCTGGGACATAGCCTGCAGCAAGCAGCTATTACTCTATTGACGAGAATATCAAGACTAGAAAGGAAAGGAAGAGAGAGATAGAGAGAGAGAGATAGGTACAGTGGGAGGTTGCCCCTGGGGATCCTCTAGTCAGATCCTTCCCTTATTAGGAAGTATCCACTTGTCATGTGGGAAGGTCTGTACAGGCCGTCACATTACTTGGACTTTAAAGACGCCCACCACCATTAACGAAGCGGTAAACCAATTGGTTTATATTCAAATCAAGTCAGAAACTACCAAAGAAGCTCACCTACATCAATAATTGATGCATTGAGCTCGTTTTTAAAGACTACATACGGTCTTATGCACAAGGTCGCTCATACAAGGAAGACAACCTACGACGCTTCCGTGCTATCGAATTTGCTTGTGCGGCAGGCTATATCCCCGTGCTGGAAAAAGCCATCCGATACGGCGCGTCGGTCAATCAGCGCCTGGATCAAGCCCCACGTCCCGGAAGCTCACCTTTGATTGTCGCTATTGAGGCGGGCCACCATCGCATCGTCAACTGGCTAGTCGCCCACGGGGCGGATGTCAACCAGCCTACCTCAGCAGTACAGCTACAATCTCTCACTGGATCCACCCCCTTCACCCCAGTCGACTTGGCTATCAGGGCGTCTGCGAAGCATGGAACCGGCATGCTCGAGAAGGTCCTCGCGGCCGGCGCGGATCCCAACATCCGCCGGGTCCCTGGAGTGGTGAGCGCAGGCGAGGAGTGGTCTGAGCTCCCGTTACTGGACGCGTGCTGCGACCGCGTCCCAGTTGAAGCAGTGCGCCTGCTCCTCAATGCTGGCGCGGACATTAAATTCGATCCACGGCATCAATACCCAGAGTCCCATTATGGCCGCATTCCAGTTCACTTCCACTTTCTGAGCGTCGCCAACCCAAGTAATGATCTAATCGAGAAATTCCGCCTCATCGTCCCTCAAGTCGACTAGCGATACCGAACCCAATTTCTTCATTATATCATCTGTGGTATAAACAACCGGGGCCTTATTTGGATCGATATGGTGCCTCCTCCAAGCGCGCAGCGGCTGAAGCTGTTCAGGACGCTGTTGGAAGCCGGTGTAAGCATCAACGATCAAGCTCTCGACGACCGCACCGTCCTCGGGCAGGCCCTTGACCAGTTGTATGACTGGGCTGGGCAATTCGGGAGAGGCCAGCATGCGTATCTACATATTCGATCCAGCTGGTCGTCGCTCGGCGAAGATCGTCTTGCTGGGGAATTCGACGACTTTCGCAGGGCCTTTATGGAGCTGGTCAGGATGCTTCTTGCCGCGGGAGCAGAGAGCAGCACATGATTCCCGGGGGAGCATCCACTTCGACAAACAACGTTTCATGCGGCCTGCGAGTTGCATTACGACGGTTTCGACCTGGTCCCTATGTTTGTCGCCAATGGCGCCGACCCAACGGTGAGGGACGCATTTGGTCGTACGCCCCTGCACCTGGTCTGCTCTCAACACCCCCTGGACGTCTGCTATCGAATCGCTCCTCCGTGGAGGCGCGGACCCAGATGCGGTGGATCACCGTCGACGCTCTCCGCTCCATTTCATATGTAAGACTCGCCCACTCACGGAGGCTTGTCCCGTCGCGGAGACTCGCTCCGTCGTGGACGGAGTCCGGACGCTCCTCCAACACGGCGCTGACGCGCACCTAAGAGACTATTCACGTCGGACGCCACTACAAGTCGTGAAGCAGTAAATCGAGGACGAGGCCCCCACCAATTTCGAACTCGCTGATGGACCCCTTCTTGAAGAGGTAACTTACCCCTGGTGGGTGCTTGGTCTGATCCCGGGATCAAGTAAAAGGAACTCCGTGGAGTCGGAGCCGTCCGCCGACGAATCTCCAAGCAGGAAGCGAAGGGCTTACAGTCATCTGCGCAAGCGGTTGGAATCATGATCCGCTTGATATCATCATTCATTTCAGGGGTAATTTGTATGGAATCACTTTTGTCCTCCTACTTATTCCACTGCGCATTGTTTCGACCGCTTGTTCTCCTTAGATATGGGTTCTCCTTAGATATGAGAGCTCCTATAACCTTGTCCCACGAGACCAACCCCTATATATACCTGACCATGTCTTCTAGCTGGCTTCATAGTTTCTTCTCTTCACGTACCACAATAGAATCCATTCTGGAGTCACCATCGGTCGAGCTGTCACAGCATCACTGACTGAAACAATGCCATTCGAATAGATCGAATTGATATCGGTGGTGAACCCGCTGGTGAATGAGTGCAGAACAATCCTCTCGATGAAGTTGTGCGGCTTAGCCTTCTGATCTGGCGGTAGTCGTGGTAACCCAAGCTCTTCGACATCACGACTCCGTTCGTATTTATGCCCCCAGAACATGGCAACAGGCTGGTACATCGCTCGTACGGAGACAGCTAGGTCGGGTCTTTCGTGCAAAGTTCGCGGCAGTCGAAGTTGAGCTTGGCGGAAAGCAGAGCCGAAAGGGAGAGAAAAAAGCAGTGGCTGTGTGATCCGCTGGAAGCATCCGCTGAACAGGAATACCTTTCGCAAGGTCCTTCGTGCAACGGAGACCTCACAGTTGTCGGGCGCATCCCTGCCGAGCCATTCGTGAAAGGCGATAGCCTTTGGCATAGAGGAAGCTGAAGATCTCCAGCCAGAGCTCCTCGACAGGTCGGCTACCATCGTTTACGATAGTGAAAGGTCAGTATAGAGAGTTAAGGACTGGTTCACACATGCCGATAATAGAGACTCACGTTGGTCATAAACGCCTCATCACTTACTAATGCCACTTTCCGGGTCAGGGGTTGGGCCAGGAAGAAGGATGAGCTTCTATCAACCACAGAGAAATGCTTCAAACTATTGGGCGGCGATTATGCTGTATGGAGTATGGTACCCAGGGCCGGGTTCCGGTCTCATCAAGACTCGACGGGTAGAGCAGCTAGAGAAAACCACTTGCATGTTTTACCTCTGGCGGAGGTGATGTCGAGTGCTGAACGTACAGAAGGGCGGTAAACCCTAACCCTAACCCTAAGTTGAGCACCCATCGGTCCAGAATAACATCAGGAAACGGGATATTGTCGTGCACCAGGGGAAGTGGACTGACCGCCAGCAGTATCTGCCGCTATGATTATATGTAACAATGAAGTATCGCTCATGGAAAACTGCCTGTCGTAGGAACCAGGGTTTCAACATTTCCGGGGATTGCGACATCCCCCTTTTCCCTTGCAGCCACAGTGGCTTGCTATCATAAATGTGGCGGAGTTGTTTGTTGACGTCATATGAGCAGTGTCTCCTTTATGCGTGGCTGAGCGTTTCATGTTCTCCTGTTCATCCTTCCTGTCCATCCTTCAGTTGCCTCACCTCTATTGATTGATTGATTGATTGATTGCTTGCTTTGATCTACCCGGACATTCAACCGTTCCCGTCTATCTATCCGCATTACACGGAGAAATAACTTTGGGATTCCGCGCCTTCGAGAACCCCAGGCCGACTAAGAAACTCATTGCTGCTGGCCAGCCCGGCGTCTCCGCTATCGACAGCCAAAACCTCCTTCTAGCCCACGCAATCGCCAGTATCCAGAACCGTCCTCCCACATCTTTCGCTTCGTGGTACCAAGATGGGTCGCTGGTCGCATTATGACACCGACGAGGAGCGCTTGCCCGAGGGCATGCAGCGTATCGGCTACGATGCCGACGACCAGACGTACACGTTCCGCGATGCCGACGGCAGCATCTGGGAGAGCGCGCCGGGCAGCCAGTACGGCCAGCTGCGCCGCGTCACCACCACGCTCCCATCCTACGGCGACGACGAAGACGACGGAGCCGACCCCTCCCGCCCGCTGAACTCCATCAATATGAATGCCGACCCGCCGGCGTCGTGGCGGCAGGAGATGATGCCCCTGCTGAACTGGTTGCTGCTGGTCGGGCTGTTTCTGCTCTTTGTCTTCTGGTTCATTGGCGGGACGTCGAGCAATAAGCCCGAGACCGCGCTTTGTAATGACAAGAGTACTTCGTATACGATCAAGGCGGGCGATACATGCTGGGCGATTGCAGAGGGTCGACATGTGCCGCTCGAGGCTTTGGTCCAAGAGAATGAGGGCCTTGATTGCGATAGCTTGGTGGCTGGTCAGTCCATTTGCGTTCCGGAGGTCTAGTCGTACGACGGAGAAGACCATACGCGGCGTTTCTTGGGATTAAATCATTCTCGATGCCCATGTTGGCCTTGTACATGTTCAAGCATTGAATTAGTTGTGGAATTATCTGTGACATTTGCTCAATGCAAGCAGGTGCTTGCTGGACGGGTGTACACTTCGTCATGCTGATGTATCGGTACGTGGGATTTGTCAGTATTCTCCTTAGTTGCTGCGGTCTACGGGGAGTTGAGTCATTGGTGTTGTCCGAGTAGACTACTCCTATGACTTCTGAAACGGTGCCGCATGCTCGCTTGAGAACCCTAGGTCTGATCTCTTCGGTTACTTCTGAGGCGCAGGCGTTTTTAGGACCGATGTTTCCATGTCAAGGTTACATAGTAATTGGGAGATCCTAGTTGACGGCATGATCTCCCGTATACGGGAAGACTGGTGTCTGCTCAGCAGCGCAATAAGAATTATCACTCATTCCGGCCAGCCATATGGGTCGAGGCTTTCTTCGGTTGAAAGGCTTTTCACAATCTCCAGCCTTATGCTTGAGGAAGCAGGCAACTAGAGTCCACATGCGCACACGAGTGACACGGAGACCGGGACGCATGGGTCTTCTTCGCTTTGCCTTTCAGTGTGGATTACATGGATGGTGATTACTACCCAAAGACTACATATCTCAATACTCAGATGGCATGCTCGCTAGCTTGCCCCCATCCATGACTAGAATGAGCCCGTTACAGTACGCGCCCGCCCTGCTGGCGAGATACAGCGTCGTTCCCGCCATCTCCTCATCGCCACCGAATCTACGAGCAGGAATGAATCTTAGCTCATCCGCGCCCTCCTTCGAAGGATCCCGACTGGCTATCAACCCCGCAGCCAGCTCGGACGGGAACAGCCCGGGCGCAAACGCGTTCACCCGGATGCCGTGGCGCGCCATGTTCGTAGCTGCGTGCTTGGTCAGGTGTGCAATGGCCGCCTTGCTGCTGGCGTACGCGGAGGACGAGATCCACGCGCGGCTGTACGCCGAGATGCTGCTCGTGAAGATGACTTGGCTCTGGACGGCGGGCACGTCGTCGCTGCCGCCGGGGACGGGCGCGCCGAACCCGCCCTGGCCCTTCAGCGCCCTCTTGTTGCCCGCGTCGAGCAGCTCGAGGAACGCCAGGAACGTGAAGTAGGCGCCCGTAACGTTGACGTGCTGCGTGTTGGTGAACTCGTCCATGGACGTGCCGTCGAACATGGTGCTGCGCAGCTCCGAGACGGACAGGTCCGGGTTGAAGCGCGCCATGGGGCCCACGATGCCCGAGTTCGCGATCACGAGGTTGACGTGTCCGCTTTCTTTGGCGATGGTGTCGACGGCGGCCTGGAGGGAGTCCTTGGAGACTACGTCGCAGACTATGGGCGTCATGCTGGGGTGCGACGAGGCGGCTTGATCGAGGACTTCTTTCCGTCGGCCTAGGATGTATACCTTGGTTGCGCCCGCGCCGGCCAATGCCTTGGCCATGGTGAGGCCGATGCCTGACGTGCGTGAGGCTATTGTCAATGAGCAGGGGAGGAGTGCGCCATACCAGATCCGCCCCCAGTGACCACTGCCACCATTCCATCCACTCGGAAGAGGTTTGAGGTATCCATTCTGACTCCTGAGAACCGTCAGTCCGTCAGATATCATGTCTTCATGAACGGGTACTTACAAGTATATCAAGATCTTGGTAGCAAGTCGGGCTGGTGATGCGCTGTAGAGCCTACGCGGGACGGCCACTACCTAACAGGTATATTTCGACGTGCTTATTTCAAGATCTGTAATCATGCAAGAAGCATCCAACTGCATGGTGTTGGGCATGCAAGGTAGTTGCCTGGTATTGCCGACGTGGGTCCCGTAGACTCCGGTGGCGCACTTGGGGACGTCCAAGGCCGACTCCGGACTTATCACAGGAAGCGAAGTCGCGAAGCCTAGACCAGCCACTCCCGTCGTACCATTCGCCAAGTTACCCGCTATAGCTCGATTGTGGATCAATAAACCGAAGCAGAATAACGAGTACTTGATCAGAAAGAAAAAGAGAGGTACTTGTATCAAGAAGCTCGACTTGAGTCTATTGACATAGAGTCCCCTCTTGAGAGACTTCGCTTTTGGACCGTGGTGGGCTCCTATCGAGGCCACTGGTATTGAGCCTTACGCGCTCTTAAGCGCCGTGTTTGAACCTCGAGGTAGACCATTGATACCCTACCCATTGGAGCCAATAACAACCTGCATCTTACGCGATGGGATGTTGGCTGCCTCTTGCATAAGAACTGACAGTACGCAGCCTTGCTGTTGTTTCAACCCCGTCTTCTTCATTCTCTTCTTGGTGCGGCCTCTGCAATTGCTCAGGTTCCAGTCGAGATGTCCGGACTAGATGCAATGGTCCTGGTGAGGAACCCATCCTACCCCTATCACACTCTGACCAGCATAGTGATTTGCTGATGAAGATGAAGGATGTCGAGGCAATACCTGTCGACCTCGTGATGGATGGCTGCTGGTACATCTTCGTAATTCGGGCCACGAGGTTGAAACTGTGTAAGAGACTCTTATGGTCTCGGCATAGTAACAACCAAGGTGCGCTCGTGAAGTGTCAAAGAGACGTGGGCTAACATCACAGATATGGAACTCAATGCTTCGGAATAGGGAGCCAACCATCTTCTGCAAATTCAGCTCCTTTATATGCTGCATAGGCTGTCATGCAGATGCTGTGCCAGCGGGTGTCAAATCGATCATGTGGGACTGTGTCAATCGAAAGCCTTGGGTCCGATGTTTTTCGTGCACTTGGAGCGATAGAAGAAAGACGATTCGGCCGCAAGAGTACTCTCCAAGTATCCCTTACATCGCCACTTGGCTCCACGGTCTTTGATGGGGGGAGAACTTCGCCAGTAGTCTTCCGCGATGGCAACACTAACTATCCTGCTATGGCAAAACCTACGTAGACTCTTGCTTAGGTGTCAACTCCTGCCAGTGGTTCCCACGGGCGTGGAACACCAGATTAGGGCCATCATGGTCTGACCCTGGAATGTCGTAAATCTGGAACTGATCAGGCCCATCCCACGGATCCTTACTACCCGCTCTCCCGACTCCCAGTCTTCCGGCCTCTCCTGCACCACGCTCAAATTCAAAATACCAAAGGGTTCTGGCAATTGTCAGACTGGTTTCCATGTACGCCATGCTTTTCCCAGCGCAACCCCGGTCTCCCAAACCGAAGCCCACTTGAGCGCGCCGCATCGTCGCCCGCACCTCTCGTTCCTCCGGGGTGTCAGGAGCTCCCCCGTTTTCTGGCGACAACCACCGTTCAGGCCGGAAGGCAAATGGGTCAGAGAAATACGCCGGGTCATGCTGAATGGCCCATAGGTGGATGCCGACTTCAGTACCCAGTGGGATCACGTGGCCGTCCACAATGAAAGGTTTTAATCACGGCGCGCAGGTAAGTGCAAGTAGCAAGCTTCGCTCCGGGCTGTATTTCACGGGCCGACGAGAAGGTCCCGCGTACCTCTGTGGCAACACGATCATACGCGTCCGGATGGCACGACAGGTGAAACAGGGTACCAACCATGGCCGTGGCAACCGTTGAGCCCCCGGCCAATACGAAGAACAGGGCCTCTGACCAGACCTTGCTCTGATGTAGGCCCCCTTCCCCAGTAACGGAAGCATAGAAGTCTGGCTTCGCATCAGCTGGCTGAGACGTGCGCGCCGTGATCATCTTCTGGACGGCTTGGCGGAACATGTGCGCTTTCTTGCTGCCAACCCAGCGGAGGACCGGGGCTACGTTACCCTGAAAGGGCCATGTGTAGAGGAAGTTGTTTATATAAGTGCTGCTGAACATGGTCTCGGGGAGGAAAGGAAGCGGTTGGTCGCCTCGGTTTGCGTGTTCAACGCGTAACCCAACGCTAAGTGACCGACCACGTCGACGCCCAGTCGGTTGCAGGCAACAGTCATGTTGACCATTTGGGCTTGGCGGCTGGAGTGCAGTAGTTGGCGCAAGAAGATGTCGATCTGCTCGCTCATCATGGGAATGAAGGACCGCAGTGACCGGTCTGAGACGACCTGGCCGATAACCTTCCGCTTCCGCCGGTGGTCGGCAGTATCCTTGACATTGAATAGATTCTACTGCTCTAGGGCTCCCGGATGTCGATAAGCGCTGCCCTTCGTAATTTGGGGGTTAGAGTAGATGTCTAGAGGGCGTCAGTGTGAGCTTTTTGCGAATGAGCATGTGGTAGTCCGTGCCTTGAATTGCCGTCAGGGAATGGTAGAGCAAGCGGTTGGGTGCCTCCCTGTAGACACGACCTGTGTGCTAGTTAGACCCAGTAATTCAAGAGACCTTCGAGCATCGCACCGTATTTCTGTATGTTCTTGTAAGTGTTGACATGACGGCGCCCCCCAACAGCAAAGAGAAAACCGTAGCCGTAAGTGATCTTCGCGAGGAACGGGCCGGGGTATCCTCGTAGAGGATGGAAACCGAGTCGGTAAATGAGAACAGAGAGTACCTGTCACAGCGTTAGAGGTTGAGCAAGACAACAAACCTGAAGGCACTCGGAAGTATACCAATGTTGCGAGGAGGTAGAAGACGCATCTCGACGCGAGTAGTAGGAAATTGAAGCAATGCATTTGGGGGACGTTTTTCACTATGGGAAGAGGCTTTGGCTGGTGGTCAAAATCTGGGAACAAATCTGGCGCGTCCTGTGTGAGACAAACAAGGTCGATCGAGTACGTAGGTAGAACTTCTATAAAGGGTAGGAATATATCCACAGTGGTGCCAAGCTGCTGACGTACAGACCGATGTCAGGGACGCGAAGCTGTAGTCCCTGACATCGCTTGACGCTCGGTATGGGTGTTGGCGACCGTAGTAATCGTTTATTGAATATCAGGGTTGAACCAACAAAACGGGCAGATAGACGCCTGCTTGTTGGAGCCAATAGCAACCCGCATCTCACGTGATGGGATGTTGGGGATGTTGGGGTTGTTGGCTGCCTCATGCATATGAGCCTGTAATCCGCAGCCTTGCTGCGGCTTGGTGGCTTCATTTATCCATTGTCCCCTCTCCTATTACCCAGTGGGTCTTATCTTTCTCCGATGCGATGGAGGCCAACCAGTCGCAACGCCGGACAAAGGCGGCGGTTGAAAATGACCCTAAGTCCCCGACAATATCGCCATACCGGCCGCTTGCGCAAGACGTCGATTGCACACGCTTAGTGGAGATAGAGCCAGCGAGGCACGAGAGTGATGACCCGGTGTGCTCTCTCATCCACGCCAACTTCGGTGACAAGCCGAAATACGAGGCGCTATCGTACATGTGGGGTGAAGATAGGGAGAAGGAAACTATTATCGTCGATGGCATGCAATTGAGTGTCACCACGAACCTATGGGACGCACTTTTCTATCTCCGCAGGCATCGACCGAGTTGCACGCGGTTCTGGATCGATGCTCTTTGCATCAACCAGAGCGATATACCAGAGCGCAACCGACAGCTCCGTATGATGAGGCACATATACTCTCGAGCCAGCCTGGTGGTTGTGTGGCTCGGCAAGAAGTACGCGGCATACCAGGAGAAGATACCTAGTTTGAGTGCACTCGAGGCATTCCGATCTCAAGATGCCAATCCGTCGGCGTCATTGCCACTGAAGGCCGATCTACAGGCTAGCCAACAGCCCGAAACAGACAACCAGGAGAAAAATATGGCCAAAGAGCTTTGTAGCGATGGGTACTGGGATAGGTTGTGGATAATCCAGGAGCTTACACAGGCCCGGGGATACGACCGAATTCGGATCCTGGTCTGCTTTGGGAATATGATGGGGTTCAAGTGGACGGCCTTCACCCATTTCGTCACACAGTCAGGTTGTGCTGGTGAGGGGTTCTCGAGGTTGAACCGCCAAATCGAAGACAAATATACCAGCGGGCACACCCTCAGGAAGTTACTTGCGGAGCATCGAGCTGCGAAGTGCAAGGAACCAAGGGACAAGATCTATGGCCTGATCAGCCTAGCGGCCGACGCCCGCGGGTTCCCTATGGACTACAGCAAGTCTCTTTTTGATATCTGGACCGATACTATGGAGTTCATGAACATTCAGCAGCTCCTGGCGGAATTCGACATCGTTGAAGTGGGATCATTGGTCAGATTCCTCTTGATGGGGGCTGATTGTTCACCACTAAAGCAAGTCCTACCTTATGTGTCTGGAGCTACATCTACTCTGGTAGATCAGAGGGCTATCAACCCCAAAATCTTAGAGCTCCAGGGGTATGTCCTCGGGTATGTCATGAGCGTGGGTCCAAGTACGACCGATGTTATTGGGAACTTGGGCAAGGTGGACTCATGGGAGACCAGCGTCCGCGACAACTTCAGAGACGACCTCGGAACAGCGTATCGGGAGAGCGACATGCTTCTTGAATCCATCATAAAGACCGACGATGAAGCACTAGCAACCAGATGTTTCAATCAGACGAGCACCGTCCGATGGGTTGGCCGCTTTCAAGAGAACAAGATTATGACTGCCTATTCGTCTTGTTTAAGGACCGCCACCGCAGCCGCATCAGCGAGTCTAACTAGCAAGGAGGTCCACGCAGCTGACCATCCTCATCTATACCAACTGGACAAGCCAGAGCTTGCCTATTTTGAAAGACTTGGTGGATATCGGGACAAGCCGCAATGGAAGATGGGTATATCATCAAGTCACGTTCGCCGGGGTGATATCATCTGCCGCATTCGTGGTATCGACAAAGGCGTCCTGATCCGGGTCCACGAGATAGATGACTGGAAGGCTACAATGCAGATAATCGGTACAGCTATGGTGGCAGAGGAAGTAGCCACATCTGCGAGCTATCTCAGCCAACTTTGGAAGGAAGATGAAATGAAGGTGAAAATGGATGCAAGAACTCTTTTTGTTCTCTTGCCGGGTAACTATCAGGTCGAGTAGCACTGTGCTGCGTGGATTGACGCAAACGGGTCACTGGCGCCGGTGGGCCCTGAGACCTTCAACGGCGCAGCAGCGATTTCGTGTAGTAACAAGACATTAACTCAGTCCATTCGAGTTCCGAGACATGATAAATGACATATTGCAAGCACACGAGCTTCCCCTGGACAAGGTCAACAGGAGTCTTGCCAAACACGTTTTTGGCCGCGATATTGGCGTCTCGGTCGACCAGAAAGAAGCACGGCCAGCTCCAGCCAAAGTATCGCGCGGGTGATATGTATCGGCGTGAAGCGCCGTAAGTATTCCTATTCAATTTCTTTCTCTGGGAACAAGCGTTGGCTGACATTTGTGTGTATAGCCGCGATGGCACTGCCATTGAGGCAGTCCAGGAGTAACGTTAGGCCATGGATCCACGATGCAATGACGTTACATTTGGGGATTAAGATCTGGCGGTGGTGATCAAAGGAAGGAGTAGTTAGGAATCACTATACCTGGACCGAGATACCTCATCTGCTCGGAATGTTCCCCAAGAGGGAAAGGTCTTGTCTTTAGCTCTGGCACGCAAAACGGACAGCATAACATCTCACCCCCCCCTGCGGACCACCCCCCCACGGACCACTCCACACCACACCACTCTCATTCAGATGAAGCCATCTACAACCACCACAGTTGCTAAATACACTAAGGTCATGGTGTTCTAACCATAATACAGCTCCCAAAATCCGATTCTGACCCTAAATCTTCACCAGGGACCTCTTATGGGACCTCTTCGCCTGCAGCGGAGTCCCTATAGACCCTCCTGTTCCTCAGTTCCATTTTGGCCTCCCTTATGTTAGCCATTGTGACGAATCGCTCCCCTGGTGTTGGTTTGACTGCTTTTCGAGTGGTATTAGCCTTTTTAGCCACTTGAGCCTCAAACAGCTCACATTTGGCCCGTAAATTTGCAATAGTAGCAGCCTGAACATCCATGACCTTGCCAGCCTTCCGCACCAACAAACGCTCAGAGGGCCCCCCAAAGGAAGGGTCCTTTCTTTCAAGCTTTTGAGCACTCTCCTGCAAAGCCTGGCTTCCAGAGGGTGTTGTGACAATGGTTTTAGCTACCATCTCGAGAAAATCTGGTGTTGTGGCTCGCTCGGAAGCCTTAGGGTCCCTCTGGCGTGCCCTGGCCACCCCCTTGTCCTCCAGAATCATATATTTCGACTTCAACGCCTCCGCTCTGTTGCGAGGAACAATCCCAGTCTTTTTCCAGGCAATTCTGATGTTGAGGAGCGTCATTGTGTCCTTCCGGGCCTGCTCGTAGCACTCCAAAACCTCCTCCTTAGATGGCCTGAGTCCCAGACGGCCGCTGGGCGTCTCCTGAAGTAAGGTCTTCAACCTCTTCTTTACCAAATTGAAGACTCCCACATCTAACACCTGGACTACATGGGAGCAATGAGGTTCATAAAAGATCAACCATACTGTGTTTCTCAAGCAGGTGGCTAAGAACTCGTTATTCGTGTGGGAGTCGTAGCCATCACACACCAAAACCACCCATGTGTTGCCGTGGACCTCCCGAATATGAGGAATAAAGATACGTTGAAACCATTCTAACACAATGGGATTCGAGGTCCATCCATTGGGTGACGTAATAAACCTCCAGTCGGTGAATTTGCCCTCGTTTTGGTTGCTAAACCACTGGGCTTGTACGTTAACCCCCTTAAGAATCACCAGCGGCGGCAAGGTCTCACCAGATCCGCTCACACACTCTAGGGCAGTTATCCATTCACCCTTCTCGACCCCTTTCTTTATAGCCACGTTGCCGGAGGCCTCAGAGACCACCCAATAGGAGTCCCCAACCCCCTGGGCGATTCCCATTTCGTCGACGTTGTACCAGCGTGCTGGCATGAGGTTAACCACGTCAGGGGCGTCACACTGATCGAAAAAAATGTTGATATTTGCCGCTGTAGCACCATTCACTCAGTTGTAGTCGATAACACGAGACTTCATTATCTTGACTTCCGGGTTTCGAGACAGGAACTTGGATGCCCAATTTTTCCTTAATTCTCGAGCATCCCCGGTGGCATGGAGCATCCGCTGGGCCATGAGACGGAACTTAGAGACCGCCAGAGAATACCCTAGCCGTGCTTGCCCCAGGGCCCAGCTTGCTAGCTTATGTTCGAGATACGGTGAGAGAGCCTGTTGGAGAGCGCTGGTCTCATTCCGCGTTGGGGTGCCAGAGGTTCGTTGGTTGACGTACGAGCGACTGATTTGCCATTCGAGGGCTGACGAGCGGACTGGAGCTCCGCGTTGGATGGCCAAAATGGCGGCTTCAGCTTTTATTTGACGGTCGTAAAATGACATCATGAGATTCAGCAGTGGACAAGGATTCAAATAGTGTACTTTGTGAAAAAAAAGATGCAAAAGTGATGGTGTAGATGGTAGATCACCATAATCCTGGTGGTTGGTGAATTACGCGTTTGTGGGTCAGAACGCGCTGGTCCGCGGGGGGGTGGTCCGCAGGGGGGTGGGAGATGTTACACCACTTCCGCACATAGCTGGGACGAAATGTCCACCAGGCTTGATAGCGTGTTATACAACAATGAACACGGACAATTCATGAAGCACAAAGCGCTTACCTTCTTTCACCCGACCGTGATATCTGAACATGAACCATAATTAGATGCTCGTTAGAAACAAGTTGGATTGTTCAGCCCATTTATCACAAGGCTGCTTTGTGCAAGAATGTTACGGTATTACATAATACCTCCATATATTTATGTACATATATACCTCTAGCTTCCCCGTTCTCTTCCGACCTTGCCTCTTCTTCCTTAGATATCGTTGAATCTAGATATTTCAACCCATCAGCCCTGACCAGCGCAGCTGCAGGCCTGATTGTCACAAAGAACAATGGACTTGTGCTACACACAATGTCGCCAGAATAATGCAGGCCGCGTATATAGATGAACGTCCCAGGCACTAACTTTGATGTCCATAATCATAGCATCTACCACCAACACCAGACATTCAAAACGAATATGCTTACCTTCACTTTCATCGAAAATGAATACACCCACCCTTCTTCCTGTGCCCTACTTTGCGCCAGAAGAACAGCTGCCCGGCCCGCTTCCTACGTTTGAGGAAATACTCGCGGGAAAGGAAGCAGATGGGTATGATGATCCTGAATGTGTGCAGATCGGGTGGAAGCAAGTGAACCGCGTTGGTGAGCATTTCGTGGTTAAATTTGGGGCTGGCGTCAACTTCCTTGATGGCCAGAACCTGAACTTCGTCAAGAACAACACCTCCATCCGAGTCCCGGCCCTGTACGCCATGTACGAGCGCGAGCATGAGGGCAAAAATATGCTGGTAATCGTCATGGAGGCCATTGCGGGAATGACTCTCGAACAGAAGCTCCCAGACCTCGATGCTGCGGGGAGAGAAGCTATCACGATGCAGCTACGAGCTTGCTTCGACCAGCTCCGAGGCATTCCATCGCCAGATTATTACAGAAATATAGCCCGTCAACCGGACGACTTCGAGGAAGGGCCGTTCACCTCAGCTGAGGCAGCGAGCCACAACAACGTCATACACTGTGTACGCGACAGAGAGCGCTGCGCCTTCAGGGAGAGGGAGGACCTATTCGCCCCCTATAAGGAGATGTGAAAACTTTCCCGCGAACAGTTCCTCCACGCCCCTGGGAGTACTGGTCCACCTGTCTTCACCCACGGATCATTGCACGTCGCGAACGTCATTGTTCAGCCCGACGGAGCCATCTCTATAATTGACTGGGAAGACGCCGGATTCTACCAAGCGTACATCGAGTACCTCGGCGCTATAAAGATGGAAATGGGCACTGTAGAATGGAAAACTGAGATGATCCCTGGAATCCTCGATAGCTTTCCTGAACAGTTGAAGCTGGTGCTCACGCTTAGAGAGGAATTTGACAGCAGAGACGATGAGTTTGATCGCGATGAGGATGAATTGTATCGCCGTTCCGAGTCGAAGCAATAACCAGACCAATAAAAGGGGGCAGTACAAGGTGTAGAGCATATGCATTAGAAGCAACTCCATTACATGGAAACTAATTAGACAAACTAATATTAAAATGACCCATCCTTCTATCGGGGCATAATGCTCTGCTGTTAATATTCCTTCCTGTGAGAAAACCATGGGTGTCACCCGACTCGTGTATCTTGAAGACAATGTAAGCGTTACACGTCTGCTTGCTAAGAGCCAATACAATCAACACACAGTTTCCATTGAACATAATTCAATCCAGCCCGCTGCCAATCCCCATTCTTGCCGCTTGTGCTACAGAGTCTTTCATATGTCATGGGTGTGTTGGCTTAACGCGTCCACTTTGTAAACCTTCTTTATATAATGCTCCGGGCTGGATGTGTTTCATTGCAATGGAACCGCCTGGCTGTGCATCCAACCATCAAACTTCGGACATATTCAACAAGCTAGTAGCGTGGTATTCTTCTAAGCGCGCGGGTATGGTTGATCAGGTAACAGAACTGCTCAATAATAGACACTGACAACGTCACAGAGACTAGATGGTGTGAGATTTCAAAGTGTTCTATTAAGGAGAGGAATTCCAGCTACTCTGGAGCGGCCAGAGTGGCCCTATATATCCAAGATACTAAAGGAAAGGATACGTGGCCTTATGTGGCCACGTATGTGACAGAGTCACAGATGGGGATGGTGATCCTGAAGGATGACTATGGATGGGCTAACGTAGCCCAGAATCCAACACGAGCTCGTTGATGTGTTTTGTGGTGCTGCAAGAAGGTAGAAGCGCAGTAGGTTGGCGAGCGAAGTGCGCCTTAAGTTATACTCCGCCAGACTCTTTGGCAGGCGTGGTTCAGGCCTCGTGTCACTTCCTTGGGACCGGTGATGTAAGGAAATCGCTCCATCACCCGTGCCGCACGCACCCAATATGAAGATCCCGTTTGCAGTCGTTCTGTGATAAGTTGGGATTGATAGACAAAAAAGTTGCACTCCTGCCAGGCTCCAGCAAGCTAAAAATACATCCCTACCTCATTGATTAGACACCTCAGTCAGGTAGTAACTACGAATTGAGGAGTGCTCGTCGGCAGAATCGATCCGCGATTGATGTCCAGATCGTATACCTCGTGAGATGGGGTCATGAGGACGAACAGGCACAGGTCCCTGGTTTACAGTCATTCTTGGCAAGACGTCCGTCTAAGGTACCATCCCTGCTTGTTCATACCTTATCGGTCCATGCATATACACTCCACACCACGTCGCCTACTGTGCCTGGCAGGCAGCAGGCAGGAAGAGTGCCCGGGGTTTCCTAGGGCTGATGACGATCCTCATGGAAACGTTGGGGATCGGACTCCCATCCTGCCATCCCACCCTAAGGCTGACGGACAGGGAAAGACGCCAGGAAGCAACCCCTTATGGTGGCCACCACGAGCGTTTGAGGAGTCTGGTCGGCGATGGCGCCAACCGACCGGATTTGTACTCTACCTAAACAAGCGGGCGCCGATAACTATGCGAAAATCCACGATGGGGGCCGGAGCGGCGTCGAGGGCTGCCTTGTTTTTGAGATCGGTCCCAGCGCCTACGACCTGATCCAGGCCGGAGATCAGGAGTTGGCCCTCAATAACAAGCATGTTCTGTCACTACGCTCAGTCCGCTGCCGACGCACATCAGGACAATGAGGTCAATGCGGTTGTTCTCAGCCGACGGCAAGGTGGGCTCAAATGCAACACATTGCTACAGAAGCACGGCGATCCGCTCAAGGGAAGGAACCAGACGCACAGCCAATCCAGTCACATAGGCATGGTACCTCAGACCAAGCTGCCCAAGACGACGTCCATGCCCACGACAACCACGGCCGAGCGACCCATTAGTTCCGCGAATGCTAGTGGAGGCTGGCGCTGAGACGGGTACAGCGGACTGCGATCAGAACACTGTCCTTTACGGCGTATGAAGCGCCAGTGGTATTGATCTTCGTCTGGTACGGCTGCCCAGTGGATGGCCGATACCAGGAGGACAAGACGCCCCTGCGCGAATTGAGCGATCCATCCAACGTAGGGGCAGCGACAACGCTCCTAGGTCACAGCGCATCTTTATAAGCCCTTAACGGGCAGCAACACATACCGTTACATATTATCTGCTCGAACCAGTGGCTAGAGCTCGCTGCCATGTGTACCGGATCGAGTCAGACTCGCCTCGAAGGCTCGGGATCTTCAAAAACACATGCCGCTACGGCTTTCACGAAAATGAAGGTGGCATTGACAGCATCTCTGTCCCACAGGCGCAATGCCTATGATTCGGAGGTACAGGTGATGATTGCTCGCCAACATGCTCAACCAAATTGTATCCGGACACGAAGAGATCCTGGTTCGTCTCACTTATCCAGCTTCTGTCCGTCCTCGGCCCTATCTCGCTTTCGTTTTCGCCGTTGCTGGCTAGCCTTCCTCTTCCCTTAAAAGCCTACAGGTGAATACTAACCTGGCTAGTCCTTCGTTGTCACTCTGTGCCGATAGTATCTGTTGAGTGACTTTCCCTGCTGTATCATGATCGTGCCAGAGCCCAGCAAGGGGAACTCCAGGAAAGGCTTTGGGTCTCTCGTGCCTTGCAGCTATCTACCACTTCTCGAAATCTTGCGTTGAAGTCGGCTTTTGTAATCTTTCGTCGCTGCCACTGAGATACCAGGTCTCTTTTTCAGCTCCTCCTGAGCGCAACCGGGGATCACGTCGGTCAGATATTGACCTCTGCTCTGCTTTCCCACCGCGACGTTCGGTGCAAGACCGAATTTCATGGTAGCAATTCCGCCGAGCGACATGGATGCGACCGTTGGGCCAATAACGTCGCTCTCGCCATCATCATGCCAGCCCATCCCCATTTTGGGTAGTTTCCGATGGTCAGCATTTCATTGAACTCGACGTCTTGGCCCAGTATCTGCGAAGAAAATGCGGTGATCGCAACCCTTATGGCGTTGACCACATCAGGTGCTGACGCGAAGGTGGTGGTCTGCGTCGTCATTCTCGTCAAGTATTCCTGCCCGTAGTTGCACCCGAACCAAGCAGTTAACTGATATTCGATCTTGGCTTTCGTACGGCAACGCTGGAGTGGTATACCCCCCTTCTGTGCCGCCTTCCACGCCCGGTCGAACAGATCACGCGTTCCATCAGGCCCCTCGATTGCTCTTCTCTTTGGGTAGGCGATAATGATGATATTGTTGTCCACCAGTTCAAAGCGGTGGGTTTTGAACATGTCTGTCGAAGATGTCGTATGCTGTATCCCCGCTTCTTCCTTGACTAAAATCTGAGGGATTTCCGTGTCATTTTGCAGGTTCAGCCATCTGCTATCAACCAGTTCATCGAATGTGAATTCCGGCAAATTGATTCCGTGGCTCTGGCCGCAATTTCGGCAGGCGAGTCGGTTCTAGAAAATCCGCCTGTTCATGCGATGGCACGTCTCGCAATGCCAACTCTTCCAAACTGGTCTCTTGTTGTTGTTTTGCTCGGACATCTGTGCAACCTCTTCTTTCGTCGGCTGGGTAGGCACAGCGGGGACAAAGTCGCAGTCAAGGGGAACAGCGTCCATTTTGTTGGTGCGGCTTGACAGATATTCGTCATGGTACCGTCGTTCGATTGGGAGTGCAGTACAAATCTTCTTGTCGTTACTGAGGGGGCATTGCAAACGGCCGCAAAACAGGGGTCCGTCCTTGTAGCGTCGGATCTCTTCCTGTTGACAGGCTGGGCACCGTACAGACTTATATGCTTGTGTCAGGATGAAGTTTAGTCGGTCAGAGAGGGTGACTTACTCCTGCTTGCAACTCGTTTCCTCCTAAGGACTTCACTTCTCCACTGGCTCGTCTCTGGTGCCTTAATCTTTCTCTCGTCGCGGGATCTACCCACCAGATTGCATCTGTTGAGACGACCTCCAGCTTGGCAATGAGAAGCTTTGTATCGTTCTGCCATTCCACCCAAGTATCCGTGAGAATGAAGATCCCAAGTAATGCGAAGCGCTCGCCCTCTGACAGACGGATATCGCGTCCCTGTAGGCTGGGGTGTTTATGGCCGATGATCACTCCAATTGACCTTCTCGCCCTCATGGCTTCTTCAGCGATCTCGGATCTCAATCCAAATGTCGTCGAGCTTCCGGAGCTCGTGTTACAGAGCTGAAGACATACACTTGTGTCTCCCAGGTGCTCACCATTGCGTGTGCCATCGGTGCGCAGACCTTTCAGGATTTTCTCCTTGCTAGAGACAGCTCCTTCAAACACGCTGAACCAAGGAAGTCCTTCACTGCACTCTGATATCGAGCTGGCTAGAGTGACTGGAATGCCATGAGGCGTCCAAGCGGGGAGCGCCATTTTCAGTTCGTCATTTGGGGTAGAGTCGAGATTATAGTCGAAAGGGAGGGTGTCGACATTTTCCCCGCGAAAAGGCATTTCGACGGCATGTATGTAGACGGCCTTCGAAGGCAGACGTGGTCTAATGTATCGGAAAGGAGTGAAATATGTTCGGGAAGAAAGGGTCTTGGTGCGGAAGAGTTTTCGTCTCTTCGGATTGTTCGTAACAACGTATGCCTGAAGTCGAGGCGCGACATATATCAGTGCACTCCACTGGGGAGGTGGAAGGGAGATAGGATGGATCAAATCATGAGGTGAAGATGCGGATGTTGAAGTTTCAAGAGCCACGGGGTAGCTTCAAGGTTGTGACAGGCGAAGAATAATCGAGCAAAGTCGTGGGGCCGCTGACGAGGCTGATTGGTAACCTAGGTGAATTGGCCATCTGTTGGATTCTGGGCTACGTTAGCCCATCCATAGTCATCCTTCAGGATCACCATCCCCATCTGTGACTCTGTCACATACGTGGCCACATAAGGCCACGTATCCTTTCCTTTAGTATCTTGGATATATAGGGCCACTCCGGCCGCTCCAGAGTAGCTGGAATTCCTCTCCTTAATAGAACACTTTGAAATCTCACAGCTCGACTCACACTCCACATCTCACACTCCACACCCACTCGTCCACCAAGTCCCAGATTCCAACAATGAGGGCCTCACTTCTTATGGCACCTGCTTTCACAGCACTCGTTTCAGCAGTCCCCGATACCAATGGAGACTCCCCTATCGAGAGAGGACTCCCCGCCAAGACTCTCCGGGACTACGAGCCACCGTCACGAGACCTACCAAGACGAAGAATCTCCTCCCGAGATCAAGCCGAAGACATTTATGTTCACTGCATGAATGACGCCGTGGACCAATGCAAGAAGGCGATGCAGAAGAGAGGAGATGTTGATGACTTGAACGAATGCATCGAGAATTATCGAGAGGACGACTGTAAGGAAGGCAATGAGAAGTTTTGGGGGAAGGCTATTAAGGGTATAATCGCGGTACTCTAGTACGCGGGCGCGACGAGGGCAAATGTTTCATACCTCAGCATTTATTTCCTTGACCCAACGCGGAGTCGTTTATTCATTCATTCATAGTCTACCTTCCCTCTTCATGTAATCTCTTCAAATGGCAATGGCGTTTCGGATCAACACTTTAGCGCGATTACATCGTCCGATGCACTGCATGCTTCTGCCTCAAGCCCTGTGACCGCACGGTCCCAGGACCCGGAAAAGCCGTCACGGTGGCTTTTTGGCTGATGACTGATCAAGAGGGACGGTATTTAATGTTACGTAGCCGTTGCAGCAGAGTTCTTCGATAGATATATCACCATATGAACCACCTTTCATGCATGAACAGTGCTCTGCCGTAACCTTTCACACGGCCTCATGAACGGTTAGACTTGTCCCATCTGTGAGATGAGTTAATTGCCCTAGGCAAATCTCTTATGGTCATAGTCAGTGATTTCCAAAGTGGGCCGATCCATGTATAGTCTATTCAGATGGTTAGTTGGGGCTGACGAGCATAACGAACAAGTAGGAAAAAACTCACGGTGTGTTGATATCAGCGTCTCCCCATCTCTCTAGTATCTCACGGACGGTTTTTCCCAATCTCATATGGAAAGACCATACATTGTTCATGTATACAGGCCACACTCGATCTTGCTCCATCACCTGTCCATTGTTCTCGATATTGCACAGCAGCAACCTCCCGGTGTCCAATGTCACCTGATCAGCAAATATTGAAGTGCCATCCCAACGGTGAAAAATCACCGTCCCCCGGCTAGTCATTGCAAGGTAGCTGAAGCTGGCGGGTTCGAAGAAGGATCATTCGTAGTAGTCCACGGGGTGTGAGGGGATTGGGCCCGGCTGGGTTTGGCTCCAGTACAGCTAGGTCGTCTTCTCCCAGTGCCGGGCCGTCCTCACCATTCAAGTGGTATAGGAGAATACGGATCTTGGTCCATAGCGCCCGATTGCGTGGGATGAGAGGATTTCCAACAATGATGTTGCAATGTGAACGATCCATCACGTTCCGCACCAGGTCTCCCTTCAGCTCTGGGGGATACCATGACTCGTCTTCGCGGACCGATGCTCTGTTCTGATAAGCATCGCGGCTAGCTTGGCTCATAGATGCCCACTGGTCCATGAGTTTCCGCCTTTAGAACATCTCGTGGTTGTCATCCTGAATGCCAGCGAGACGAGCTACACTCCCCGGCCATAAGTCTCCGAGCATCCCTGTTTTACATCAAAACACCCCAACTTTACGCGATCGTGATAAATCGAGTAAAATAGATACAACTTAAGTACTTATAGTACATATAGTTAAATTTACTGGAATATTAAAATGGGGTTTTAAAAACTTTGACATCTTAAAGATAAAGGTCGTAAATGTTACTTTATTAAAGGTTAAATTTTCGATAAAAATAACTTTCTGTGACGGCCTGCACAGACCTTCCCACATGACAAGCGGATACTTCCCAATAGGGGAAGGATCTGACCAGAGGATCCCCTTAAAGGGGCAACCTCCCACTGTACCTATCTCTCTCTCTCTCTCTTCCTTTCCTCTCTAGTCTTGATATTCTCGTCAATAGAGTAATAGCTGCTTGCTGCCGGCCATGTCCCAGCACCTCAGTACGCTCGCCGTGACACTTGATAACATATCTATTTTTTTGAAATCTATCACATAAGGTTTTTCGTCTTATACGTGTATTACATGTCATTTAATATTATATAACTTTATTACGACTTATACGATTATTTGAACATTTCTTATAGCTTTATTAAGATTTAAGATTTAAGATTTTAAACTTTATTTTTATATATCTATTTCTTAATATTTTAGTCGCTAAGAAAATATATATTTAGAAACTAGTTACAAAAACTTCAGCATTTTCCAATATTAGTTTCTTATAATATCTCATTTTAAAAGCTTTAAGTCTTTAGTTATAAAAGCGTAAAGGTAGGGCATTTTGGTGTAAATGCGGGGATGCTCGGAGACTTATGGCGGGTCAGTGTAACACACTCTCCTGTTTCCAAGGGTCAGCTATACTCTCTTCGTCCATTTCGTGAACCGGATGCTAGGGGCATTCCCTGACTTCAAGAAAAAGCTGCCACCCCTTGACAATGTCATGCATTGTGTGCATGATGGGCTCAGGGTGGCATCGGACGTGAGACGGAATGCCGCCTGGCCAATACTTAGCAGGGTCTGACATTGCTATACATGCCGTCTAAATATGACTATGGTTGAGTGTGATACTTCCAGACACGTCGACTAGAGAGGTTCATATGCTCTGGGTGACTGCTTACATGTAAGCTCCTTGACTGGCGTGTAAATGTCAGGGTGTCAGGGGTCATACGGCGATGAGGGGCTATAGCCGATGTGGGGTAAGGGTATATATAAGGGGGTCTCGCTCCCTTGAGGGCTGTAAGGCCAGGTTTCTATTGTATATAATGGTCTTTTTTGGAATGGATGCCCTGTCACGCTGCCGCGCCCTTGTTACTTGACAGCAAACTAGACTTAGCAGTAGGACCACTTTCCACCTTTGAAGTCGCACCGGTTACTAGAAGACCGAGCAGTAGCTTCATTTGGCGGCAGGATAATATCTCAACACCGGGCGAGATATCAGACTGCGTAGTGTATGAATATTTGCTACAGACGTACTAGAGACCGGCTAGGGGTATAATGTCCTTATCTCTACGGGTATGGTACGGCCAGGATTCGTCCTCCCTATTCTTCAGGCTTGAGCGGGCGTATTCAGGAAGCTTCACATCCCTGCATAGACTCGAAATAACCATGAGCTGGGGCAATCCTTCAAGCCACTGCTATTTAACTAATCAACGAATGACCTAGCACAATCTCGAGTGTAGCAAGTGAGTCATGGTCAGGCATGTCAAACCTCGTCGAGGTCTTATTGGCTGACCGCTACCCCACTACAGCTGCGCCCCTTTACTCATACAGAAGCTCAGAGGTACAAAAGGGGCACTGGCACCCCCGCCTTGTTTTCATTTTCTTCCTCCTTTCTCTTACCTTGCAGCCCACAGGTTCCCACCCCTGTGTGATTGAGACATCCCGCACCATGGCTCGAACCAAACAGACAGCAAGAGGCGGTGCCAACACCAGTACGCCTCTCTGTGGCTGTTGGTTCCCCTTTAGCAGACCTGAGTCCCCTCATCACATTCGACGGTCATATCTTCCTGCCCACAAGATCCAAGCCAACACTATCATCAAGGATCTAACATCCCGTACCACGCTAACTCAAAAATTCACGAATGAGACCAACGACAATCTTGACAACATCATCTACTCCTTCCCTCTTTATGATGGCGTATCTGTCGTTTCCTTCACTGCGACCGTCGGCAGCGTCAGGATCGAGGGTGTCGTCAAGGAGAAGCACGAAGCTCGCCAGGAATACAATGACGCCCTCGCGAGGGACGAGGCAGCAGGACTGTTGGAGCAGTTGCCCGAAGCCTCCGATGTCTTTAGCACTCGGATTGGGAACGTTGCAGCCGGAATCACTGTTACCATTGAGCTCGTCTATATAGGCGAGCTGAGGCATGACGCTGAAGCCAACGGCACGCGATTCACCATTCCCGCCGCTATAGCTCCGCGCTATGGGTTGACACCGCACGATATTTTGAGTGCCCATTCGTTATCATCTACCAGCGAAGCTATCCACTTTGCAATTGATGTGGATGGCGTAGAGGGATCTCAGATTCGGCAGTTGCAATCCCCGAGCCATCCGATTACGGTGACCATTGGTCGAACCACAGAGATGTCCGAAGACGAACACATGTCCCATCGTGCCTCGGCGGCCCTATCTATCGACGATACTGTCCTAGACAAGGACTTCATTATCATCATCTGCGCCACGAATACTGGTGCACCGAAGGCCCTTCTCGAGACGCACCTGACCATTCCCAAACAGCGTGCGCTGATGGCAACTTTGGTCCCCAACTTCAAGATACCTCCATCGCATGGAGAAGTCGTCTTCATAGTTGACCGGTCTGGAAGCATGGGTGGTAAGATCGACACCGTGGTTAAAGCAATGACCATCATGCTCAAATCGCTTCCTCTTGGGGTCAGGTTCAATATCTGTTCTTTCGGCAGCAGCCACTCCTTTCTATGGCCTCGTAGCCAGTACTATAGCGTTTCCAGCCTTGAGGAAGCACTGGCCCACGTCAATGAATTCGCACCAAATTTCGGCGGTACGGAAATGCTGGAGCCAGTCAAGCTGACGGTCTCGCATCGTTGCGAAGACACGCTCCTGGACGCTATTCTCCTGACAGACGGCCAGATCTGGAATCAACAGGAGCTTTTCGACTTCGTTGCCGAATCTTCCAAACTGTACTCTGCACGATTCTTCTCGTTGGGAATCGGAAGCGGATGTTCAACTGCTTTGGTAGAGGGTGTTTCTGCTGCAGGGGATGGTTTCAGCCAGTTCGTCGCTGAGGGCGAAAGGATGGACAAGAAGATGGTACGACTTCTCAAAGGGGCTCTGACGCCGCACATCAGGGACTACAGCCTTGAAGTCAAGTACCAGAAGGATGATGACGACTACGAAATGGTCGAGTCCGTCAAAGACGCCTTTAAAATCGGCGTCGCTCTCCCTCTTAGGCTAAAGAGAGAATCTCCCCGAAAAGCTGCGGTGTCCCTATTCGATAAAAGCCTTTCTCATGACTCGGACGATGATGAGGATGTACCATTGGCAGAACGGCAACGGACCATGTTGCCTACCCCGCCAGAGTTCGCACCGCCATCAATGCTGCAGACACCTTCTCAGATCCCCTCACTGTATCCCTTTGCACGAACAACGGTCTATGTCCTGCTCGGACCATCCACGTACAACTTGACCCCTCAATCACTCGTGCTCCGCGGCACATCGGAGCACGGTCCCCTCGAGTTCGAGATCGAGGTTGAGGATGTCGGCAAAAGTCAGACGATCCATCAGCTTGCAAGCAGAAGAGCCGTCCACGAGCTGGAGAAGGGCCGGGGCTGGCTGTCCGAAGCCAAGGATAAGGAAGACGACGTCCTGCTTAGGAGCAAGTATGAAGGCCAGTGGGAAGGCATTCTGCAGCGTGAAGCGGTACGACTGGGTGTGCAGTACCAGGTGGCTAGCAAGTGGTGCTCGTTCGTGGCTGTTCAAGACGGGCGTGAGATGCAGCCTGTTGTTTTTGGCGGCAAGATACCGCGAGTAAATTTGGGACAGGCTCCAAGGAAGCAGCTAGCCTCCAAGGCAGCGAGAAAGTTTGTTCCCACTGCAAGTGATGTTAGACAGAGAAAAGTGGCCAAGGTTGGTACAGGTGATGCTGGGAGCACTCAGGAATGCACGCCGGCTTCCCCGGTTAGCCATCCCCGACGGTCTACGAGGGCTTCGGTTCGATCGCAATCTGCTCTCCACTCTCAGGGGTCCAATGCGATGGATGTCGACGAGTCCGATGCCCAGGCGAGATTGCCCGAGACCAACAACGCGAAGATGCACGCGATCATCGGCTTGCAGAAGTTTGATGGTTCTTGGGACTGGGATGAAAAGCTCATCGCTATATTGGACGGCAATCCAGGCAGCATGATGAGCAGGAGTGGCCGGAGGTCTGTCAAAGCTACGGCTTTGGCTGTTGCTTTTTTCCAGGCCTGTGTGCCCGAGGAGGAGGACGCGTGGGAGCTCATTGTCGACAAGGCCAAAGGGTGGCTTTCTCAACAACCAAGGATGGACGTTGACAAGGAGATCGCCGAGGCCGACAAGCGTTTCATTGGGTATACGCAGTATGGCCAAGTTAAGGATTGGGAGTTTACTATGTAGCTACAACCGTTTTCCATTCCCCGTGTTCCCTTACGATTTTTCTGTCTCCAATGCACCAGAAAGAAAATTTATCTTGAGAACTCATTCTATCTGTAGCCAAAGTCCAGATCACCTGTTTGTTATGAACAGACCTGCTGAAGAATTTTGGCCAGGAGGTGATCATGTAGTCGTCGCTACTCCGGCCAGCTGCGCCGGCCGGGATATCAGTCAAGGCCTACGGCGACATTATGGTACTTAGCATCTCTGACCAAGCTGATTGACGTTAGGGAGGTGGCGAACCTAGGAGGAAGTTATGCTCCTCGGCTTTGGATTGAAAAGCTAGACGTTGAATGAGGCCGATGAATCGAGCGGGCGTGCTATCCTATTGTTGCCAAGCTATCGCCCGCATTTTTGTGAAGTTTTTCCACCAGTGAGATCAAGTTGCTTCGCCAGCACCTGCATTCATGGAAACTTGGGAAACTCGAACTGCCTTTGCTTCTCTCTCTCAAGTATTCGAGACATCGCCGCCAACGTGATCAGCCAATATGTCCCTTTCCGAGTACACACGAGCTCTGAACGACTCGCTAGCGAAAGCAAACCTCGTCCCAGGCTCAGCAGCTAGCCTGATACCAGCGGGCTTCACCCCAACGACCAAGCTCGACGTAGAGTTCGAGGGCAAGCTCGTGGAGCTAGGCAACTTCTTTCGCGCTGGAGAGTGCAAGCAAGTTCCGACCATTTCGTTTGCTGCAGAGCCAGAGACGCCTCTAAATGCCACATACACGTTCATCTTGACCGATCCCGATGCGCCCACCCCGGATGACCCAAAATTCGCGTTCTGGAGACACTTAGTCCTTGCCGGAGTGCGGCCCCGGGGCACGGAGGGCGTGGCGTCCATTTCGAGGCCGGCCTTGACTGAATATCTTGGTCCTGGACCCAAAGACGAGTGCGTCGCTACTGCTGGATTACACCCTATAGCCTCAGAGGGCTGCCCGCTGACAGAATCCAACACAGCTCGAAACCCCATAGGTACCTCTTCCTGCTATATCGGGAGCCTCAGGACTTGGCATTGACCAAGGAGGATGTCGGTGGTGACGAATTTGTGCAGAGACGGTCGTTCAAACCTGCTGAGTTCGCAGAGAAGCATGGGCTTCGACTGGTTGGTCTCAACTGGATGACATGTGCGGGGGATGGTTGGAAGGGGAAGAGTAAGGGCGACGCCGTGGAGGATCTACCTACGGTTGCCTGATAGTGGTTTACGGGTGGGCGACCCTCAAGGTTGGCAACTACCGAGAAAAGAACATTGAATGTTACACCAGCGGGTGTTCACAGTTGCACCATTTCCTCGTAACTTTTTGAGGGCCAGCTAAACCTTACCTTTCAGTCAGGGCTTTGTAAGTGTGTCAGTCTTACAACTTGATACCAATAGCATATTTGACAATGTCAATATGCATTGCAGATGTCATCCAAACCCAAGTCGGAACCTGTCTTCCAGGGGAGGCGTTGGGGTTATTGACTGTGTCGGACCGATGGCAGCTGGCAGGAAATGTTGATTGTTACAAAACCGAAGGTGGGAATAGCGGACCTCATTAAAAGCTCAAGACTCACACCAACACTCACCTCACTTACCACCACCTCACTCGCTCTAAATGGAGGCAACATCAGATACGCCAAGTGCAGCCGATGCCGCGGCCCCTCAAACCAACAACGCCCGTAACCGCGCACGGCACAACCAGCTCCACAGCCACGGCAACTACCACAACTACTACTCCTTCCGCGCCCAGCAGGTACCCGATCCCCGTCTCGCCCTCCTCGCGTCCCATCTCCTCTCCAAGCGCGTCTTAGATCTCGGATGCAACGCCGGCAAACTCACCAAAGAGGTCATCACGCACTTCTCCGCCGCCTCCGCACTAGGCGCCGATCTCGACCCGGTGCTCATCGCACAGGCCGAGGCCGCGCCCTCGCCACGGAACTGCACCTTTCGGCTGCAGGACTTTCTCGTCCCGGGCTGGGTTGCGACCGCCGCCGAGGAGCGGTTTGACATCGTGCTGCTACTCAGCGTGACGAAGTGGATCCACCTGAACGCGCTCGACGCGGGGCTGTTGGCCCTGTTCCGCGAGGTGCACGATCGCATGCTGGTGGAGGGCGGGGTGTTGGTTGTCGAGCCGCAGGAGTGGGACAACTACAAGCGGGCGGTGCGGAAGGCGCCGCATCTGAAGCCCGGCTTTGCGATGTTGGAGTTGCGGCCGCCGTTCTTGGAGGCGTTGGCCGGGGTGGGGTTCACTCTTGAAGAGGATATCGCGCGGGAGGAGGGCGGGTTTAGTCGGCCACTGCATGTTTGGCGGAAGGGGCCTTCTCCTGGATGAATGAAGGGGGGAGGCTGGTGGGAATATGGTGTACTACTCTGCTTTTTCGACTCATGGACTCTCGGTCGGTTGGAAGATGTCCGTTGTGTAGACTCCAGCCCGTTGTACTATGATCATCCGCGGTTACAAGCACACATCCAACTCCAGTCAAAGGCAAGTCATCGGATGAAAAGTCTTCAGATGCAGTCAGTCGAACTCCTCACAACCGTGACTCCCTATTGCGCTGCTTCAATTTAGAACATCATAAAGCTGATTGAACATGAAGCAGCACACACAAAGCCCCTATGTTCCTTGTCAAGACAATATGATTGTCACGGCCTTTGTCTAACAGTCGTAGGCATGGATGCTGTTCTTTGTCGTGATTCAAAGCTTTTTGGGTACCTGTGTAAACATGGTCGTACGTCTCTGGTATTTAACTGCGAACTGCGCCGCAAGCTACTGCGACGTCTCTGGGAGAGATCTATTATCACTTAACAACCTCACAAACCAAACCACACGGCAGAATGGCAACCCACCTAACCAGTAACTATCTCCCCGATGTCCAGATGCATTTGGATAGTTCGGGAGGGGAAGACAATCCTTCGTTAGAGATTACGTGCCAAATCTGCCAACACAGCAAACTTGACGTTTCCCAGAGCGCGCGGGCGCTTGCACTAGGTGAGCAAACCGATGCCCAGCATTCTGAGTATCACAAACACGCCGCTCGTGGCATCGAGCGGACAGTTGTCTTACCCTGCGGGCATGTGTTCGGCGCCCGCTGTATAAGAGCAAGATACGCCGACAGGAGAGGAGTATGCTGTCCATCTTGTGGGTATAGAGTGGCGTATGCAAAATGTGGACACGATATCCGGCCGGCCTTGATTCTAGTCAACAGCAATGATCCCATCAGAGACATGTTCCCACTGACGATGCCAGAAGGTGGTGAGGTCCCGAACCATTGCAAGGATTGCGTCTGGAAAGAGAAAATCCAACCCAAACTCAAGTATGCGCTCAACGACCGGTGCCCGCAGTGTACCCAGAGGGGCAAAGCCGGTGTCCCACAAAACCCAATCGGGCACGACTTGCATCGCACGAGGCACCTCGAGTATAACCTTGACAAGGCACTGACCGAAATCATGTCCCTCGTCCAGCCAGAGTTCATCACGCGCGAGACGGAGTCCTCGCTGGAGAAGACCATGGCCGATGACGAATGCCGTCAGGTCAACCGCTCTCTACTGAGGGTCACGATCCTGACGGGGCTGGAGAACACGATCTGGCGCCGGGCGGAAAAGGATAACATCTCGGAAGAGCAGTCAAAAAGACATAAGGCAGGGGTGCAGTCCGTTGAAGAACTTCTGAAGCAGTGGCTCATGCCAATGGATTTCCGCAACACCGCCAGGCGCATGTGGTAGCGGTAGACTGATAGACCGACTCTGGCAGGCTTGACAGGTAGGCACAGTAGAAACATAAGCCACTTACTGCAACAATAAACTGTATATGCAGCCCTGCGGATTGAGATGGCCGGCGAGCTTGCCGTTCTCCACCCCCACCTCGCCCAATAAGTAGTCCTAACTTCCGATCAGTGATGACTCAAGACATGAATGACGGCAGGATCTGTTCCATGATTGTAAGCTCGTAGGACCGTATCGGTGCCAATGCGGCACGGCGGCGGCAGTGAGGGGTTGAAAAATGAAACGGGGCACGACTGAGCTGAAGTTGTTGGCTGCAAGCAAGTCCTGGTGTGATGTGACGACTCCCCCTGAGACTGGCAAGACTGGGATTGCCATCGACCCGTCGTGTCACACCGAAGCTACACGGCCCCCAGCATGGATAGCAGCACCATGGTGATGTCTGGTTTGTTCTTGATGCAAACATCTTGCCGTTCGAGGTACTCCTTAGCGATTGTCGTTTGGTTAACCCATCAGTAGCTTGCTTGAGGTAGGTTTCAGAGCATGACAAGCTCCGCGTTGAGGCCGGGGCTGAAGAAAGACAGAGCGAAGTTCCTATTCCTGGCTGCGCCTAATGTCTAGGTACCTTAGTGGACGACTAGCCCCCGGATCGTCAAACCAGCCACACTAGAATTTAGAAACTCTAAATACAGAAACTCAGCCTATTTAGTCGTTCCAGATATAGAAATGTGGGGCAGCTACTGCAGCAGCGTCAGATGTCGGCGAAAAGGCACCTCGAGGGCCGACTGGCCGACTGGCAACGTCCAACCGTTCTTGCAAGTCTTGCATCCTTCAGGATCACCATTGCCCTCAGCCAGCCGCCAGCTCAGCCTCAAACGGCTCATCGCCCTACAGGTGCAGGTGCAGGGGACGTTGAGTGCAGAAGGTGCCGCAGTGCTGGTGCTTGTGATGTGACGTCTATTTTGAAGAACGGGAGGCTGGCTGGCTGGCTGGTAGGTGTCTGCCTTAGGTACCTAGGTAAGGTAGGTACACCGTACACTATGCAGGCAGCCACCGCCTTCAACTTTGCTCGTTGCTGGTCGACACTACGGCACTCATACCTTAGGTAGCTACCAGCTAGGTATATATCTGCATGAGGACCGCTCTCCCCATGTCCCCTTCCTTTACTTCCACTTCTTGGTCTTCTCAAATCTGGATCCAGTCTCCAATCACACTTCGTCCACTTGTCACAGTCTCACAGACACGTACGACGGTAAGACCAACTACCAACCACCAGCCTACCCAGCACCCATTCCCAGTCTGCGCGTCGCAAACCTCGAAACCACACATCTGGCATTCACTCAAAGTCCGGCCACGATGTTGAACATTGCAGCGTTCGCCTTGCGCGGCTTCCTCGTAAGTATCCTCATTGCATTCCACCCATTCACTGAACTGCTCATCTAACACCGTAGTCCAGGTACTCTTCGGCGCCGTCGTACTGGGCCTCTCCATCACCCTGGCAAAGGGACAGGAAGTCGGCAAGCCCCCGACTGAGACCTCGTTCAGCAGCTTCTGCGGCGCCTTTGGTATTCTCGTCTCGGCCATCGGCATCATCGCCATCTTCGTTGATAAGATCCCGCCGACTGCGATCATGGGTGCCGATGCACTGGCGTCCGTCTTCTACCTCGCAGGCGGCATCGTAAGTTTCCCGGCGTGACCAAGACTAATGTTTTGGCAGCTTGACTAACAATGGTTCACAGGCTCTGACCGTCGCGCTGAAGGACGTCTCCAGCTGCACGTCGCACTCCGCGATAGCCCGTGGCGAGCGAGTCGGCAACAAGCTGCTGAACGGCGGCTGCTTAACCAAGGATGGCGGCCTGTGGTGCTACGCCGGCTCCGGTCCGGGAAAAGATGAGGTCGATGATTACACCCCTGGCCGCTGCCAGCGCGTACAAGCCGACTACGTCTTCCAGTACCTGGCTTTCGCCTTTGGCATCGCCATCATCGCCACCACCTTCTTCCTCCGCCGAAGCGGTAGCAACCGATCCCGGGCTTTTGTCTAGACCTGCCGGTCACGAGAATGCGAGGACACACTCTTTAACGATGGAACGACTTCAAGAGATCAGGAAAGTACGAGGGCGGACAGGTTGTGGGAAGATCATCGAAATTGGGGTTACTGGCGGCCGAGATTGCAGTATGAGTGCTCATCGGTTGGACTTCTATGATCTGTCTATGATCATTATTTCTGGTTGCAAGCTTTTGGCGTTGGCGGTCAACATGATTGGCATTTGAGCACGGGATATGAAGACTGCCCAGTCGGTATTTTGGTATACCCTATTCTCACAATCACTAAATGGTCTGCCTCCCAACTATGCACCCTGACTTGACCACCCCCTTTCTCTGGCCACACCTAGCTTAGGCGCAGGATAATACCACCAATTCTAACTACAGACGTCTTTGAAATGCGAGTGTTTCCTTTCGTGACATTCAGTGCGGGACAAGCCACAAAGTTCGGGTATGCATGTATTCATTTTATGGTCTTACTCGCACCCACATCATCATCCCATCAACCGGCTAAGGCGGGATGTGCCGTGTATAACGCGCAACGTTTACTGTGGGAACAAGGAAGAGCCTATCGAGTTGTGGAAGGCCTTACAGGCGCAGACACTCTTCCTCCTCGCGTCGCGCATTGACGTGCTTCGCGAAAGTAGAGCCACCGGCAGGGCGTACCATCTGGTCAAGCCAGTCCTATACAAGCTGTTCAGTAACGTGGTTGACTACAGCGCGCGATACCGTGCGCTGGAGGATGTAATTCTCGACGCCGAATCGCACGACGCAATTCGGACTGTTCCGCTTGTTTCTAGTACACCAAAGAGTGCTATGGCGTATTAATTCAAATTTGATCCTTACAGCATCGATGCGGTCACGCAGTTGGCGGGTTTCGTGCTAAACAGCGGCCTAAGATACGGCGACGACACCTCCTGCATCTCCGTTGGCTTGGAGGCATGGCGCGAGTTTGAGAAATTGCGAGGCGACCAGACATTCTTGTCGTACGTGTGCATGCAAGAAGCCCCTCGAGGGTAAATAGTTGGCGACTGTTATGTTTTCGAAGCCCAGTCCGGGCGCCTGGTGCAGGCTACGACGGGAATCAGATTCCAGAAGTTGAAGAAGGTTGCCCTAGACAAGTTACTCGGAGTTGAAGATCCGGAGATGATCAGAGGGGGGTCTGTCGGTGATCGTGCACACACCAAGGACTTGTCCATGAAGCCAATATCGCACATGCACCCCATCACGCCTCCCCAGGATGTGCCGCAGATTCAGCTTTCCAAGTCTCCATCGCCATTCAGACTCAAGGGAACCTCTCTGGATCTGGAGACCACATCACTCGCATCCGACTCCGATATTATGAAGACGGTGCTCAGTATCGTGGCGGCTGAAAGTGGGTGTACCTGAAAGATCTTACAGATGAGACTGCTACATTCACCGATCTCGGAGTTGACTCACTCATGGCTCTCACGATTCTTTCCAACATCGAACGGGACACAGGTATCGACGTGGAGGCAGGCTTTTTCCTTGAACATGAGACGGTTGGCGAAGCCAAGCAAGCCTTGCTGGCAAGATTCGGCTTGCAGGATGAAGTATTGCCAAGACCGGTGGCCGTCATAGAGGACTCGCAACAGGCGCCCGTACAAGGTCAGCTTATGATTCCAACATCCGAACCGGAGCAGTTGAGCATTGCCTTACCGCAGGCATCTCCCGAGCGAACGAGCAAGATAATACATCTCCGGGGTCCCAGCGGCCTCGACACCACCAAGCTATTCTTCCTTGCCGACGAGACCGGCTTGGTGCTGTATTACATGATGCTGCCAAGCCTAGGACGAGACCTCTGCGAGTTTGGGGTAGAGTCGCCATTTGCCCGAGAGCCACAATCGGCCGACGAAGGCGCCACCATCCAACAGCTGGCCCACGCCTGTGCGACGGCGATACGTAGAGAGCAGCCCCGTGGCCCGTACATGGTCGCTGGCGTCTCTGCGGGGGCGGCGCTGGCACTTGAAGTCGCGCGCATCTTGCAGGTGGGCGGCAACATGGTAGACGGTCTGCTCTTGCTCAATCCGGGCGGACGCGGATGCAGACGCGGTCGAGAGTCGGTGAGCTACCTAGCCGGCAAAGGCAAAGCCTGCCCAGAGGGATCACGTGCGCATGATGCTCCAAGCCCTACGGCAATATCAACCGCAGCCGCTCGCGGTACAGCCACGCACGCCTATAGCCATCGTGCCCAAGCAAGGAGAAGCAGAGGTGGGGAGAATTGGAAGCCGTTCGTGCCCCACCTGCAATTGGCGATCCGGACGATTGATGTTAAGGGCGACTCGTTCATGAAATTCCAAACCGTAGGTCCCATGTCAAATGCTCATTCAAGGTGTTGATGACCGACTGACCATGTTCGCTCCACAGCTCAATGTCCTTGGTCAGATGTGTAGAGAAGCGATAGAGGCTTGTGAAGAGTGAAGGAACAAGATGTGAGCAAGATCATCAATGCTCCGGAAGGTTGTCAGTCACGTGCCCACTTCTGTACTCCGCTGGTTAGGTAAGTATGCAAAGTAAGGTTATGTAATGTTCGGTAATGTTCGGTAATGTTCGGTAGTGCAATCACTGCCACATTTTACAACGCCTCCGTGTTGTTGCTCTCCAGGAGTTTCTCTTGTGGTTAATATAAGCATATATAGAAAGATCAGAATCTCAGGGAGCACTCGGGAAAGGCCATCCAGCAATTGTCACCAAATATCCAAATTACTACCAATATTACCCACCAAGGACAAGGCTTATCTCACAGACTCACCCTCGCAATAACGCAAGCGGTAAAACAACCGGGCATCTATCTACACAACTTCCCTGTTCTTCTCACCATCGTCAGCCGCGGTGTCCTTCGCCTTTGGGCCTTTCTTGCGGATATCAATCCAGCCCATGCCCGGGCTAATCAGGAAGGCTAATGAAGCACAGGCTACGCCGATGTAGAATATCTTGTCCAGACTGTTGGCGTAGGCCAGGACGACACCGGGCAGATCATCGGCACCCACGATTGACCGGTATCCCGTAGCACCGGCTGCTACGACCTTATCCAGATCAACATTCGGAGCATGTTTCGGGATTTCAGAGCGCAAGCTCTCATCCAACATGGTGTTGCCAACAACCAGGAGGATGGATGTGAACAGTGCTTGGGTGAGTAGCATGAGCGAATTGCCCATAGAGAGTTCGTCTCCAGTCAAAACCAGCGATCAGCAAAGGAGCCCAGTACGGCTCTTGGGAGCTATTTACCATCTGCATGGCCAGACCGCGACCAACACCGGCAAGGACCTCAGAACCAAACCATAATCCGAGGGGGCTATGAGGGGCGAGTGTCGAGAAAAGACCGGAGCCTATCGCCTGGAGCGCTGTGCCGACCAGCGCATAGGGAATAGTGAAGCCGGTTTTAGGGACTGAGTTGGACGAACAAGGTGTCAGTGCACGATCGGTGAACTGAGCGAGAACGAGGAGACAAGATCTTAGAGCGCCAGTCAAGACCTACCTAAGACACCAGACAGGATGGCGAAGATGAGTTGCCCAAGGATTGCGGGGAGCAACTGAACCCCGCTCGTGATTGGGGACGCATTATAAACGGACTGGAAAAATATGGGAAAGTAGTAGCTGACGATGAAGAGGGTAGTCATGGAGAAGGCCTGCGACAGCGAGCTCGTCCATACCGCCCGTTTGACCACCATCGACACTGGAATCAGAGCCGCGCTACCTCGACGCCCGTTCCAAAAACACCAGACGACGAACGTTGCTACGGCGCCGACGAAGAGACCAATCACGGTGGACGAATTCCATGGAAACTGATTTCCACCGAACTCAAACGCCAAAAGAAGCTGGACGACCGAGCCGGCGAAAAGAAGGAAGCCGACGAGGTCCAGGTGGTGGTGCAGGCGTGGAAGGATGGCTAGTGGGCTGAGCTTCTCGATCTGATCGGGTATACGACAGAAGATCATAAACAAGGCACACGGGGCGCCGAGCGGCAGGTTGATGTAGAAGCACCACCGCCATGTGCTTTTCTGGGTAAGCTGCAAATATGTTAACGTCCCGCTCTTAGCCACGAAGTCATGGTTCCTAGGAAAACAAAAGAAAACGAAGGAGTCAGGGCAGAGCTGGTCCCAGAAAACAAGGACCGAGCCGTTTGGATGGGGGGCTCTAAGCGTACCACTCCGCCTATTAATGGCCCAAGAACCACGCCTAGCTGACTCAAACCGAGCATGATACCAGTTGCCGCTGCTCGCTTATCTAGGGGGATGCTGCTGGCGATGATGGTCAAGGCGCCGCTGACGATGCCCGAACCGCCCATGCCCGCGATGGTGCGACCGACGATCAGCATGGCGAAGCTGGTGGCGGCACCGCAGAGAACAGAGCCGAGCTCGAAGACTCCGAAGAAGCCAAGAAACGACCATTTGGAGCTGAAGTGATGGTATATCTTTCCGGTGAGCGGCATGAAGGCAGCCATGCCGAGTTGATATGCGCCCCCGTACCAGTCTACGTCGGACAATGACTTGAACTCATCGGTGATGCGTGGGATGGCTGTTGCGATGATGGCTGTGTCGAGGAATAGCAAGCCGGCAGCCAGCGTAACTGCAAAGAGGACCATTGACTTCTGGATCCCCGTGATGTACACTGGTTCCTTCTCGTCAGAAGTGGGTAGTTCATCGCCTCCCAGGGACTTGTCTGCGCTTCTCGAGCTGCCGGTTTCGGGACTGTGGTCTGGGTCGGTTGACAGGAGCCCGTTGTTGGCGTGTTTTGTGGCTGCCGGCATTTCGTGGCTGGGCCGCGCATGACCCTCGGGTGAGGCCATCGCTGCTCTGGTGCTGTGATGGACGATAGACGACGGCCGTTGGTGATTGAAGAGTGCCTGATTCGTCAAGGGGTTGATAGGGTTCAAAGTAGGCCACCGCTTGCTTGGCTGCTAGGAAACTGCCGGCTGATCGTTGACGGTATAACGCGTCCACGAGAGGTGAGAAACGAACAATCGGCCCGGATTACATCCAGTATGGCAATTTCCATGGTTGCTATGCTGAATGCAAAAATGAGACACCCCTGATGGGGAGAAGTCTCGCCCGGGGTTCAACTCCGTCCAGATGGAACAGCCTGGCGAACCTACTATAGCAAGGGTCTCTGAATCCCGATCGAACTCCATGGCAAGGATCTCTTGAAGTTCTGAACCCCGATCGAATTCCATTCAATGGCCCCCACTCTCTGGGGTTCAATACCGGATCCCGTTATGAAATCCGGCCCAGGAGGGATGAAATCCGTAAAGGGGGAAAACGCCGGTCCGGAGTTTGCAATGCCGAGGTCCGATTGGATGTTAACAGGTTCCTGACTGCCTGACCCCCGTCCACGTGCCGTAGGAGCCTACAGGAACTGCAGGTGTACAGTCTGGGGGTGGCCACTGGCAGGGGTGGGGGCCAATGCCTGCTGCCGTCTCAGGCAGACAGCTGAAGATCTCAGCATCCCCCTCGTCTGCATGCTAGTCGTGGGCTCACACGCTGATTACTACTCTCCGGTGTTCCACTCCACGACTCAAACCCGTGAGCGAGTGCGTGTGCTCTGCTGGCCATGGATCCAGCGGTCAGTGGCAAGTCCAGTGTTACACCGGCCCCCTACGGCCAGGCATGTACGAACTGTTCTCGAGCCAAGTATCGATGCATCTACCGTTCCGACAGACGTGAGTGTGAAAGGTACGATGGCACAAACTCTAGTCGAGATGCAGCGACCGACTGACCGTTGCAGATGCCACCGGCTCGAGAAGGAATGTGTGCCATCTGTCTCGCGGAGACTGGCGGGCAGGCGCTCGACGGGTCCTCGGACCGTCGACTTGGAGGAGAAGATACAGGATCTCATGGCCCTTCTCCGGAATCAGGCAGCGGGCGACGTTGATTCTCATGTTGATCCGCCTGCCGCATCCATCGTCACCCCGGCGCCGAGCGATGAGCTCCATAGCAACCGAACGGTCGGTGATTACGGCTCGGGTACCGGTAGCGGCAAGTCTTTTACTCCGGAGACAGCCGGCCCTGTCCACTCGGAGCCCGTGGCCCAAGGGGATGGTGTCTATCGTGCGATATTGCAAGCCGAGCGGGAGCCGTCTCTGCTCCTATCCGCCTTTGAAATCCGGCCTCACCAGGCAGAGGACTGTCTGGCCTATTTCCAGACACACATGCTCAACTCGTTCCCCTTCATGTACCTACGCCCCGACATAACTACCAGGCAGCTTCGCGAGTGGTACCCCTTCTTATGGTTCAACATTATGGCTGTCACTGCCAAGCAGCGTGTGACGGACCAGGAGTCCTCCATGACTGACAGCATCAAACGTTTTGTGGCGCAGAAGACGGTGGTAGACAACGAGGCTAGTCTGGACTTGCTTTTGGGCCTGTTGGTATTTATGAACTGGTACGCCTTTCGGCTTCCGTCTTATGCAGTCGCATTCCCCTTCTGCAGCACTAAGGGTTGACTTCTCGTAGGTTCCATTACCACCACAAAGGCAGGTCGTATATAATTATCATGGTCGCTCTGGCATCGTCACTCATCAGCGACATGGGGTTGAATAAGGCTTCCCACGCAACGACCCAGGTCACCACTCCTTGCAACAACGATCGACAAGTTCCACCCCAAGATGCCAAAACTGCGGCAGGGCGACGAGCCGTGCTAGCACATTTCCTCCTAGTCTCCCAGTGAGTTTGCATCCGGGCGGTCTGGGAACTGATTTCTAATTATTTCCCAACCCGTAGAATCTCTTATGCTCAGAAGAAGATCGACCCACCGGAGTGGACCTCTTATCTAGACGAGTGTCTTCAAACAGTCACGCTGTATCCCGAATGGTCAGGGGACGAGCAGCTTGCAGCTCAACTTAAGGTACAATTGCTGGTGGACCAGATAAGTCGAGGTCCATGGAAGAATCAGGAGTATCAACCCTCCATATCCTACACCAGTACACTCCAGGCGCAGTTGGAGAGGATAAAGACCCAGCTCCCTCGAAGTCTCGGTCAAAATGGTACGCATGCATCCGTCTACGTCTCTGCATCAATACTTGGTGCCGCTTGAGACTATCAGCTAACCGTAGTGTTTCGATACGTCCGCAGTCAACATGACCTGTCAGCTTCTTTACACCGAGCTTGTTATCCAGGACGCCATATTAACCAAGCAAGCAATCTCACCACATTTCCCAAACTACCAGCGCCAGCAGCTGGTCGAGACGCACCTTACAACCATTATGCGCTGCTTCGACTCATTTTTTGCTATACCTTCTGATCAGTTTCCAGGTGTGAGCTTCATTCGCTGGTGCCAGATGGCACATGACCTGATACTTCTGCACCGCCTGTACGTGCTTGACGAGCCCTCCTGGGACCGCGCGGCGGCGCGCGAACGTGTCGACCTGTTCAATCTGTGTGACCGTCTAGTGCGGCTTTTGGGAGAGACCGCGGCGAGCTGCGGGAGCACGCCGGGCGGGGACGACAACATATTCATAAGATTCTCACGGATGATCTGGTCCATGTGCAGTACTTGGTGGGCAGAGTTGCAGTCCACAGAACGGATACAGCAGACTGGTAGTAACCAACGGCAGCTCCAAGGCCCGTGGTCGGGCCCAAATATGGATACTGACTTTGGTGTCATGAGTGGTGCTACGAATGGAGGGTACTCGGCCGTGGCACACCCTTTCACTCCGCGGGCTGATGATGCGTGGTTGGATGAGATTTTCAATATGGAGTAACAGACACGTTGTAGAGAAGTAGAGCATTATCATCACACATATTATCCTTTATCAGTGCTTACTAAAACTCCAAGTCAATCTGGGCTGCGGAACTTGCCTCTTTGCTGAGAAATGTCGTAGAAGACTGCGCTGAGAAACGAGAAAATCATTGGGATTACTCATTATCGTAGTTGGAGAAGCTGGCTTGTCGAGGAGGCCGTGTTGATCTTGGGCTGAGAGTCAACTGCGCACCTAGGACCGCGATTCATACCATAGGCACTTGATTTCGTCGACGGCTCTCCAGAATATAGAACATACTCACCATGGTGTTGGTGTTATTTAGAACAGTGACCCCTGGTTTTTGTTGAGTGTAGAAGACGTCGATCTAGCAAGCCACCAATTGCCAAATAGTCTGATTGATTTTATGGAATACAAGATAAGTTGACACCAATAAATCAGTAAAGCAGCGCAGCAAGTAGTCAAACCACGGAGATTTATAATAATAAAGGAAAGCGATATAAGCCTAATATCACGGCACCAGATATCACCCTACAGCCCTACGGGTTAACCCCTATATAAACCTGCTCCTGCCTCCTAGCTAGCTTTATAGTTTCTTTTCTTTCCTTATATATATTAACAAAGTCATTTTCAAAGTCTTCTAGCAGTTAGATTGTAATAGTTTAATGTACCATTTTACTCTTTAACACAGTTAATTCTGGTTCGGAATCTCCTTGCCGTCGCCTTGCCCCCGTTTCGCTCCCGGCCTTCCCCCGATTAACTCGGCTGCGAACTAGTAGCGATTCGGGGTTGTTAATCCTAGGGAGCAAAATCGGGGAGATATGCACGGAATGTTAAGATACAAACATTAAGGGCGGCAGAACGGGGCAAAATCGCCCGGGACAACCCCCGGTACCTGTACCGCTCCGGCCCCGCACCAACCGCCCCTAGCACTAATTTTATTACTACAATTACAATCAACTACGGTTTAAAAAGGGGGTATTATCACGGTACTAAATATTACCTTATAGCTATACAAGTTAACCCTTATATATACCTGCTCTTGCCTTTTAACTAACTTTATAATTTCCTTTCTTTCCTTATATATATCGATAAAATCATCTCGAAAGTCTTCTAGCAATCGGACTATAACACCTAACCACGGTAACTTTCTCTCTACCTAGTAGTATTCTACGGCCACCAAGCTTGCAGCAACGTCATAAGGCCTCAGAACCGGCTTAGGCTTTAAAAACAAAGTCCAATATTGATTGGAATGCACCGTCCTGGCCGCCAGTTTGCGCCACAAACTCGAGTCTAGGGTCAGCCTCTCTGGAAAGCTCGACGTAACGTTCCTTCGTGCGTTCATAACTGCCTTGTACTGTCATCACAAACAGGTCCTCAAACCTGAAATCTTGGTCAGCTGTCATTGCTCCAGCAGATACACTCTTGCACTCACCAGACATATCTCTCGTCGAGTGTGGTGCCCCGGACGATGGGCAGCTGCGGCATGATACCCTCAATGACGAGGAGATGCGCGCCGTCCTTGAGCCCGGCCACCTGGTTCTTCAACATCTTGATGGCATAGGCGTCGCCCCAGTCGTGGAAGATGTGGCGGAACAGGTAGACGTTGCCTCACGTTTTCTGCGGCTGGAAGAAGTCGTACGCCTCCCACTTGGTGCGTGCAGTGAGTTCTGGGTACGCTTCCGTCAGGGACTGCTGCCCCTTTTGGATCATGCCGGGATAGAGGTCTTGGATTGTTGGATGGATGCAGCACCCGTTTTCAGGGTAGCTACTGCTTTCGTCTAATAGAAAGAATAGAGTGGTTAAAAAACCACGGATCTGTACAAGGTAGCTATACTGCTTCCATAATCCTTTGTTATCTAGCTGACAGTTTCGTAAACCTAAGCGCTGCTTTCGTAACTGTAAAACATATATAAATAAAAGAAAATTTAATATATAATCAGTTATAATAACCATCTTAATGCGATTTTATTTAAATTTAATACGTTAAATATAGTATTAAAGATTTATCTTCCAAAACGACTATTATATTAACCTTTAAAGCCCTTATTATTTTAAATATTATAATATTAATACACTTTTTATTACAGCCCTTATCCATATTTATAACTATTAAAATTTCTATTATGACTCTTTACTAATTAACGGCGGGGGCATAGATGTGGGACAGCCCTAGATGTGGGACAGTTTTCACACCCAACATCACAATGTTCACTTACACATATCTCTACCGGCAATTGTGACGTTCTAATACGGTACAGGTATGTCCGAATGAGACAGAGCCCTGGAGCCCGTGGAACGTCAGGTATATCTACCACCATAGAATATTCAGTTGCCATCCTGAATATTCCACATCCTTTTGTGGGGAGCTTAGCCAATTGGTGTGGTGGTCAATTGCTATTCTGTGACATGTCATGGTCTGGTATAGGTAGCCCATGTGGTGAGTCCTAGAGCCCGGGCATGAGTACATGTACCACCATTGAATGTCAAGCTGCCACGCTTGATATTCGACATCCTTTTGGGAGGAACAGCCGTGGCATGGTGGTTATGGTGAGCGTTCCGTCACAGCAATGAAGCCCTAGATATCGTAAATACTGCATTGAAATCGTCTTTTCTTGTTGTTTTCAGCAGTCCTGGTTTCATCAGGTTTACCAATGCGGGATGGGCCGCTGTGGGGGTCGGAAGTTAGCACTCCCGGCCCTCATCTGAGGGGTAATGGGACCCGTGCCCCCTATCCCCTTCACTGTAGCAGAAGTTCTGCTGTTCTTTTTTTTCTTTTTTTTCTATCAGTATCATAGGCTTCAGTACGTTGAAATGCCTCCTTCGTACACTCCAGAAGACCTCGCAGAGGCAATTGCTGCTGTGAACGATGGCATATCCCTCCGCAAGGCGCATCAGCGCTGGGGAGTACCGAAATCAACTCTCGCGCCAAAGGTAGACGGCACCACGATGCGCCCAACGCTAACTAGCCGTGAGGGGGCTCTTAGGAGCCAAAAGTTAAGCCTTGCGCAAGAAACTCGGGTTATATCATGGATCCTCTATCAAGAGAAGGCTGGCCACGCGCCAACTCACAGCAATGTGAGGTACATCATCCGGAAGATCCTACAGTCTGAGGGCAGGGCAGATCATTTAGGGGGCAAATACATGCGAAATTTCATCCGCAGGCACCCAGAGATAAAGACCAAGATGGGCAGAAAGCTGGACTACAAGCGTATCAACGCCGCCACGCCCGAGAACATCAATGGCTTCCATGATCTCTATAAGGAGTTTGCCTTCATCAAACCCGCAAACCGGACAAATATCGATAAGTACGACATTATGCAGGGCTGGCAGTACGTAAGCGCCCAATCTAAGTGCTTTTCGGACGGCTGACCGGGCCGATAATAGGTCTGATGGCTTTGTAATAGGTAGTTCTGGCTCAAAAGGGGCCAACGTCAAGTCTAACGACGACCGCACGTGGACTACAGTGATCGAATCGATCACCGCCACTGGAAAGAAGCTCCGGCCGCTCGTTATTTTTAAGGCGAAGTCGATACAGACTCAGTGGTTTAAAGAGCAGCTCATTATTGAGCATCCCGCAATGGCAGAGTAGATAGTGACGTACTCCATTAACAGCTGGTCCTCAAACGAGATCGTGTTGGAGTGGCTTGAAAAGGCGAGTAAATAACGAGTACTACTCGTTAACTACGTGCTAATAAGCCTCAGATGTATCTCCCTGATACAGCTTCTGAAGATCCCGATGATTCTCGCCTCCTAAAATTAGATGGCCATGGCAGCCACTGCTCGGATGAGTTTATATATCTTTGCTACATTAACAACGTATATATGTGCTTTTTTCCAGCTTACACGGTAAGTTAGATGATCAGTTAGTAGTTATTTTACTAATAGGGATAGTCTCATATCTTCCAGCCGCTGGATTTGACAGTATTCTCTGTTATTAAAGCCGCCTACCGCCGCTGATCAATCAGCTTGGCCAGCTCAACGATTCGGCCCCTATTGGCAAGATTAAGTTCCTCAGTTGCCTAGCGAAAGCTCGCAATGAAGCTACGCCGGCTATTGTGCGTTTGGGGTGGCGTACTGCTGGGCTTTGGCCTGTAAATCGACGAAAAACGTTGACGAACGAGCATGTGGTGAAGGCGGCGGAGATCTAAGCAGCAGCAGCTGCTATAATGGACCCCGAGACCACCCACGAGGCCCTAGAAGCCCCTAAATCAGGGCAGGACATAGCCCTGATGCTATCACCAGTTGCTAAGACCCCTGAGCAGCGAGCAGCAGTACGCTTGGTTGCAAAGTCGTACGATGAGATGGTGGTTGAGCTAGCCCTCGCAAAGGAGCTGCTGGAGGCAAAAGACGCCAAAATGGAGCGTCTACAGCTAAAAAAGCGCCGTAAGGCACCTCAAGAAGAGCCTAATTAACGGCTATGGAGAGTTGGGGACGTTGTTCAGGAGCAGATCGAGCAAACGGAGGCTGTGCGAGTCTTGATCGAGCAGCGGGCTGAGAGACGACGATTTGTGGCCGAATTACGGAACCTGCACATGAATGAATCAGAGAGACCATTCTCTGATGACTCTCTCTCGCCTGAATCATCAGATTCAGAAGAATTTGAGCCCTTACAGGGTGTTGAGGATAAAGGGGTTATTGTTGATGAAGGGGACGAAAGCGAGGATGAGGAGGTTGAGGAGCCCATTGTGATTCGATCTTCGTGCTGCGCAATCCGCCAGCCTGTACGGTACCGCGACAAAAATTAGTATTGCTGAAAACTCAAAGAAAAGGCGATTCTTTTGCTGTTTTTACATTATCTAGAGCCTCAATCCAGATGGAGTTATGTATGGGTGCAAGTGTGGTCTTTTGGTGTGAAAACTGTCCCACATCTAGGGCTGTCCCACATCTATACCCCCGCCGTTAACCACTATATTAATAGTTATATTCATAAGCTATACGCCTCGGATAAAACTTTTTAAAAAATCACGAAAATTAATAACTTTTAAACTACGAAATGTTACGAACCAACAAACAGTGCAGCCTGATAGCAGGCCCGGAAGGGACGATTAGAAACAGGTTGACCAGTAAGTGGGGTGCTGATCAGTGGAGAGATCGGAGCAACGGTACACAGATCACGTGACCAGCAGAACCTGGGTCACGTGTCTAAGAATTTGGATCACTGGATCACCATGGTGATCCAGGGTGAGCCACCTAATCAGTGAGGGAGAGATTGGATATATAAGGACAGACATTTCCCAACCAGATAGATAGACAGTCTCTACCTCAGTGATCAATCTAAGCATCTTAGCCAACCCTAAGGTGGGAGAAATCTCCTGACAACTCAACTACGCAGTGAACCCAGTTCAGACCAAGGCCCAGCATCTGAGTGTCTTCTAGTTGACAGAAGCCTCTATCGTCCTTTGTGTTAACTTACCTCAGAACATGAACCCTATAGAACACTTTAGCCTTATAGGTTAGACGGCTCGTCACATTATATTTATAAATACCGGTATTTATTTCGCCGGTAAAAATAAAAGCGCATTATTTACAATAATTCTTTATTGTAAAAACGGGCTTTTCTTCTTTATATAAAACTACCAAAAGCCTAAAAAACATTAAGAAATTTTTCAAAGATTTACGGTTAATTATTTTATGTTTAAAAAGCTCTTTTAACTTTAATTAACAGCTATAATATTATTAAAAAAGCTCTTAATAAATCTAAATAACTAGTTGTTCGTTAAAAGTCTAAAAAACGAACCTTTTTAAATAGCTTATAATCTTTTAAGTTTTATTTAATTTAAATAGAGACTCTATAGCCTTCGTTTTTGCTAGTTGATATAATCTTTGAAACAGTTTTTTTTTCCATATAAGTAAATAAAAAGTTCAAGGTTTATTTAAATAAATGCAAAATAATATGTAAACGTATGTTTTTATACGTACAGTGGGGTGTCAAAGAAACCGCACACCCCACTCAACTGATATAGTGACCACAATTGACCACCCTACTTCGCGATGTCACAACTATCGCAATTCTGTGTGGCTTCCTTAGTAAATTAAGGATTATATACATAAAGATATAGTTTATTATTTGAAATCTGTTAATACTTAATATGCCTTCCCTTCTCTTTGAAAATCGTCGCGATCCGCTTTGGCATCGAATCTATCAGCCTATCAATTATGGCAATTTTAACCTTTTTTATACCCTCTTTACGGCATCTATTAAATAATCCATTGAGTCAGCGTTAACCAACAGCTCTCTATGCTCAGTGTTATCTTTGCAGATTTTCTCTTTGAGCCACGCCCAGAGATTTTTGATAGGGTTGAGATCAGGAGAGTAAGGTCACGAAGCGTAAATATGGAGTGGACGTAACAGTCCTGCTTTCACTACGTACGTGTAAGAATATCTCGGTGGGGAGGGGAAGAAGGATCTGACCCGCAAGCTAATTCTGGTAGGATTAAAGATCCTTCAACCCGCCCCACAATTACCCAATCTAGTACAGCTGTGGCAACACGTCCTGTGCGCCAGGTCACCTGATGCAGCGCACTGACCACATCGATGGGCTGACAGACGTACAGGAGGTCAGACCGTCACAAGTAAGGAGGCCACTCCTTCAGCAACTTTGAGGTATGAATAGGTGCATTATCCTGCATGAACGTCACACCTGATTCCATAACTTTAGGGAGCTCTTCCTGGAGGATTTCTTTGTAAACTTGAGCTGTCATGCTGCCGCATTTGGGCTTGGGATCCCCTGAACAGATGGCCAACTCGCTCCTCACGTCATGACAAATACCACCCCAAAATATATATAAATGACACGATCTCCTGTCACAGGGCTGTACGTACTTATTTGTTATTGAAGAGGAGCCTGGTTTGAAGGAAATTGGTTAGTTATTGTGCTCATAATCGCGCTCCGCGTGAAGGAAGACGGAAAAGGAGTTCTTAAGGGCTCTGAACCTTTAGGCTTGAACACCCACCCCTTGCGCTGGCCTTGCCCACGCTTCATAATCGACTCGTCTGTGAATAAAACACTCCTCTAGAAAGAACTCGGCTTGTCGTCAAGCTCTATAGCCCATTTCAATCGTTTATTTGCGTGATCTTGGGTCAGAAATGAGCGTGTTGCGGCTTCGTGGTGTCCGATGCCTTTCCGGATCATATGGCAACCAATAGTTTGTGGTGACTCCTTCAGATTGAGTTTTTGTTTGAATCCAAGGAGATAAATGAACAGATTGGCCTTAACTTCACGTAACGACGCCCTTTCCTCAATCCAAGATAGGGATTGTAGTCGTCCACAGCCGTCAAGAGACACGCCGTAGTCCTGAGCGGTGAAGCGCTTCTTGATGCCGTGACACGTCGCTGCATCCACTCCCTCAGCAAGTTCCACCTACTTGGACGTATGGCCTCTAATTAGCCTCCCATAAATCCGATTGCGCTGACAAGGTGTTGTGTGAACTCTTGATTTTTTTGGAGTTATTTTGAGTACTCGAGGTATGATTGAAGTTGTGTTATCAGTCGAGGGATAAAGGTAAAAACGAAAAGCAACCCAGGGAATTGGCTGGGGTGTGCGGTATTTATGCCGACCTCTTATAAAAAAACAAATTAATCTTATAAAAATACTTAATTTAATCTTCACAAATAAAATAAAAGCTTTCTTATATATAACTATTTTAAAAAACTATTTGTCAAGTAAAACATTACACACTACCGCATATTTATATAATACAACTATTTATTAAAGACTACACCTTATAATTCCGTATACAATATTTCACAGTAATAAAGCTAATATTATTAATATTATTAATAACAAATCCGTCATATATTATAATATTTTATGAATTACACCTAGACTTCTTAACCCCTTTAATAGAACCGTAATAATTAGTTATAAAAAACTTAAATAACCGTTGTTTGAAGTTTGAAAATATTAAAATCCTTGGAAATAATATTTTTAAAATAAAAATCTAATAAAAATAAAATTTTTAAAACAGACTTAAGAGCAAAATAAGTCTTACCGGTTACAAATTAAGTTTTAATTCATATATTTATTGGAATTTGTTTTTAAAAAACTAAACTAATTTGAAAATGAATTTTAATAGTAATAAAAGGCTAAAAAACAACTAAGCGGACGATATGCAGCCATTATTTTAGAAAATTTGATAATATTTAATATACTTGCCCTTAAAATTCAAAACGCCCGGAATAAAAACGTTTATTAATTAAAAGCGGGTTTTTATACAGTGCTTATATACCGTATTAATTAATATACTTGTACTTATATTTATTTGAATATTACGATTTCTTATCACATTTTTGATAAAATTATATTTTGTACGTAAAAGAAAGGCTTATTTTTATCATTCAATTTTTTTAGTTAATATAAATTAAATATAAGTGTTGGATCCATGCGATTCCAGCCTGCAAACCATCTATACCAGGACCCACATGTATGATTAGATAAGTGATTAGATACCGGATTGCGAGGTCACTTAGCCAGACCTTCAGGTCCAGCTAGACCTCTCAATCCAACCATCAGCAACATCATGACCTTGACCCCATACTCGAGTATTATAATTGATCGTTCAAGCCTGTTCCAACAATAAGGTTTTTTTTAAATAAGGTTTTTTTAACTATTATACTGTAATGTTTTTTATTTAACTCTTTAATCGTTTAAGTACGTTTCATTACTATTATTAAAGTTATTATTAATCGGAATATTTTCCACTTTTTTTGTTTAACTTTCAGTAATCTCATTTTAAAAAAGTTACGTTTATTTAATCCGACTTATTTTGGTTAAAGTTTATATAGTAAAAAAAGGTTTTTTCTTTTATGCTTTTTAAAAAAAATCCTTTTAACATATTTTAATTTTATATTTGTTGGATCCATGTGATTCCACAGTCAAACCGTCCATACAGAACCCACATGTATGATTAGATAAGAGATTAGATACCAGATTGTGAGGTCACTTAGCTAGACCTTCAGGTCCCGCTAGACTTCCCAATTCAACCATCAGTAACATCATGACCTTGACCTCATACTCGAGTATTGTGACGGCCTGCACAGACCTTCCCACATGAAAAATGGATACTTCCTAATAGGGGAAGGATCTGACCAGAGGATCCCCTTAAAGGGGCAACCTCCCACTGTACCTATCTCTCTCTCTCTTCCTTTCCTCTCTAGTCTTGATATTCTCGTTAATAGAGTAATAGCTGCTTGCTGCCGGCCATGTCCCAGCTCCTCAGTACGCTCGCCGTGACAAGTATTATGATTGATCGTTCAAGCCTCTTCCCACAATATGTAAGTTTTAAATATTATACATAAAACAAATGGTAATTCTTCATGGTTATTCTTATATGATTAGGTGTTTTAAATAGATTCGGTTGTTTCTCATAATATATTAGGTTTATATAATTCTATCTTATTGTAAAATAACACATTTTAAAAACTTTTACTTAATTTTAATTAATAATTATAAATTAATTGTCACGATGCCTGCGGCGGTGTGTTGCAATCTGGGATTGATTACGAAAATAACAAGGTGAGGAAGGAAAAGGAAGCTGTCACAGCGAGCGTACTGAGGTGCTGGGACATGGCCGGCAGCAAGCAGCTATTACTCTATTGACGAGAATATCAAGACTAGAGAGGAAAGGAAGAGAGAGAGTGATAGGTACAGCGGGAGGTTGCCCCTTTAAGGGGATCCTCTGGTCAGATCCTTCCCTTATTGGGAAGTATCGTCTTGTCATGTGGGAAGGTCCGTGCAGGCCGTCACAAGATTTCTTTTTATTAAATTATTTTCGTTTTAATTTTTTTAATATTATTTAGTAATTACATTTAAATAAATCAGATTTAATAGTTTTTTTTCTCGGATAAAGTTTTCAAAATATTTTACAACAATAACCCTTTCTTGATTAATAAGCGTTTATTCTTCTACGGGATGTCGAATCGGACCAGCACACCTAGGTTGTTGGAGTCGGTGGCCTGGGATATGTTACGTGTTAGCACATGACCAACGAAGAATTTCAAATAATGGCCTTACAGCCCACGCCATCTGCATGATCTGCTCCTCGGGACCCTGAGAGAGCTGGACAAGATCCATGGCTGCGCTCGAGACCTCCGACCGAGCCCGCCGGACGGCCGAGTCCTCTCGGGCATAGGGGTCATGGCTGCTCTCGTCGAGAGAGGGGTCGGCAATGTTGTTGCCCTTGAGCAGTTCCGAGAGTTTCGCCGCCTTCTCTGCGACGAGAGCCGCAGTCGATGTTAGCGACACCGCCGCACCAGAAGATTCGCTGGCCATGATGAGGCAAGGTTAAAGCAATGTCAAGCGTCAAAAACACTATATGGTGGGATCATGGGATGGATGCTAGCCGAAGGTGTGATCTCAGTTGACAACTTGGCGAACGACGAGGATTAGGAGATTAGGAGCTGGGATGCAACTTATGCCCAGCACACGGCGAAGAGCAAGAGATGACCTCATGGGGTGCTCGAAACAGAGCCCTGAAGTACTTCCCTATACAGCCTGGTTAAGGGGTGACTTCAGAACCCGCAACGACTAGTACCATCATCTACGCTCGCCGGCGTTTCAACGGGTTTCGCTGAAGGCGTTGACCTGATCAACCTCAGACCTGATCTCAATAACCAATCGGAAACAAACATACTTCCCCATACAGCCTACTAGGTAAGGGGTGTATGTCACGCTGGGGAGGCTGCATTAGCTCGGACGGGGTTGAGAAGCGAAGTCCGTTCCCTCCCAAAGGGCAAGTCGCGAAACCCGTCCTGAAGGCTGACAGGCTTTCCTTCTTGAGGCGTGTCGGAATTGGAACATTTCGACTGATTCGCACTGATCCCTCTGCCCCCGTATACAAGTTGAAGATTGAAGACCCTGGGCCGCGCCTGCACGAATTACGGGGTACCCAACCAGTCCTTCTCGTGCATACTCTAGCACTCCCGCACACACACATTCCACTGCTCGACCCTTCGCGAGGGTCCTTTAGTATCATCACCACATTCGATTTAGCAGTCACCCTCCATGCTCGCTAGAACTGCGAGGCTTGGCAACATGACGAACTTCAAGATCTCCGTCACCTCCGACACCATCTGCCCATGGTGCTTCGTCGGCCGCAAGCAGCTCCTCGCAGCCAAGGAGCTGTACGCCGAGAAGCACCCGAACTCGGGGGATGTCTTCACCGTCGACTACCTGCCCTACATGCTGCTGCCCGACTGGCCGCGAGGACCTGGCGGTGCGCGGGACAAGCATGAAGCCTACGTCGCTCGGTTCGGCGCGCCGCTCGTCAAGCAGATGCACCAGCGCCTCCGCAACATCGGCCGCGAGCTGAACATTGACTTCAAGTTCGGCAGGCGCACGGGCAACACGCACGACTCGCAACGCCTGGTTCGGCTGGCCAAGAGCTACGGCTCCGACGTCGAGGGCAAGATCATTGACGAGCTGTTCTCGTCGTACTTCGAGAAGGAGGGCGACATCACCGATCTGGAGAACTTCCGCGGAATCGCTGCCAAGGCGGGCATTCCCGACGCGCGCTTCCAGCAGGCTATCGTGGACAGCGATGAGGGGGGCAAGGAGGTCGACTACGAGATGGCGCAGGAGCAGCGGAGAGGCATCATGGGCGTGCCTAAGATCGTCCTGCAGGATAAATACCACTTTGACGGCTCACTAGATCCTGAAACATTTGTGAGTGTGTTAGAGAAGGTAAAGGCGGCGGAGTAGGGTAACCTATGAATGACAGCAAAGTTGCCCCCAAGGCTACTTTCATGTAATGATGTATAAACACGATGTGGATGTTACAGGTGCTGTCTATCTCGCTCGTTCCGGTATCTGTCCGGAGTCCGGACTGGCTAGACTGGTCGAGAGCGTCTTCTGCACTGGGTGAAGGGGGCAGACCTCGCCTGTGTCTGGTCGATGTCCACACCATGGTTCGATGATCAGCTTGCTTTTCTCAATGCTGTAAGATGCATAGATCGTCCCCCTGCTAACGAACAAGGCAGACTTGAGCTTGGCGGAAGTCGACGGTGCCCCGCCTTTTCAAGCACGAGTCTCTGCCAGATGATTCCATCGGCTTCAGTCCCGAAGGTCGAAATGTGCGTTGGCAAACATTGAAGAAGACCTTTCCACTACCACGCAGAGAGTCTTGGTCCGCCTGCATTTCATATACTCATTTGATGTCATTGGGTCTTGAAGCTATCCAGACAGACTGAGACTCAATGGTAAGGTTGCTTTAGCGCTCGAACTAGAGCCATTGCGCAATCCGTATTGACCGAGACGATCAGCTTCACGTGACGGACTGGGTTGCCCTCGGCGCGACCGTGTTACAGAGTAAGTTCCTTAGCCGGAGGAGGGGAAGGCCCTGAGCTGGTTACAGGAAACCAGCAACCATGGCAGCTGGTCAAGGGTCTTCCGGTGTTAACTACACGAGAAATGGCCTCACGTGGAGCGATGCTGTCCGAATGAACGAAATTCAGGTCGTCGGGACGCATAACAACTACCACCTGGAGTCGCCTCCCGAGGCAAAGGAAGTGCAGGCCGAGTTGCTCGACGATGTCATCAATTACTACTATTCACACGCCGCGCTCGACGTCCAGGCATCCTACCAATCGGTGCGCAGCTTTGAGCTGGACATATTTGCCGATCCCGAAGGCGGCAGATATGCCCAGCCACTGGTGGTCACAAGGTCCAAGACTGAACTGCCACTGCAGGAAGTGATGAACCGGCCAGACACCAAAGTGCTCCACGTCGCGGATGCTGATGTCTGGACGACCTGCCACACGCTGATGGAGGGCCTGACAGTCGTCAAGAAGTGGTCGCAAGCGCATCCCCGGCACGTGCCCATCCCGATCATGCTCGAATTCAAGACGGCCGAGACGGGCAGCGGCGGCGGCACCGAGCCGCTACCCTGGAACGACACGGCGCTCCTCGACGGCCTCGACGCCGAGATCCGCTCGGTGTTCTCGCCGTCGGAGCTCATCACGGCCGATGACCTGAAGCGCGACAACCTCACGCTCGAGGAGTCGGTCCTGCAACACGGCTGGCCGGACCTGGACTCGGCACGCGGCCGCGTCTTCTTCCTCATGGACAACAGCCCCGGACCGATCCGCGACGCGTACACGGCCGGGCGGCCCAACCTCGAGGGCCGCGTCGTCTTCACCAACTCGGAGCCCGGCAACGCCGACTGCGCGTTCCAGAAACTTAACGACCCGCGCGGCGAGGCCAACCTGGCGAATATCCGCGCCCAGGTCCGGGCGGGCTATTATATGCGCACGCGCGCCGACGAGCCGCTGACGACGGTCTTGGGGAACGACACCACCTCCATGCGGGAGTCGGCTTTCGCGAGCGGGGCGCAGATCGTCAGCACTGATTTTCCCAGCTATGGGCCGAGCAGTCGATGGCATGTGGACTACGCGGTCAGATTGAAGGGTGGCAGGGCGGCGCGGTGCAATCCAGTCACTAGGAGGTCTAATTGTGATGGTCAAGCGTTGGAGCCGGAGGAGTATGTGCGCAATTGATACCAACCGGGTTCTTGAAACCGTATCGCTTCATAGAGCACCAGAAAGCAACCAAGGTATGGGTGAAGGCATCGCCTACCAAGGTTTACGAGCAGGCGTGGATCCAACGCGCGTCGCGATGCCATGGCCCATGGCGAAAGCTATTGCTCTACCTCGACGCCAAATCTTGGTCCCATCGCTGTTGATTTAGGAAGGATTGCTTCTCGAAATACTTTTCGGGTATTTTCAGCAATATTCATAACTCCAAGCAGTGGTGCGTGCTGCACATGCTTGTAGGGCGGAATGTAGGGCGAACTCATCTGATGGTCGCTGAATGTGGGGCAGGAAGCGCGCTGTATCTTGGTTCTTGATCTCCGATTCTCCATCCGACAACCAGTCCAGTGTGTTTGTGCAAAGTGGCCGGAGATTGGACTCTGTCGCAACAATATACAAGCAGACGGAAGGAATCCGACCGCACGGGGGCGGTCCGGGGATGTGCCCGCCACGTGAGATGCCCGGCATTGAACGGATGGATTGTGTTGATTCGCGTGACGCTGGTCCGGCAACCGACATGCTCTTCCCGCCTCGCTCTCGTTTGTGACGCAGGTTTGTGAGGCAAGTTTGTGATTGAAGGCAGGTTTGGTGTGCAAGGGCCGCTGGCCGGTGACCCGAAGCGGTGAGCGTCTGGTGGCCCATTCACCCTCCCTTCTTCTCTAGTGCTTGGCTGCAGTGCCAAGCGCCAAACGGAAAACATCCTCATCATCGCCATCATCGTCAGGGCCCGTTTGCCAAAACCAGATGCTCGGTCACGGATACGGTTGAGCCAAGCTGAGGAGAGTTTAAAGTCAGACGACCCCAGCTGACTGTGTGTGCGCTTCAAGCTGTGCTATCTCACACATTCAGGGTCACCATGTGGTCGTCATTGGGATACATGTGCTTGCCCATTCTGGCGCTTCCATATGTCTCGAACCGCGCCTTCGGATATGCACAGTCACCTCTAGTTTATCCCACCCGTAAGTTATCATCGTCGGCGAACTTGGAAAGCCGACAGATCAATGGCTGACGGTCATGGCAATAGCGCCAGGCAATGGAGCAGGCCGATGGGCCGATGCCTACGCCAGTGCGAAGGAGCTTGTTGGTTCAATGACGCTGGAGGAGAAGGTCAACATCACGCGCGGCTTCACTGTCACAGACAACACATGCGCGGGCAATACGGGAACCGTGCCGAGACTTGGATGGCCCGGCTTGTGTCTCCACGATGCCGGCAATGGAGTACGCGCCACGGACCTGGTGAACTCGTATCCGTCAGCCATCCACGTCGGGGCCAGCTGGGATAGAAACATGACGTACCAGAGGGGACTCTATATGGGTAAAGAGTTCAAGACAAAAGGAGGTAAGACTGGCCGTTGCAGCATCCACACCGATTCTCGAAGCCTGAACTCATGCCCCCGTAGTCAACGTTCTACTTGGACCGAACGCCGGCCCACTGGGCCGAACTCCTCTTGGAGGCCGGAATGTAAGTCACAGGAACCTTGGAGCCATCGCCGGTGTGACTGGGTCAAAGCCGCAACTGACGTGGGGCACCACAGTGGGAAGGTTTCTCCGTCGACCCGTACCTATCAGGTCAGCTCAACGCGGAGACCATTATTGGACACCAGGATGCTGGCGTTATCGCGAATAGCAAGGTGAATTCGGACAAGCTCATGGTTCGAAGGTGAGAATCGCTAATCTCAACGCTTCAGCATTTCATCGCGAATGAACAAGAGACCTTCAGACGGCCATACTTCGGGGTTGAGGCAGTATCGTCCAACATCGACGACAAGACCCTCCATGAGTTCTACTTGTGGCCTTTCATGGACAGCGTGAGAGCTGGTGTAGCCTCGGTCATGTGTTCCTACAACCGCATCAACAGCACTTACGCCTGCATGAACAGCAAGCTCATGAACGGTATTCTCAAGACCGACTTGGCTTTTGACGGCTTCGTCCTTCTGGACTGGAATGCCCAGCACACCCTCAACAGTGCAAACGCTGGCCTGGACATGGTCATGCCATCGGGCGGTTCCTTTGGTGCTAACCTGACAGAAGCGGTCCAAAACGGCACTGTCAGTGGAGACAGGGTTACAGACATGGCCACTCGGTTTGTGCTCCCTCGCCCCTTACAGCATGGCCCTAACGGTATGTTTCAGGATCGTTGCCGCGTGGTACCTCGTAGGCCAGGATGGTGACAAGTTTCCAACACCGGGTATCGGGATGAAAAACATGACCCTACCGCACGAGCAAGTCGACGCTCGAGATCCGAACTCGAGACCAGTCATCATGGAAGGGGCAATAGCTGGGCATGTCCTGGTCAAGAATTCCGGGTCTCTGCCATTCCAGAAGAACCCGACAATGTTGTCTGTCTTTGGCTATGATGCGACCGTCCCCGCCACCAAGAACACCGACAATATGTTCCAGCTTGGCTATACCTCGTCGCCTGAAATGGGCCAGGCCGTGTTGGGTACCGAGGAACACTTCGACCAGGCCGCGAAGGGAGGCACCATCGTAACGGGCGGAAGGGCTGCTGCCAATGCCCCTCCGTATATGAGCGATGTAAGGCAACCTGCTATCAGTATGCTTGCACAGTTATGCTGATAACGACATAGCCATTGAGCGCAATTCAAAACCGAGCACGTGCTGATGGAACTTGGGTAAACTGGGACCTCAGCTCGTTCAATCCCGATGTCAATGCTGCGTCGGATGCCTGCCTCGTCTTCATCAACGCCATCGCAACGGAAGGCTGGGACCGAGATGGGCTTCACGACAACGCCAGCGACGCTCTGGTCCTGAACGTGGCCTCGAAGTGCGCGAACACCATCGTCGTCATCCACGCTGCCGGCATCCGCCTTGTTGACCAGTGGATTGAGCATCCCAACGTCACCGCGACCATCATTGCTCATCTCCCAGGGCAGGACAGTGGCGAGGCTTTGGTCAAGCTGCTCTATGGCGAAGCCGTATTCTCCGGCAAGCTGCCGTACACGCTGGCCAAGAACGAAAGCGACTACTCGGTGTATGCTCCGTGCAACCGCGCTCCGAACGACACGGACCCGCAGTGTGATTTTACCGAGGGCGTGTACATCGACTACCGCAGTTTCGACGCGAAGAACATCACGCCTCGATACGAATTCGGATACGGGCTGAGCTACACCACATTCGCGCACTCTTCGCTCTCAGTCAGCCCCTCCACCCTCCCCGCAAGCGCCAAACAATACCTTTCCAGTAGCGACGACCGTCTATGGGAGGTTGTCGCGGCAGTCGAAGCCGAGATCACCAACACCGGCTCTGTCGCCGGCGCGGAAGTAGCTCAGCTCTTCCTCGGCATACCGAACAGTCCCCCGCAGCAACTACGTGGCTTCGAGAAGGTGCTTCTGTCTCCCGGCGAGTCCGCAACCGTGCGCTTCGACCTCACGAGGCGCGACTTCAGTGTATGGGATGTTGTCGCTCAGGGTTGGACCGTCCAGGATGGTGGTTACGATGTTCGGGTTGGGGCGAGTAGCAGGGACATCAGACTGAAGGGCAACATCGAGGCTTAGGATGCTTCTGTGTGTCTGAATGCGCATGGTCCTGCAGACCAGATCCCGATGGTATTCTAGAAGGGTACGTTGGCTTCGTGCCTGCCACGCCGTGATGGGCGGGATGATGATGATGCAGTGCCGGCTTGAGTAGAGATATAGCAGTCTTGCCAGCCATTTAGTGAAATTGGGTGGCCTTGAATCCGTTAGCAACCTTGTACCAGGATATGGTGATGAACTTGTGGTTTACAGCCATCCTTCATATGGCTCCATCATTTATGCTTCTGTCAACTCTTAAACAGTGATGCTACATTCGTAGTAATGGAATAAGCGCTAGCAACGTTTCGTGGTAGCAACATCTTTCGCAGCAGCAATCAACGACAACATCTTGTAATAACAACATCTCGTGACAATAGCATCTCTTATAAAAGCAGCATGTTTCTTAAAAGTACAATGTGTTCCTAGCTACATACCTAGATTACAAAGAATTATAAAGTGGGCTATTGTATAAGTCGAATACTCTGAAAATAACAATTTTCTCACTTAATCACTTGATATAGGTGGCTGTCCGCAGGCGTTTTCCTGGAAAAATCAGCAAGTATTTGTTTTCATCTGCGAGCCACACCCCCCTTCCTACCAAACTTTTTCCCCATTTACGGTACCCCAGGCAACCTCGTTTCTACCAACCTGCACCAGGATTTCGTTCCTCGCTAGTGACATACCTTCAAACAATCTGTAGGCCTTTCCGTTACCGCGGAATCAGATCTTCTGGTCTCATCACTCGTTAACACCTCAGTCACCTCCCACAAGAACTTCCAGCACAATTCAACCGAGTATCAGTGCCAATCTCGTCACCATCTGTTTTCCTTCTCACATCATACCGACATCAACCAGATCGGCTTTTCACACCTCGATATCCAAGTCGTGGGACCGAACGCAGGGCATTCTACCAGATGAAGACTGGCTTCTATTTACTGACTAAAGCCACCCACAGAGTTCACCATGGTCTACGATTCATCGATCGCGCAGCGTCAGATGATGCAGGGCATTCAAAACCCCAAAGCGATACAGGAGGAGCTACGCCCATACTACGATGGAACCCTCTTCGGGAGACGCGGTCCTGCTCACCTGTTGGCAAACGACCCTGCGGTCGAGGAGCTCTGCGTCATGTGCAACCAGAACGGCGATATCCAATGCGAGTGTTGCAAGGCCACATACTGCTCGACCAACTGCCGAGACACCGACTGGCCGCTTCATGACCTCATATGCAAGCAGCTAGCTACCACCTGCGCGAATTCCAAGCGTCCCGAGGGCCACATCCGATACTTTCTTTTCCCGACCAAGGGTAAAAAGCCGAAGTTGGTGTGGATCAAGAACGACGATGATATTGCAGAGACCGCCGTGCTGCGGGCCGATACAGATTTCACCCCTCGAGGCGCCTTCTGCGACATGATCAACGTGAACGCAAGCATGCCGCGGCGCCGCATCGGTAAAGTCTTGATTTGCAAGATGTTGGATCGCATCAAGCGTTCCGGCACGAACCTACCGATCAACGAGTCCATGATTCGTCTATCTTCCCTGGGACAGGCACGTGTCGAGCACGGCCCAGTCCTCGTGAAGGCCTACGTCTACTCCCGACTCAGCCCCCTTGACCCCCGGCGCAGCGACAGAGAAGACAGAGACGTGACCGCTCGCGACTTCCGTACAGTGGTCGACTTTTTCCGCACCATGAAGGCGAATCCCTGCGTGGTCGACATCGAGCGTTTTCCACGAACGCATTACAACTGTGACATCTGGCCCGCGGTCAAACTCAACTGCCGAGAAGACTCCGTCAGATTCCGTCCCTTCGCGGAACTCGTGGACCAAACAGAGGATTCCGCAAGCCTAATCATCGAGAGGGTTCGCGTACCTTCGGTGTCGCTCTTCAGCCCTCGGCGACCGGTGCTCCGCGCAAAGCATCTCAGCCTCAATTGGATCTACGAGCTGTGCTCGACCAATGTGGATATCCAGCCAGCATCGGGGGTAATCCAGAATGACATCTTCGCAGCTGCCATCAGCCCGGTAATGGACTCTGTACCCGCCCCTTCCAACCCTGGTTCCTTCATGATCATACACGAACGCGTTGTCGCGCTCGACTGCCTCCATGTCTTTAGGCTTGCAAGATTCCTTGCCTACAACGACCGCACTCTCCACATTCCAGTTTCTACCCTCACCAGGGCGGACTTCGAGCGATTTTGGAACACCCGCGAAATTACTGTTCCATCCGGCGTACCTTCCCCATACTCGCTCGAGGACGGACACTGAGTAGCCAAGAAGGGGCAGGGAGGTCTAGGGTGATGAGCAGACTCTCTGAAAAGGCAGTGCTGCACCTCTCAATGAATTCTGGGTGCGAAGTTCAGGGAACCATTCCTACTAGGCAGAAGGAATAAGGCGGACAATGACAGGTCTAGATGGGACGGCTACATACGAACTGCACAGGTCTCTCCCCGCAATTTCGAGATACCGAATCATGTTGTCCGGAATAGGAAAGCTGGAATAAGCCAGCTGGAATAAACAAGTCTAACTCAACAGGCTGCTGACGACGTTTATTCCGGCGTGCTTATGCCAGGCTCAGGAATGTCTCCTAACGACCACGAACCTCACCAATGGTATGCGAAGACCTCTAAGGGCTGAGTACAGAGAGGTCGTCTTCTATAAAATATCTCCACAAACCTTCCTCCATCTTGCTCGTGTAATGTGAACCGGAATAGCTGTACACTGAATCCCCATAAGTCTCCGCACACCACCCATCCAGCAAACAACGATATATTCGTCGAATTAAAATAAGCACACCAAAATAAGCATTGGAAGTGGTCTATTACACCAGAGCTGCTTATTACTGTTTGCTTATTCCAGTTTTCCTAAAATTTCACGTGTGATCTGGAACCCTCCTAACATGGCGTGCGCGGAGACTTACGAGGGCTGCGTATAGCTACGCCCAACCACATCCCTGATACTCACAATCCATGAGCTGTATTCCACGTCCGCCCATCAATCCATGCCAGTGTCTAAGATGAAGGGGACGATCAAGTGGCTAGCTGATCTCCCGAGACCAAACACATTTATACTCCTCGACAGCTCTACAGCCAGGTAGCGATGGAGGCAGGCTTTGGATCACCCCTGTTGCCAAAGTTCTCTTCTACTAGTACATTTTGAACCCGATTTTAATCACCGAAGACATCGTCGTTTTCATACCATGGTCACTCTAGCCTGCATGGCTCTGGGATCAGCACGGCTTGAATATGGGTATCTTTAGGAGCTACTTGTTGTACGCTTCTACCCTGGCCTAGCCACTGGTGCTCATGCTGGTGTGCTTTGATGTCCAGAGTTCAGCAACCAATCGGCAATCCTACCGGATGGGCGCTTCCTGGGGATGTAGAAATGCAAGGTGGCTAAGCGGTCATAGCCACATTGCCTAGGAATGTACACTCCACATGTAAAGATGATAAGCAGGCCCAAAACCAACGTTTGTCTACCCTGAACATGGTAACTTAAGTACCTTACCTAGAACAATCGTGCTGCCCACATAGGTAGGTCACAGCTCCCGCCCCGACCTCGTGACGGCGAATCTCGACTAGCCGTGCGAGCGAGAACTTGCGCAGCTCTCAATATCTCATTGCGCAGTCAAATCCGATCCGCGGCATGTCGCTTGTCATCCTCCCAGTCGAACATGCGGATGTGAAGCAATGTATCGCCCTGCGCATCGCCAGTTTAGGCTCCCTCGTCATCGGCCGCTCACCGCCGTACCCAGGCTACACCGAAGAGGCAGAGGCTTCCCTTCATCATGATCTCGACACCAAGCCGCCGTATGTGCGGCACCTGAAGGTAGTAGATACGGAGAGTCGCGGAGAGGTGGTGGCGTACGCGAAGTGGGAGGTCTACGAGCACGGCCGGCCAGATGCTGACCAGCTGCTGGCTCCGAGATCAGAGCCCGTCAAGCAGGTGGACCGCTTCGGGCCCCTGAGGCGGGCGGCGGACGCGTATTTCAGTCGGCGGAACGGCGAGATGGGAAGACGGCCGCATATTCGTGAGTCTACGCTGTCTTGATGCCCCCGAATAGGCTCCGTACTGCTGGGAGTATACAACCCATAGTCAGACATTTTTGAGGTATTGCGTGTCCTTATGTCTGACACCCTTGCAGTCTTAGTGCTTCTCGTCACGGCCACTCAGCATAGACGGCGTGGCGCCGGGAGTCTCCTGGTCCGATGGGGCACTGATCTGTCGGATGCTACAGGCCTTCCCTGCTATCTTCAAGCTTCTGAACAGGGACGGCGGTTGTATAGTCACCACGGATTTCAAGACATCGATACGGTTGAATTCGATCTTTCTCGGTATGGCTTGGAGGGAGTCGAGAGAATGACCGAAATGATTAGGGCACCATCCCCTGGATTGGGGGAAAAGGCTGAGGGGGTGCAGCGCGTTGCTGCATGATCACAGGTGAGAGACTCGGTATGGGATAGGCTATGTTGAGAGAAACGGCAGTGGCAATCACCTTGAAACACATGTCTGTTTCGCGTTGATCTCCATTTTCATGACCAGCCCAGTGAGTATATACATCAGCATTGTCCATTGCACGTCCGCTCCACAACACATACCCAGCCACCCTGAGCTACCCTTGCCTTGCCGGATCAAGAACGATCTTGTTATCCGCGATCTCATCAATCTCGCCCATGATCTCTGGTGTCAGCTTGTCGAGGATCTCCAGACACTCGACGTTCTCGACGATCTGCTCGGGGCGGCTTGCTCCGGTGATAACACTCGTCACATTTGGATTCTTCAAGCACCACGCAAGCGCCAATTGGCTCTGCGTGGCGCCCAGCTTCTCGGCGACGGTCTTGAGCTTCTTGCTCTTCGCAATCTTTTCTTTCCACTGCAGATGATCCATATCAGCTACGACATTCGAAGAATAGACCAAGCTGGACACGAGTCGTTCGCACCATCACGCGAACGAGGACAGTCTTGGACCCATGCACGCCGCTTATGCCATAGGAAGGACAAGGATGTACACTACTCACCGAATCGTCTCCGTATGTTTTCCGCATACCCTCGCCGAAACCATCCTTGCTCTCCGAGATACGAGAGCCCTCCGGCGGAGCGTCAGGCGAATCGTTGTACTTCCCACTCAGAAGGCCGAAAAACTGAGGGCTAAAAGTCGTGAGGCCAATACCGTAGCGCGGGTACAAGCGCTGGAAGTCGCCCTCGACCTTGTTCCGCATCAGAATGTTGTAGAAAGGCTGCTCGACGACGGGCGCAATCATCCGCAGGTCCTTCGCGATGCCAATGGCCTCGGCGATCTCGTCGGCGCTCCACTCGGACGTTCCCCAGTACATGGCCATGCCGTTATCGATCACGTAGTTGAAGGCGCGGACGGTCTCCTCCATCGGCGTGAGGCGGTCGGGCCGGTGCGCGTAGACGATGTCGACGTATTTCAGGTCTAAGCGCTGGAGCGAGGCCTCCAGGCCCTCGATGATGTGCTTGCGGCTGAGCCCGTGGTTGTTCACCAGGATCTCCCCGTTGACGGCTCCCCAGTTGATCTGGTGTTTTTAATCATCGTTAGCAAACGCTCTTGAGGCCCCCATTCTAGGCCGGCGTGCCATCGCATACCTTGGTGCTAATGACAAGGTCACTCCGCTTCCAACCGAACTTCTTGATGGCCTGCCCCATCACAATCTCAGACTTCCCCGCCGTGTAGCTTGCGATCATTGTCAGCCCCAGAGCCGAACCGTGTCTGGCCATCTGATGTGCTCTCACTTTTCTGCCGTGTCAAAGAAGTTTATGCCGAGATCGTAAGCTTGCTTCATGCACTTGAAGGTCTTCTCTAAGCTCGTGGTCAGCCCGCGGCCAGAGGTGAAGGACCACAGCTCTTACCATCCTCGACATGGCCGCCGAACCTAACATCAGCGCGTCAGCAAGAAAACACAATCAACACAATGTGAGAGCAGCCTACGTCAGCCATCCTCCGAGGCCAATTGCTGAAATGTGAAGGCCCGAGTTTCCAAGTCTCCGATAGACCATGCCGGTCTTTCTAGGTTCTTCCCACGCCATGGTTTCAGATATCCCTCTCGAACTATTGCTCTGCTATTCGGAGTAACAAGAAGAAGAGTTCGGATATCATGCAAGAGCTCTCCAAATGTGCCCCTCACCTACCCCCTCACCACTGCTGACCAGGTGTTCGGATGGACATCTGCCGAAACAGCCTCGGCCGCGGTCGAGTGGGGATGTTGGGATGTGGTCGAGCACGACATCGAGAGCGGAGTCCGGGTCGCCCAATCATGACAATGTTGAGAAATGGAATCGGCCTTTTCAGAGGTGGGCAAGCCGATATGTCGGCATTGCCCGTACAGCTGAGCGAAAATAACCACGAGTTACCCCTGCGTTCGCATGACGTTAGTATGGGGAGGTGGGTAGGGAAAGGAGTCGCAGTGGTTCACAATCGTCCGGCAAGTACCAGAGCGGGCTATTCTTCTGACCGTGAGGTTCTGGCCACATTCAATATATTGCTATACTAGCCTTGTCCGTGACTACCACACGAATTCTATGACAGGATTCTATGCCCTGTGACTTGAAGACTTGTTCTTGGAGGCCTGAAGGAGGTCGCGGCTTCAAGGCGGCAGATGCAGCATGCGTCCCTGGCAAACACCCGGGATATCAATAACGCAAATTCGGCCCAGGCGGCTCATTCACCTAGTGCTTCCCTCCGACTCTTGCTGTCCACATCCAAGTAAGGCGCCTCGCCTAAGCTTGCCACCCGATCACCAGCTCTCGCTCCCGAATAGTCATACGTAGCGCAGTGCAGTGTCGACCTATTGTCCCATATAGCGCAGTCGTTCTTCTTCCACTTGAAGCGCACCTGTGCATCGTGGTTCTGCGTGACGAGGTTGAATATGTAAGCCAGCAACATGTCGGACTCGTCTTTGGAGACGCCGTTGATTCTCTTGGTGAACCCCTTGTTCACGTAGACCGACTTCCAGCCCGTGACCGGGTTGGTTCTGATGACGGGGTGGACCGTCTTCAGATCCGTGCCTTGATTGAGGGGCGAGCCCCGGATGGCTTTCCGCAGAGGATTTCCGAGTCTCTCGGCTTCGCCATGGAAGAAGTTGGCGTCGTGTGTAGCCGTCAGGCCTTCGAGGAACCTTTTCATCGGGTCTGACAGGCGGTCATATATCTCGTAACCCGATGCCCAGAGCTGAGGAACGTTAGTCTCCCCTCATATGAGAGATCACTTCGATTCTTCGAGATAGGCTTACCGTGTCGCCTCCTGTCTTCGGCAATGTGTGGATCTTCAGCATGGCATAGTCCGAAGGCACCTTCTCAAAGGTGATATCGCTATGCCATCCCGTGCTAGCAAAGCGACTCACATCGGACAGCTGGTGTGTCAAACCACCGCCCTTCTTTTGCTTCTCGCTCGAGATAACACTGATTTGATCCCCGAGCTCGCTACCTTCTTCGGTCAACGGATGCACGTGCAAGCCCGACGTTGTTGGGCATCCCGCAAGGGTTGACAGGCGAATGATGAAGTCCTTCATCTCTGTTGGTGTCACATCCTGGTCGCGGAGGAAGACAACTCCTCGTTGTGAGACTACACCCGGATCAGTTTATGGGACATGCGCGTCATAACCATGGAGACTCACCGGTCGCGGCCAGATCTTTGACTGCCTGGTCTTTCCATTGCAACAGGTCACGGATCTGGAGACCATAAAACTCCGTTCCTATCACGGGTGTGATATCATTCTGCTCGAAGTTGCCCAAGCTTCCAGAATTCACAAGGGGCTTGTCGATGGTAGGTCGCGAGTCAGGATGCCCGCCGACAATGTTGAAGCCAACAACGGCGTGTGTCGTGGCGGACGGCATGGTGTTGTCACGCGCGGCTCAAAAGGGAAAGGAAGCAGGGGTGCGATCACGACATACAACGAAGATCTGACACCACCGATAACTAGAAATGACAACTAACGGAAGGACTCTGCTTTGGGCTAGGCTTTCGCATATCAGCCTTTCGAATTTCTCCAAGTGCCAGGGCTGGGAATCTCTGACTCTATTTAATGCAATGGACCGAAGACGCAATCGGGATCCATAATGGTGTCGATGATGTGCTTCAGGGACAGTCGGCTTTCCACGTCGCCCTCCGCTCCCCTTAACTCGCTATACCCCGCCAATGGACAGCGGAGAATACGCCCAATGGAGACGCGACACGGTCCAGAGCCGGCTGCTCACCCTTTCCATGTGGGCCGCCTGGTCTGCACATGCATCGAGACAAGACGTCCAATCTCAGTCCAGGTCAACCTGTCCTGGCGTGCCTAGGGTGCGCGTATGCAGTAGGCATGTCGACGGGCCCGGGGACCAGGCCCGACGTGAAGACCGGTTACAGTCGCGTTAAGCCTCCGGAGCCCGGGGACGATATATCTTCCCGACTCCTGCCACACCGTTGCTCCAGCTGCTTCACCTGCATAGTCGATAATACTTATTCTAGAGGCGCAGATTGACGTCAGGAGGGTAGCAGCCATGGTTGACACTGAAATATCGAAGACTCGCGAAGCAGATATACAGATCGATGTTGGAAAAGATTCGGCGGTAGTTGGACGGGAGAACCTTGTGAGTGCTTCAACTCTCTCCTTCCCTCTCCTCTGTCTTCCGACTTCCGAACCAACTCAACCACCCACCCCGACTGTTACCGCACATTTCCACGCGGACGCCGGGGTGTTCGTGTCTTTCTGCCGGTACCGACCATCACGACTGACTCTCCCCAAAGCATCATGCCATCGCCCCCCACGAGTCGTACGAGGGAGGTCATCGCTGGGACCCGGAAGCGACGTGGACTCCCGAGGAGGAAAGGAGAGTCGTCCGAAAGACGGACCTCTATCTCCTGATATGGCTCTGCGTCATGGTACGATGGCTTTAACTCACAGCGCAGTGTTCTGACTGACGAGCCCGTCAGTTCTTCGGACTGCAACTAGATCGCGGCAATCTGTCGAACGCATTGGCAGATTCTCTGCTCGATGACCTTGGCATGACGACTGATGACTACAACAATGTGCGCGATGGGACTACTCCTCCGTACACTTCCGTCTTGAATGTATGCTAATATTGGGACTTAGGGAACGACGATCCAGCTGGTATGCTTCCTTGCCGCGGAGTTTCCGGTGCAGATGGCTACCAAGCGTTTTGGTTTCAAATATGTACTCCCCTTCCTCATGACGGCTTGGAGCATGGTCTGTGAGTGGATCTAAACTTGAGAACAGTCGCGGCATGCTTTAGCGGTAGGCTGACTCTTCATAGCTTGGGCGCAGGCTTTCATGACTACCCGGACCACCTTCTACCTCACACGCGCCCTCATAGGCCTCTTTGAGGGCGGCTTCATCCCGGGTGTCATCCTGATGGCAACGTACTATGTGAGTTAATACTTAGGGAACCAGGCTGATGGGATGGTGATTTGAAACTTGCGAGGAAGGAGTTGGCTGACAATATGACCTACCAGTACACCAGCAAGGAGCTTTCTGTGCGCTTGGCAGCATTCTGGTCGACACTCAACATCGCCAGTAAGTCATAGACCCCCGAACATTCCAAGCAAGTGCCCTCTGACATGACCACTAGGGGTGATCTCGGCTTTACTGGCAGCTGGTATCCTCGAGATGAGGGGCACCCAGGGGAAGCCTGGTTGGTTCTGGCTCTTCATCCTGGAAGGACTACTCACTCTGGTCATCGGCATCGTGTCTTTCCTCTACCTGCCGAGGTCTCCCACTGCCACCAAGTCGGTTCTATGTCCAAGGCCATGGTATACCGAGCGAGAAGAGGTCATCATGACCAACCGCATCCTCCGCGACGATCCAGCCAAGGGGCTTACGGCACTCAAGGAACCAGTCAGGTGAGTTCTCCGATGAGAAACAGTACAATGTCCGGCAAGTACTAACTCCCGATTCAAGATGGAGCGATATCAAGGATGCGTGGTCCGATAAGTCCATGTGGGGTCTCTATTTCGTCGGTCTTGTGGTAAGTAGGAGTCCAGTATAGTCATTGTGGCTCACCGCACGACCGAGAAATCCTCGTCTCGGATTGCGACTACGCGCTCTGGAGTCAGGGGTAATACTGACTCGTTCTACCAGGCCTATATCCCAGCCACCCCCGTGCAAGCGTACCTGTCCTTGACACTCAAGCATTTCGGCTTCTCGACCCTCGCCAGCAACATGCTCACCGCGCCTTCGGCCGGGCTGCAGATCATCACCATGCTAGCGCTCGCCTACAGCAGCGAGTACTTCAACGAACGCGCCTGGCACTGCTTCTTCGGAGAGTTCTGGCTGCTGCCCCTGTTCACAGCGCTCCTGACCATCCCCGACGGCGGGCGCGACTGGGACCGCTTTACCCTGATCACTTTAGTATCCGGATACCCGTACTTCCACCCGATCGTGTCCTCCTGGCTCTCGGAGAACTCGTTTGACGTCAAGAAGCGCGCCATCACCGCTGCGACGTATAATGTCATCGTGCAAGTCGGGTCGCTCGTCGGCAGTCAGATCTACCGGTCTTGGGATTCGCCGTACTACAAGAGCGGGAACAAGGTGTGCATCTCGCTTGTGGCGCTCAGCTTGGTGACGTTCGTAGGGCAGAAGTATTGGTTGAAGCACCTGAACAGGAAGAAGGAGAGCGTGTGGAACGCGATGACTGCAGAGGAGAAGCTGGTCTACCAGAGCGACAGCCTCGCTCGAGAGGTTGATGGGAACAAGCGTCTCGACTTTCGCTTCCAGTATTGAGGCGAGGCGCCCCATAGCATCGCCTTCGCAATCGATGTAAAGAGCGCAGTATCTACCTCGTGTCGCATAACGAAGCAATTGGTATATGCTTTGCGCTATGGCATTGCCTACTCAGTACCTCGTATCAAAGATAGTCGTCTGAATTGTTGGTTTCAAAGTTCGGAAGCGTGATTCACAGGTTGGACGACCCATGCACAATGCATTGGTTGAACCCCTTTGTTCGTCCCCCAAAGCGACCGACCGAGTCTTTGTCTTCGACCAACTGGATGATTCACAGCGAACAAAGGACATGCGCGCCATCCTTTATTTAGGTATCGGCAAACACCCGCAATGTGTCACTGTCTCGTGGTTTCAAACTTTCAATGCGTTCGTGCATGATTTCAACACCTTAAATCCTCCAGCGGCCTCGCAGCCGTGGTCGCAATGCTGCTCAGAGTGCCACCACAGAACACACGATCAACACACAATTTCGATTCCAATTCCAATTTCGATTCACCACATGTTACTCCTATCAGTATCAGACTAGAATCCCAACAACGCCCATAAATGGCGCCTATTCCATTCATCGCCGAGCTGGCATCTTGGTTCCAAGCCCTAGCCCTCGACCCCACCTTGTCACAGCCAGACACAACCGGCAACCTCCTCTTGCATCGCAGCTCGATCCTCGAGCGCGAGACGGCACCGAACTGGGTCAGTTGGCCGCCGGATGATGGAAGCATCGCGTTTTGGGTCGGCATCTTCGTCGCTGCCCCGTTACTGTTCGTCCTTGCAACATGGGTGGTATGGCATTGCTTGTATGGGACGAAGCCCAAGTAGGGGAGTCGAGAACGGCCGAGAGCGCAGATATGCGCAAAAGACACGGTGGACGCTGTAGATGGTGGTCTTAAGATGGCAATCCCCCGAGTCTGCCACTCCGGTGGAATTGCAATCTTTGGGGTCCTCTAGGGCTTGGAAGTTCCATCCACCTGGAAGGCCTCGAGGTCGCATGTCTCGAGCATTTGTGTGGGCGAAGCACATTGCGATGGCTGATGTGGAGGTCTGTATACAGAAGGATGCTAACGAGGGCATAATATGTCAAATAAGAGGGCGGTCAACTACCTACTACGATGATTGTAGATATCTCGAAGGCTGACAGAATCGCATATCGGTCACCGTAGCATCAAATGCATATCTTAATAGCGGCTGCAACTCCTTTTCACGGTTCACATGTAAGCACCTTGACACATGCATGCATTCATGTTTGATGATATGAATTCGACTTGAGTATAAGAAGTAGGCATGCAGCACGTTATAGTCATTTGAGAAAAGGGGAGTGACTCGGTGAGGATCGGTGCGACGGGGTGTATGTACTAGGTACCTAGGTAGCTAGAAAAGCTCGGACCAGTGGAGGTGAGCGGACATTCCCGTCACGTTCACCTACCTAGGTAAGGTAGTCTGACGTCACCCTCATCGTCGTCACTGCCCTGCCATACCTGCCCTGCCACCTGCCACCTGCCGGCCAATGCACTGCAGATGTACCTAACGGACTTGGTTGTTTACTGCTTCCTCAATACATGCCTCCCACATGGGGTAGAGGCTTGACACTCATTACCGTACCTACCAACTACCTAATATACTTACATACAGACCCCAGTCTTCCAAAAGCAGTGGACCAGGGCGATCACCCATCCTTCAGAAGTTCGGACAATCCATGGCTGTACAGGCCCAGGGTGCACCATTTAGGTAACCATGACAGCCGCCACTCTGAATGCCCCGCAGCTGCAGGCCTTGCTCGACATCTTGCTCCATCACGAGACATATGCAGAGGTACAAAGCTTCAAGGAAGCCGACGCCATTGATCACTATGGATTTCCCTTTGTCGACAAGGCTACGAAAGAGAAATCATCGTCGCCCTTGCTCCAGCTGCTCCTTACTCGCACGGTCTTGTCAATACCTGGAATCAAGGATGTGTCCCCTGAATTCTGGAATGTCAAGTTCAAGGGGATCATGCGGAGATTCGGGGAAGCAGAGTTGTCAGACAGCTACGACAAGGGGACCTTGGGCAGCAGAAAAAGGCTGGCCACCGCCGCATCAGTTGTCCACGAGGCCGTCACGAGGGGTCTTCTCAGTGGCGTGTCGAATGACCGACAGTCAGATCTCCAGCACCACTACGATACCAAGAAAGCCGAAGACCTTACCAGGGCTTGGCAGGATTCGGTTCGGCAGCTGGTCTATGGCAATCTGATTGACGAGTTATTCGACCAGTTTACGAAATCAGAAGACTTTGAGGGCCATTCGCCAGCAATCAAAGCAGCTGTGGAATACGTCATTTTCTACCTCGCGGCATTCCTTCACTCAGTATTCGTACTATCAGCCGAGGGCCCTTATCTCCTAAAGCTTCTGGACAATGTCCACAAGCTAATCCCGTACACGATGATAGGCCAAACGCTTCGAGTCGGCAACGCAGGAACAATGATCAACGGCTTGGTCAGGCTCTTTCTGGCCAAGGTCAGTGTTGGGTCTATTACGAACTGGATCGGGTTGACATCGAATGCTTCCGACGGCATGAATCTGATGCAGAGGTGTGTGTGATCCTGTGCAGATGAACCAGTCTCTAATCGAATCCAGAATCATTTCGATGGTCCTTGGATGGGATGCAAGCGAATTCCGCAAGGCCGCGGACAATATCAAGCACGGCAAGGATGGAGTCAGCGATGAACATCTTGCAGCGATTGACCAACATCTACAAGCACCTCGCAAACAGCATGAAGCGGTCCGCCAAAGGAGTATGCAGGAGAACAAATCCATCATTGTTGCCATCCTCGAATCTCAGGGGCAGGACGGGGCCGAGAACCTGACCGACGTCCAGCACACCCTGTGCCTGGAATACTATTCGGCTCAACTGGCAATACGGGATAGAGAGAAGATCATCGAGGTCTTGTGTACCCAGACGCCGGACCTCACGACATCAATAGTTCGTGACGGCGTGGCTGTATACGAGCCTATGATCAGGACGATTCACAAACATGTGGACCTCCGAAAACACGTGGGCGCCTTCGAAAGCTTTTTGACCGACCTGATAAAAACGAGCAAGCCAAAGCCCGACAATGGCCAAGATCAGAATACCATGTCTCCGCCGTCCGTCGAAGATCTCGTAAGACTATTCCAGAGAAACCGTCATCTGGCCTACGCGTATCTGCATGATTTCGCGACTGGCTGCCCTGACCTACGCGACACCTGGAAGGCATGGGCCAAGGAAGCAGTGAAAGTTTTTCGACGAAAATCGGAAGCGGGTGGGGACGAGAAAGATGAGGCTACGAACAAAGCTGCAGCGATGGATAGCGAAAAGGCAAGCACTGGTGCTGGAGACATGGATCCGGAACTGCAGAAGATGTTCAGAGGCCTGCCGGAAGATCGGCGGAAGAGTGTCCAGGACACACTCGACGCACACTTCGCATACCTCTCTGCCATTGAGGGCGTCTCGAGGGAGCGAATCCAACGCATAATCAGCAGCACCAGCAATGAGACGAAACCGACTGGGGGCGGCATGACTGGGCCGGGGATATACGCATCGCGGTGGCAGTCTCTGCTAGACGAGACTATGATTACTCCAGGGAAGCCACACGGTCCGCCTAGACGGGGTGAGGACGTCAAGTCCCAGAAGGCGCTGGGCAAAACAGAGGCTGTGGCGAATTCAGACACATGGGATCCGGATGCTGTTGCGCAGCATGAAGAGAAGGGGCGACTTACGGCACCGGATCCGTCTATGGTGATCGACGCCTTTGCGGCCCAGTTCAAGGCCCTGATCGCTGACTTATCCAGCAGCGAACTGCCTCAGAGTTAAGAATGGGGAGGTGCATGTGTAACTCCAGTATCATCAGAATTGTATAACTATGGCATTGCATATCCAGGCTAAAGGGATGCATTGCTTTCGTGAGTGTTGTACCGTTCTAGCCCGAAAGCCATAAAACCCGTTGACAAACTACAACCACGATCATAACTGTAAACCGACCCAGTCTAAGGCCCTTCCACTCCCCGCGTGAATCGAGGAGTCGAGATGGGGTCGATCTACCGGACTCCGTTAGTACTGCCGTGACGACCTCCACCTGTCGGATCGGGAGAGGAGACATACTAGATGCCGCCGAGCCCGCCAGTCAAATCCCCAAGAATCCCGGCCAGCCCACCTAGACCTAGACCTAGACCGCCTTTGCCGGCGCCCAAAGAGTCGCTCGTGGCAGGGGGGGCGGCGGGGCGAGCCCGCCCACGTCGGGCAACTATCGTGTCGCGATGGGCAGGGCGGCGGCCGAGGTGGCGAGGACGGAGATTAGGGTCGTGGTGGTGAAATGCATTTTGGTGGTGGTGGCGGCGTTGGTGATTGCTTGTGATTGTGGATGGATGTATGTGGATGTAAGTGGATGCGCGTCGATAGATTTTCAGAGTTCCTGGTGAAGGGGTGCCTGGAGTGAACGGTAGATCTGGAATGGGACGATGCTCTGGATGTAAAACTTAACCTTTAGAGGCGGAATGGCGCAGCGTACGCAAAGGCTAAGGACGGGGGCGGGGGAGATGTCTATCTTGCCTCCGAAGCAGGTGTATCATCTTGCCTCCGAAGCAGGTGTATCGTGTCGCCTGTCTCTGCTCACCCCTTGCTATTCACGGGCGACATCTGATTGAGTCTCGGTGCAGATGACATGCCTCGGTGCTCCTGTGCGTGAGGTTCCAATAGTACGACGGGGCTTGGCATTCGAATTGCTGTATATAGATTATGGGAGGGCTGATCAGTCGCGGTTTGGGACTGGAACGTAGCACGAGCTTCTTCGGCCCCAAAAAAAAACCAATTTCTACAGGTCGTTCGTCGCTCGCTGTGCTACAATGGGCGAGGATATACGTCAATTCGTGAGTCAGCCGCGAGGCTATTGCTGATGCAATGGTCCTGATCAGTGTGCTGGCCGCAATCTCGTCCCCTTTCTGTCATCCTAGCAGGGTTTATCTCGTTCTCGTTCTCGAGGAGTCGATCACGAGATGTGCTAATCTACAACTCCATCTTCAGCTACCGCCAGCGGCTATGGGGGTGATTTGGTTCCTGCACTGGACGAAGCTGAAGAGGCAGCATCAAGACCGGCCATCCACTCGTGGTGATGATGGGTACCAGCTTGGCGACAATGGACGATCGAGTGATCAGCAAGATTCCAACGGCGACGCAAGCTCTTCCGGTCCCTTTTCATCTTGTTAGAAGGTACCCAGTCACGTGTGAGTAATGCCGTCCACATCCAGTTTTCATCCCTCTGGGCTCGGGGTGGTGCTGTGAAGTCGATCTAGACGTGTCAACGTGCTTATCTCATCATCTCAAAAAAGACCATCCCACGTTTTAGCTCAAGATGACTTATGCTATTGAAAGCACAACGCTTCGCTCCGTATGCGTCGCTTCGCGTTCGCGGGAGGGAGTCCTTCCATGCTTCGAACGACGTTCTTGAGACGGTACCAATACATCTGCCGTCATGTCTGGACGACAGCTCGAACTGCCGAGCCAGGGATTTGGCTGGAGCTGGCGCCTCGTTGAACCAGAGCAACACTTCGGAGGAGAGTCAGGCGGCGGGGGTCCTCTCAGCGAAATAGCACGATCTCCCGTCGTGAAAAGACTCAAATGTGAGGGCTAGAAGTTGTCAACAGTGTGCGTGTGTAGGGTCTGTCTGTATGAGGTTGCTCCGAAGGTTGGGCTATTAATAGAAGGACGAGCAGCAGGTGCACTGCCCCATAGCACTCCAGCGCCGCCCCCGAGAGGCCCCAACTCGTTGATTCGTCTGACAACAACGCCGCAGGCCTGCATTGTAGATCTCTCGATCCTTCAAGTGAATGGAAACGCTGTGTTATCATTTATGTAGGCAGAGCCCATCGCTGACGGCTCTGCGACTTCCCGCCATCGATCTCTGTGCTTCCTTCATCGGGAAACGAACACGATCGGACGCCGAGGCGCACGTTCGACATACCTGAACTCCTAACAGCATTTCGCTATAGCACAGTATTTGGGGAAGACGCGATCATGCTCTTCCTGATTTCAATCGTTACACTGGTCGCGACGGTCGCCAGTCTGCCCACGGCGAGGGCTCTCTCCGGGGGTGAGACTGACTGCGACGACGTCCACAAGTATACCACAGAGTGGTTCCTTCGAAATACCAAACGCGAATACCGCGGGGTGCTATTCCAGTCCAATGCCCTCTTCTATTCGAAAGGCATGTCCAGCGCGGCTCGAGCACTCGCCAAGAACCAAGGGAAGGTGACCATCTGGGACGTGTGGCTTGTTACCTGTGCAACTATGACAACGCATCGTCAAATCGCATGCGCTGCATCCACAACTCGGCCGAGCAGCGACAGCGGTTCTTCATAAACATGTCTTTGGCGTTCGCACAGAAAGCCCACGAAGGTGCGACAGTACTGCACAGCTATCGGGACTATCTCCAGCCACCGTCCGACGGCATCTGGGCCACAGTCGAGTTCCCCGAGCTTACAAAAGAGGACGGAAAGGTGGATTGGTTGAAGAAGATACGCATGCACTGGGAATGGCCTGCGAATCCGTGGAAGACACGCCCGCGCGCTACGCAGCAGACACAGATGTCTTCGGTCGAGAAGCAGTGGTTAGTGTCTCATTGTGCGATGGAGTGGTTCCGATCACTGCGCATCCAGGACGAAATAACAGCTTGGTCGGAAGTATTCTGGAAGAGACTGGAGCCCGCTCGCAAGCAGCTGAGTCCGTCGGAGCTCAGAAGACGAGAGGACGAGGTTGGGGTAGAAGCTGATGGGTCAGATGACGAGGAAGGTACATTCTGTATGGGCAGAGAGACGCTCGCCTTCTTCGACGACGCTGTGGTGTGGTGATCCGCTGGTTGCGATACTTGCAAGTCAGTTTTGGACTCATGCGACCGAGCCAACCGAGCTCTGGGCTTGACTACATGTAACTCAAGTCACTTGACTAGAGCCCTGCCCAGAGGTGAATTGAGTGGGTGTACAATACCGTCGATGATTGATCGTATTCGCACCTTCCTGGAACAAGCAAGAACCAAGATGGAATGCTCCAACGTCAGGTCCTTCCATGACAAGCCCGACGAGATGGTGACAGCGAGCGCATATCTCAGTTCCAGCAGGTGTCAATAGGCTTTCAGCCTGATGGAAGCAACGTTGAGTGGCTGTCGAGCCTGACGGGCAATGGAAGGGCATATGAGTCGCGCCATTCATGCTCCCAGGTCATTGCAGCAATTTCAAGAGTATCTGATAAGACAAAATGTCTCAAAGGGGGTTATGCAATTAATCAGGATGTTTGTTGGGTGGAAATGCAGAAAGCGGGGGTACTGGTGGAGGTGGCTCCTCAACCCATTTTCTAGCCACAATGACGGATGGGTCACGGATCAGGGTACAAGGTACCTTGGAGCCCAACTGGTACCCGTTTGTACCTGATTTGTACCCAACTGGGATGATAGCTACTTCCAGGATGGGAGCACCACCCATCCTTCCTTTCAATCAAGCAACTTCTAGAATACAGACCAATAGCCACCCATCGTGACCCTGGTCCTTATTCTGGATACCGCTACCACAAGACACATATGTACCACGACAAGATCAGACACCAGTAACATCAATATACCTGTTTGGCCGATTGCATTGGATCAGTACCTGCATGAGTGATTGTAATCTGTGGCTGTGCTCGCGCGCCCCACTAGAGTTTCATCGCGCCAATTGTTAAGGGGAACCTGAATCTTGACCATCAAACAACCTCGTCAATCTCAAGATGACTCGTGAGAACAATGCCACCCGGCAGCGATGACAACAACGCGTTCCCTCCAGGCCAACTCTACAGAGGCGTACTCCCCGTTGTGCCGCCCGATGGAGCTCTGGAGAACCAACCAAGGAATAATGCCGCAACCGCCGCGTCAGCCGCAAGTGTTCGCGCCTTGACTGCGCAGGCCGTCGCCTTTTATTTTAGAGCACCCGTCAAGGCCTTCTTCCGGACTCGAGTCGACTACCTCGCATATGCAAGAAGTTTGCATCAGGCGCAAACTCAACTGATGACCAAGGCTGCCGCAAATGACCCGACAGTCTCGAGACTTGGCCTCACTCTCAAGCAGGCATGGAATTGGGCCCGAGGCACGACGCCCGGCCTTCTCACGTCGGTTATACAGCAACATGGATGGAGCGTTGTGCCACAACAAATTCTGCCGCCCTTGATCGCCAATGTCGGGGTCGGCGCTGTGCTGTACACCAGCTATCTGCAGATTCTTGGACAGTTGCACGAGGAGAGCTCGAAATCGACCAAGAGGGTGTACCCACCACCAGACCCTTTGCATACCTTCACTGCTGGCTTCCTCGCTGGCAGCTTCCAGAGCGTCCTGGCAGCTCCTCTCGACGCCATACAAGCAAGATACGACCATCGTGATCTCGTTACTGGACATGCCAGTGGCAAGCCGCGAAGCATGTGGTCCTTCTCGGCCGAAAAACTGAGAGAAATCGGCGTACGGGGAGTGTTCGCTGGATGGGGGCTGTCCTTTATGAAAGACAGTTTCGGGAACGCCATCTTCTTCTCGACATTCGAGTATGTCAAGGCGCAGAGCTACTACCAGTTCATCACCTGGTATTACGGTGGGCTCAATCGTGCCACGGTAAACGTACTGGCTCAGAAACGACCTTCAGTTCGCAACGACAATGATGCCCAAGACGAGGACAAACCGGTGGTCATTCGTCCACACTACGCCATCGAGCCTGCATTTTTACTACTAGCGGGGATTGGGGCTTCTTTTGCCCAGCAGATTTTACTTCACCCGCTGACGCATATTCAAGTAAAGCACTGGGAACACTTAGAGGATCTAGACGACAAGGCTGCGAGATTGAGAGCTGCCACCGCTGCCAATCCTGAAAAGCCTCGCCGGAGGTGGCGCATGCTTCGGGCGTACTATCGTGCCTATCAAGAGACCTGGGCCCACTGCGCTTCTGAAGCGGCGTCCGAGGGCAGCGGTGTTATGAGGTGGCTATATCGAGGGTTCTGGTGGAACACCATTCGACAGGTTCCCAGCACGAGTGCGGGCTTGATCATCTTCGAGCTCGTGCGACGAAAGTACGGAAGCGGTGCCGAACCTGTTCGCGTCGCCAAAGACAATTATGAAATTCTACTCAATTAGACCATCTAGACGGCTTTAGGGCGCATGAGATCGGGATCGCCACTCGAATAGACGAGATACCATCAGCAGGGCGCCGCGATAGAGATATTACAGGAACATAGTGTGTACAACGATGTAGAAAGACATGCAGACCCATTCCTGGTTTATACAACATGCACCAGATCATACAGCCAACAAGACGGTATCCCTCTTGACTGCGAGAAGCCGCCATGACAGTCACAATATGCCCATTGATTGATCAATTCCAAGTCGCTACCAAAGGCGTATGTTTGACATCACACTGCGTGAATTAGCCACGCTGGGAAACACAGTTGACTAGTAATATTCGTGCGACGAACTCACCTCTATTCCCAAACGTTTAAGCTAGGCTTACCTCATGCGTGGATGACTATTCTAATCAAATTGTTTGATTCTTCTGAAATGACCTAAGGCCGCACTCAGAGTCTCCACGGGGGTGGTTGGAGCCGGTCATTTCCAGGTACATGCAAAGCTTTCTCCATGCCAAAAGGCCCCTTGACAACTCGGATCTCAAAAACTCGAGAACTTTGACAAACACCTAGCCACTTAGTTGCTCCCAAGAGACACTCCGTCAGTCGCCCAACCGCCAACCTAGCGCTCCTTGTTGCCAGCACTGCGGATGAACGGCTCAAGCGGGAAAACAGAGCTCTCCGGCGTCACGCCCGCGTACAGCTGATCCCACCGCCACTTCAGCACCTCGGGCGTCTGCCACGCGTTCTCAGGGTCGCGGAGCCAGAACCTCAGCAGGTGACGCCTATCCAAAGTCAGTACTCCTGTCAACCACGACACATCGACTCGTGATTGCGGGGCTTACCGCTTCTCCGGCGTGTCCGTGAACCCGTCTCGCGCGTGGAAGATCGACAGGTTATTGATGTACTGGATATCGCCCTTCTGGAAGTCGGTGTTGACGCAGAACCGCTCGCCCAGGAAGTGCAGCGTGTCGAGGGCCTCGGCCTGCGCCTCGGTGATGGGCGGGATGTCCGGACTGCGCGGCAGGGCGCCGAAGCCGACGAAGTAGCGCCGCCCGTACTGCAGCTCTATGCGCTCTGGTGTCGACTCGGTGGCTGGGAAGTGGTACATCAACGGTCTTTCCGTGTACTGCTTGGCGGCCTTCTCAAAGCTGGGAGAGTCGCTTGGGTCAGTCTATAGGCGCAGGTTATGGCTCACGGGAGAGAGTGATGCTTACACTTCCATGTCCCAACTCTGCGACAACGTATTAATAAGGTCCGGCCGCGTAGCCGCGATCTCATTGTACACCCTCCACGTGCTAGCCAACTTACTCGCGCCGCCCGCCGCCGACGTCTCGAGGGCGAACAGGGACACGATGTCGCCCGAGTCCGTGTGGAAGACCTGCTTGTCAGTTGTGTAGGCCGGACTGCCGATGATTCCGTTGTCTGCCGACGAGCTGAGGTCCTTGATGTGGGCGAGGACGACGTCGGCCGGCTTGCCGTCGTACTTGTGGTCCTGGCGGCCACGCTGCGCTGCAATGTGCGCCGAGAGGCCCGTGTAGATGATGACGTTTTCCTCGCGCGAGTGCTCGTCCACCTTGAGCCCGCGGATCACGAAGAAGCCGTGCCCGCTGTGTAGTTCTGTCGACAAGCGGCGCAGCTCGGCGTGCAGAGTGGGCAGTGGGAATTGCTCCTGGGTTAGATTACCTAGTGTGAGTCCGAGACCTGGTGGCCGTGATCATCAGTCACTCGCTCATTCACAACGCAACGTCATATGGTCACCTTGAGCCTCACCCTTGAAATGCTCGACTGCATGGTCTATCTCGGCCAGTTGATTGGCACTCAAGACGTATGTCCAGTCGTAGGTCTCTGCTACGTTCGCTCCACCCCAGACCATGTCTCCGGTCAGCTGGGTTGGAAAGCCCTCCGGTAACTTCTTCGGCAGGTTCTCCTCCTTGAGCCGGCGCGCTGCCCGGGCCTGCCACTTGTTGTAGTCCGGCGCATATGATATGTCGGGCTGGCCAGGAGGCGCCGGGGCCATTGGCGTCACGAAAGTGACCGTGGCTGTTGTCGACATCACTTCTTTCGATGATAGGTCTCAATTTCATTCGCTTCTGGCTTCTCAAAGGGGCGCTATGTTTAGAAGAATCGGTGATTGTTCTCCATCCTGCTCTTTATGGCGACAGGAAGATAGGTAGTTATGGCCTGAGGTGAGGGGTGTGCAATGTGATCCCAAAATTGCGTTATCCCCGTCTATCCACTTACATCGCTCCTGGATGCCATTGCCCACTCGCACAGCAAGAGACTCTGTTGTATCTCAATCAGAGTATCGGGCAGTTCGGGGACACGCCGTGCTTCCGAAGTGAAGCAACCTCGCTTGGGCCAGGCTTTTTCCGGTGTTCATCAGGACATAGTCATCGCCCATCCCTAACAAACCAGGACGAATGTTGACAGGTGGAACGGAAGAAACTCAGACCGATTGTCCCAGTGTCTGAACGTCGACCGCCAAGCTCGTTTGACAAGACCATGCCAAGCTATACAATATAACCATCTAATGCTAGGGAGTATTGTGAGTCAACCCTAAAGAACTCTTCAACGCCAAGAAGCAGAAGCGCTCGGCGTGTAAGTAAGCCCTTTTCGTTTGCCCTTCCATGGAGAGTGACCATGGCTGTGTCACGCAGTTTGCCTCTCATCTTCGAATTAGTGACGTGGGACAGCATATACATATGCAATTTATAACTTATTTTCACATAGGGAAGGAGCATTTACCTCTTAGCTTCAATACTGCCAAGGACCCTCGGTATATCCTCAGACTAGAGGCTGTCGAAAGTGTCTTCATCATGTACCGCGTATCCGGCAAACCTTAGGTATCTGGCAGGACATTGGTTGAGACACGTTCACAGCCATTGTCAGTGGTACCAAGACGGACAAAGGAACCCGCGCTGCTGTCCGGACCGACACGTGACACGTGGCTCGGCTAACCTGCTCCAGGACGATTATTTGGAGGTACGTCTAAGGTAGGATTTTGTGCTTGAGGCTAGGCTGACCATGCAGTGCAGTATTTCTGGCTGGCAGAAACCCTCAAGTACTTCTACTTGCTCATCTGCCTATCTGATATCATCAGCCTTGACGATTATGTACTTAAAACTGAAGCCCATCCTTTCCTTAGGTCTAAATAATGTTGAACATGTAGGACCAGATCCTCCGCTGGCAGACAGGAGAGGTTATTATCTAGAAACACTGTAGAGTAAGTGGAAGTTCGGCTTGTTCCACTGGCAGCTTGCGGGCTGCTCATAAGTGAAGCGATCTGTTCCACACCGTTGCAGTGTAGCCAAAAAGGCACACAACAATTCCGCCCAGCTGTGCAGTCTCACAACCACCGCACTCAGGCATGCAGGAGAACCCAACTCAACATTCTCAAACACAAGCAAGACCTGAAGCGCCAGGTGCTATAGGCAGAACCTGAGCTTAGGAATGTTGACCAGCGCCTGGAACATTGAGAGAAACTGCGGTTTCTGGCGGTTAAGGCAGAACGTGTCGTCGGCGTTGACTAACGGCGGTATGCTCGTCCCTGCCGACCTTGCCAGGTCGCGAGCGCGATTATACCTACCAGCGGTGCGTCCTGCAAACCGATCAATGCAGACCAAATCAGAGGAAACGACATCGTTCTGTGGTGGACAGAGCAAAACTTAAGGCTACTACTGTACTTCCTGTACACCGATATGAAACGCGAGGCGGATGCAAGTAGGCCATATTTGCATCAGCGGGAACAAGAGCAGGAACCCCCTGCCACCTTCCTACAACATGAATTTACATGTAGCAAGGTCAACCTTCACTTGTTCTTTCCGTCAAACGCCGACACCGCAGGCACCAGCAGCCCACGTTGGAGCTGAGGATATCTTCTCTACACTGTTATCGACGCCATTCTTGTCTACTCCTTAGCTCCGGAGCGCGCCCTTCGTCCCCTGGGCCTGCGCCCATGGTAGAGACACCCTGACAGGAACTGAGCACTGCCGATGCAATACCGCTGGAAAAACGGAGGAGATTGGACACGGAGACAATCAAGAAGGAGTATGTCGCTTATAATCCGAAGCTACAGCGCATGTGGGAGTTGGGTAACCAACGAAGGCTAAAGGTATGCGACTGATCGTTGTTCACGTAGAAACAAAAAAATTCGATACATGTAATAAATAGTACTCAAACTTCTTGCGCTGGCGATGTGTTGGCGGTTATGGATGGACCGTCGCCTTTCCACACTTCTTCCACTCCGGAAGGCAAGCCGTGCAAAGGAAGAGGGAAATTCATTCACGCTCCCAGTTCACTGTCCATTTCCCCCCTCAGAGAGACATCGCCATTGAATGGAATAATTCAGCCATGAGGCAGGGACGAAGTAATGTACACTTTGGGGCCCACACGTAGAACGTACAATGTGGTACACGCAGATCAAGTTGATGGACAATGTTTGCTACAGTGGGTGGGTTTCCAGGAAACAGCTTGCTTGAGATATGGTTTGAAATAGGGGCAAGATCTTCCAATCGGGTAGTGGAACCTTCGTGGCGTAACTTGAAGAAGCCCGGGAGTAGGAAATGCCTGGCTTTCGGGATTATGGGTGGTTCGATTGGCGTTTTTCACAATACTGGGTTCGATTCTCGACTTCTCGCTTGGCTTTTCTGCATTGTTTCTACTATAAAATTTCTACCACAAGCCCGTGTCCAGCATATCGGGTGAGAGTGGCTCCGCCACCTACGAATTGGAAACTTACCTGTCTATTTGCAATACTACCCAACTCCCCTTTGCCACTGGTCTTCTTCGATCCTCTCCAGCAAGTCGCAGTCCTAGTAGCTTCTCGCCTGCCACCAGTGTTTCTTCGTAGAGCCTTGCACATTTACATATCGCAACGGGTACTTCTCTGGCTGGTCCCGGGCCAGTTCCTGAGCCTTGCCCTTCTGGTGCTGCAGGTGGGCAGTGAGAAGCTTCAAGTTATCCCTGTCAAGCAAACTTATATGGGTATTGCCCAACTTCTCGTCGTCCCAGCCGGGTCTGGCTTCGATATATTTCGTCACTTCCCGTCCGAACGGTGACTTCCGAACGCTACGTCGCGCGCTCATCATGTTCTGAAACTCCGCTAAGGTGTCGTACGGGTAGTCGTTCGTCACATGGTGCCGGAGATCTCGGCTGGTGGGGGATTGCCCCTCGACACTCCAGTTGGGACTCTTCATCGTCTCGGTCGAACAGGCGCTGTTGAGTGCTGCCTCGGCCGCCGACATCGGTTCTGGAATGTCCAGCCGTGTAAGGCGCTTCCTCATAAAAACATACCTGCCGTGAATACCCTGAAACTCACTGTGCTTGGGAGACTGATGATATTCCTTCTGATCAATCTTATCTTCGGTCTTCGGCAGGACCTTAGCTAGCCCGTTAACAGCGCAGGCGACAGGAATAGCGACAGCCGCGACAGGAATAGCGACAACCGCCGCAGCAATGATGGGAACCACAATTGACTTCTCCAGAGCCGACTTACCCAGATCGCGACCCTTCGCTAAGCCTTTGCGTGCAGCTTGTGCGATCGACTTTCGGCTACTCGTGGACCCCTTGCTGAACATCCTCGCGGACGGGCTCGGCGGGGGGAGCTGGCAAGTGTGCGGATTGAGCGGAACGCATGAAGTGATCGCCATCGCACGCGATAGTGTCGCATCGCATTGCGAGATTGACATGATTTTTGGAGAAGACGGAAGTTCTGGGTGTAATTACGAAATCGCAGATCACGTGCCACGGCCCGCCCTGTGCAGTCAGCCGCCCGGCTCCACGGCTATCGGTGTAGGTGATTGATGATGGTGTCATTCTAGAGTGGACTGGAGATCGGGACTTGATTGATCTCGATAGAAACGCAGCAAAGTGTTGGGTGAGGGTGTGTTAATATTTGCAAAGAGACATTTAGAGCATGTCTATGACGTGCATGTTCTTTACAGTAGCCAGGTATTGATACCTAGGTTCTTAATTGTGAGAAGATGACCGCCAAGATGATGGATGTCTTCAGTTCGTCTGGAGGGCGAGAGGGCTAGCTGTGTTGGGGGTACATGGCAGGCCCTCTTTTTAGAGGTGCATTACCCCAGACCCCCGGTACCTCTCTGCCCCACTCCTAGCTCCCCTGCCCTGACTGCCAGTGGACAACACAGTGTCCCTGACAGCCCTGTGAGATCGCCTGCGACGTCCGCCGTGCCGCTAGACCGCCTCCCTGCCCCGATAGCCGCAGCGGGGGTTTCGATGGCGATGGATGTCGGCTTTTGACGTTTTGACGGCCCTGGAGGTATGGCGATGTCGCAATCGTCACCCCAAAGCAGCTCAACACCAACAAGTCCAGCACACCGCGATACAGCGACACAGCGACACAGCGAATCCCTCCTTTCAGCTCTGACTCGACGGCCGGTCACCGAACAACAGCTGGCCAGCTAACCTTAGGTGCTATTTCGCCATTGAATCAATCTAAGGGGTCCAGCCAGAGAAAATCAAGCAAGGCGAAACTTCAAGCATCACAATCAAAATCACCCCATCCGCCAGTCAGAGACCGAGTCCCGACTACCTTTTCGGCCCCTTCAATCAGTCAACCTTACGTCTGCCATTGCGTGCGCGAGCCTCGTCAGACTGTACGAGCAAAGCGACAAACCGTACACCTGGATGGTCAACGTCTAGCACGCCATCGCACCCTGTTTCACCGTCACGCACATCCGCAAACGCAACACCGCTTTTTAGATGCTGCAATAATCTCCTTCATCAGCTCTCGGGCTTTGTCCTGCCATCGCCCACAGCCGGTCCATCTTCACCATCTCTACCGCCAACGTCGCCATGGAGAGCTACCAGCAATTGCCGCCTACGACACGGCATGATGGTCTAGCCTATCGTTCAAATGACGACCAGTCCGCGCATTCAAATCATCACCAGCACGCCATGATTGTCGCTCGGTCACGGCAACCCTCGTTCCCAGTCAAGGCAGCCGACGAATCAGGCGAGACATTATCAAGAGACAACTGCGACAGGAGAAGACCAGAGGAGAATGGGGATTCATCTCGATTGCCAAATGTTTCGCAGCAGTTCATGGGTCAGACAGTGACCCCTTTCCTCAGAGAACACATACCTGGACTGTACGCACCTATAGGAAAACCCGATCTCCCTTCTATGATCAGCCTCAAGAACAAGGATCCGAATAGCAAGTTCTGCTATAGGCACCGACCGGACTCTAAGTGTCGCAGGGCGGCCGACGAGTCCAAGATGGCCCTGATTCAAAGTGTACGTTATAGCACTCTGCTTCGGATTTTTGTTGCTTCATAATGCTGACATTGACCGCACAGGAACTTGAGAGCCTTCCCTGCGGCGACCGACAAGCCATCACTAACGTCTGGTCCTTGTTCTCCGCTGCCCCTACCAAACACCGAGAGCTCATGCTGCAAGGCATCATTACACAGTGCTGCTTCCCGCAGCTGTCGATAGTATCGCGAGAAGTACACGAGCAACTCAAAATCGACTTTTTGTCAACCTTACCGACCGAGCTGTCCTTGAAGATACTATGTTACCTCGACTGCTCCTCCCTTTGCAAGGCTGCACAGGTATCGCGCAGATGGAATACCCTGTCGGGGGACGACGTTGTTTGGCATCGGATGTGTGAACAGCACATTGGGCGAAAGTGCGAGAAGTGCCATTGGGGCCTCCCGAGACTGGAGAAGAAGCGTTTGAAGGAATGGAAGATTCAGCATCAAGCGGACCTCCAGAACAGCCGCAGGGCTATGGTCCCATCATTAGCCACATCGGTCAACGGCCATGGTTCTTTGGCCTCCAGCGCAGCCAAGCGCGGGGCAGAGACCTTGGACGATCACGCACGCCCGAAGCGCCAGTGCATCCAGAGCGCGGCAACCTCAAGTCAGCCACCAACAACCAGTCAACAAGAGCTGGAAAAGAAGTTCCGGCCATGGAAGGATGTGTACCGCGACAGATTCAAGGTTGGATCAAACTGGAAGTACGGCCGAGCTACCATGAAGACATTTGCGGGACAGCACACGAATGGAGTGACGTGTCTGCAGTTTGACGATAACATCCTCGCTACAGGCTCGTACGACTCCACTATCAAGCTATGGGATATTGAGACGAGTGAAGTCATACGCACCCTCCATGGTCACACAATGGGCATCCGTGCCCTTCAATTCGATGATCGGATGCTCGTGAGCGGTAGCTTGGACAGCACGGTCAAGATCTGGAACTGGAGAACCGGCGCTTGCATCAACACCTTGAATCACCAAGGTGGTGTCATTACTGTCCACATGGACGGTGACCTTCTCGCCTCTGGGTCGATGGATAGATCGATCAAGATCTTCAACTTCAAGACCCAGCAAACCTACTCTCTACGGGGTCATCAGGATTGGGTGAACCATGTTCGCCTAGACGTGTCTTCGCGGACCCTTCTGTCCGCCTCGGATGACTGCACAGTCAAGCTTTGGGATCTCGACTCCCAGACATGCATTAAGACATATGAGGGGCATGTGGGACAGGTCCAGCAGGTGCTGCCGCTGCCAGATGATTACGAGTTTGAGGACGAGAACACACGCGACGCCGATGCAGTCTCTGTGGCTAGTAACCGCAGCGGCACACCAGGCCTTTGCGCATCCTCGTCCCTGCCGACGCCACAACCTGATGAAGAGCGAGCAGCATATGGCCCAGCCTTCCAGCTGGACTCCGAGCGCCCACTCCCTCCCCGGTATATGTTGACTGGCTCTCTGGACGCTACGATGCGCCTATGGGACACAGCCACTGGCAAGACCCCTCGTTGTTTCTTCGGTCACGTCGAGGGTCTCTGGGCGATTGCTGTGGACAGTCTACGATTTGTGTCCGGGTCTAACGATGCAACTGTGAAGATCTGGGAACCGCGAACCGGCCGATGCGAGCGAACTTTCACGGGCCACGCTGGACCAGTAACGGCGGTTGGGCTCAGTGATTCGAGGGTAGCGTCAGGTGGTGAGGATGGAGAAGTGAGATTATACAGCTTCGAGGCGAACCCATCCGAGTGCGAACAGTACGGCACACCGTCTTGATTCTTCGGATCGACCTACGATGGAATTGATTGATATGGTGCCGTGTTTGCTTTTGGGGGCGTTGAATATACCACAAAGTTACATTGACTTTTCATCCGGACGGAAAGGCCGGTCTGGGTTTCATGGAAAGCCTGGGACTGGCTGAGATTCTGCAAGGGAAGTATGGTGTTCAGGCGGACGGCTTGCGTTGCACTTATAGCATTGACATCACTACATTGCATCCATTGGTGGCTAAAGTAGAAACCGGCAATCGATGAAAGACTCTCTCATCCATACTTTGAAGCAATCCTGAATTTCTACCGTGCAGATGGCTTATTTGGCCAGCAACGCGTGATCCCCCATCGCAGTGACATGTGAGTTCAGCCTCGACGCCCCCCACTGACTCGCGTCTCAAAAACATGTGAAAGTGTACATTGCACTCGAGACCGCAGCTACGCGTAGATTACTGCTTCCGGGAACTCCCGTGGCGCCTGCCTAAGATAGAGGCTCCAAAGCCGCGGCGAAATTAGGCCCTTTCGAATTCAAGTATAGCAGTTTTCTAACCTCGGCAGCCATCGTAGTAGCCTACAGCCGGCTGGCAGGAACCCTGGGGATATGTACACATACCCGTTGAACCGTTGGAAGTCTGCGCTTAGCACTGACCGAAGGCTCCGAATTCATAGGTGTCATGATCGTGAATGGAATAGACACTCTGAAATGAATAGCCAAAGTAGCTCGTTAATATAACTGCTTATTCCAAGGTGCTTATTGCTACGTGTAGCATTGTATGTAGACATGTACAATCTCCATGTGTCCCTGCCGCTCCAGTTCCCACCCCGCCACCCCGCAAAATCACAAGCTCGGCTCAGCGTCGGCAACGGCTCCGTTGTCTTCAAATTATCGACGTCACCCCTTGGCCCATCAATCCTGGGCCGAGCTTCATCATCCTCCCTGGGATAACTCCCATTCCCACCTCGACGGTTCAAAGTGAACTATCTGCCAATTGGTCTTATGATGGGGATCCCAGAGCTTAAAAAGGCATGCCCGTGGTTCGGTATCGAAGATCAGCGTGACAGACGATGCTAAGAACGTCGAGCTTGGGATGGTGCCAAGGGAAGGGCGAAGCTCCGGTCCGCCGAACCCACCTCCGGCAGACCGTTGCTACGGCTATAGCTTGTACGCAGTCGCATCGAAGGACGGGTCTTGGTATGACATGCAGGTTTGGTCTTCGAAAAGACTGCCTAGGTATGTCGATCCAGGAACCCCACAGCCTCTAGTCCCCAGATGGGGATCATGGGATGGCTTGACACGAGCCGCGGAACTCTCTGCTGCTGGGTGGTCCCCTGATTCACTTGAGTCACCCAGGATAATGGCCGTTAGTGCTGCCTTTATATAGGTAGGTTGATGCCGCGGCTCTGACTTCGTAGGTTTGTGGCTGGTCTCTCTTGTCTTCCTCCCTCCTGTATATTCACCCTTTCGTCTGCCTACCTGAGCTGTGCTCTCAATACGCCTCTGTACATCCTGAACCGTCTTGCGCCTGCTTGAGCTTCACTAGCCAAACTCTGTTGGCTGTCTTGTCTCTCCCCGTTGGAACGTTCACACCGGCTGTTGGCTCCCTATCCCCTCCATTCCAGCCCTAGCCCTTGCGTGGCGGGACGTTGGTGACGTCGAAACATACATCTCTTCGTATTTGCATGTGAAGACCGTTTGGCGTCAACCTACAGCACTTGGGTCCGTTTGGCAAGCCGACGACACACCACGGCTCCAACGTAGAGACGAAGGGCGCAAGCCCCACGGTTCCCTCGACGCGATGGCGACCAAGGTGACGGGCAAAGATGGCAAGGGCCCGCCCTCGGCGGCGACGAACTTGATCGGTGAGTTGTAGACCTGTTCTTCCATAGCCAGACAGGGAATTCCGACTGACAAGCGGCTTCACAGCGGGCGGAGGAGCAGGCATGATGGAGGCGCTGGCATGTCATCCTCTCGGTACGTGAACACCCACCCCCTGAATCCAACATCATAACTTCCTAAACCAAATCGCATCTCGCTGACCCAACGCTCCACTATGACAGATACGATAAAAGTCCGCATGCAACTCTCGCGCCGCGCGCGGCAGCCCGGCGCGCCCAAACGCGGCTTCCTGCGCACAGGATCCGAGATCGTGAAGCGCGAGACGCCGCTGGGCCTGTACAAAGGGCTAGGCGCAGTCCTAACAGGAATTGTGCCCAAGATGGCGATCCGGTTCACGTCGTTCGAGTTCTACAAGCAGTCGCTGGCGTCCAAGTCCACCGGCAAGATCTCCGGGTCGGGCACCTTCGTCGCCGGGCTCGCGGCGGGCGTGACCGAGGCCGTGGCGGTCGTGACGCCCATGGAGGTGATCAAGATCCGGCTGCAGGCGCAGCACCACAGCATGGCGGACCCGCTCGACGTGCCCAAGTACCGCAACGCCGCGCACGCGCTGTACACGGTCGTCAAGGAGGAGGGGCCGGGGGCCCTGTACCGCGGCGTCAGCCTGACGGCGCTGCGCCAGGGCAGCAACCAGGCCGTCAACTTCACCGCCTACACGTACTTCAAGGAGGCCCTGCTGCGCTGGCAGCCGGACCTCCAAGCCGGCAGCGGCCAGATCCCCAGCTGGCAGACTACAGTTATTGGGCTCGTGAGCGGCGCCATGGGGCCCCTGAGCAACGCGCCTGTCGACACTATCAAGACGCGCCTGCAGAAGACGCCCGCCGAGGAGGGCGTGAGCGCGTTCAAGCGCATTAGCATTATCACCAAGGATATGTTCCGGTTAGTTACTATTTTCTGTCGCGTGTCGACCTGGTATATATTGCAGAGATTGCTGACGCGGACGGGGATTTAGACAGGAAGGCGTTCATGCGTTCTACAAGGGCATCACGCCTAGAATCATGCGCGTGGCGCCGGGCCAGGCCGTGACGTTTACGGTATACGAGTATTTGAAGGAGAAGCTCGAGAGGACTAAGGCATCCGGAATGTTGGTTGCCAAGTATGATTGAAACTTCAGAGATGTTGAGGTTAGGTATAGAGTTGGAAACGGGGATTGGTGACCTGGTCACTTCATGCATGTGTTCATAACTGCATTCATCATCTTGCCTTTGCGTATGTATATAGAACAGAGACCGCATTTTGTCTATCCTTGAGTCTGTGACTCTGTGTCTCGCTCGCTCGAATGAGCAACCGTATCCCACATAGTTCCTCCCACGAATAGCGCTTACCGACCGGGCCTCTTGGGACGCCTGAACGCCGTCTTGGTTTCCGTTTTGGGGAACAACTCCGACATGACGGACTCCTCCGTGATCTCGGCCGGTTCCTCGACCTCGAACTTCACATCCACCTTGATCCTGCACTCATCTGTGGCCGTAGTAAGTACCGCGCGCTTCTGGAGCGGGTACAGCATCCGCGCCTTGATGGCTCTGGCGCCGCTCGACGCCGGGTTCGTGAAGAAGAAGAGCACGACGTTCTTGTCGACCCCATCCCGGGAGCACTGGTACCGGAAGAAGGCGAACCGTGGCTCCGTCGTCGAGATGGCGGCTAAGGCCTCGGGGATCGTTGTTGGTTCCGGGGAGTCTGGCACGAGTTCGACGATTTCGGTATCAGGGTTGATTTTCTGTTGGCATGCAGAGTTAATGACCAGTTGGGGCTTTTCGTTTGCCCATGGAATAGGGTGAAATAGGGGCACGTGTACTCACCAGCATGACCAGCACCCGCCCCATCTCCCGCCCCAGGTCGTTCAACGCCTGGTGCGCGTCGGCCTCGATGGGCATGGACATGTTCTGGCTCATATTCAGATCCCTGACGCCGGTCCCGGACCCCGCCTCGGCCTCGGCCCTCTTGACCTCGCCCAGAGTGCGCTCCTCCTCGGTCAGCGGGGCGTCAAGCGCGGTGTGGCGGTCGTGCTTGTCGAAGCCGGCGGGGCTCAGCTCCTCGGCCGTGGTGGCGAAGATGGTCTCACGGAAGTGCTCTGACCCGAGCTCTCGCACGAGCGTCAGCCGCGTCGACGCGAACAGCATCTTCTGCCGCACCTTGGCCGCGTCGGGCACGTAGGTGACCGCCGCAAGGTGCGGCGCGCTGTCGTGCCGCCGCAGGATGATATACAGCGCCTCGTTCGGCTGCAGGTGCGGCGCCAGCTGCGCCAGGTTGGCGCTGAAGTCGGACGACGAGGTGCTCGGCAGCGTCGTCACGGGCGTCAGCGCCTCGGCCGAGATGGTCACCAGGAGCCCGAAGATCGAGGCGTCGCCGAGGAGCTTGTTGAATTGGGAGACGAGCTCCTGCGAGGCTGCCCGCTTGTCAGCTACCCACGGTGCGGAACCCGGAGAGGAGACTGGGTCGCCTCTGTACCTGAGATCCCTGACTGCATCCTGAGAGGTGCGATGACGACTGCGCGAGGAAAAAAGACAGGAGGTTAAGCGAGAGAGTCAGAAGGCCTGCTCCTGGTGCTGTTTTCGAGCTGGGACAGTTCGGGTTGTTCAAGAGGCATCGGTGGTGTTTCAATGCATGCAATTGCCCCGCCAATCTGTTTACTACAAAACTAACCTAGTACATGTGTGCCTTGTGGTAGCGGTATCCAGAATAAGGACCAGGGTCACGAATGGTGGCTGTTGGTCTGTATTCTGGAAGTTGCTTGATTGAAAGAAGGGATGGGTGGTGTCCCCATCCCAGAAGTAGCTATCATCCCAGTTGGGTACGAATCTGGTACAAACGGGTACCAGTTGGGCTCCAAGGTACCTTGTACCCTGGTCCGTGACCCATCCGTCATTGTGGCTGGAAAATGGGTTGAGGAGCCAGACATGCATTGCGAGGCAGTTTATTTCCTCTTTCTGCATACGACCCAGATCTTGCATGCGGATCGTAATAAGCATACAGACACTTGACATTCTCTACAAACTCCTTCGGAATCACTTCTCCAACGAGATAGCAACAGCACCAATAAGTAACCTGGCCTCACTCCTATTCATGAACCTCCGCCCATCGGCCTGATACACCAAAATGCCTCGCCTGGAAGCTTTACTCCCGGTGCGTTGTGCAGAGATCCTATCTAGCATGAAGAGAAGAGCTACCTCCCTGGTCACACGAATCATTCCACTCCACGCCCGTCTCAGATTGACAATGAGCACTGGCCGGCATCGACAGTGTTATTGCGTCTCTTTAGGAAGCTTTCCGAGCCGAGGATCTAGTCGCGGACGGTGAAGCGGCAGCCTTCCAAACTCGGCCAAGCAGTTCTCATCATATGGGCGTTGGTCCAAGCATACTGCCTGCTCATCTTTAATCCCAACCTACCATAGGGGGCGTGTAGAAACAGTCCCGATTCTCCATACAGAGGAGAACCCTCCATGGGCTGGAAGCGCCAACTTGCGCCCATCGGACGCTCTCCTCTACACCCCATTTCCGCGATCAGGCGTAGGAAGTCGCGCCATTCAATCTCAGCACGGTGGGCGGCGGGGCCTTGTTGAATAAACAAAAAATCCGCGACATCCATGCTTTTAGGGGTGAGTTTGAACTCCACAGCAGGTGCAGCATCTTCGGCGCCTTCGTCGGAAGACTCGGAAACATCTTCGGCGTCGCTATCCGCAGCTTCCCGATCGTCATCTTCGTCGGCTGCATCTTCAGCAACGCGGCCCAGGCAAGCAGCTTGAGCTTCGGTGGCAGATGCTTCTCCTCGTGTCTTCTTCTTGTCCTTGGGCTCGTCCGAAACGAAATCTTTCCCGCGAAAGGGGTTATTATCTCACTGATTGGGTCGTGTTGCTGGGGCGTCCGACTCAGGGAAACAGCTTCGTGTTGTTGTTCCTGCTTGGGAGACCTTCGGATGATTTGGCTGTCCCATAAGTCGAGAAAGTATGCCGACAAGCAGTTCTCGCCTTTCAATTCCTCATATAAACCTGCCCAGAAGGCATCAAGTTCGCTCTCGCCCTGGCTGCTGTCGGTAGTCGTTGCTTGATCGAACTTGCCTTTGGTGGGGGCGCCTGCGCGGACAGTACTGATGCTGAATGTACTAGTTCCTCGTCGTGACCCTCGGAGCTTCCTGAGCGATATCCCGAGCTCCTGTTTATATCGCTTCTCCAGTGGTCCTCGTCGCTCCGGATTGTTCAACTCGGTCGAAAACTTCCCCGCCTAGGCCCGCCTAGGGGAAGAACGCTTCGAACCGGTGCAAAACATCTACGACGACTGGCATACCACCTAGACTCTGGATTACCGAAGGTCCGAGAAGATCTAACGCTGTCTCCTTGTATCTTGCCCCAGCAGTCGTGCCTGTGTCCTCGCTCTTGGCCTTCCCCTTTCCTTTCATTCGCTACACCTGCGTTTCCTCGGTTTCCTTCTCGACGTCATCAAAAAAGCACAGTGCATCAAGCAAAGGTTTCAGGCCTACTTGGCCTGTACTCCCTGGACTAAGCATGACCATCAAGATTTTGATGACTTCAGCTTGTCCTCTCTTTAGTTGGCCAATAGGCTTGAGTTTGAAGCTTGAAGCTTTGCGTGAGGTGATACTAACGTCTGTTCTGGAACTTGGGATGAAATGTCGTCTCAGCGCGGGGAAAGACAATACCCTCTCCCCTCCGTTGAGTCGATCCAGCATGGTGACGGCGGCTCGTTTGAGGAGAAAAACTGAATATAAGCATTCATCTTCCATTTCCTCCGGAAGGTCTCCGTTGGGGTCTAGGAGACCTCGATTCGCATCGGCGCAAGAACGGAGCCTTGTGGTGGTCTCCTTGATGCACTTCCAAACTTCAATGGACTCTATGGTAGAGACCACAACCTCTCTGAGTACCATCTCCCAAACAGGAACGTTGTCGTCCCTGGCTTGGTTTTGTCACGGCACTAGATATCAACTCCACAGCCCCACGGGCCAACCCCTATATATACTTGTTCTTGTCTCCTAGCTGGCTTTATAGTTTCTTTCCTTCTTTACGTACATCAACAAAGTCATTTCTAGAGTCTTCTAGCAGTCGGACTGTGACAGGTTGTTTCCGAGTCTAGGAAAGGTTTTTCCATTTTGGTCGGCTACCCAGCCCCAATGATGATCCAGTGCGTCGGTGGCGGCCCCCTCGAAATTTTTGGGAGACTGGCGCATGAGTTGCAGTCTTCATTCGACGTCTCGAAGCTGTGTATCGACGATCCCCACCAAGTGCCCAAATTTCAACTCGCTGGGAACAGCATACAATGCTTCCATGGATAGGAGAGCCGAAGACGTGTTCTGGGCGCCTTTCTCATATGTGTACCCAGTCGTGCTTTCGTAGCTTTGATGTCCAAGTATGCGACGAGTAACGTTGTTCAGGAATTTGTATAGCCGACTTTGCATCTCAAGGACCAAAATACCTTCGCTCACTGTCGTCGTGTTACGAACCAACGAGGCGTACAGGGAATGAGGCCCGCTGGCAGGCCCAACAAGATGGACAGTAACTGGAAGAACCCGGGAGAACGCACGGGCTAAGGAAACGTCTAGGTCACGTGATCAAGACATCACGTGATAGATAGGTTGGATAGCGAGGTTATCCAACATATCCAGGATAGCTTGGATAGCAAGGTTATCCAACATATCCACCCCATCAGTGAGGGAGAGATTGGATATATAAGGATGGACATTTCCTAGCTAGACAGATAGACAGTCTCTACCTTAGTGATCAATCTAAGCATCTTAGCCAACCCTAAGGTGGGAAAAATCTCCTGACGACTCGACTATTCAGTGAACCCAGTTCAGACCAAGCCCCAGTATCTGAGTGTCTTCTAGTTGACAGAAGCCTCTATCGTCTTTTGTGTTGACTTACCTCAGAACATAAACCCTATAGAACCCTTTAGCCTTATAGGTTAGACGGCTCGTCACACGTCGCTCGATGTTGTCGAACGAGCTGGAAATTCGCGTCATCTGGGCTCGGAGTCAAAGAGACTAGAGTTGCATACTCTTCACTTTTGCTTGTTCCATTGAACTTGACGACGTATCTCGCCAAGAAAGGTCCGTTGACAGCCCTGATCTGGCGTCCCATGTATGCAGCGTCTAGGTCCAAACGCCAAAACGCAATGGGGTCCTCGGTAGCTCGCGAGGTTAGGAGGGTGGTGAGGTTCGATGGGTATATCGCCAGGTCTTTGATGTTCAGGAACGGGAAGCGGAAAGATTCGATTTTTTTACTTATTGGTTTATGCCCAGAAGCCTCCAGCTTAACGCCTGTGCCGGTAACGTCGCTCATAGCCTGACATAAAATGTGAAGGTCGGGTTGGTGGTTCTCTGGCAGCGCAGAACCCCATGCAGAATTTGCAATTTCCCGTCGATCCGCGACGCTGAGCTCGTTCATCCATGTGGATAGAATTGTCTGCTTTTGCTGCTCGATCCTTGTTTTCAATGACCTGTACAAAGTGGCGATCGACGTCGATAGGTACTGTACTCGCTTGCGTGCTTCAGTCTCGTTGAGAATCTCGGGCATGTCGAACCCACTCGCATTGGGGCCGTAGCCGAGAGAGCTGAGGTATCGAATTGGGTTGTCGATATCGGGATTGTAACCATATAACGCATGCCAGCAGGGGCCGGGTCTGCGCAGGTAGGTGTGCACATCCATCTAGGCTGAAGTTCGTATAGCAAAGGTAACAAGCAGGGGGGGAGGAATCGGAGGGACCTGACGCTACAAGTGAAAAGGTGCGACAAATGGTAGTGAACAGCGTGCGATACTGCAGTCTGCAAGTAGTATAGAGAACCTGGTTCAAGGTGATGAGAAAACGCACTCTGTATCTGAACGTGCTACCCGGGTTCCCTGATAGTGTGTCAAAAAATTGCGGCGCGAGGAAAGCGATTTGCATGAAGATTGAGGGTTGTGAACTGCAGCAACATTGAGTGGAGGAGAAAACTCCGTCGAGACGAATGCAGTCGAATTTCAGAATTTGAGGCTGCCAGCGCCTACGGCGTTGTTGTGGTGATGCCCGGGTCAAATGTGTCCCGCGGAAGACACTCCCGCAGCTATACTGGCCGCGACAGGAGGGATAGCGTGAGGCCCGCCATACCCTCCACTACGCAGTCCGGAAACCTAGTCTGGATACCTATCAGCTACTGAATTGACGTAAGTCGTGCGTCTCGTATTAGCAGAGAAAAGACTTTCTGCTAGACTTGCAGTCTTTCGTTCAATCAAAACGCCTATAATTACTGACCCATGTATGCCTTAGGCATGAACTGGGAAACGGTGAACTGCAGGTTGGATTGGGTCATCTCGAAACTTGCCTTGAACTATTTTGAGCAATCTCTCAGGTTGGACACTCTTGGTCCAGGCACACACTGGCGTATATCTACACAATCAGGCCAAAGTGCATCAGAATGGTATGAATTGGTGCCGCTTCTTTGTCTCAGCCACAGGTTAGGCATCCATATCAAGTTTACCGACCTTTATGATGAGAATGAAAAGATGAACTAGTTAAATGACACAAAGAAGCTTCGGATTATAGACCACCAAGCCCCTGACGCACATTGATGTCGTGAACCAGGTTCCTCCGCGCCCGGCCTCGTACAAGCCTTCCTGATTGTCACTTTCAAAACTGCGCCAACCGCACAGCAAACGCTGAAATGGCTTCATAATCGCAGGAAAACATCCCGCCAAGCGCCCTAAAGACGCAGGCCAACTTGGCAGAGCTCAGTCTCACCGACGACACCGCCTCGGGAAAGGCGGACGATGCCACCATAGACAACAGCGCGATGCCACTGCTGCTGAATTGCCATGCTCGGCTTGTACTTGGACGCCATCTAAACAAGAGTACGCTCTATACGAAAGTAACGTGAAGCTCTTCTACGCTCTTTACCACCGAGGAGCGTGGTCCCTGGGTACCAAATACATCTTGAAAGAACGAAATGTAACAGCGCCCAATTTTGAGGTTGCAAACATTCAGTTTCTTCGTCAAAACACGGGCTTGCCTGTTCCAGAAGTGATCAAGGCCTGGGAGGAGGACAACGGGAGATATTTCGAGATGATCTCTCGATTCCCCGGTACAACACTCGAGGAAGCTTGGTCGTCGTTATCGAAGGAGGATATCCAGCGTATCGCCCAACAGGTGGGTGGTTAAATCAAGGAGATGCGTGCACTCACCTCGGAGACAATGGATAGCCTGGGCGGGCACCCCCTGTACAGCGCTTTCCTCTTCGACACCTCTTACGCACCACACGGTCCATTCCATAGCGACGATGCGTTTCTCGATGAGGTCATTGGTCTATTGAAAGGTATCAGCGCAGAGACGGGAGCCAAATTAAGGATGCATGCTCCGACGTGCAGGCCTTATACCTTTTACCCATGGCGATCTGGCGGCAGTCAACATCATTGTCCACAATGGCAACCTCTCGGGTATCATCGACTTCGAGAATAGCGGCTACTATCCAGTATGGTGGGAATCAGCTAAATGTTCATTGGGGTTTTCGAAATCTGATGCCGATTGGAAAAGGGCGTCGCAGAAGGAGATCCCACGTTATGAAGAAGGACTTCGATGGTGGCAGTGCTGGCGCATACTTGAGAGGAAGCCCGAGTCCGAGGAGGCTCTCAAAATCCCGGATAGCCTGCCAAACGCAGCCAGCACGCCCTAATCAGGTGTGGCTTTACCTGGAGTCCATAAGATTTGAACGGTACATCCTGTAATCATGGCTAGTTATCATCATTCAATTCATTGTCTCACAAGTCTTAACAACTGTTTCTTGAGAATTAGAAAAGCTTGATGTCGTTATATTATATTTCTAGAGAACCCCCATAGCGGGTTGTGTTCCTTCGAGAGACGGCGTCCCTCTGGTAAGAATTCTAACCATCCCCATACATGTTGCACGGCGGGCAGACGTATAAGACCAACCCATTCGACATTTTCCCCCAATCCGAATATTCAACCGCTAACCACCACTCGCGCATAATTTCTCCACACCACCCGCAAGCCTTTCATACCTACAGCACAGCAGTGAGGCTCGTGACCGGCACATCAAACGCCGTAGTCCCAGCCTCAATCTCCGCAAAGCCCGACGCGTTCTTCGCCGCCCCGGTCTCGCCGTCAACAAACAAGTGCGCGACGCTGATCTTGATAAGCTCGCGCTCCGAAGCCCCTGTCCACATCGACTGCACGGTCGAGCCGGCCGCCTGCTCGCCGACCGCGTCGCAGGTCAGCCATCCCTGCTGGATGTAGATCGGGTGGCAGACGACGTTGTACGCCGGGGCGCCGGCGACGTAGCCGGCCGGCGCCGTGATGTTGAAGCTGGCGATGCAGCCGCCGGGCGAGCAGCCTTCTATGAAGTTGGTCGCAGAACCCAAGGCCGCGTTGCGCGTGGTGTGCGGGAAGGCGGCGATTGTGGCCGTGAGGGCGGTGAGAACGGCGATGAAGGAGGGATACATGGTGGCAGCTTATTTAACGAAAGAGCCTTGGATGCGAGGCCTGGTGCAGTGTAGGTTTGTTGGGGGGAGGTGATGACGGATGAGATTGTGGATGGCAGTCTCTGCTGGGCCTGCATTAGATCAGTGGTCGACATGAGCTTTTAATAAAGCTCACTCATCCGTAACCCCGACCTTGCTTACATGCAGATCATGATCGAGCCTCGTATTCAGCCCGAGCTAGACTAAATCTGCAGGGCGGTCAGCAAGGGGGCATGTCACGGTTCTCAGCTGAGGTCGTAGTACTTACTCAGCAGGCAGTGTGATTTGGTGGCACACGGACGCCCTGGTCGAGGAAGTCGTACAATGTGTCATGCGGGAGCTTTGGCTGATGGAAGGTAAGCAGAAAGCCCTCCTGGTTTGCTAAGCTTATATGCAGCCGGGGCCCGAGGGCCGACGTCGCCCGTGAATGGGTGGTCTTGTGGTTGTGAGAGCATGGGTTCCTCTGTAGGAATGCCCTGCTGGCGATCTCTCTCCTAATATGACTGGAGATTGGACATTCAAGGCAGGCGCAGTGTCTGTTGGGCAAAGTATTGCTTCTCATTTCGACCCTGGTCGTTGTCGCAGCATCTCTGATTATTACGCAAAATGAGCCAAGGTACATGTATCACGTTATAGCCGGTATTATACAGGCTCTTATACCTAGCGGCTGTCTGGGGGCGAGAGGTTAGGTATGTTATGCCGGTATGATATGCCGGTATGATATTTGTGATGAGCGGATGATACATATCACGTATAATAGGAGTCGGTAATCCAGCACTAGCTATTCATTACAATCAGGGGTGACTATGGTACAATGAGCTGGATGCTAGCACCACACTCTTGGGTAGGCGAATGTAGCTGAGCAATGCGTTCCATCAAAGAACACCAGCAGGAGCTTTACATGTGGATGTCGTATACCGTATCGTTCAGCTTTCAGATCCCGAGCGCAGAGAGCGTTACCTCCGCTGACACGATGCTGACACCGCCATCCGGTAAGTTACAACAGAATTCGCCGTTCCCCGTTCAGTCGTCGCCTGTCCATTCCAACCTCGAGCAACGCATCGCTGCTGTCACAACTTGTCTTCCCATATGGCCCCTCATATATCTTGCATCCACTCGCAGTCGTCGGCGTAAGGAATTAATTGCTGAGGAGCCGACACGAGACGCTGTCCCCATGTCAACGGCCCGTCGTCGTTTGCCACTATCTCGCGAGAGCATGCCGCTTGTAACTTGACGACCTTTAGTGTCGTTAAGCTGGGAAAGCCCTGTTCGTTGTCGTTCCAGAAAGCATCGAACACTGCGAGGTCCTGCACCAGGTAGAAATCATATTGGTTGAGTTCCTCGTCGTCGAAGCCCACGTCCTTGCAGTAACAACAATCAACTTTCCACATGCCGAAGGTAAGGACCTTCATGCGAGGGAGGAGGATCTCTACCATGGTTGCCACCGCCTGCCACTGTAACAGGTCGTAAATGCATGGCCCGAGAACCCCTAGTCCCACATGTGTGATCCTGGCCAGGAAGCGTGAGCTCAGCTGAATCGGTGGAGTAAGGATGGGACCTGTTCTGTCTCCCGAATTGCAGTAGAACATGCCCGGGCTCCTCTTCCAGGCCATAATGTCGTAGATATCGCTTTCCTCGTCAAGGTCATCAGATCGATCGTGTTCGTGGCGTCCGCTTGCTGCGAGATAGGGGCTCTGTCCGTTGGGATCCTCCATGGCCGGGCAAACATATGGGTTTGTGCCAACACCGGTGTCCTGGAATATTAAAAAGATATCAACTTTCGGGTTGAACGGGAGCGCACGCCGTGATGGAGTACCGTAGAACTTGATTGCCATGGATCGAAATGCTCTGTTGATTCGAAAAACGTTCATATCCGCCCACTGTCGAGGATTGTAGACAACGACTTGGGCAACCCAGTCGGAAGGGAACCTTAGCGGGTAGCTGGGGTTGCATTGAGAACGTCCGCAGAGGAAATATTGCCCAACAGCTAGTTCGAATACGGCGAGGAGGAGTTCGGCTGGCAGAGCCATCAGCCTTGAACATGTTGAGGAGGATTCCGACGTATGCGGTAAAACGGGCTGCTTCGGCGCTGGTCCCGACTGAGGAGCTCTCTGCTTTGCAGCGCATTTCGCTTCGTTTCTTAATGTCTCGAACACTGTCGCACCAGGTGAGGCTTGGTTGGTGGGACGAAGACGGGCATCGTCGACACACGCGTGCTCGCACTTCATGAAGCATTTGGCCGCACCAAAAGCACGTCTCCAACCTGGTCGGGACCGTGTTTCGGGAATATCTAGGTAAATCGAATCTGGTGCGTTGCCTATGAAGAGCCTGGTACCTGAGACTTCGGATTCTGGGGCAGCCATGGTCGTGAGCGGTGACGGTGGCTATGCTTGAGGATTGCGACAATGACCTAGGAATTTGTTCGCACGAAAAGTGGCATGAGAGTGTTCCCTAGATAGTTCTTACCGCACTTGTTGCGCTGCTGTCGACGAGATCCACGTCTTCGAATCCGAGCTCTGCAGTAGACGGTGTGACAGGTACACAGTCGCTGGAAGATTTTTGCGCCAGCAAGGTGCAGCAGTCCGTGGCTGATGTGCGGCAGTCGAAATGGGAGAAGCAGTGCGCGTGGTGGGTGCCGACGTTGCCAGTGCGACGAGGCGCATTAGATGCGAGGTGTGGTTACTGGGCAGCAGAACATTCGACCGTAGAATCTTTCAGTTTCAAACACAACCAGAATTCTGGGTTGAATCTCGCTATGGAAAGAGGTGCTGAGAATTAGTTGCAAGGCACTGAGTCTGGCTGCGGTTGCAGCTGTGATGTGTACCCAAGTTTCTGAGGTTGTAATGTGACGGGTACGTGTTGACATGTACTAACACCACAGCTGTTGACCTGCATGGAGTCTGTGCTCCAGCATTAATATTGGTATTAGATAATATCTGATAGAACATGGAGGTTATCCCACCAGCCTTTGGCACTCTCCCACCAGCAACTTCACGCTGGCAGGAGCTCCGCAGGGATGCCCATTTGTCGGCCCCTATCCATCGTGTGTAATGTTGACCTGCCGACTAACATAAATGTTCCTCTCGTGACCTTCGCCCATTATCTTCCGCTGGCTCTCACTATCGGACAGGCTCAAGCTGTCCTTGTCGTGACTGGCGCCGACCTGCGTTGTTACGCCAGTAGCCCCGTGTTTACCGGGACGGGGTGTCGACGTGGAAGGTAGTTCGAATCCGTCCTCCTCGGCGTAGGTGCGGCGAGAGTCGAGCGGAAATGCGTATTTCCTGCTCCTCCCGCCCCACGTATTCGTGCCGGGCCCGCTGTCCGCATTGCTGAGACCAAATACCCTTCGGAATAACGGCTTAAGGGTCGCCATGCTACCCACCGCCACACCAAGACCGTTCTCGGCATATCTGCACGTGTGAGGGTTAGGGTATCAAGTCGAGATCAGGGCTGAGACGGAAAGCCGATGAATGAACTTACCCCCAGATGACTATGTCACTAACTGCGAACAAGTAGTTCTCGGCGTCTGTGAGGCCGACGGTGTACTTCAGGCGTATACATGCGCTGAGGGAAGCAAAGAATCCTGTCCTGAAGTTAGACAACGACCATCAAGTCGGACAGGATTGGAGCAGACTGACCCAGGCCCAGCACGAACGAAACGGATATTTTAGAGTTCCGGTTCATATTCACCTTCCAGAGCAGAAGGATGGGCATGAAGGCGGTGACCCAGTCCGTGAGGATGTTGACTGCTGTAGTAGCGTAGTAGATATCTACAGAGATGTGTCAGTCCACGGGCGCCGGCTGGTGATGGACAGCGACGCGAGGCCAAGGGGAAACTGACCAGCCAAAATCTTCATGTCGTTGCATTTGCCGCCGTTCTGGAGCAGACTTGTGTCCCAAGCAGCAGCAACCGGGTTACACTCTGTGAGAGTTGGTTAGCTATGTGCTCTCGCCAATCCGGTTAGAAATAACGGATTGCCTGCTTACGGAGTATGATATACATCATGGCTATCAGGTTCTATGATTGATCAGTATTCACGTCGAGTGAGATGGTACCATGGACTGCGAACCATTATAGTGAACATGCCTATGATGACGTATTGCATCCATATGAATGATTTTCGGTTCTATTGCAGATTTCAAGTTAGCCTCAGGCGTTTCCTCTTATTCTTGACTGGGACGTGTGGTGTTCATATGCTTGCTTACCTGGGCGATCCGGATCAACATGAGACTAATGCTCATCTTGACAGGTATAACTGAAGCACAGTAGAAGACCTCAAAAAGGAAGAACCACTGCAGTCGATGATCAGCACACGTCACGGGAGGCGGATGGAATGACTACACACAAAGAGTCCGCGCTTTTCGTACCCCTCATTTCCTGGTAGAGCCAAGGTACGGTTCGTAGCCCCGATGCCAGTCTAAATCCTTGGCACTTAGCGAACATTCCTGATAGTTTGACCGACACTCCTCGAGAGACTCACAAATGCACATGCGATGCATGCTACTGTCAACACGGTGAATGGGAACTTTCGATAACAAAATTAGCTTGTGTTGGAACCCGAGGCAGGAGCGGTCGGCGAAATGTACCATGGCGATAGTCATGGCCCAGTCTTCGAGCCCCCATGATGAGTAGCGGACTCTGCATATAACTCGCAGTATGTAGCAGATGTATCCCAGAAGACCAATGGTGATAACGGCAGCCGCCAGATTTGGCGCATTGTCGGCATAGAGACCCATATTGTACTGGCGTCGAGCTGGCTCCAGACGTTCCTCGTGGTAGGTCGTTATGAATATCGTGGAGAGGCGGTGGGCGAACAGTGTTACCAACGCAGATATCTTATTATTCTCTCTCCACAACCCCAGGAGAGACTGATGTAATTGGTTTGTTGGAGGGGAAGCGATGCACCTACGGTAGTCCTACCGTTCGACTGACATCGGGCACATGAAGTTTCTTCGAATGGAATGAGAGGCGGCACCGCGTGACCTTTATCGATGGGACCGGGTTTTCAAGCGTTAGCCTACCGTGTAACGTGTTCCACCCACCCTTTTGAGTGACCGGGTGTGGAGGGCGATCTGGCGCGGCAGATGGGTCGGGTAGGGCCAAGGACGCGAGGCGTTTGGTGAAAGCGATGGTTGTTCCTTGTTGCTGCTAGGTAATTGGAGAAACCAACTGATACACTCGAATAGGCGAGCCTCAAGACGACCGTCGGGCCGGCATGTTCAGATTTCATACCATACAACTCTGGCACAGTAAGTTCCCTGTTCAAGTCAGGGTATCCTACCATCAGGGTACATAGTTTAATGGGTTACAACTTTAGGTCGTTCAGTCGACGCCCAGTGTCTAGGCCTCACCTTGAGCCTAGCTTATTATTACTTCAGGTGATGTTATACATTCATTTTCTTGTAGCGCTTTAGGAATAAAATGTGATGCTCATCCAGGTAGATTAAATCAAGTCTCTGTTTTTGTTAATAGAGAAGGGGTTTTTTACGGTCAGTGTTCTGAGATATGTGGTATTTTGCACAGTTCAATGCCTATTGTTATAGAGTCAGTGAGCTTAGAGAAATTCTTGACATGATTAGAGGAACAGTAATAGAAAATTTACAACCCATTCTTTACTATATTAATAGAATTTTGGATTCAATTTTCCCTTTTCAATATATATCTACTATATACTAAATTTTTTTTTTTAAAATAGTTAGTGATTATACAATGGAACTGTTAGTCGGTTGTTCTATCTGTATAATTCTTATAGTAATAGGTATTACTTTAAACTTAAATTGAGAATCAATAGATAACGAAAAGAATGTAGATATCCCAGTAGGAGGTATTCAATTACCCGAATTTGTTGGTTCAGAGCGTAAGCCTTCTTTTCCTCCTCCGCCTAAACAATCTAATGAACCTTTTCCGGAAGTAGTTCAACCAAAAGGACCTTCTCAGGAAGTTCCTAATTTTGGGGATCCTGGTTTACCGCCTAAACATTAGATTATTTACTTTTTAATTGTTTATCCTTATAGCTAATACACCTTTACCTAATTTGTTAGGCCTTATCTGTAATATTTTTGATCCTTTTTAATTCAGGTCTGTATTTATTTTTAAGGATAGTCTGTCTATTCGTCTTGTTGCTTAAATAATATAATAAGTTTTAATAATCTTATTATTGAATTATGTAGAGTACGTAGTATCAAGAGAACATGCAGGCATATAAGAGATAAAATTTTGTCGCTCCGCGGTCAAATAATAATCTGAATAATTCCGTCCTTCCGGGGAAAGATTCAGTTGTCTAAAAAATTTAGTATTTAAAAATTTTTTTTTTTCTTATTATTTTTAATAATTAATAATGTATTTAATAAAATAGGTATTGAAGGTAAACCTAGGTGTAAGAAAGTTTATATTTATTAGATTTGATATCATATATTTATTAGATAAATATCTTATATGGTAATGCTATTATATTATAAGTAAAAGTTATAAATTTTAGATAGATAGCTATATTAAAAGGCGAAGTAGAGTGGCTTTTGAAATATTTATTTATTATGATCGTCTGCTTTAGTAGTTACTTATCCTCGTTTATTTAGTTTTATATAAATATTTGATAATCTTTAGACCACTTTAAAAATCGAAGGTTTTTAATAGCCCTCTTTAATATTTATTTACTTTTATATATATATAAAAACATTTATTTAGACTAAATATAAGGCGTGTTAGTTTAATGGTAGAATATAGTAGTACGGTTACTATCGTTTAAGTTCGAATCTTATACACACTTTTTAGCTTACTTATCAATATATATAAAATATAATTACCCAAAATTATCAGTAGAGAGTATAACTTTTTATCTTTAAAACAATATAAAGGTGTAATAGATAAAACTTTAGTAACCTAATGACTATTATACTTATATGAACCCCAGAATCCTGCCATAATAGTTAATAACTATTATAAAGGGTAATAATTTAAACGGTAAAATTTGGGTTAATTAATCTATAATTATTCAAATGTGAGTTCGATTCTCATATGCCCCCCTTCCCATATGGGGTTTATACAATAATTTAAATTAAAAAATATATAATGAATATTATACTAAAACTTTTTTTGATAGGGATCTTAGGATTTATATTAAATAGAAACAATTTTATATTATGTTTATTTCCATTGAAATAATGCTTTTGGCTATAACATTTTTTAATATTGGTAAGTTCACTTAACATTGATGATATAATTGACCAAACTTATGCTATATATATTATAGCAGTAGCAGGAGCAGAATCTGCTATAGGTTTTTGTATTCTAGTGGCTTTCTATAGGTTAAGAGGAAGTATTGCAATATAATACCAATAATGTATTTAAGTATAATAATTTTACCTTTATTAGGATTTATAGTGTCTGGCTTTTTTGGTAGAAAAGTCGGGGTAAGTGAAGCACAGTTTATTACATGTTTTAGTGTAATAGTTACTACAATATTAGAAGCAATAGCTTTTTTTAGAGTAGGATTTAATAATGTACCGGTCTTAATAGAATTATTTAGATGAATAGATAGTGAATGATTTAATATTATATGAGGTTTTGAATTTGATAGTTTAACAGTATCTATGTTAATACCTGGTTTAATTATAAGTTCTTTAGTCTATATTTACTCTATAAGTTATATGAGTAACGATCCTCATATACAAAGATTCTTTAGTTACTTAAGCTTATTCACTTTCATGATGATTATTTTAGTAAAAGCCAACAACTATTTATTAATATTTGTAGGATGAGGAGGTGTAGAGGTTTGTTCATATCTTTTAGTAAGTTTCTGATTTACTAGAGTTGCCGCAAACCAAAGTTCTATTTCGGCATTTTTAACGAATAGGGTAGGTTATTGCTTTTTAACGATAGGTATGTTTGCTATTTTATAATCTTTAGGTAATTTAGATTATGCTACAATCTTTTCATTAGCTCCATACATTAATAAAAATGTGATTACTATTATAGGTATATGCTTATTAATAGGTGCTAAAGCTAAAAGTTCTCAAGTAGGTCTTCATGTTTGATTACCCATGGCTATAGAGAGTCCTACACCGGTTTCTGTATTAATACATGCAGCTACTATGGTAACTGCTGGTGTATATTTACTAATACGTTTATCTCCTTTGATAGAATATAGTTCTACTGTTTTATTATTATGTTTATGATTAGGTGCTATTACAACTGTCACGGCGAGCGTACTGAGGAGCTGGGACATGGCCGGCAGCAAGCAGCTATTACTCTATTGACGAGAATATCAAGACTAGAGAGGAAAGGAAGAGAGAGAGAGAGATAGGTACAGTGGGAGGTTGCCCCTTTAAGGGGATCCTCTGGTCAGATCCTTCCCCTATTAGGAGGTATCCACTTGTCATGTGGGAAGGTCTGTGCAGGCCGCCACAGCCGTCACAACAACTGGTTTTAGCTCTCTTATTGGATTATTTCAACAAGATATTAAAAAAGTTATAGCTTATTCAACAATGTCACAATTAGGTATGATGGTTATAGCAATAGGTTTATCTTCATATAATGTAGCTCTATTTTTTTTTAGTAAATCATGCTTTTTATAAAGGGGCATTATTTTTAGGTGCTGGAGCTGTTATTCATGCAGTGGCGGATAACCAGGATATCAGAAAATATAGAGGATTAATTGCATTTTTACCTTTAACATATTTGGGCTAGCTCGGCCTAGAAAGCGGCCGCCCTGGCATCACACGAGGTCTTCTTACGCAACTCTCGGCAACTATAGCAATGAGCCAGGATCTCGGCAGACAGGCTCGAGGCGGCTTGTGGCGCTAAGCACCGCCCTGAAAATCTCGAATCGCGGTACATATGGAACAGTCTCGTCAAAACTTGTCTTCCACGGCATCGCCGGTGCACTGAATGGCATAGGTCTGTGATTGTTTGGCGGGTATAAGAAGATCCTCCATGTCCTGCGAGTACTGGGCAGCTTGACTGCTGGGGGCAGAGGTGCTTATGACGACATGATCATACAACCGTGATTATGACGATGATCCGGCACATCGCAGTATACGCCTAACGGGCAGGGCGGTAGATCTACCGGGCGAGTGGGACAGGCAGGGTTGAAACCCCGTATAATGGGGTCCGGCTAGAGCTTAGGGGTCTCTGCGGGTACGGCATTACTGCCCTTCAGCTTGGTCAGGACCACAATAACAGCCTCGCCGGCCTCATTAGCCCCATCCAGCTGTTTATTCGAGCCGAGGCAGGTTTCAGGGCTGAAAATGCGCAAGTGTTCTTCCGGGACAACTTCTCCATGAACTACGAATCATTCGTTAATGACCACAGTCACTCGATCTGGACGGGGCGAACCCAAGCGCCCATGTGTATGAATCGGATCAAAACTCAAAATCCGCCCTGCCTACCTGACCACCGAACCGAGCAAAGCGTCTCCGTGCTCCGTGGAACATTGTCGGAGGACTTCGACGCCATTCTTGGGCCACGAATACGAAGTCGCCTCCCAAACTTCTGGGACTCTGTCCGCCTGGGGTCGCGATGGATTGACCTGTCCTCATGCCTTGAAGGAGACGGAATGAGTGACATATACTACAAGTGGCCAAGCTCAAAGGAACAGTCCATTATTGATGACCGAATCCCGTCTTGTATCGCAACGAACACGAACAATCAGACGCGATAGCGTCTTTGTTAATGAGTCAAAGGTGAAGTTGCCTTTTAACTCTCGGACGCTGCCTTTCTGATCATGATTGCTCGGGCTGGAGTTGTTACATGATACAAAGGTGAAGTTGCCTTTTGACATTCGAACTTATATTTCTGATCATGATTGCGCGGGGTTGAGGTTTCCCGGGGAACTCTCGGCTTCCCAGTGACATAGCTGTCAGAACTCAAACACCCGCATAGCCGCCCACATACAGCTGCATTGAAAGGTACCGAAGTGCTGTAGCAATGCTAGTTCCAGGGACAGGAAGCATGCTCTCTCCAGTCATGGCATCTTGAAATGGTCTTCAGAAGATACCGTTATAATACCCATAATCCGTAGGACCTTCCATGACTCGCGTACCTCGGCGGGCTGGATGTGGGAGACGGCGGAACGGCCGAGATCCGGTTCCCATAGACGGGCACACTAATACCTGGTACTCAGTATCGCAACCGAATCCGTTCTGCCCACCAGGTATTAAGTATGTACCCAAGCTAATTTGAATGACAGCAAAAGCTCAACGGTCATCCCCAAAACCGGGCTCCCGTGTGGGCGGCGATTGATTGTCCCTTCCGATGCAAGTTTATGCCATCCTCGGACGGCAAGCTATCCGTTGCCGGTCAACTCTAACAAGCGCGCCGGTGTGGTTGATTGTGTCCATCATTGGGATTCCAAGACCAACCACGGAGATTAGAGCGGTCTAGTCCTGATTTTATGACGCCAGCTTCGTAGCATGCATTCCACCCTTTGGGCCTAAAGTCGAGACTCGCGACTCCGAGTCCCGAGAGACCTGCCCAAGATACAGGATCAAATTTTGAGGTGGAGCCTGTGTTGCAAGATCGGCCGAATTCGAACAATAAATATCTAGACCTTTGCAATCTTCTACCCCGGATCATGGCATCGAACCGAGCATACTGGACTTGCGCACAGACAGCTTTTATGAAAACATGCTATCAGAGCACGCCGGAATCACTGTAGTCATTTTATTGGTAGTCGATCCGCATCGCATATGTCATCAAACCTTCCCCAAGATCTCCACGTTCGACATTACTCGCCGGAACGCTGACTAGGGCATGCATTGTAGGCTTGGCCAAACTCAAAGAAGCCCCTTGCTGGCCTTGGTCAATCTAGCCCTGACCATAGACCCGATCTGAATTCGATTCGCTTATGATTACCCGAAGGTGAACCTCGGCTTGAACCGTACTTGGTTATTAGGGATACAAGACTATCTTATGTAATCGTCGCTATTGCCTTCGCCTGCATACCTCATGCCTCATGTAGCAAGCACACTTCCCCTATCCAGGCGGTTATGAGTGGGATTCATTATGGTTGGGCATGCTGATGTGATATCAGCGAAGAGTAGAGTTCTCAAGTTTGCAACCAGCTGTCCGCTCGTTTCAATCACATTAAAATCCAGATTCGTGGTTTGACGAGAACATGTGGAAGGGGGTTTGTGAGGATAGTCTATAGACACTAACGAATCTGTGAACCGCAGGTACGAAGCATGCGGATGCGCGAGAGCCACCCAACACTGCACCAACTCTGGGAAGCAGTCAGACTGAGCAGGGCCCGGGGTGTACCGTTGAGGTTTTGAGCTCTGGATTACTGTGGTAATTTCCCTGGTAGGTATTTTAAGCCGCCAAGAGCCTCCGTCCTGTTTGTCCTGCTGTCAGCTGTCAGAAACGGCCGCCAGAAACGGGATCGTGATGGCGGCATGTGGTTTCTGCGGTTTCATCTAATTCAGCGGGCTCGGAACTCGCACAGAATAATCTGCCCTGGACAGGGCCAAGCACTCCTAAGTTTCAATAGCTGAGATTCGACATTCACGTGGGTGGTGTAGGCGCGTCTCGCTGTCCCCTTTCTCCACACTTTCTATCTGCTTGCATGGCGAGTTTCCTATTGGTGCATTGCGCTGACGTGCAACTTGCGGCTGAGCCTGGCAAGTCAGCTGCTTACTAGTGATGCTTCTTGGCCATCTGATAGTTCATTGACCCATGGCTTGGCCTGCAAGAAGAGAATGGCATGAAAAGTCTGGTAACTTGGCGAGTTAGATTCGTCCAGGGGCTTGTGCCTGTTTGAGACACGGGCCGATGTCGACCTTCAAGTGAGAAGTCACTCCAGACACTACCTCATCTATCGGTATGTAGGATTTTACGGCTTTACGTAAGTTAGGAATAATGGTATCAGCTTATTCTCACGCTCGATTCTGTCTTTGTAGCCTTGCAGGCATTACGAGGATTAGCATGTTGAAGCTGCACAAGTGCCTCGCAGTAATGTCACACTCCCCTGATAGCGTACCAGGTTTGGCTCGGTGGTGGCAAGTCCGACACCATGGGCCATGTCTCACACTGACGACAAGTCACAAACGCGCATGGCGGTGGGAGCGAAGGATCAGAAGGATTTAGAGGACCAAACTCTGTTAACGTCAGCCTAGAAGTGAGCAGTAGGGAGGCATAAAGGAGATCAGATCATACGCCACGGATAATTCAAAATCATTCACCGAGGGAACATACGAGTTGCGCATATATATACGGTAGAGTACCACCGATCCCGATGGCCGCGTTACAGCGAATAGGATGTCCGGAATCCTGATCGATGCCTCCTGCCTAGCTGACGGCTTACAGGGGCTCGTTTATATCGGCGCCATGTTGCGACAAAGAACCCAGATAAAGGACAAGTCAGCGAGCACGTTCGCGCGGACTCTCCATAAGGAACACATTCGCCTCGGCCAACTCACCCGTAGCTGACACCAAAACGACCATGACCAACATACACCCATCGTGGAAACAAGTCGGGGACCATTTCGAACAGGAATATGGATTTCAGGAGCAGCTCTACGCGAACATCGCCGTGCCCCCGGGGCAACGAGGCCTCTTCCTCGGCGGGAGCTACGTGAGCTTCAAATACACCGGAGCAGAGAAAGACGTCACGCCCCTGTTCCGACAGGCATGGGTGCAGATGCGACACCGGTATCCCGCGATCGCGGCCTCGGCGACGAAGCGTGGCAAAGTCTACAAATCCCCTAACAAGAAAGAGCTAGAGGAATGGTTGGAGCACACCTTCAAAGTCAGTCCAGAAAAGACCAGTGCAGAGCTCTTCCGGGACATGAGGAAGACGACGCACGTGACGCTCAACTACCTACCAGAGTGCAACGAGCTCTTCATGCAGTCGGAGCACCTTCATCTGGATGGCGGTGGGGTCATGTGTCTCTGGGACGACTTCTTCCAAGCGGTTGTTGCGCCAAAAGAGGTCGTGTTTGGAGACGAAGTCCCGAGACTGCCTCCAAGGTCGGACGATCTTCTGGATCTAAAGGAAAAAACACCGGGGCGAGGACAAGAAGTCGCCATGTCCATGCTGGCGCCACTGGACGTCGGAGAAGGCGAAGCCATCTGCATGCCCGTGGACGTCACGCGCGCCCCTTCACGGTGCTTCACCGCCGAATACAAGTTTGACCTGCGCACCTCGACCGCCATCCTGCAGGCGTGCAAGAACAGGCAGGTCACCGTGACGGCCGCGTGGCACGCCGCCATGGCCATCGCGACCCGGAACGTCCAGGCCGGCGTCACGGGGCGCCCGGGCACCAAGTTCGCGGGCTTCACCAACTTCAACCTCCGGGGCTACTTCCCCAAGTCCGCGGACTCGTACACGGGGACGGTGGGGAACCACTACACGATCCTGCCCTTCGTCGTCGAGCCGGAGGCGTACTCGTTCGACGAGACGGCGCGCCGGCTGACGGCGTTCTACCGCCGGGGTCTCAATGGCCAGCCCGACATCTGGGCTGCGCTGCAGCCGATGATTGAGACGGTGTTTCCTGACGTCACCGCCCCATTGACGGACACCACGCCGGCGGTCTCGAGCTTGGGAAACATCAGCCAGTTCATCCGGACCAAGTACGGGTCTGAGTGGGAGATCAGGGATGTGTGGGCGGCTGACACTGTCACGGGTCCCTGGATCGACTGCTTTCTCTGGGCTTGGAGGGACAAGCTGGTCATTTGCAGCTCCTACAACACCGGTTTCTATACCCCTGGAGACGTCGAGGGGTTCAATGAGAAGATCGCATACGAGTTGATGCAAGGACTGGGCTTGTATGACCAGCCGCCCATTAGCCGGCTGATCTAGGGACGGTCCGAATGAAATGGGTTCCACGGGAGCGGTGCGACATGCGAAGACAAAGAATCCCTGTAGTATCAGTTTCACCATCATAATAACATCCGTCCCTTCCGTCTCGGTTATACCGTCGGCCATCTCAGGGTACTCTGGGGGTCCATACGAGAGCCCTTGTGATTGGTGACTTATTTTCATGAGGACCGCGAAGATAATGGGTAGGAAGCCTTTATTCGCGTCCTGATCAGCAAGTGAGGAAATGCTTTCAAAAGACGCGAGGAAACTGGTTTATATTGGAAGGAGCACGCAGCTCACACAAATGTGAAGATCTGAAATTTACAATTAGGCTAGATACTAGGTACGGATTTGGAGATCTTCCTCTGGTCAATATTGTCGAAGATGGTCATTGATGGCATCGGCAAGCCCGTCGCTAAGCCAGTCGATATTGTTTCTAGCTTCCTCTGCAGTTTCGTCAAGGATATCATCTCCCAATGCATCAAAGGCGAGCTTTGCCTCTTCCGCGGCCCTGATGAGTTTGATGTGAGCCTCGATAGCGTATCGCAGGTTGCCATTTATCGCGGCGTGATGGACATTGCTTTTGTGGAACTCTGTCCATTCGCGCGAAGTGCAGATGCCCTCAATATCATCATCGTCCTCTTTTACATCCTCCGCGGGAGCAGAACTAGTAGGCATGGGTGCCACTGCCGTGCTGCTCTTCCTTGGACTCACAGTCTTGGTTGCAGCCCAAAAAGGGGTTGACTCCGTCTGAGGCTTCGCCAGGTTCCTCTGGGTGTTGTAAAGCTTGCTTCTTACCTTCTTGAGGATGAGCTTCTTGACATTCTCTCCAGCACTCGTCTTGATTTGCTCGTAGCCATGGGAGTCTAGTTGCTCCAGCAAACTCTCTTGATCGCTGTAGATGTCGGCTCTGCTGTTGACGTGCTCCTCGAACATCTTGTTGTGAGCGGGCGTCCACATGAACCGTTTGGAGGAGGTCAAATCTCTCGCCGGCGTACCGAAGAGAAGTGAGTTCTTACTTCGTCGAGAGGCGCGTGTTTGGGGTGCCATCTTGATTGGGTTGGGTTTGTATTGGTGGTTGGTTTGGATAAGTTTGGATGATGTGTGAGGGAAACTGAGAGACCTTTGAATCAGCTGCAATACTTATACAGAGAGCCTGGTACCCGTATTATGCACCTTGACAAGGTGGTTATTACGAACAGAAGCTTGGTTATCGCAAGAACAAAGGCGTAAGGGGCGCAAAGTCGCGGGGTACCTTTGTTCTGTCAGCTTAATACAATGCTGTTGTCATTTTCTTTCAATCTCACCTGAAGAAACTTTGTTCCCAATCAGGGCACGACAGTGGCATATCGAAGCAGATGAGCCATCTCTATGGTAGATGGCTATCATAACCTGCACGAACGAGTCGCTGGGCCGCTTGCCATACCCCATCGGGGATATCCTGGGGGATCTGGAACCCCTTCGCCGGGTAATCGCGAATGCGTATCAGATCGCCAACAGCTATGTTGATGACCAGATCCTGCGGGTTTTCTTCGTTGGGATAGTCTTTCCACGAGAGTTGTGGCGATGTAACTGAGATGTCGGTGCTTTCGTCAGGCCACTGACGCTTGAATGTCGCAAAAGTGCGTCTTTCCATATACGGCTTCTGGACGAGGATGAATGAGCGGAGCAGCAGACCCTTCTTCTGCAGCAACGTGTACGCGAATCGCACATTCTCGCCTGTGTTGGTAGAGAGCGGCTCCACGATGATTCTCGCCCGAGGGACACCCATCTGGAGAGCGATGTCGGCGAATACCTCGGCTTCGGGCTTGCTGAAACGGCCTTCGGTCAGCTTGCCAGATCCACCCGAGAATATGAGATAGTCGCCATAGCCGTCGAGAAACAGCGCGGCGGCGCGTTCGGCGACGCGGGTGTCTAGGCTGCAGAGACAGAAGACAGCGTCGACCTTGCGATGGAGGGTCATGTGCAGCTGGTGATAATCATAGAGGAGCTCAGCGTCACGCGAGACTTCGGGTGGTGCCATCACTCCTGGACCCTTCACACGATGGCGGTTGTCGGTAGATTGAGATGGAACGAAAGACGAAGTGCATTCCCAGGGATAGCTCACTGGACCTGGTCACTCCGAAGATACTGGGGATTTCCAGGGCTTGAGGAGGTTAGGTATGGATGACAGCGTTCCAAGCAGCGGGCATGGATGATGGACGGCATAGCATCCTGCGAGGTCGGAAACGCCCCACGGCCTTATCTCCAAGACCAACGGCCCACTGCGGGATCTAGATTACCGGTACTTAGTTGGTATCTATCAATCTGATAAGATCTTTCCTTCCTCCCCCATCTTTCTGCTAGAGTAACGCATGTGATGACTCTGCCGTGATGACTACGGACGACACGGGCAGAGAATGGGCACTCGAGGTGTTGCGCCATAGCCTCCGAATCTCCCGTTTACCCGACGAGTTCTCGACATCTTCCGACCACCCGATACGACTCGACCCCGAGCGGCTCCAGTACATCCGAGAGCTCATCGCCTACATTCTCGACGGCCGTACCATCGCAGCGAGTTATAATCTGGTCCTGCTGGCAGTTCTCGGCCTCTTCGTCGTTCATCATATATATCAGAGTGCGAAAGACAGGTCGAGATGGATGGCGATTGAGAGAACGGGGACGGACCGTGACGAGGAGGCGCGGAAGCTAGCGCATGGTGGACAGGACGGGACCGACTCTTCCTCTAGCAGCAGCAGCACGCTGGAGGGCGATTCGACATCCCAGGACAGTGCCAAACCAATAGATCGCGATCTTGAGCGGCAGCCTCTGCTCGGAGATCGAACGCGCGGAGGAGCTTCAAGCAGCCCAAGGACCAGCCGGCTAGACATCCCGAGGTCCTGGCTGATGTATCAGCCCCCGCCAATCCCTGTGGTGAACCGCACGCTGCCCTCAAACGGGACCTCCCTCTTCATCGTCTTCTTCCTGGGCCTGAACATCTTCTTCAACTTCTACAAGTCGCCGCTCGAGCCGCCGCGGTTCGCCTTCGCCTTCATCGACCGGGCCGGCGTTGTCTTCGTCGTCAACCTGCCCCTGCTCCAACTCCTAGCGGCCAAGAACCAGCCGCTTAAGCTGCTGACGGGCCGCTCCTATGAGGCCCTCAACATCTACCACCGCCGCATCGGCGAGCTGATGTGCCTCGAGGCGCTCGTCCACGGCGTGGGGATGATCGCGTGGAGGCTGTGGATCTCGCCCGAGTGGTTGGTTGTGGACGACCTCTGGCACTACTTCACTCATCCCCTCATACTACTGGGTCTCGGCGCGTTTGTGTCGTACGAACTGCTGTACTTCACGTCGCTCGGCAGCTTTCGCGAGAGGTGGTACGAGGTGTTCCTGGCGTCGCACGTAATCCTGCAGATCGCCGGGCTGGCATTTCTCTGGTTTCACTTCCACACCACCCGGCCGTACGTGTATGCTTCGCTGGCCATATTCTTTGTTGATAGGCTTGTCTGGAGGTTGGGGATCAAGTCGACGACTGCTAAAGCTGACCTCACTATCCTGGAAGATGGCGAGACGGTGCTTCTCTCGGCTGATTGGACCATCCCGCATCCCCAGCAGCCGACCGTCCTCGGGGTATTCCAACGGGGGATTTCACATGGTTGGCACCCAGCAGACCATGTCTTCGTCTCAATACCGAGTCTTGGTGGGAGTCATAGGCTGCAAGCACACCCCTTCACCATAGCTTCTGCGGCACCCGAAACCTCATCCGCGGGTTCGCGCAGCCATGCATGGCTCAGTCTTCTGATCCGAGTGCACTCCGGATTCTCTTCCGATCTCCTGAGACATGCACAGTTGAACTCGACGGTCGACGTCAGATTCGACGGGCCATACGGCTCGCAAGACCCGCTCAACATGCTCCGGGCCAGCGAGAATGCCGTCCTCATCGCCGGCGGATCAGGCATCGCAGTCGTTCTTCCCCTGGCCTGGGCTCTGGCCCGGAAGTACAGGGGCCGGAGACAGGTCCATCTTCTATGGATCATCCACTCTCGAACCCAGCGGTCTTGGATCCTCCCGCAAGAAAGGCTGGGCGAGCTATGTGAGGCCGGTGTCCGCGTTACTATACCGGAGCCCACGATCGAGGCAGGTAGACCCGACATCTTCGCTTATGTTGCCGATTTGACAGCAACTGCACATGGCGAGATCGGGGTGGTAGTGTCCGGCCCTGACGGCCTGAATCGCTCTGCTCGAAATGCGTGTGCTAGGGCGGTAAGATCTGGGGCCGGCATGAACTTGCGGGTAGAGAAGTTTGGTTGGTGAGATGACATCGGATATGAAATTTAGCGACGAGTGACATGACGGCATGGCGTGGAATGTGACTGGCTTTTGCATACATCGGCGTTCGTCATTCTGTCAGTTGTGGAATCATAACGTCGTGAGCGACGAACACGCGATGGTTGGGAATTAGGACACATATATATATACTTGAGACTTATTTCATACCAGCTCATATCTATACTAATAGGTGTATCTGAAACCCGCGATGCCCTCGAGCACTATCCCGCCCCTCGCCGCCCGTCTATTTGCTATACGGAAGTACACAGAGAAGAGAGCCACGATACCGATGATCAGTATGTGAGACCCGATCGAAACCCACACGGCCGTCATGTACCGCGGCGCCTCCTGCGACCTGACGATGAAGCTGCCAGCAATGCCACCAGCACCATTCATCGCCGTAACAGCGGCAGCCGTGAACGCGCGCTTCCACTGGCCGGCGATGTTGTTCGCCTGGTACGTACTCAGCGCCGCCCAGTTGCTCACGTAGGCGCCGGTCGCCAGGTACGTCCCGATGTAGCGCACCGTGACCTGTTTGGTGAATCCAAGCATGCAGAAGCCGACGATGAGACAGAGGCAGTTGAACACGATGACGGGGCCCCGCAGTCGGTACTTGTCCGCGACGTAGGACGAGAAGAGTACTGGTATGACGGCGTAGTAGTACGGCGGCGCCGACAGCAGGATCGACTCGTTCTCGCTGAACCCCATGCCGTTCTGCAGGATGATGGGCAGGAAATAGGACAGCGACGTCGACACCAGGTTCAGCAGGAAGAACATCGTCGCGAACCCGTAGACCTTGGGATCCCCAGCGTGCACGAAGACCTTCCCCCAGGCGAAGGGCTCGGGCTCGACGTCTTTGCGGTCGGCGTTGATCCGCGCCACGGCCAATTTTTGTTCTTCCGCGGTGAGGAACCAGAACGACCGGTGCGCCAGCTCGGGAAAGTCGACGATCCAGAAGTAGGTCTGTAGTCCGATGACCATGGCGATGAGGCCCTGCACCAGGAACATGTAGCGCCACCCCGAAATGCCGCCGCGGCCGTCGAGCTGGTTGAGCCCAAAGTTGACGATGCCGCCCGTTGCGAGGATGACGACCTCGCCCGTCTGCAGGTACGCGAAGCGCGTCTGCTGCTCGCGGCGCGGGTACCACGTCGAGATCAGGTACGTGAGGCCCGGATAAATACCGCTCATGGCCGCGCCCAGCAGGACGCGCAGCGCGATCATCTGCCGCCAGGTGCGGATGAAGGCCGTGCACATGGTGATCAGCCCAAACGCAAAAGTGATGAGCGCGAACCACGGGCGTGGGCCGAACCGCCGAACTGCTAGTGTTGATGGTAGTTGGAAGGCGATGCTGGCGATGGTGAAGATGAAGATGGCGATGCTGAAGCGGTTGCCCGTCAGGTCGAGGTCCGCCGGCATCGATGTTACTGACGCTGAGCTGATGACGCCTGAGTCGAGCAGGTTCAGCGAGCATAGGATGCCGGCGATGGTGCAGAGGCGCAGGTCGACCTTGCCTCGTAGGCGTCGCTCCAGCGCGCTGTCGACCTCGGGGATTTCACCCTCGTCGTCGCCATGGTCGTTTGCGTCGGCGTTGTCATCGTACTCATCAGTGGCGATGCGCTTAGTAACCGCGTCTGCACTGGAAGTCTTTGCCGATGACTTTGCCGACGACTCGGGCGGCGGAGCGTGCGGCATCGATACTGACGATGAGGCCATCGCGAATCTGAAGCCTTTGATGGCGGGGGGGGGGGAATGGCGGGGAGAAGGAATGGTGACGAGGGCCGATCCTATTAAATCTCTCGTTCGAAGCCTCGTTAAGGTTCTTATCTTCCCCTGGCAGAGGCTATCAAGGTTATATTGTCGCATTGTGCCTGCCCGGTCTCGGTATATCTCCATCTGCAGGTCCGGCGCTAGAGGGCCGAAGGGCCCCGGGGGCGTCGAATCGGCGCAGACCGCTATTGTCGTATTACCAACCCGCAACGTAAGCGAAGCATCTAGAACGCGCCGCGACCGAGAGATAATATAAGCAGCACTCAGGACGGGGCTATAGCCTTTCTACAAGTGGAAGGTGAACGTCAGACATTGGTGGTGGGCTTGCATCTGGTACAACGTTGAAACTGCCATGTACTTGGCAAGTGGTTGAATAAATAATATGCAGAAGGATACCCAAAGTATTGGTTGCCTGCTAAGGGGCAACGGAATATGAAGGGCTGACTAGCAGTTGACCAGAAGAATTATAGTTACATCAGCAGCAAGCAAAGACCTAGACTCCGATCCCGCTACCGGACAGTCAACGTGCCTCAGAATGCATTAATACACAAACCCCAAAATTATCTCTCATGCAGGAATCATAGCTGACCAAGTGTGTGTAGCTTCTCCCTATCGCAGGGACATGTTGAATAATGCAAAACCAACTCCGTCTTTACAAGCTCTACGAAATCCGCGGCAATCGTGCTGTAGCCGACATATCATCAGCGTTCAGTCTATCGACGCCGAGCGCAGATAACTGCTCCCAAATATAATCACCCGGCAGATCCCCTATTGTGTTATAGTCAGCGTCGGTCATGGGAACGGGCAGTACTTAACAAGGCAGCACTCACAATATCGGACCTTTAGGCCCTTGTCGTGTGCCGCCTTAACTTGGGCCTCTATCTTGCCGGTCTGGTCTCCTGACAGCCTCTGGTTCTCAACATCCCCGCGGGCGGCTTTTCCGAACTGCGCTGATGCCCAGTATGAATTCAGAGTGTTGTAGTCTTCCTTGTCGAGATCGGTGAGCTTGGCGTCGTAGAAGACGTCCTTGCCTGGGATTCCATCGAACTTGCTGATTCGGTCAAAGGGTGCGTCTCCACTAGCCACCACGGTGACTTGCTTTTCCTGGAACTTCCCGTCGACGACTTTGCTGAGGTAGTCGGCCTGGCGGAGAGGGTCTAGAGCTTTGACGACGGCGTCCAGCGTCTCGTCGTCCTTGCTCTTGAAGTCCACCAGAAGCGAGAACCCTTGGGTGGTGTTGGCTTTGTAGACGGAACCGCCGTTGTGGTCTAGGATCGCTTTCAGTGGTTCGACGTACTGTTTCCCCAAGGTACGGCCTACCGCTGGCTCTTTATGTCCGATGGACACGTCCCCGTCGACAAGCCAGACATCTGCCTCGATACTAACACATCCCGCACTGAGAGCCTGAAAGACCGGGATCTGTTGATTTGTATAGTCGTTATGGCTGTGAACTGCGACCGGTAAAACGTCGTCCAGAGAATCAAAAGGCCACGGGTCGAGTTCAGGTCCGCCGCCGAGGTTGACTGTTTGTGTGGAGAGGGCCCCTTCGGTGAATGCTTTGTTCAGAGCGTCCTGAGTTGGAGGAATTATGTTTGCGAGGGCGTGATAGGAAACCTCATTGTCTCCAACCTGATAGGTTCCGCCCTTGGTGTCTTTGTTCGTGTCCCCGTAGCATTTGCCTTCAGAGGACAAGGTTTTCAGATAATTCTTGCATTTTGTTGCTGGTGACAATGAGTACTTGGCCCTTTCCGGGAGGTGGGATGAACCGACAGTCAACTTTGTGATCCGAGCTCTTCTGGTTGTGGATTTCAACTAGAATGACAGTCAGATAACGCTGCGTTCGAAGCAAGTGGGCTGCGAACAATATACGAAGCCAAGAAGACCGTAAGTCGATGGATCTTTCCCTCCGCTCAGGAAAGTTTCAGTAGCCATAGACAGATACCCGTCCTCCTTAACAGTCGCACCGTCGACATCGGAGCTGGAGCAGAACCGGTCAACAGCGGAGTTGAACCCGGACCGGTGATCAGTACCATCCCCGATGGTCACATCATTTACAGCCATCCAGGTTTCCCCACAAGTCGAGATCCCATCTGTCGTTGCAACTGCAGAGTCAGCCACGAGTATGGTAGTCTATAAGGACATCAGCAACTAGCCCTGCGAATAATGATAGAGGGCGATCTTACAGAAGCGGCCGCAAAAGACCAAGATCGTATGCTGCCCATGGTTACTACAGTGTGCATGAGAAACAATAGACCAGGATGGTCGACAAGTCGCTTTCTGAATGAAAGCAGGGTCCTGATAGATGCGCGAGCCAACAAAGGGCCTTGAGGGGGATCAAAGGCCACGCTAAGATCAAAGGCCCAGTATTATATCCTCTCTTTCGGCGCCCTACCCGTTCTCATGACAGACGGAACTCCCAAAGGAAGTCAGCCACCCGCTGTGCCTGATGTTGAAATCTTGGCAGATTCTAGGTCGGGTGGTTGTGACAGATCCATCCCGAGACCTGATTCCTACACGGCAGACAGTCGGGTGAAGAACACAGCCCATCCATTTCCCAGGTACGAGAAACTTCTCCGAGTCCCCAGCAGCTTATAAGGGTTGGGTCCCTCAGGGTCTCTCGCGCTTCCTACGGGAATCAGCGCTGACGTCTGGATGTTTCCAGTTATGGAGATTGGGAGCCTACTGGGAGGAACTTCCTACGTTAGCGTACAATCCTGTATCCTTATGGTGGGATTCCGGTCGAATCCCATGAGATTTCGCCCTGTTACTATTATAGACACAGGAACAGATCCCAAGCGTAAGGGGATGCAACCCCACGTCAAGCCCCCACCACACGTGGCCAGGATAGGAAAAACACCCAAAGCAGCGGCCACTGGCGCGTGATGATTTGTCGCCTACGGTATGAGACAGGACTCTCGCGAATCATAGGCACCGCCAAAGCCACGGGCGTGGAGGGGTTAAAGTACTGGTCAGCGCAGTGACCTCTCATGATCCGGGCATCGCTGCAAGCCAACAACCGAAGCGGTATGCGCTCTCTATACATGTGTCGTGTATGCCACGTCTGATACAGTATTCGGTCCTGTGGTAGCGGCAGATGTCGTGCAGCTAGGTACATCTAAATTTAGTAACCGGGAGGATTCCACAGGAAAGTGCCTAGACCATGGGACCCTGCGTCTAGAGGTCGGAGTAATAAATGCAGCCGCATATCCGAGGAGCGCATTGCATCATGCATGACTCCTGCTGGTTCGATCATCGGTAGATGGGCCGTCAAAAACGTGATGTCATGGTCAACTGCGACCCTGATGGACTACATTGCAGTCACCATGTCAAAAATAGTTCCCGCTCTGAAGTACTTGAAGCTGCCATAAGCGGCGCAGGCGGCGATGGCCGAGATTTGCCACCTTGCAGCACTTCCTGAAGGAGCAGATCGCATCATCGCCTCGGTTTTATCCCCCTGTCAACCTCGTCCGCGCCGCTTTCGGTCGATATCTGTCAAGTATGTGTGCCCCTGACGAAATCAGTAAGGAAGTGCGAGGGAAGTACGGGCCAAGTATCAAGATGCCCTGAGAAGGGTTATCTTCTGTGGATATCGAATCTAGATCATCGATACTTAAACTGCATGCATATAACTCATGTCCGATGGAATCCACCTCCTTGGTTTTGCCAACCTCAATCACCTATCCTATCGACACAGTGGCAGCCTACGCCTACCGTACCATCACGCACTATCATCCAACTACGAGAACGTCTAGACCAAACAAGACAACGGCACTGTCGTTTACTCCCAAACAACGACGAACATGAGGTTCTCAAAATGGGCAACACTTGCCTTTGCTTTGGCTTCCCCCGCTTACGCCTGGGAATGGAAGGCATACGGCAGCTCGGACTGCACAGGAAAATCAATGTGGGACGAAAAAGGGGACTACGCTAAAGCATGGCAGCGTGTCACTGACGGGCCCGTACCGAAGAGCATAAAGGTTACAGGCACAGATAAACACGTCTTCGAAGCTGTGGACGCCTGGAGTGAGCCCCATGATGAAGAAGGGCGTCTTAGGGTGAACTTGCATGTTTCCTCTCTGCGGACGACCGAGGGGAAATGTGAAGTATGGCGGGAATGGTGGAAACTCTGGCGGATTCCCAGGGTACGACAAATGTATGTCTCTGTGGGAGAAGACGCCAAAAGCGAAAAGGATGAATTGATACCTACAAGTGTGGCCCAATACATACCCTACGAAGTTGTTGGAGATAAAGGCCCGTCCATTTAATATAAGTAATTCACAACACGTTTCGTCTTGATAAACATTCATTGTTATTGTGGGGTAGTTTAGGTGGATATTTGCAGGTACAATGGGCAGATAGGGTGTTGCGCAGGGGGTGGTAGGGGGCGATGTTCATGCTAAAGAAATATCTCTAGGTACATCATGGTTCTCCAACAACCAGCGAAGAATATGGATGCAGTCCCAATCAACGCCATTAGGATCTTGGACCCCCTCCCCGGCAAGGATGGCTCTCTGATCCAGTGCGATATTCGCGTTGCTGCGCTTGCAGACAGTCCAAGCTATGAACCACTTTCGTACGTCTGGGGCGATCAGGCAGATCTCGCCGCGATCCAGGTTGGCGGGTGTCGCCTGACTATCACGAAGACTCTCCATGCTGCGCTCTGCCAGGTACGACGGCGGAACAGACCAAGATCACTGTGGGTTGACCAGCTGTGCATCGACCAAGACAACCTCGTGGAGAAGGCCGCGCAGATAAGGCTGATGCGAGCCATATACTCCGGCTGCACAAGCTGCATTCTTTGGATGGGCGAGCTTCGAGATGATATCTCGCCCGAAGCCGCTGGCGACGCGGTCAGCTATCTCGAGTGGTTCGCGGCGGCATCAAATGCCTTCGACGCAAAACTTCTGCCAGCTCCACGGTTTATGAAGTCCCGGTGGCGATTCAAGGCCGCCATGATAGCATTGCGGTCTATCGGTACCACAGAGTGTGCATGGTGGTCACGTGTAAGGACTGTGCAAGAGGCAGTCCTTCCAAGTAACGCCGCCTGCTCTGGGGGCCGTTTTCGATCTCATGGGAGGCCCTGAGCGACGCGACGCGGACGTGGACATCGGATGTGCTGCTTGAACTACCGATCCCCGAAGAACAGATGGATTACGCCATTGATCCCGGCGACATCGGCAACCTCATGGCCCGGGTCATCTGGCTCAACGCGACCAAAGGAGAGTCGGACCCGGTGGGTGGCCTGGTCTCAAGTATGCTGAAATGGCGCGACCGCCGAGCGACCGAGCCGCATGACAACTTCTATGCACTGCTTGGCCTGCACCCTGCTGGGACCTTCCCGAGGAGCGAGACACTCAACTACAGGCTTCCAGCCGCCCAAGTATTCAGCCTCCTGACGATGGACCTCATCGACCTCGAGGGTCTTTTCCCACTGGCCGTTAGTCCTCGTCTGAGAGAAGATATGGCCACTCCTGGCATCCCCCGCTGGGCGCTCGATCTAGGTGGTGAAGCCAAGTACGACACAAACCCTTGGCATCATTACTGGGGGTATCATTTCTACAACGCCAACGAGGGGCTGCCGCATGACGGGTTTGAACAAAAGGTCGAAGGCGCCTTGGACCTTATGGACACCTTTGTGGATGTAGTCAAGTCGGTGGGGGAAGAGCACGTGCCGGAGGTCAAGAGTTGGGATGGCCCGGATGAAGTGCTCCAGCCATCACTTCTGAAATGGTGGAAACTGTAAGAAGGAGAAACAGAGGGCGATGAATCGCAAACTGCGAGACCCTATCGCGGGGGGATGACGCGGCGCGATGCCTTCTGTAGACTCATGCTCGGCGATTTTTTGAGGGACAGCGAGAACTACCCAACAAGAGAGGCCGATGAGGACGACATGAACTCCGTTCACGATTTCATGGAGGATGGCGAAGTGTACTGGACGCACGACACGATACGTGCCATGACTCAACACCAGAAATTCTTCATTACGGAGACTGACTTGATTGGACTTGGACACCGCGAAACAAGTCCCGGAGATGAGATCTGGATCTTCAATCTGGGCCAGGTGCCGTTCAGTCTGAGAAGGCGGGGAGAAAACCTCGGGCCACTGCCAGGTTACGACTTCGTGGGTCGGTGTCATGTTGAAGGGATCATGCAAGGGGAGTTGTTCGAAGAGGGCGAGGTAGATCCCGTACAGCAGAGAATCAGGATATATTGACTGATTTCCTCGTAGGCCTGACGGGGTGCATTCTGCTTTTACTACAATACGCCGTGACCCCCAAATTGTCAGAAGGCCAACCATAAGGGGGGGGTAAAATGTATGTTGTTCTGCAGAGGGCTACAATACTAATCAGGCCTGGGGGCCATCTATATTTACATGAATGGTTCCTTTGTTCCCAGGATGTGCTTCCTGACACAAATCACCTTGTGGATGCCGTAACTCATCCCCGTCATTTTCGACTTGATCCCTCAACCATGCTGCCCCCTCCTTCCTGGCTGGACCACATCCACCTTCCGTTAACATCAAACGGACGAGTCGAGCATTGAGCGTGGGGGAAAGAAAGTGCAGCATCCGTGTCTTAGCGGGATGTCGTAGCGTTCATCAGAGGCGGGCTCAAGCCGTTGCAGCTGCCCTTGCCGTTGATGATCTGGCAGTAGTGCGGGCGGCGGCAGTCGGCCACCATTATGGGTCTGTGTCCTTGACATCGCATGTACGAGTGGGCCGTGTCGCAGACGTCGTAGGTTCCATGCTCTCGAGTGCACGCGCTGGCTGATGGGGCCGGGACAGGCTTTGCGGAGCCGAGGGCGGCGAGCGCGGTGAAGAGGAAGGCTTGCACGAGCATGTTGACTGGTGTTGGGTGCTTTCGGTGTGTTTGGTTCTCCTGGGAAGGCGACTTTATCAGAACTTGTTGATGGCTATAAGGAGCCTTGAGTCGTAAGTTGGGTCTTGGTATAGTAGCCAAAGGGAGAGCGGAAGTGAACGGAAATCGTTGTCCTTTCGCAGGCTAAATACATGTAAATAGACCTTCCGCTGCTTGTGTCAGTCATTTTGGAGGCTACGTAATTGGAAGTCACAGTATCGTATTTATGGTCGTTCTTACCCCGTTGAATCTTGTCGCTTGACATGTTGATTCCTTCCTGTGATGTTCCATTTCATGTAGCTGCTGCTCATAAGTGCTGTTACAATGGATAGTGTATGGTACGAGCCCGAGTACAATGTAGCTATGCCTCGTGGTATCTGTATAATGATATCCTACCTATTGATGCCGGCCTTTGCTGACCATAGGACTGGAACCAAGATAATATTTGCCTGTAAGGCTGTCGGGTAGATCATCTGGGAGGTCCGTTTGGTTACTAGCTGATATTTGTGTGATCGTAGAGTTCATCTCATCTACGTAGCTGGGGACTCATGTAAGTCATACCACGACCCACGTATATAGTCAGCTAACCAACAGACGGGAATCATGACTTCGTACATGCAACCTCGAGGTCTCATATCAAACCGAGAAGGTCCTTTATGATAGAACTAGTCCGACAAGGTTCGGCACCTGTGATCTCTTGAGCCCTAAAAGGGGAGTGGGGATCGAGTGGCGTGCCCAAGGAAAGTATAAAGCGACCCAATCTCACCCCTTGTGGTCACGAGGGCTCACGAATGTGGCTACGCCAAAAAACCATAGGCACCCTTCCCGCGGTGTCAGCGAGGCTCCCGCAAGGATGGATGCCAATACAACCTCAGAGACGTAGCAGTCTACCCCCTTCAAGCCTCAAATCGGACCCAACTGGATACCCCGATGCTGGCGAGCCGCCCAGTCTGTTGTCATTCCATCCTGGCCAAGGCTCTTATAGAGCAGCCCTTACCACGTCCAATACTCAGACTTTACCACTCCTTCAACCTCAAACATTACTAATTCAATGAAACACCATGAACACGTCTCAACTCGTCGCCTCCACCAAAAAAACAAGATGCCACCCCTCTCAGGAGTCACCAACAACAGGCATAACTCGCACGTCACTATTCACTCAGCCGCGCACTCCCTCCCGCTAGACCTCTCACGCCAAGTCCCCCGCGACTACTACAACAACAACAATAACAACGATCCAAACCGGAACAACAACCACCCCAGCAGCGGCGCCATCGCCGGGATCGTGATCAGGTCAGTACTCGGCGCCCTGGTGCTGCTATGGGCCCTCTACCGCTGCTGAGCGGTGGGTCGCCGGAGGCCGAGACCGATGTACTACGAGCAGGAGGCGAGGTACGGAGGGAGGAGGAGGTCCCGCTCGCGCTCGCGTGCGCGACGGTCATGCTATCGCTCCCGGCCGAGCTCGTATTCTCGCTGCGATCGGACGGTGTTCGTCGAGGATGTGGCGCGGCCGGCGCCGGTTGAGGGGTGTGGGGGGAGGTGCTGCCATACGTATCGTTAGGACTGTTGGGAACTGGTGGGACAAAGTGTCGCGAGGGTCGAAGTTTAGGCTGGGGAATATGTAGGATCTGGAGATGGAAAGTCAATAGTCCGGCTCGAAAACGTGATGGGTTATGGGTGGCCGCTGGACGTCAATGTGGTCCGAAACTCACAGCTGGGGGCGCGGTCAAATGCATACTGTGGTAAAGGGGTGTGTTAAGATTAGAAGATTACATGAAGTATACGGCCAGCGTATCATCTCCTTATATACAAGCCTCCTCGACCGTATGCTTGGTCTTTCAGCTCAGATCTAGCTGTCCGGACGCCGGCCCAATGTACCGGGACGCTATCAACGCGCTTCTGCACCTGTGATCGAACATCCACGTACTTCTCCGACGTAGACAGCTGACTCTTTTCCGTCTTGATCCTGTGGAGCGTCATATCGCACTGCCAGTGTTCACGGCTCAGGCTCGCGATTGCGATGTCGGTGTCTCGTGCGACGGCTGCGGCGATGTCGATGGGCGGCCCTGCGCGGTCTGGTTTGGGTACGCGGCGCAGGAATGCCATGATCACCACCTTCAGCTTGGCGCCGAAGAACGCTGACGTGCCGAAGTCGTGTATGATATGAACAGTGGCTATGTTCTTCGGGACGAGCCGAGGTGCCGCGTATGGCGATGGACCAATAGTGATGATGGCTTCGTGCCACTCGTGGGAGATGCCTTCGGCACCCTTCATCGGCTGCACGGCGGCCCACCCAATGTAGATACCGTTCAGACGCAGTAACAGGTCGCTCGGCACCCCAGCTAGATTCGCTGTTGGGATCCCAGTCCCCATTAGACCTTGACCGGTCCCTTGGGCCACTTTACCATCAAAGGAGACGGGAAACGGCTGCTCCGGTCCAGTGTCAGGCCCCACGACCTCGGGCGGTGCCTCGAGGGTCCCCTCCTCGTGGAACGCGTCGTATATGGCATCCCTTGTTGGGTCGAAATTCTCCTCCAGAGAGATTAATTGCTGCTTCACGCCGGATTTGACGATCGCCACCTTCTCAGCCTGTTTGGTGAGTCTACCCGGCTGTAGTTTCTTGGCGACTTTACTCTGCACAATACCCTGGGCTGCCAGCGCCGGCCCAACGAATCTCTGTACATACTGCGTGCCGACCACCGACGCCACTTTGAGCCCAGCTTCGAGTGGCATGGTCTTGAGGCTTGCGCCTCGGAGTATGCTCACGTCCGAAGACGTACTCGCTATTCGGAAGACAGGAGAAGGGCAGAGCGTCTTCTTCGAGCCTTGTCCGCTACACATGACGATACGCAAGTACCCATCTGAGGCCGAGGCCGGGATCCGAATGACGCACGTTTCCCTGATGACATGCTTGGACAGGCGCTTATCTTTGGAGGCCTTCTTAAGAAATTTCTTGATATCTCTCTGCCATGCTCGCTCGTCAGACTCGGAAACGTCAGATACCACAGCCTCAAAGGATGGCGTGACATCGATCCAGTTCCCGGTCGTGCCTAGCAGCGCACTCGCGGCCATGCCCATGTCCCCCGAGAAGCCTTTCCGCTGCAGCCAGAAAGACCGATCATGTGGCAACTGCGAATCCCCGAAGATGGTGATGGTGACACTCGTGGCCGGACCTTTGAAGTAGACCAGACCAGGAGAATGGCGCAGAACGCTGAAGTGCCTGGTTGATTCGAAGGGGTGTGAAATGAGCCCGCCGGCGAAGTAGATGGTTTCGTCGACGGCACTCTTCCATATTGAGCGTGATGCTTTGGGTGTGCCTGGTGCTGACGCAGTTGAGTTCACTGATATCTCAGAAGGGCTTGAGACCAGTGGAACCGAGAACTGCCTCGGAGGTATGGAAGGACGAGTATCCAACGTCAGCTCCTTTATCTCCGTTATGGCCAAGGTCTTGGTATCCGTGATCAACGAATGCTTAAGAGGGCTCTCAGGCGGTTCAAGATAGTCATCTATCAGATCGTCGAGAACGTCGTCATAAGTAGGTGGTGGCGTTGAGCTGGTATTCGCAGTAGCGACCGGCTTGCGTCGAATAGGAGCAGACGTGGCCATGGTGTGGGTGTGTTCGCCTTCTGACCGCATATCTGAGGCGGTAGTAGTCGATACTGCAGTCTGGCGAACAAACAGACTTACGCTGCCTGCCGTGGGCCTTTGTACGTGCATAGATGTTGGGGGCCTTCTAACGTTACAGCTTTACAAAGGGACCTATGACTCCATTGAGGGTGGCTGTCACTTGCGGGTCACTTAGAACAACCCCCTATTGAGAATAATATCAAGGAGTCGACGAGGTGATTCGTGTGTACACATCATCTTGATGTCGACGAAGCAAAAAGGGGTTTGAACTGAAACTCCGAGTCCATGTCTCTGCCGTTGCCTTGTTCATGCCCTTAGGAGGTAACCCTTGGGCTCATTTGCGCTGGACCTTGGCGGTGGGGCCCCACTGGAGCTTGTGCCTTGTGGTAGCGGTATCCAGAATAAGGACCAGGGTCACGAATGGTGGCTATTGGTCTGCATTCTGGAAGTTGCTTGATAAGTTATTTAAAGTCTTATTTATTTGAAAAGTAATCTTATAAACTTGTTATAACGTAGTTAAAGTAATAATTTAAAAGGACGTAAGCTTATTAGAAAAGGGTATTAATATGTAACTGTAAGCCTTACGTTTTTTAAGCCGTTGATATACTTAATAGTACAAAAAATTTAATGTATGTTTTTTAAAAATTAAACGAATTAATATCTTTTTAAAAGCTTATTAACGTATGATTCTAATATAAGAAAAAAATTCGATTTTTCCAAGATATATAAGATTATTACGTATTATATAATAAAGAGCTTTCGTATAATAATACTTTCAGGGCTGGAAAATAATTGTATCAAATACTTATAATAAGTACGATATATTTAAAAGCAGAATAAAAGCAATTATATCGTTATTATTAGAACAAGGCTTGAACGATCAATCATAATACTCGAGTATTGGGTCAAAGTCATGATGTTGCTGATGGTTGGATTGGGAAGTCTAGCTGGACCTGCAGGTCTGGCTAAGTGACCTCACAATCCGGTATCTAATCTCTTATCTAATCATACATGTGGGTTCTGTATGGATGGTTTGACTGTGGAATCACATAGATCCAACAAGGATAGTTATTAATATAAGGTGGCATGTCGGATAAATTAAGCGATTGTTATTGGTATCGGCTTTCGCGCTAGCGCTCTAACCACTGAGTTAGCTGTTATAAAACACGTAGACGGGAAAACATTTAGCCTTAAAATGATTTAATTAATAATCGATTAACGACAGTTATAACCCCAATAGTATACTTATTAAAAATGTAGAATAAATATATAATAACGCAGTTTTAAGCTATATTTGAAGTATTATAAAAAAGAAAATAGAGTAAACAAATAATAAGTAATAATATTAACTAAATTACTAATTTTACGTGGTTAAAAGAAAGTAAGCTATTAATAAGTAGTAACAATAAACTAACTATCGATTTTACGTCGCTTTTCTTACGTTATTTAAAACCCCGGGTTTTAAAATTATTAGTAACGATAACTAATACGGAAATATCGTTAATTATAACAACCTCAACTTTGTTAATTGTAATTAAAATATTATTACTAACCCTATAACTTTAACCCTCATTTAATACTTCTATTTTGATTCGATTTAATGAAAAAACGTTTTTTTATCTTTTTATTATCTTTTGATTCTAAGCTATACTTTTTTAAAATATAATTCGAATGTATAAGGATAAATAAGGCTTAATAATAGGATTAAAAATAATAAAAACATCGAATATTACATATCTGAAAGCTTAATAAATTTGCCTCTTTAAAAAATTTAATAAGGGTTTTTCTTATAATTTTATAGTTATATACTCAGAATTTCTTTTCAAATTAAACGTATTATCGATACCGTTATCACTACTAAAATATACTATAATAATTTCGTTCAAATATAAAAACACCTTTTAATAAGGTAATTACGTATTGATTAATACTTAAAAAACGAAAAGTACTTAATTAATATAGTTAAATCTAATATATAATAAAAAGTGAAAGTATTATCCGTGAAACAATAAGTGCAGTATGAGCATGACAGCGTTATTGCATTCAGGAAAAGGTCTATGGACTTTCTTTTGGTGGTAGGAACACTTTAATGTCCTGTGGGTCCCTGTACGATCCGACAGCGTGGCTGATCCCTACATACCGTTTACATATATAAATAGATACTGCTCACAAAAGAAACTTAATATCGTCGAGGTTAAAAGGTAACGAAAGCAATTATATATTCAATAAGTTTCAACGTAATAACTTTAAAATAATTAAAGTAAATCTTAGAATCCAGTCCAACCATCAGCAACATCATGGCCTTGACCCCATACTCGAGTATTATAATTGATCGTTCAAGCTTATTCCAATAAATAGCTATTTTATATCTTTTTAAGAGGTTTCAAAGTACTTACTAAATTATTTAACTTATATTAAGTTAGTTTTATCGTTTAAATAATTACTTTTTACGATTATAATAAGTATCCGGTGGTTTAATTTGAGTACTTTAAGTTATAAAAATATAAAAAGTATTTTTAAAAGAATTAAAAGCTTAAAATAACCTTATCAATAATAAAGATAACTTTTGTATTAGTGACAAACTTTTTATTTTCTATTTTTTGAAATGATAAGCTTTCTTTAATATCATAATTACTATATAATTCTCATTAAGTTTTAAATAAAAACCCGTTCTTTTTATATGTTATAAGTTATTTAAAAAGTTATTTAATAACCTATTTTAGCTTTTAACAATATCTTTTAATACAATCTAAGTTTTTAATAGCTTATTAATTTTATAAAAAAGCTTTTTATAGTTGAAAAAAGTACTTATAACATTTAATAAAGCAAATAATCTAATTTTTATTAATTATAAATAATATTATAACTAAAATAACAACTAAAACGTCGATACGAGCAGTATGTGGGGTCATTTATTGTGTGCGCCAGAGTCAATTCTTTTAGCTAGTAAGGCGAGGGCTGCACACAGTTAAGGTGTGGCAGCCTTCCTTATCTTATTTAAGGCTAGCTTATATCATCAACTAGGTCACCCACCTAGTGCAGGGCCCCCTGTTGCCACGCATCAAACGTTAAGTAATAGATCTATAAATTTCGTAAAAATCGAAGTCTTAAAAATGAATTTATAATATTTAAACGATCGATTTAAATATAAATAGCTTTTTTATATCGTATATAACTTAGTAGGTAGCATACACAGTTTTCTTAAATTTCAATACTTTCAAAGTAGTTATGAAAGCTGTATTTTAAAATATTAAAAAGTGTCGGACGTGGTGCCTCAGGATGTGTGGCGCAGGCTGTGGCGCAGGTGGTCCGTGTGTGGATGAGGACGGTCGTTGAGAGACCGTTGCCCCACCACTCAGCTATTCCGCTAGCGGGACACGTACGTACTGTATTTTAGCTGTATTCGTGTTTGCACTAGGTAGACACGGAACCTTAGAGAAATCAACGAGCGAATGGATACGTATTCTGCACACTGACTTTCCACAAAAAGCTTATAAACCATATGTTTAGAAGTATTTAAATAACTATTGATATAGTTTACAACTTTAACAGTATAAGATTTTATTGCGAATACTTATTTGTTTAAATTAATGATAATTATAGTGTATGTTTTATAAAAGGTGGTGATTCTGAAAGATTAGTCTTTAATTATAGGTGGTCCGTTACCTTAAAGAGAACTACTTTATGTGGTGAGCCCTAGCAAGCTGGAAGTGGTGCGGGGCACGAGTAGTGGGCATTCACAGCGTCTAATCGGGGCGATACCACCCCTAACACCGCCATCTGCCGATCCCCTGCCGGGGCAGTACCTAAGGTAGGCTATCGCTATCGGTGTAGAGGAGCTCCCGTCCCGTTAAGCTCTCACCTTAGGGCTCAGACACCGTTTCTCAACAGACTTCAGCCTTCTCGAACCTTGATGGTAGAGACATCCCTGAATCTCCTCTCTCAATCTTCAAAATCTATCATCTGTCACTTGATCGCGGGTGATGAGGATGTAGGAGCTACCACCGGCTAACAGCTACCCGCTGCTCAAGAGTCAAGGTCAACCTTCAATGATCGATGATCGACAGCTCTCCCTGTCCAATCTATGTAGGTAGGTGTCACAGGCGACCGCCTATCACTCATTCTTATCGCCATGGCATCATCTTCTACGTCCAGTTCCAGTTCCGCCTCGTCGCAGTCGGCGTCGCGTCCGAGTTCGTCCCATGTCATTCCCGGATCTGCCGACTTGGTACCTGTCGAGACGCTTGTGCTGCATCTGCTCGATGCAAAGCGGTCGCTCTCTTCGGTACGGCTCGTCCTGCGCGCCAATGAGCTCGTTCATTCCGCCCGCCGCGCTCACGAGGAGTCCGCCATCCTGTCTGCCCAGGCGCAGTTCCTCCGAAAGGGCATCAACGAGCAAGGCCGACTGCTTAATCGGGTCCGGAAGAGCCTGATACGAACATACGAGGATGGCAAACGGGAGTTCAAGCAAGTCATCAAGACCCTTGATGCCACCAACAGCCGACTCGAGGATACTATGAACATCCTACGAGGCCGCATCATAGAGGGTGCTTTTCGCCCAGCCGGCGAGGAGAAGCGCAATCTCCTTGATTTCGTGGACGAATTGCAGGTCGACACTATGGTCCATGCTTTGAAGGAGAACATCCAAGCGCTGCAGGTAGGCACACCACACTCTCGCCCTGTGCCCGGTGACACAAATACTGATCTTGCCATCCATAGGCAACGCAGCAATCGTTCGATGGCGATCTCCTACGCTTCGAAACCGACATGCGCACCCTGACCAAGACGATATCTTCCGCCCCTTCTCCTCCGTCGCCATCTGCTTCCTCCGACGACCGATCAGTTCCGCATCTGCTATCCTCCCTGATTGCAGACTCACACGCCATGGCCGAACTACTCACGTCTCTAACAAAACATTTCGATCTTTGCGTCACTGCCGTCCGGACGACCGAAGGAGGAGCAGCATTAGCTAGGATCAAAGCTGCCGAGTTTACACAGTCTCAAGGGGGAGAAGATGTATCAATCTCGGGCGTCATTTCGGAACAGGAGTCACACATGCCGGGCCTCGAACCAATATCACCCGAGGATCGCGCCCAGATGCTCGAAGTAGTCGTTCAAGACTCGTCCGAGGTCGAGGATGTCGTGCGGGAGTTGAACGAACGCTTACAGTCGATGGAGGCGGACTTCCAGAGTCTGGACGAGCAGACTAGCCAGGTTGGGTTGATGTATCTTTCCACGCTGGAGGCATTCCAAGTACTGGAGGACATCGGCTCGCGGCTACAGAACTACATCGCAGCCGAATCCGAGTTCCGGGAGAGGTGGGTAGAGGAACACCAAATCATACAGGAGAAGATGGGCGAGATGGAGGACCTGAGGGTCTTCTACGAAAACTATGCCAGCTCCTACGATGACTTGATACTCGAAGTCGAACGACGGAAAACCTTAGAAGAGAAGATCCAGAGTATCTGGAAGAGAGCACAGGACAGCGTGCAGAAGATCGTCGAGAGCGATCGTCAAGAGAGGGAGTTCTTTCGCCACGAGGTGGCCGAATATCTACCTACTGATCTGTGGCCCGGTATGGACGATGCTATTCCGCAGTGGGAGGTCGTGTCGGTTCGAGACGACAAGGACAGGCACGACGGACTCGGTTGTATACCGACGCTCGAAAGAAGCGTTGGGAAAGCTGCAGCAATGCGTCTCGGTCGTGCTGCTAATGATCGGCAGTGATTATGGGGAATGATGGTGTATTTGGCGTTTAGGAAATGACAGGACCTGGATCAACGGTGACTAATGCGACCGGCGTTCTGGCGGCAGCCGGTGGACAAGACGAATCTCACTCTAATTGTACAAAAAGCTACTTTTCAATATTGGAATGTAACTCAAGCACCCTGCTCATTGTAGCACCAGTCCTGTCTATGGCTTGGGCGCGTCCGCGATCTTCTTATATGCCTTCTGGATCTCCTTGAGCCCGTCCATCTTTTGCAACCACTTGCTGACTGTCGGGTACGGATCCAAACTGATCTGCGCATACTTGTGCTGCCGCACCCACGGCTCATAGTGCAGGTCCACCGCCGTCACGCCGCCAGGTAGGATACTCTCACCACCCGTCTTCTTCAGCTGTCCCTCGAGGACGCCGAAGCAGCGCTCGGTCTGCTCAACGTAGCGCTTCAGCGCATCCTCGTTCTTGACCGCGTTGTAGTGCCTAGAATACCCATCAGCCCTCAGCCGTCTTCAAACCCATGAAAGTCATCATGTAATTGAAACCAAATAAGTTACTCACCGATACCAGTTCGTCTGCCCCAGCATCGGCCCCAGCGTCGTCAGCAGGAAGTATTCCCACTTGTCGAAGTCGACGCGGTCCTGCTCGCTCGCGCCGGGCCGGGGCCCGAGGACTTTCCCCTCCTTGTCGTAGACGCGGCGCAGGTAGTTCATGCAGGCGCCCGACTCCCAGCTCACGACGCCGCCCTCCGTGTTGGGGTCCTCGAGCGCGGGCACGCGCCCGTTCTCGTTGATGGCCAGGAAGGCGGCGCCCTTGACGCCCTTGTCGGCGTCGGGGCCGAAGTCCCACATCTTGATCTCGTACGGTATGTTTAGGAACTCGAGCGCCGCGGCGATCTTGATTGGGTTCGGGCCTGTGGCGTGGGCGTGCAGGGTTAGGGGCTTGGTGGGTGCCATGATAAGGTTGTTTTAGGTTAGGTGTTTGGTGTTGCTGTTAACTTGTTTGACTGTTAGATGAGATGGAGAGGTGCTCGGTTTGCGGCAAGCTTCGATGATGGGAGATTCTGCTGTGCATGGAACGTGCAGGTCAGTGATGAGAAAGAGTGTTGGCCCAACTGATGTGAGCTCCTCGTGTAAAGGTCCCGAGGTGAGGTCCCGAGGTGAGGTCATCGAGGTGCGAATGCAACACCTAATCGTCATAGCCGAACCTTACTAAAGACACCGGGTTGTTCTTCCTAGTGACTGGATACCGCCCTCCTTTCCATCTTACCCCTTTTCCTTGCCCAGTTAATCCAGCCAAAACCCCTTTCCATTCAGAACGCCATCAGAAGTGGCCAACACTCTCGCATCGCTTCCCTCCTATCCGGCACAGTAAAAACGCATAAAGACTGCTTGCGCTTAGCAAACAACCCCATCTGCGGCGCCCACTCTCGTTCATCCACGTCCGGCCCCTGGACGCCGTCCATCGTGACCCCGGACTCGGAGTTCTAGTTCTTGTCGAGGTAGGTCCTGAGTTTGTCCTGCCCGGACGTGATGGTCAGGTTCTGCAGACGTTTGGTGCCAGTCTGCTGGTGTCTCTTCTCATCTAGGCGCGAAGGGCTGCAAGAAGGGATGCGGAAGACGAGTCAGGCGGCAAGAGAAGACGGACGTGTTTTGCGGTGATGTTAATGGATAAGAATGCCGAACTGGTCCGCTTGTGGCTGTTGGTGCAGTGGCATACCGCCGGGGTCCCGTACCCGCCTGCGAGGGTGTACCGGATTGCGGTGTAGAGGCAGCTCCCCATCACTGGTGGTGGTCATGACAGCGTGGCTTGATAGATGGTTCAACGGGCCTGTGACAGTCGCCGGCCTCGTGTACGTCGGTATTAGACAAGAAGATCAGAGGAACCTGTGTCCAATCTCGCACACTGGCATTGCTTAGGATCGTGGCGTGAATGGTCGTCCGGTCTATATACGGCAATCTTTGGACGGATCGACTGGATTACCGAGCTTCCTTCCTCTTGCTCCCCTTGACCGCGTGGCCACATTTAGGGCCAATAGGAAATGTCTGTAAGTACTAGGGCAAGCCACTCAAGCCTCACGATGGAAGTTCAAAGAACCAAAGCTCTAAACCTCTCAAACGTCATGCCATAAGCTGTACGACTCTTTGTTGACTTCATGTCTCGACTTAGGGTTAGGGTTAGGGTTAGGGTTAGCATTGCGAGTCTTCCTTGGAGCTAGCAACAGACATGGGGGGGGGGGGGGCCGGCCCCTAGTCTAGTGGCCCTTCATTTACCAACGCCGCGAAGTTTAATGACTTCACACCCTCATCTTCTTCTTCACACTTACTTGAGATACCAGGATTTGCCTTGGATCACTTGTCTGGCAGCTCTCTCGCTTGGCCCTGGTAATGGATTCAGAAGCACGACGCCGGTGCGAAGCCAGAGCCGTGGGCCGTACGCCCGAAGAACATGCCGCTCTCGAGCAAGCGTTGGCTAGACGACGAGCCAGACGTCGTGAAGCTGAGCGTCAACGCGATCTGGATCGCGTACAGACTGGGCCTATTCAGCGTGATGCCTATGGAGGTGATGCGAGCGGTCTGATGAAGCGCATTTCGCGCTATTCCCAGGAAGTCGAACTGGTGCAGCGTGCAATGCGTCTGGAAGCGTTTGGGTACGAAGAAGAGAACTATGAGGATGGTGCCAGCTCTGGACCGGACGACTCCGAGGACGGGAATGAAGACGCGCAAGCCGATCCGCCCGCGACGTACCAAGAGTACAAGCGAGAGAAGCAATCATCGAACCGAGGCCTACACTGGAATGATGGGCTTGAGTACGCGATGTTTCGCATGCGGGCTCAGGCCGCTTCACCTGCCCCCATGCCGCCGACGCTGAAGGATCCGCCGCGCCGCCGTGGTCATACTCGATTGTCAGACCGCAAAGCCCGGGGCGAGGGGTGGCATCGCGGCGGCTACAGGGACTTGGGAGACATGTGGATCAACGTGAAGGGAGGCACCTACGGGTCCGTGAAGGGGCAGGACGTCAACGAAAATGCGACTGTCAAACATTTCGTCTGGAGTATCTTCAGTATGTCAAGGGCCCCTGCGCGCTTGAGCGACTGCGGCTTTGTTGCTAACGCATCCGCAGACTATTGGGAGTCGGTATACCCGCCTGGCTGGTACTGCGACCTCTTCTTCCGGAAGAAATCCCTTATTCGGATGCTCGTCGATCCCGAGAACGATGGCGTGCAAGAGCACGAAAGGCTAGTCCGCGATTATTTCGACGGCGGCGAAACGGTCTACTTCACGGCCTTTGATAGTGCAGGCAGGGAACGCGATATACGCTGCTGAGTAGTGAGAGACGCGCTTTGCACATCCAGGGCACTGCCTTGAAGATTGAGCCAAGGGTTAAGTGGTTCAACACCGAGTTGTTCGTAGATGGACAGCTCTGCCCCAGCAATTGGATTGAAAGGGTCCTGTCATCTGCATTAGCTCAGTGGTCGGGCTCGGTGGCCAGCGCGGCCCGTTTGCGATAGCGAAGGCATACTTGGGGTACGGTCAGAATCTCGCACGTCACGTCGGACGAGGGCCGGGCTGCGAACTAGACGCTTGGGAGGATAGGCTTCAAATATCAGAGGATGTACAAGGTGGCCACTGGAGCAGACCATCGTGGCTGATGGCGGGTATATCATCATTGTGACCTTACGGCCCAACGATATGGCTTTAAAAACAACTGCAACACAGCCAGGGGTCGAATCAATGACATTGTCAAAGTACTACTTACACAGGGTTTCAAGCTTCTACTTGAGGCGGGCCGATGTACCTCAGATTAGCACATGACGACCTGGACACCCTTGCTCCCTTTCTTCGCCTGCGCCGTGATCAAGTCATGATCATACTTGACATCTTCCACCATCGTCCCATGCAGCTTCATATGGGGAAACACACGCAGTGCAAGAGCGGCCGTGGTCATGTAGAGCTCACAGTATGCCAGGCTATGACGTAAACAAAGAAATCAGCAAGAGGGAACTGTGTGCTTGCGAGAGGCGTTAGGTCGTGTAAGAAGACTCACTTGATACCCAGGCACTGCCGGGTTCCCTTGGAGAACGAGAGCAGACCCTTCTACATGTTCGGTCTCTTGAGACCCTTCTCGTCCAGCCATCGCTCCAGTATGAACGCGTCCGAGTTTGGGAATACTTCCTCGTTGTGGTGCATGATTGCGGCCGACACTACAGTTGCTTGTCAGTCGGACGTCTCATCTTAAAAGCTTCCCGTGCTGGTAAACGGTGATAGGAAAGAGGGACTATTACTTACTGCCGATCGCCGTCCCTTTTGGAATGACGTATTCGACCGCTCCGCGTCCCTTGACTTCTCCAGTGTAGACGAGATGCTCATCTCGTGGAACACGAGAAGTTCTCGAGGACACGCCGTAAGACAACCGTAATCCTTCGGATATCACGGCGCTTAGATGGGGCAGCTTCTCCAGCGTAGTCCAGGAGAGGCTCTCTGGGTCTGTGTCTTTCAACTCCTCAGCCAGTCGTGCCTGGATGGCAGGCTGTGAGAGCACGTAGAATGTGATTACGGACAGTGTCCACTGCGGCCAACACTGTTAGCTCATCTGTCCTATGTCGGAGTCTAAGCAAAGCGACTTACAGCTGTGGTCTCTGTACCCGCCCCAGTGAGTGAGAATCCCTCACCGGAGAGACGGTCGACCGTCTTTTCCGACTCGGGAAGAGACGAAGCCAGGATATCGGTAAAGACGCTAGGTCTGGCTCGTACCGTACCCTCCCCGCGACGTGGTCTTCGCGCGCCTGGCGGATGCGGTTGGGGGTGTTGATGTACATCTCCTTCATGAGGATGCCGATGTCACCTGTCATGTACTTGGCCAGAAATGGGGCCACGTGGACAAGTCCGCGAACCCAGGGGAAATAGCGGCGCACCCTGTGCTGATCATGGACGATGGTGCCGAATGCAGAGTTGGTCGTCGGTCCCGCGAGCACATGCGGGTTATGGGCCTGCTTGTTGCGCTTGCGGCCTGCGGCAGCGTAGATCTCGTCGACGAAGGCCGCGTCGTTGCAGTGAAGTTCATCTGGGCTGATCCTGACTACGGGGCCTAGAGAGAGGAGTGTTAGTGTTTTACTTTCACCCATGGTATAGCTGAGAGGAGCAGCCGGCCCGGCCAGTTCTGTGGTCCGAAGTCCTTCGACTCCATTTTCGGTAGGTTATAACCACCCAGACGACCGTGCCTAGATTCGCCATGGGGCAAGGCTGCTGGTTTCCGCACGTGTCGATTATAAGTAACGGGTTATCCCTCACCATAAGTCTCATGCATCTTCCGGATCTCCTTGGTATAGGTTCCGCCCAAAACCATGTCGTACCACAACTCATACAGCAGTGTCATAGCCGCCAGTTTCGGGCCCGGAATGTGACTCAATGGGTGCATGGGAGAGATATTGTAAATAGAAAGAGCGAAATGGTACGAAATCCATAAGCCCAACAGTCGGAGGGCGTTGGTGGCTGTCACCACGCCGGGTAGGCTGTCCATGCCCAAGGAGGAGTCCACCATGCAGACCGTTGGCTGATCAGCGATGCCCGCCAGAGTAGCCAACGCAACTATAATAGCGATAGGGTGAAACAGTCGAGGTTCTCTGTAAGTGAAGAAGACGAGAAACCAAAGAAACTGGAAACAAAGACTTCAGAGATTGCAGCACGGCGCTGATTTGAAACCTGCGCGCAAGATATGTTGCATCAGGGTATCGAACATCTGTGCGACCAAGGATGCGTTATCCCCCGCAAGCTGCTTGGTACGCTGAAACCCCTGCAGCCAGCCATGATCACCCATGCCGCCATGAGGGCTCCGAAGGCGCGGTTGCGGCACATGTTTGTTTGTTTGTTTTGTATTTAACGTGGGGGGTAGCTCCTCAGTAGTGCAAACCACGCCTCCCAGAGCCATTGCATCGCAAGGTTGTAGAGGTGTCAAACTAGATACATTCAGATCCGCGCACGAGCCTATCCTCGCTGTAGCGGTACCAATCTGGAGTGTTCAGATGGTTTTAGTCAATACCCAAGCACGATTCTGTCAGAAAAACCTCCTATCTAGTGACAAAGCGACCCAGTGAACCTCAGTCCTCTGGTATACATATCGTTCCAGTAGCCGTTCGATATATGTCGCATTGGTGGGTGGAGTAGGTGTTTGTTATCTGCTGGCGAGGGAAACCACAAAGGGGGAAACCTCGCAGGAGTGGGTATTGTGGAGACAAGCTGCTTGGCTATCGGGCTCTGCGATAAATGGGGCCTCTCCACTGTCGTGTGCTGGTTATCGACTCGCACAAGCCGGGTCAGAAAGGGGGCCATAGCAGGATTCGAACCCACCGCACAAACGAGAACACAACCAGGCGCATTTGACCATTGCGCCATACGGCCGGTTGCGGCACATAATACGCCGATGTCACCCTCAAACCCTGGGCAGAGTCCCTGGCGTGGAATCCAGATACAGGAACCTGCGCGCGAGGATTACTGTCAGATTTCAATGTTGTCATTAAGGGGTATAGGCATAGATGTTGTAGTATTTAGAGAATATATTGCGCGGCCTCTGGATATGCCTCCTGTATCGAGGTTTTTCGATAGGGACTGTTGTGCTGTGACATAACTTAACCGTTGGAGATCGCGATACCTCGAAGTATGCACATTAAAAGTATTTGGCTTCCGCCTACGTATATATACAGTCATGTTCGAGGAACGCCTCGCGCATGGCCAGATTTCTCCCGCTCTTGACTCATTCTCCTTGTGGGGGGGGAAGGGGGGGAGATCGACATGCTTCCCATACATTGGCAACATTGAGATTCGAAGATGCATTCCGGTATCACATTACATCCTTGCTTGCGGACCATGACCCCCTGGCACTAGGCCAGATGGGTATGGTTGCCGCTAGATACGTGAACCCTACTTTCAGCGACCGTTTGGCACCACTTGATTTCCTGTCCGTTCCGAGCTTTACTCGAACACATTACTTCGCCGTCCTCCACTTTTATCTTGGACTCTGCACCAGAAGCTCTCAAGTAGATGGAGAGGAAGATTCGTTACAATGTCGGAGCAGGGGCATGGTGTGGTATATCTGGTATCATGAGCTTGGACCGACAGCTACCTCACTACCTAGTCAGGGCAATGAGTGGATAGCTCGCTGGGAGCGAGAACGAAGTGGTTAAATGCCTACTTGTGGCGAGACTGCAGCTTGCATCCTTCCCCCGCAGATGTCCCTTGGAGGAACCGAGTCCGCACTGTGAGCACCAGCAGAACTCTTCATAACCTCTGCAATTATATGTGACATCTCAACCACCAATGAGGCGGGATGCTTGTAAAGCCTCGCCCATAAAGCCAGACCCCGCTCGAGACACCTTGTTCCCTCAAGTCCCTCATTACGACCAATATCCTGACAGATGTCGTGATTATCCTTCTCCGATCTACAGTATGCGATACGAACACTCTTCCATGCGTCCCTATTTGGCTGACAACGGTTACAGCTGTGTGGCAGTTGAAGATGCGAAGAACTGAGAAGGTTGCCGTCACAGCGTGCTTCCTCATTGGACTGGCGTAAGTAGCCATTAATGCACCCTCGGGAAGGGTTCGAGTAAGTATTTGCTGACGGCTGTAGTGTCATCATCGCCGCTATCTTCCGTATGATCTACGTCTCGACTGTCGACATTCGAGGCGACTTGACTGGCACGATGCCTATCACAGTCTTCCTCTCCGCATTCGAACCCAACCTGTCCGTCTTGTGCGCCAGCATCCCCATGCTACGGCCTTGCTATACCAGATACGGGAGGCAGCAGGCTGCTTACAAGCTTTCAGAGGAGCAGTCAAGTGCTTTCGAAAGCGGCTTGAAAGACTCCGACCACTCGAGAAATCTGAAGCACTCGAAAAACTCGAGGGCAAACTTTCGCAAAGATGGGTTGGAGCTGGGCACCCTCTACTCCCCAGAACATGACTTCAAGTACAACGCTACCGTCGACGCTGGAAACCACACGGATGAGGCTCGCAGCATTGACGATTCTGTCTCCGAGAAAACCTGGCACATGCGCATCGGCCATCGGACTCAAGGATCACGGTCGAGAAGAAATGGACTATCACGCAACTGAGATACCTGCGTCGAAGCGAGAGAAAACCAAGTTCATCGGCGTTGAGGATATGGTAACGTTACTGCATCCTCAGCGTCTGCGAGCAAACTCGCTTCTGTTATGGTAGCGAGCGATTGTCTGCTGTCGTGAAACAACTATGTAGAATGACTACATGTTTTCGAAGGTCGGAACAGGGAGAAAAGTGATTGCAAATGGGAACAGAACTTCATGGGATATCATTGTGCCCCTGCTAAGAGAGGGCGTCTTGTTAATGGGTAGCAACCCATTTGCGATTAACAACATTAGCGCCTATGCAATTATGACAGGTGAACTCGAACATGTTAGAAGCGCACCACTGCATTCGTGCGCAACCAGGTGCCGCCAGGAAGAGCAGTCATCTGCTAACGAAGTTAAATAATCGCCCGGACATTTGGTTCACCTTCGAGAAGTACAGTGCGCATCAAGCCTAAGGTATTCTGCACTGATGTTGACTGATAGGTTCTCTGGGCATGTTTAGGTATACTTCTTCTCAACACTAGAGCTCTCACCAGGCATCAACCTTCTCTTTCCGTCATGTCTCAGGTCACACTTACCCTGCGGCCATGACGTCCAAGACTACGAGATCAACAGGCAATTGAAATTTGCAATAGCTAGGTGCTTTCCCACTCATCGACCACGAGCCTTCGTGCGCGTGTGCTGATAAGATTGCAATTTACCCGTATGACTTCATCAATACTAAAATGAGCACCCTAAAATAAGCTGAAGTTCAGTTCATACGCTAGTTTCAGTGCTGATTCTATTCCGATGAGTTTCCCTTTGTTTCCTTGACGGGGGTGTACGGACAGGTTAGGGGTTCAGCAGTTACCTAAGTCACTCGGTTCTACATCTCTCTGGTTCCACGAGACACTCCATTCCACCCGAATATGGGTCTGGAAAGCCAGCCAGGCATATGCTTCAAATTGAGCACCTCGCTACCACATAAGCAGCGCAGATACCCCTAAAACCGTCTTCAATAACACAAATTACAGAGGCAAACTTGAACACTTCATCGAACCAACAAACGATCACCAACAATAGCTGCAACCGATGGCTCAAGCACTCGGCAACACGCCCGAGGAGCAATGGCGAGACATGAAACGAAAGGGACAGCGGAATGAGCCCCTGGACAAGCTCATAAAGATGGTTGGCTTGGAAGAAGTCAAGACGCAGTTTCTTCGTCCTAAGGAATCTACGGAGCTTGAGTCAAAGCATTATGGGCTGAAGAACGAACGGCGGGCCACTGTTTTTCTTGGGAACCCAGGAACAGGTCAGTAACTTACCCCCAAAGCACCATATGCAGAGGATAAGTACTAACGGGTTTACTCGGAGTTTCTCAAGTCTCTTCAGGTTTTTGGCGATATGACCGGTCGTCAATGGACCTACAAGGAGATTAGCGGTTCACTGCTGGCCCATCAAGGACTGGACCGCATCAAAGCCTTCATCGACGAGATCACATCACAAGGTGTCGGTGTCTTGTTCATCGACAAAATATACCAGCTGGTGAATGGAAACAATACCGGCGGGGCTAGTGTCGTCGACTACCTCCTGACCGAAATGGAGCCTCCAGGACAAGCTCGTCTTCATCTTCGCGGCTACAAAAACGACATGGAGAAATTCTTTGCTCACAACGTTGGTGTGCGTGGACGAATCGGGTATGAGTTCAAATTTGAAGATTACGACGAAACACAGATCCAACAGATTTTGCATTCTCTCATTGAGGAGAGATATAAAGGGCAAATGAGAATTGAGAAATGTCAGACACAACCGAATGACCCCGAATTCCTTGTCAAAGCAGCCGCGCGCCGTATCAGCCGAGGCCGTAATCAAGAAGGCTTCGCCAATGCCAGAGCTGCTGAGAACTTCGTGTTCCAAGTCAACGCACGGATGTCTCAGCGATTAATCAGAGAGGCAAACGCACACGAGGCGAAAGGCGCGAAATTTCCAGATTATTTCTTGCTTACTGTGGATGACATGCTCGGCCCCGGAGCGTCTTCGCCTCTATTCAACAGCAAGGCATGGAAACAGCTCGAAGCGATGAAAGGACTGGATGCTGTGAAGAAATATGTTCTTGGCATGGTTAAAAAACTCCATTTCAACCGATGGCGCGAACTTCAGGACCTGCCACCACTGCAAGAATCACAGAAAAAAGTCTTCCTTGGTAACCCAGGAACAGGCAAAACCACCGTGGCTACGCTATATGGCCAGATCCTTGTGGAACTTGGCATTCTGAGTAATGGCGAGGTGGTTGTGAAGACGCCAGCGGATTCCATTGGTGCCCACATTGGCGAGAGTGAACAAAAGACGAAAGCCATACTTGATTCAACGAAGGGGAAGGTCTTGGTGATCGACGAGGCATACCAACTGGGAAACAAAGGTGGCGCAAAAGGCACTCATGGGATCAGCAACTCTTTCAATACTGCAGTCATTGACACACTAGTCGTCAACGTACATAGTCAAGCCGGGGGCGACCGATGCGTCTTACTGCTTGGCTACAAGGACAAGATGGAAGAAATGTTCCAGGATGCCAATCCAGGGCTCAAGAGGAGGTTTCCACTTGACAGTGCTTTCGTCTTTGAGGACTTCACAACTGAGGAGCTGCGCGACATCTGGCGCCAGCAGGTAAAAACAAGAGGCTTGGTCGCCCCCGGTCAAGTCGAAAAGACTGCCATGGAATACATCGAAAAGCAGCGCAACCAGCTGAACTTTGGAAACGCTGGAGAGGTCAACATCATCCTGGATGCGGCACAAAAGCGCTACCAGGAGCGTATAAGGAATGATCCGACGAAGTTCAAGGATGATGTTCTCCTGAGTCCGGCGGATGTTGATCCTGAATTTGCACGATACGCGCAAGGCTTGGACAATGTCAAAGAACTCTTCAAGGACGTCATTGGCTGCGAGGCAATTAAGAAGGTTCTGACCAGTTGGCCTGTTAGAGCCAATGATGCCCGGAAGTTTGAACAAGACATCCACGAAATAATCCCCATGACTCTTGCTTTTACAGGTCCTCCCGGTAACGCTCTACGAGGAACAGCCAGTTTGAAGCATAGACTAACGCTCGTCAACAGGAACTGGTAAGACCACTATAGCGAAGAAGATCGGAATCATCATGCATGCTCTGGGGCTCTTTGGGAGTGAGGAGGTGAATGTTATATCGGCGAGCGACCTTATTGGCGAGTTCATTGGCCATACGGGCCCCAACGTGCGAAGACAATTTGAGTCATCATTGGATCAGGTATTTTTTATTGACGAGGCCTACCGTCTACGCAAATCTCACGGCTTTGGTCAAGAAGCTATTGACGAAATAGTCATATGCCTTACTCAGGAAAAATTCAAAAACAAGTTAGTGGTGGTCTTTGCGGGATACGAGCAACACATCGACGACTTGCTTAATTCCAACCCGGGAATGGCCAGCCGAGTCCACCAGACGCTGAAATTTCCATCACCTACAACTGAAGACGCTATCAAGTTGTTGGATCTGCATGTCAACAAAGACCCTTTCCGAGCCAATTGTTTGAAGAACGGAAATGGGACCCCGAAAGTCATGACGGCAACGCGGCAACTGGTCAACCTTTCTACCTGGGCAAGTGGTCGGTCTGTCGAGACTCTAGCCAAAAACATCAAAAGCGCAACAATGGACGAGGAACACATGGGGCCCCTAATAATGATCAAGGAGTGTCCCGTCCTAGCACAACTCGACTTCATGAGAGGTGAACTACTTCGTCTCATGAGTTCTTCCGACAGAGCCGCAGCCGAAGCATTTCGCGTACACTCATTAGAAGCACCACAGGCAGCGACACATGCAGCATCAGCCAAGCCGCCAAACGTGAACATGAAGACGACCACCAACGCGCAGAAAGAATCTCCGAATTCAGGGGGGGGGAACGACCCCTCTGGCGACGCCGCTCTGGCCAAAGCAGCCTCCCCCAACATTCTCAAACGAGACCGAGATAGTGAAGCAGAAGAGGATGAACCGAGGACCAAAAAAGCCAAGCCTGCTGGAGTGATAGCTAAACCTCCGGAGAAGGCATCGAAGCCTGCCGCAGCCCCGGATCCCAACACAAGTACGACGCGGCCGACCAAGAGGGCGAAAACAGTCGTCGCGCTACCACCAGCGCCTGCAGCGGTGCCTTCACGGACTGAGTCAAACCAGGGGCTTTCCGACGGAGGACAGCAAGGCACAACTTCTGCGGCGGTACCGGATAGATGACCCTCGCCCTTCGAAGGTACAGTCCCTCAAACCGCTTCAAGACGCGGCGCAACGAAAAGCACGTACGGAGAAGGCACGGCTCCATGCACTAAGGAAGGAACGCCGGAAAGCAACTGAGGAGGCGATACGACAGAGAGTGCTTGCAAACAAAGTGCTTGCAAAGAAGGAGCGACAAAGATTGCTTGACGAGGAGGCCCAAGCAAAAGCGCTCGAGAAGAAGAAACAAGAAAAGGCTAAATATAATGCGCTAATGGAAGTGATCGAACGACAACGTGTTTATCATAAGGCACAACGAGAAGCCGACGCGAAGGCACAACGAGATGCCAAGAAGGCCCAGCGAGAAGCCGATGAGAAGGCAAAACGAGAAGCCGAGAAGGCACAACAAGAGGCTAGAATGAATGCTCTAAAGGAAGCGATTGCACGACGAGATGCCGAGAAGGCCCAGCGAGATGCCGATGAGAAGGCACGTCGAGACGCTGCTCTGAAGGCCGAGCGAGATGCTGCACTAAAGGCACATCGAGAAGCCATCGAGCTGGCACGACAAGAAGAGCAACGACGCAATGAGCTGGAACGACAGCGAAGACTAATGGAGGAGCAGCGGCAACAGCAAGAAGAAGAGGGCTGGCAGAAGAGGAGAAGAAGAAGGAAGATGAGGCAGCCCAGCGGAGAGCGCAGCAGAATGCCTTGGGCCCTGAAGGTTACGCTTGGGCTAAGCAGGCGGATGGCACGTGGCGCTGCCTTGGGGGCTCCCACACGTGGAGGCAAGGGCAAGGGCAATACTGGTATTAGCCAGATGGCGACCCCTGTGGATCAATGTTGAGATCCATATCACGAGCATGCCTTGGCCGGAATGGAATTCTATGTTATTGCATGCCGAGAAGTAGATAGCTGGAAGCATCGAGGAAGCCTAGAAGCGGTCACCCTTAAACATACCTGACTGTGTGAGCTGGGTCTCCTGAGTAGACGAGACTTTAGCTCTGGATGCGAATGCAAGCTTCCGTTATCGAATGGGTTTCAATGAAATCACTTCATCGATATGACTTGAATCAACCTTTGGCTATAACAACTGGTTTTTCCCACTCTGATTGGTACGCTGTCAAGGCCTTCCTTTACCCAGTCCGGTGAAACTGACCAAGGTATGTAGACAAGATGGCATTATTTCGATAAAATTGTTGTTGGGGGGGGTGGGGCGCAGGACGCTGGAAGTTGTGCGCGATACATAGGACTTCAGGTCTTTGCTACCTAGGCTCTTCCCACTTGGAGCTGTGCATGAAGTTACTGCCAGACACCTAAAGGAGAATGTAATCATTTGACGCCGGCGATGATGACAGAATCCTTGTAATCTTGGTCATACTTCAGCACCTCAATGATTTTTAACCCCGCTTCGTTCAGCAGGCTTTCCCACTGTGCCCTCGTACGCTCCATGCCAACTGCAGTGCTCGTTGAATCAGCGATCACGTTCTCTCTCGGGTCGTGACATTGCAGACAGAACAGCTTCGAAGCAGCAACTGAAGGGCGGCCCAAGCAGGCGGAGATGATATCAAGAAACCAGGAGGTACTTACCCACGGTCACCATGACCTCGATGTCATGCTCGGCTCCCTGGGTCGTCGCGTGCCGCTCGGGAAGAACGATCTCGTCAATCAGCAGCACCGACTCCTTGGTCATGCCCGCCTTGGCCTTGGTCAGGATCTCCTTGCATTTGGACCATGGAAGATGTTCCGCAAGTAGTAAGCTCTAGCACCTTAACGACAGAAGGTAAAAGATGCAAGTGTCAGTCGGAATGTCTCCTCTCATCGGAGATCGTACATACCTCGGACTATCTGCGGCGTGAAGATGGCATACACCTCAGCCTCGATACGCGAGCTAGCAAGCTCAATCTTCACATGTTGCACGACCTCGAGCTGGTCCTGGAGAAGAACTCGACCGGGGAGGTTCGGATACCGCTGGCGGAATGTGCGAGCCTGGGAGCCAGAGCCTCCACCGACATCGACGAACAGGATAGTTGAGCTGGTCGCGCCCTGGGAGAAGCGTTTCTCAAAGTCCAAGGTCGAAGAAGACAGGCCTCCCTTTTTGCTGGACTTTCATATGCGCTTGCGCAAGATCCAATGCCCAATGATTCTCGCCCAGCCATCCGAATGGATGCTTGTCTGTGCCGATGGCGCTGGTCCAAGCTGTAAGCATGAGGCCGAGAGGGTTTTCATACTTGTGTGATTTGCGCCAAACCGGAAGGTTCAATGCTCCTTGCGCAGGTACTGCAGGGCTGTCCATTGTATTGGCCTGTCATGATCATGGAACAAGGGATCGGATATAATGAATGGAAAACTCACATCCATCGAAGGGATTTACCATGGTCAGCGTCGCTCAGAGCTCGAGTCACGTTACTCGATTGGAATGTGTCGTCGCCCACTTGAGATATGCTATCAGTAGCCTGGTAATACCGCAACAGTCTCTCTGTTAGAGGTTAGCATCCTGCTCTACGAGACTCTGAGTGTTATTGGCGCACTCAGGAGGTCGATATTGACGCCACTCTTCTCTGCGAGCTCTGTGATGCTGAGAGGGTGTTGCGCGGCTGTCAAAGCATCAAACACTCCGGTCTCCACGCCGACGAGCGCCAAAGGTAGTTGAAAAGGCTAATGATGGTCACAGTTAGTCACATAGTCAACAAGTGGATGATGGGGCCTGCATACAAAATGACCGATTCTGCGCAATGTCTCTCTGGGCTGTTCCAGAGAAGCAGCCAGCTTTCGTCCGCCTTCAATCAAGCGACGGCGTGTTCTCTCGTCTTTGACATCTGCAGCTGCCCCATCCGTGTTCTGCAGAACTGATTCAATCCGCTCTGTCAGTGCTTCATACTGGTTCGTAGTGTCTGGACCCCTTGTGCCTTCGAACTGGACAGTTTCAAGATGAACACGGCGATAATGGCTAGGTATGCAAAATGCATTCAGTCTAAGAGACCAAACGAGAGTAGATAAGCATATCGGAACTGAAGACTACGACGGTCGATGAGAAGTAAGGGGTGTCGTCATCAATCACAGGGTCCAGAGAGGAGATGTGATTCCTGCACCAACACCAACATCGACGCCCTTCGCATCTGCTGTGCGACCAACAACCGGTTATTACTGCTTGCACCAATCCCTTACACTGGGCCGCAAGGCAACCTGGGGTTCTCACTTCGATGATATGGTCAGAAGACTTGCCTGCACCAACAGTTTTTTTAATTTTCCCTCTCGAGCTCCATCTCTACGTGATCAGCCTGACGCCTCTTCAATTTGAATCCCCTCCACAGTTCGCTCTTTGCTTCTCGGCCATTCTCAGACTTTGCCAACGTGATCCACAGCAACAATGGCGTCGTCCAACACCACCCCCCAGGATTGTCGAGCTGGCCGCTCAGATCAGCGCTTCCGTCGCTGAATTGCAGGAACGTTTGTCGGCCCAAGGAGTACCATCTCCAACATTCGACGAGGATAGCCCTCCATTCTTTCCCGACGGCGTATCTCGTCTTCGGACTGAACTCCTTGACGCAACTGCCGAGCTCAACGAGGTGCTTACAGAGCCTCTGATGCTGATCTTCAAGTTTAGCGCGGTAAGACTGCCTCCTTCGGGATGAGCTGGGGCGTTCCATGGGCTAATCGACGAACGCTTCCAGATCTCCAACCTCATCAGCATTGACACCATCTGTCGATTCGGTATCCTGGATATCATACCTGCTGGTGGCAAGATCTCCTTTGCAGAGGTTGTTGAAAAGACGGGCTTGTCGAAGGCGGAGGTCAGGCGTCTGCTTAGACACGCGATGGCCATGCGTATCCTCAATGAGCCGGAGCCGGAAATGGTAGCACACACCAAGGTCTCCAAGTTCATGAGTATTCCTTACATCCAGGACTGGGTCAAGTTCGAAGGCAAGGACACCTGGCCAGCCTGCACCAAGGTGAGTGACCTACAAGTTTCCCTACGACGTATGAATAAGCCATGAGCTTACACGGAATGCTCATGTTTGTCGTAGGTTGTGGACGCGCTCGAAAAATGGCCAGCCTCCGAAGAAGTCAACGAAACTGTAAGTGTGTCCGTGTTCCTGGAGCCGAGGCCTGTGCTAATTCTGCACTTTGTAGGGCTTCTATTTTGCGAACAACGGCCAGTCGGTCTTCGAGGCCCTCGGGGCCGACCATACGCGAGCCATGCGCTTTGCCGGTGGCATGAAGTCCCTAGACCATGTTCCCGGCTGCGGTGACAAAGAGGTATCGAAGGCTTACGATTGGGCTTCCCTTGGGAATGCGTACATTGTCAACGTCGGCGGGTCCAGAGGCTCAGTTGTCATGGACCTAGCCAAGCACTTCGGGAAACTAAATTCCTTATCCAAGACGGGGCAATGATGATCTCGGGAGTCGAGATTCCCGATGAGCTCAAAGGACGCGTCGATTTCATGGAACACGAGGTTTTTGCGCCACAGACAGTGCAGGCTGACGTTTATTTCTTCCGCATGGCCTTCCGCAATTGGAACGATAAGACCGCCGTCAATATCTTGAAGGCACAGATTCCTGGTCTCCGACCTGGGGTGAAGCTCCTTATCCAGGATGCATGCATGAGGGAGCCAGGCACTGCTCCGATATCTGAAGAGCGGGTTTCAAGGTATGTCATACCCCGCGAAAGGTGTCGCCATGACTATATTTAGGGACAAAACTACATGTATGATGCTGACCTGACGGAACTTGGTAGAGCGATCGACATGAGCCTGAAGACTTTCTTCAACACCCGCGAAAGGTATCTGGACGACTGGAAAGCTCTGCTGGCAGCGGCAGATGAAAGATTCGTCCTTCAAAGGGTGGTTCAGATCGAGGGATCTCTACTCGCAATGCTAGAAGTCCACTGGGATGTGTCTTCCAGGAAGGCCTGAAGGAGTGAATGTCCAACGGGATGACATATCATCAAGCTCGGGTTACAGGCCATCAATGGATGGCTTCGGAAATGGCTTTGTGGGGAGGATATGGTTTGGCTTGGGCACCCCGGACGACATGATGGCGGACATGGTCTTGCCAAAAAACACTCGTTTAACATCGAAGTAATTTTATCGTCTTATCATGCCCTTGACCTGTCGAATACAGTTCACGGTATGTACCCTGGCGTATAACTACCACTATCATCACCACCGCCATTGTATTGACAGATGGAAATGCATTCTCAAAACTTTCACAGGATTCACGCTTGACCAATTTGGAAGCCGTTCCGGCGTCGTGACATCATTCGTCAACGGCTCAGATGGAAATCTTATCATCTTAGCATGATCAGAACGCCTGGCTATCGGTGGCGAGGAGCTGCACTTCCTCGGCTTGCGAAACCTCCCACCGCACATCAAACAGCGCATGCGCGTGCTGAACTGAAACCTGTGCCTCCTGCATCTGAGCCACTTTCTGAGGCTCGTGACTGAGGACATTTCGGACATCCTGGAGGACAAACTGACCTCCCACGCAGTGTCTCAAGACGAGGCTACGAGATGGGTCCTAGATATTGTGGACAAGCCGCGATGGGAGGAACTGGGACTTAAGACCGATGCTCAGGTTCGCTGGGTGGACGTAGCGTTTGGCCTCCAGCGCGTGGCCAGGGACGACGACCCCTCTGGCCAGGTGAATGGCATTGACATCTTCCATGCCATACCCCTGAAAGCGGTCGCGAGCTCCCGCGAAGTCTGGGTTAACGAGCATCTAAGCCGTTGGGCTGACTTTTCGCTTGAGTTGCTGAGGTTTCACGCCGTGGACGGCGCGCATTACACCATGATCGGACCTGAACAAGTTGCGAGTTTTGCACAGATTTTGATTGGGGCACTGAAAGCGAGAGGAATATGAGAGTGAGCCGTGTAGAATTCCACTTAGAAGAGAAAAGGGGGGAATGGGAGCCTACTAATTGACGGGCTATCCGGGGGGTATTGGGATCATTCAATCATGAGAACTGGAAACCTTAACTTTGCCCCATGTTCCCTAAGTAGCCATTTTCATAAAGAGCTCTACGTATTCGGTGTGGGATGCATGCATGTATGTGTACGAGGCTTGAGTCGCTGGGGGACTTTCAGTTTGACGCATTTGTCAGCTCACCCCGAGCGGCTATGGGATACACCGACCAACGGAGACTTTTTGGATTTGTTGGGCTGCGCCGTTCGATAACCCCTTTTCCGTCGTCTTGGGGCCAATAGCAAACCTGCCGCAGTTTTTCCCTCCTTTCGCAACCAAAGATCGTGACCTGCTGTGTAACATGTGATGTGAGACCTCAGTGGCTGGGACTCTTGGTCGATCCGACACCCCGATGACGCCCCTTTTGTCATCGCACTTTCCCAGCCATAAGTAACCCAAGCTTTCATGGGAGACGGCGCGTTCCCAAGCTACAGCATACCCACCATACAGTTGACGGTCAAGTTAGCAAAGATGTCGAACGACGAGCTCCTCAAGTCGGATCCAGAGAAGTATATGTCTGACCAGAGCGGGAAGGTGTTCGTAATCACAGGAGGTGAGACATACGTTTCCATCCCACTTATGGCGACAAAATGTCACTAACGGTGATGAACAACAAGGTACAAATGGACTCGGCGCATAGTCGGCTCTCGTGCTGGCCAAACACAATGCGGCGAGCATTTACATCACCGGACGAAACGCGAAGGCCGTCAAAGATGTTGCGCAAAAGGTCAAGCAAAGCGGCAGCAAGACGGTCATCACGTTCCTCCGCGCCGACCTCACTGATCTCAAATCCGTGAGCGCCGCCGCAGACAAGGTGCGCAGCGCGACGCAGTGTGTGGATATGGGCATGGCCAATGCCGGCTTGATTGATTGATTGATTGATTTTATTTATCGTGGGTGCAGTCCCTCAACAGGGCAAACCACGCCTCCCAGAGCCATTGCATCGCAAGGTTATAGAGGTGTCAGTCTAGATACATTCAGATCCGCGCACGAGCCCATCCTCGCTGTAGCGGTACCAACCTGGAGTGACCAGATGGTTTTAGTCAATACCCAAGCACGATTCCGTCAGAAAAACCTCCTATCAGTGACAAAGTGACCCAATGAACCTTAGTCCTCTGGTGTACACATCGTTCCAGTAGCCGTTCGATATATGTCACATTAATGGGTGAAGTAGGTATTTGTTATCTGCTGGCGAGGGAAACCACAAGGGGAAAAACCTTACAGGAGTGGGTGTTATAGAGATAAACTGCTTGGCTATCGGGCTCTGCGATAATGGGGCCTCTCCACTGTCGTGTGCTGGTTGTCGACTCGCACAAGCCGGGTCAGAAAGAGGCCATAACAGGATTCGAACCCACTTGTTCTCGTCGCCCATCGCACAAACGAGAACACAACCAGGCGCATTTGACCATTGCGCCATACGGGCCAATGCCGGCGTCATGGTGCAACCCATGGGCTTGACCAAGCAGGGCTACGAGCAGCAGTTCGGCATCAACCACATGGGCAACGCACTGTTCGTCCGCAAGCTGCTGCCCCTACTGCAGCGTACGGCAGAGCAGGGCCACGAGGCACGCGTCATCATCATGACCAGTCTTGCCTGGACGCAGGCCCGCAACGGCGGCATTATGTCTGAGGGCCTAAAAGCCGAGCAGGACATGTTCCTGGGCAAATTCATGCGCTATGCCCAGAGCAAGCTGGCCAACCTTCTCTATGCCAAAGAGCTCGCACGACGGTATCCCGACGTCACCACTGTCAGTGTTCGTAAGTGGACCGATCCCCTTTCCGACCTAACCACCTAGATGGTATGCACGAAGGTTAGTTATCTGATGGCTGACTTCGTTGCGATGGTACAGACCCGGGCCTCGTCATGACAGGCCTCATAAACGGTCTTCCTACCCTATACAAGCTGGTCATTTCCCACGCCGGCAAGCAGATCAAGCCCGAAGAGGGCGCTTGGTCACAGCTGTGGTGTTGTGGGAGCTCAAGTCTGAAGATTGGTGGTCACTACGCAGCACCACCTGTTGGCGGGTTGTGTACCCAGACATGCCAGTACTCGGAGGACAAGTTTCTGGCTGCCAAATTGTACCACTGGACGGAGACTGAGCTTGCCCCTTTCCTGGAGTAGAATTACGAATTACGTGGATATGATATACCTTGCTCTGAGTACTCATGATACCAGCTTACGAGCTCTGTTCGAGGATATCCGATCCCAGACACGGGGGCATTGTTTTCAAGGCACTGTGTACCCGTAGAACTCCCTCATGATCTCAACTTTCTTGACCGATAAACAGCTCATATGGTCCCGCGAGACTTGGAACGCGTATCTTACCGAAGGGGGCAAGGGACTGAATACCGCAGACCGTCATGTTGTACCCCTGAGGGCCCAGCTAGTCACCCACCTGCTTGTCTACGTATCACACAAGTGGTTCGATACAGACTGAAGACCTGGATCGATTTCTCAGCGCTCATTTTGTCTGCGGAATCCAGGTGCAGAGGATAACGCGTGGATCACTCGTGCTGTTCTTGTACACCATCACGCACGTAACCGTACATGGTTCCAAACTACGGCGACTACGCAGAACCAACCCCCACATGCTTCGACTGCTTCTGGTGACGGCCCTTCTGGTCACGCTGCCCCCATTCAGCCAAGAGGGTATTCAGAACCTGTCGTGGGCAGAGACTACGAGACGGGCATCCAGCTCGGTGGCGTCGTGGATAAACAACAACGGCGCATCTTCGGGTACTGCCTCCACTAACGTCGAGGCCGACATCTGACTTACTCGCTGACCCGAACGTCAGTCCCTGGCTTGGTAGCTTTAGACATCAGTCGGATTGGAAGTCCGCCGGAACCTTCACACTGCCCGCGGGCCACACGCTCTCGCCGCTCGAGTCGCTGCTGGCCGTCATGGAGCACTTGCCGCACCTCCCGTTGCTTCCGCCTTAACGCTTGCACCTGCTTTCGCCCTGGACCGGTCACCGCCGTTCACAGGTCGCATTCCGAGTTTGACGGCTACATGGACGGCTTCATCGCGAAGGAGAAGGCAAATCCTCGCCGAAGACGCTCGAAAAGCTGGCAAGGATAAGAACAAGAACGAGCTGATGCGGAACAATCAATTGACGGCTGTTCTGCGAGCGGACTGGCTCGAGCAATGGGGTCTCCATAGCTATCAAGGCCTGCTGGCGCAGCTTGATTGATCCTGGTCTTGTCCCTGCTGGCGAACATCTTGAAGTTAGGATTGATCTTCTGGCTTGGACCGCGACGTACTGTAAAATAAAGTATCAGCCAATTTCGCGTGTAGGTCCAGCCCGCCAGAGCAGTCTTGCCATCCATCTTGAATGTACCGGGACCTGTGACGATGGCTGGGCGAGGCCAGTAATCAGGAGCGCAATCAGATTTGGGTGCGGAGGAGTCGGAAGGGAAAGGACTGCCGAGACGAGGACCCATGAGCTTGGGGGCTGGCCCCGATGAGGTTCCTGGCGACAGAAATCAACTTAGTGACAAGTTGTGTTTTTCTGCTGGAGCAAGTGGCAAAGGACAGAGTAAACCAAGATCTTAATAAGCGACTCCTACAGAAAACACATAATTCATATGTAGCAGGCTCTCACGTATTCCTCTGGTTCATTGCAAGGGGGACATGACAGTGAAGATACTCACTCTCCTACTGGACTAAGTTGCACATATGCCACTACTTCAGCGCATTGCAGAATGTTGGCCCAGTAGCCTAGATGCATATGCAGTGACATGACCAGAAAGCTCGAGGTACCTGCCTCGTTCGTCACCAAGCTGACATTCGGCTCAAGTCGCTCACTCGAACACCCGAGCTCGTGAGTCACTTCCGTCCAAGTATAACACCTGTGGATGTTGTTGAGAACGGTCGACTATACGGCCCTGGGCTCTGCCTGTGTCAAATTGACGTGTATATACCTGACAAAGACTGCTGCCAATCCAGATGTACACACGGTACCTATCCAATATAAACAGTCCGTCACATCCCTATCCTACAGTCCCTCCGCCACATTCAGACCCGCGCAGCGACGAGGCTCATATAGATGCCCCAAAGCAGGCCAACGAAGTTGAGGAAGACGATGCGACGCTCGACGGGCACGCAGCTGAAGCTGATGATGGAGGCGAACGGCCAGATCTTGTAGCCGGCGACGATGAGCGGTATGGTCTCGGTGCGGACATTGTGTGCGATCTGGGCCAGCGGCTGCCTCTTCATGATGCCCATCAATACGAAAAAGGCGACGGTGTTGAAGATGGCGCCCAGGGTGATGCAGTCGATGAACCACTTGCTGAGGGTGTTGCGGATGTTGAGCTTGGGCTTCTGGTGGTCGCCGGCGCCGGCGCCGGGGCTTGCGGACCCGGACCCCTCGCCGCCGTTGCCGCGGGGGTCCGTCGTCATCTGCTTCTCGAGGTCGCGGCTGTCGTGCTTGGAGGGCGCCTTGTTGTTGCGCGGCTCGTAGGCGGGGAAGCTGCGCTCGAGCAGCTGCTGCCAAAGGTAGTTCGGCGGCGCGGACACGAATGTGCAGGTGACGAAGCGGAGGAAGCTGGGCAGATCGAAGACGAAGGGCTTGCTGCCGCGGTAGGCTTCGAGGAACTGGGCGAGGATGTTGGAGGCGCTCGAGAGGGCGGCGGCGGCCAGTGTGGCCTTGACCATGGGCGAGGGCATGGTCGCGAGTGCTGCTCTGCTGGACAGGCTACAGCTAGTTGACTCGCGATTGAAATCAGTCGGGCCGGCGATGGTCAAACATTCGATTCCCTAGCAGCAGGCGAGATGAAGATGTGAGGTTTCGTGTTGGCATTGAAGAGAGCAGAGAGAAGCCGGATGAATTGGATAAATGGGGTGGGATAATAAGGTTCCCGGAGGTCCTGACCTGGGAGCTGGCAAGATTCGGGGATTACGTAGCGGACTGCGATGGAGTAGGCCACGTGAGCTTACTGTTTCAAGGAGAGATCTGCATCTGCATCTGCTCTGGTGTCCTGCCCAAGGCCTCTAGAGACTGATAACATTGAAGGCATATGACTTGGTTGGTTCACCAAGACTCGCCAGCCGATGGGCGAGAAGTTGAGAACTTACAGTTTATGGATGCTGTTCAAACACCCGGTACCAAATGTGAAACAGCGACTTACTGTCAGGACGCTCGGACCACCTGAAGCTGAGCCAGCTCAAACTGAAGGACCTCAAGCTTGAGGGAAAGGGGCCTTTCCAGCGGACCGGTCTGCGTCGGCTGTAAGTCGATATCCTCTTGATTATGTTCGCCGTGGCATAGTAGACTTAGATCACCATGGAGAGAACAGCTTGTAACAGGCTGCCTGTTACGGATGACTGAGCCCAGAAAACTGTTGACGATGCGCACTTCATAATGGACTCTGTGTATTGTCCAGCCAGTGGAAACGCAGATCTCGTTATCAGAGATGCTTCGAGGCGCCCAGCCCAGATGGCTCAACATCGCCAGTCTGCCATCGTTCTCTATGACTTTTCCGAAGCGTTGCCCTTGATATTCACCTTCTCCATCATGCGACTGATACCGCCCTGCTCGTTCTTCCGCCCAACGTCCTCCTCCATCTTCTGAACCTCGTCCTCGCCAACCCCCTTGTTCACAGCGTCGGCGTCAGCCGACCGGGGCTTCCCACCAGCAGCTTCGCGCTGTTCTCTCTCATCCTCCTCCTGGTTCTGGAGCTTGCGTTCTTCGTGCTTGAGCTCATGTACATCAATATCTTCAAACCCAATGCGCTTGAAGATGGGCCCGGCGGCGTGCCGGTACAATGTGTGCCCCTCGACCAGGTCGGAGATGTTGACGTTCTCGACGCCTTTGACGTTGAGGATGGGCTGCAGTCCCGCAACGCCATATTGGAGGCCGCTACTCCGGTATAAGAAGGCCAGGATGTAGTCTTCGGTGCTGTAGGCGTTGACAACCCGACCGGTCACTACAGATCGGACGCGGCGCCATTCCGCTGAACTACACGGGGTAGGTGCTCCGAGCAGGACGGCATTCTCAATGAGGCCGAAGGCGTGGCGTCGGGCTAGCTCCTGCAGGCAGAAGTATATGACTTTGGCACCGAGCGAATACCCGATGAGCGTGACTGGTCGTTCGCCCTGGGCCTTGTTGATGAGAGCATCTGCAAGCACTTCGCCAGCTTTCTGTGCTCGCTGGTTGGCGACACTCCACGGGTTGTCGATGATGCGACCGGCATTGGTGAGGGATATCGGCCATAATCCAGCCATCAATGCCGCAAAGACGGTACGCTTGATGATCTCCGTGCGCGCAACTTTCCATGCGACCGAAGTGATCAACGTCCTGAGGGAGTTGCCGAGGCTCACCAAGGCCTCGAGTTCGTACCGGAGAGCGAAAGATTCTTGACCTGGGCCGATGACTTTCCAAGGCGCGACGATCTCGTCTTCGTTGCTGAGCCAGCCAGATATACCGATGGCAACCCGTAGTCGGTGGGAGTCACCCTCGCTCTTGCCTTGTTTACGCACAGGCACGAACGCGAAGTCCTGGACGTCTCTGGTGTACCTTTCCATAGCATTGCTGGTCATCTTCGCGCCGTAAGCTCCGAAGAGGCTGCCCACGAGCACACCACTTCCGGCCAGAGCCCCAAGATACCCAGCGGTAGCAGTCGCGCCGAGACCGATGCCACCCAGCACGGTCCCAACTCCGGCTGCTAAGAAGGGTGCTGCGAGTCCACCCGTGATGCCTATGAGAGCTGCACCAGCGACGCCAGCTGCTCCCATCTTCCATCGTCGAGCAGTGCGGTTATCGTCTGCTCGCTTCTTCGTTTCCTCGTCGGCTGACATCTGCTCTGCAGCAGCCAAGAGTCCCTGGGCAATCTTGCTTTCGTCGTCCGAGAAGATGGTGACTGAAAGCCCTAGGCTAGTAGTGAGGTACAGCAAAAGTGTCCGTGAGTGTGCCCGGTAGTGCTCCAGGCTGAGCATCAGGAGTAGAGCCGAATGCAGAACCAGGACCCTCTTCTCCTTGTCCATCTTGCGTAGCGGCGTCTCAATCGGTGGGTAAAATTTGACGAGTGCTTCGTCGATCTTGTTGTCAAGTTCGCTCTTCTGGATACCCTCTAACGCTGGTCCGGATCCCGAGCTGGCGGTTTCTGGCTTTGAGTGCTGCTTCGACTGGTCCTCCGCTGTCTTCTTGGAGTTGACAACTTCGCCGACCCGGAGGATGACGCTGTCTCGCCAATCGTCGAAGAAATTTAGAGCGGCCGCCTTCAAAGCGGCCATCTTCTCGTCACTGACCTCCTTCTCCCGCTTCGCCAGGCCGCTTTTCTGCTTCTCTATAGTCTTCCGCTCCTGCTCGCTTCCCTGTGCATCCTCGCCAGCTTTCTCCGCGTCAACTGAATCGCCATTGCCGTCTTTGACTGTCGCAGCAACGTCGTCCTCCTGGGATCCAGTTTCCTTGGGGTCAAAGGTGTCGAGGAGCTGCTTGCGCATGGCCTCGGTGATGTCACAGATGAGCAGTGTCAGCGCGCCGCGGTCCTCGTCGGTCTCCAGAATCGTTGTCAGCGACTCGCCTTCCTGCTCGTGCTTCCCAGCCTCGCCATCTTTGCTGTTGCCGCGGAAGGCCGTACTGGCTTTCTCAAACATCGAAGGCATTTTGATGCTATGTGGTGCTGACGACCAGGTCAATGGACGACGTGCCAATGGAATGAAGGTAGGTGAGGTGGTCTTTATGCATTGAGCAACCTCCTACGTCATCAGTCGGGGTGCTGCGCGGCAGGTAGACCTGAACCAACGCCCGCTAAATTTAGCACGCTTAGGGGGAGATCCTCCGCTAAACGTCCCGATCGATCCAGGTTGCGGGTGATGCAACTCACCTGCCCTACTCGCCCAAGCCTGAAATGTAAGTCTTCCAAAGGGCCACTCATCCCTGCATGCAATACCTCAAATGCGATTCACTTCATATAGATGATGGTAAGAGAACAGGGGCTGTTGGGAGATACCGGCTTCTTTGATGTTCAATCTCGTAACTGTATGGCCAATATCCCGTCTACTGTCGGTAGAGGGACGCCGTCTCTCGAAGTGGCACACTCCTCTATCTCATCCCCAAAAAGCTCCTCAAGTGGTACATGGATAGGTACCCAAAAGAACTGATGAATTGCTCCAAGCTTGACCATTCCAGGGTACCAACTGGAGCGAGGAATCCAGTATTCTTAATTTAATGCGCGGTTTATGATGAGTAGAAAACACCCTGCCGGGGCGTTTAGCTTTCGTATCTTGTCGACTCTCCCAGGACACTTCAAATATACAGCATGATATGAGTAATGACATACCTCGAAGGCTAATTTGCCCTAAGTGCTTACCTAGAGTGACTACCGGAGTCTTTCGTACTTGTTTGGGAAGGCCGTACTTGATGTAATTTACCTACATCGGTCAATCATACTGTTTGTAAGCTGTTGCCCTTCTTGTCCTTCGTTTTCATCGCACCTTCTAAGAGTCATACATAATACGTGTTGTTTTAGATCACCCGATGCTTTTGGTTTACTTTAAGCCCACCCGAAACGCGTCCAGGATAGAGGACATAGTCTTAGTTGGAGGGTATAGAGAGACATCTTCCGCGTAGAAGAGAATTGACATACAAGTTGCGTGCAGGCCGGAGGCATTAGGCTTATTTCAGTCGCTTCGGCCTCTCGTTGTACATACATGGAGCAGAGGCCAGCAAGCTCATGTGACCGGCTATTGATCAGCGTGATATCATGCGTACTGGCTTGATCAGACAGCAAGTGACATGAGGTGAAATGATGAGTGGAGAATTGTTAAAAGAATTGTTAACATAGTTCGACGAAGGGGGCAGAACTACTCCTATAGCATCCACCTGCACACATCTTTATGACGCACCCAGCAACTATTCGGCGCAAATCCCCCACGGGGAGAATTATTCAGTTTTCATCTCAGGGCTCCCACCTGGCATGACCACCACCCGTGTCCTTGGTGCCATTCGCGGCGTTGGTCGGGTTTAGAATTCCTCGATCTAAGCCGAGAACGAGCGATACCCCACGTCGGGAGCAAAGTCACTTTCTGGGGTTTTCGTGCTGCACGCATGATGAAACTCGGAGTCTGGGCTGGAGACCTTGACTTCGACAGCTACTATGCCCAAATCGTGCCGAATAGGACCAAGGTCCGCGGGCAAGAGGCAAACGAAGGTAGCCGAGCCGTACGAGTATCGGGACCGCCGACGGTTATAGACGCACAAGCACGGCTTCGTTTCTTCGCCGCTAACTCTACTTCGAATTGGATGAGATTGAGGATATCACTCGGGACGATCGCCTTGCGATCTTGGGGTTCCGCTTTGGGAGCTTCCGAGAACAATGCAAAAATGCATACGAGGAACTTCGCAGCGACGCCTTCTATCGGAATTGGGTGGGCGTTGAATACGCCAACGATCCATGTGACAGGCTTGCACCAGCCGCCAATGTCTGATGGTTTCAAGGTAAGTAGTCGTCCACCGAGCACCCGCGTAGCATACGTTCTCAAGCTCATCGGTGCAAATAGAGGCACACGTACAAGACTGGGCTCTTCCAAAAGAAGCAACCCAACAACGCAGGAAGTGAAGGGTAGCCCATCCAAAGCGAGGAAGTTCCTTCGGAGGGCCAAGGTAGTCTTGTTAACATTCCGACATCACTCGGAGTTTCGTCGACATACGGGCTGCATACTTCTTGCATACGTTCTTTGCCTAGCGCGGAGCTGACACCTTTCACATCCCTTGTACCCTTGTTGATCCAGCTCCCTGAGATTGCTGCGCGGAGGTTGTCAGCGGTACCCAGCAAGCACGAATAAGCGAAGAGCCCAGGTCGGACAGGGAGGACCATGCAGCTCGTAGACAGATAGACAAGACAGCAGGCAGGAAAGATGATATCACGAGAAGGGTGAAACGGCGTTAAATCTACATCTCAATGTAACATTAGACACCGAATACTGAGATATTAGCAGCGGGGCCCCATATGTTGTTCTATATATGAACTGGAGGTGCGGGCCGGGGTTTTTCGCCACCGGCATCTCCAGTCTGGTCACGGAACTTCGCGCTTAGTGGTAGATAAAGTTCCGCAAAGATCTATACACCATTGCTGATAATTTCAGATCAGGACAGTTAGTAACGTCTTGGACACCTGTGCTTGTATCCCCTTGAGTGCTCGAGCACACTTCAATGCGTTGTGCTGTGAGATTTCAAAGTGTTCTATTTAGGAAAGGAATTCCAGCTACTCTGGAGCGGCCAGAATGGCCCTATATATCCAAGATACTAAAGGAAAGGATACGTGTCCTTATATTGGCCACGTATATGACAGAGTCACAGATTCAGCTGCGTACCTACACTTCCTTCAACACTTCAACACCAACAATCAGTCGGAAATTCAACTGTTTACCTACAATTCCTACACTTCCTCCGCACGAACAACCAGTCCTAGATATCAACATTCGACATGCATCTGTCGTGCGTTTTCATCATTGCGCTTTCCGCGCTTGGGGTGGTCGCCAACCCCATGGTAAACAAGGTAATTTGATCTGGTCGATCCTCGCAGAATGTCCCATGGGAAAGACTAATGGATATCATTGTCGCAGGAGCAAAACTTACAGGTGCGAGGTGAGGAGGAATTTAGGGAGTGCGTGGATGGATGCCAAAAGAAGGGAGCGGTTGGCTTCCTCACATGCGTGAAGAATGATTGTGTACCACTGTGGACGGGTGGCGAGGATGATCTCAGTAAACTTATGGATGAATTATCCCTACGATAAGCTACAATAAGGCAAGGGCGCTCATCGGAGGGAGGCGGCGTTCCTGTTGCTGCCCGTCTGCTCCAGGAGAGGGACTTGTTGGTGCGCGCACCAACGTCGGTCTAGGGCAGTCTGATTTTTTCGGCGCTGGACGCTCCTGGTGATGGGGAGGGCTAAAGACATCTGTACGACTGAGTTTCTAGAAACCTGTCCATTCATTACCTACAAAGCTGAAAGTACTCGCTGTGCGAGTTCATCCAATATTTCTTCAAGTTTACGTGAATATGAGGACGGTTGCACCCTGAACCACAGCTACCTGCGTACTTGAACCAACACGTGTACATGGGTTCGTTTAACACCATAGGGGACGCCACATAGTTAACAGCTGGCATACCAGTTGCCCCGGAAGCCTTCATGAAGACCCGACAAGGCGCTGCCAGTGGTGATCAGTTCCAGAGCATGTTGTCTTTCCAGAGAGTGGCATCATCCCAATCTCATTACAACACCATCCTAGATCAAGTACAAGCAATATGCAGGCCAGGATGATATCCAAGGGAGGGTGAACAAAGGACGTACGACAACGCACACAGCGCATGGTCGATCGTCTTTTCTACATGGTGATACGTAGAATGAGCCAGAAAAGGACGCGGTAACTTCGCGTCTTCTGCCGTTCTGCTCAATATAAAGCATGCCACATCATGAAGCGTCTAAGTGTGTGAAAAAATGATGACCAGCATGTCAGCCAGCATCCAAGTGGTTGGGCATGTGTGCCAGGCTTTCACACTGGATAACGACTGGGTGGACGAAAAGCCCTATAACTATTGGCTACATGCACTCGGATATCCCAATGACCGGATCGAGCATTGGACGAGATGTTACCACTTACATCTCTCTCAAAAGTTCCAACCAATCAAGTGAGCGGGGGCAATCGGGTTGCGAATAAGTGTATATCGAACATAAATACAATGCGGTCATCGTATCGCCACGCGGGTGTCTTCTTCTCGACACGTCGAGGTTGGGTGTGGGTTTTCTATTTCGGTATTCCATGTACATAGCTGTCATCCTTTACGATTCCAACTGCGTACGTTGGGCCTAGGGGCCAGCTCGCCGGCTTTGCCGGGGCCGAGTACATGTAACCTCCAGGATCGGTGGCGAGATAATCCTTACAGTGGATCGTGGTTACTGGACACCAAAGATGAATTTAGGGAAAGAGTCTGCATCCTACGTCACCAGCGGCAAACTGAAGCAATTATAGAAAAGAGTAGTAGTTACATTTCTGATCTGGCCTAGTCTAGAACCTCTCGCTGTTGATCCTCCACGCTCGTCGTTCTCTTGTGTCACGGCACTAGACAGCCCCACAGGATCAACCCCTTTATACCAAATCATGCCTTCAAGCTTGCTCCAACTTGCTTTCCTTCTTCACATACAACATGAATAGTCATTCTCGAGCCACCAGCAGTCGAGCTGTGACAAGCTTATAATTCGCATCAATACTTGGACAACTGCAACTACAATCTCATTCCTCTCCGGTAGTGATCATCCGATGCATTACTTTCGCTTATCCAGTCTTTCGGGGGCGCTGGTTTTGAGCATTATCGTCTCCTTCGCCGTCCCGCCAACACTGGGTGTCGCGCTACCATCAAGCGACGATAACAGCGAAACAGACGCGGCATCATCATTATTACCTGCGTCTTCTCCTTATGGAAGTGCTTCTCGGGTACGGGCGCGAGACGGCAAATGGAGCGACCTCGACAACAAGTGGAGCGATGTCTTCCACCTGTCCGGCCGCAAGAATTACAAGCGGCAATACACCAACTGCATGTGCGGGTACGCGCCAGGTCTCCCTCCTAGCGATACCCCGGATTTCTGGGCGGGTTGGACGAAGTGCAACGGGGATTGCAGTAGGAAGCTGGTAGTGTCGGACAAAATGCTCAAGTCCGTCAAGGATTGGTACCAGGATAGTGCCGGAAACGAGAAAATGTTGAAACACCCGTGGCCTCCCACGCCGGTTTGTGACGCGGTAAAAGAGAACAGTGAGGAGTGAAAAAGGACGCAGGACGCTCCAGGAGGAGGCAATATGTAGCGGTTTGGACATGGATTTGTGACTAGATCACCCCCGGCACCCGGGACCGCGCCCATGTTTTACACCTCTGAACTACCTCTACCATGGCCCTCACTTGAGACTACTACGAACCTCGAGATGGTGAGCTAGTAATGTGGTAAAATAAACTCTTCCTCTGCTTCAAACAAGAGTCAGCAGCTTTATACCTTAATCTCGATCTGCGTGGCCGATGGAGAGTAGGCTACCTATCACACAGACTCTAAAGGGAAAAGCCCTCCTCAGCCATCGAATTATCGAACCGTCACCTTGGAAACCCGCGCATGTGATTAAAACAGCTATCCAGCTCCAGGCCCCAGCGCGCTCTCCTCATAGGTTTGGCGCGTCGCCAGCAGGCTGCCAGGTCTGCCTTGAGCGGCTGTACCACCCCAGACTGGGCGCTCAGTGTCAAGTGACTCACTTCTGGGACCGCCAGCCAATCAAGTTACACGACGCAGGCCGTGTGTGACATCGCCGACAACCCCTTTGTCAATGACTCCCTCGCTCATGTAAATAGAACCAATGGAGCTAGAGATCGGTAATCGATGACGAGACGTACTTCTACGATATAAAAACTCGACGCTGGTCTCCGAGCCGCTTGAATAATCCCTGATGGCTCATTGCACCTCAGTCTTCACCAGGACACTCATCTCGTACTTGGCTGTAATGAGCCCCAGCTTACACCCTTCGCTGTCACCCGGCTCTAGTTGTGCGCTGGTATATGACAAATTCCTCTGTTCTTAAGTCTTATAAAGACATGGCTGTAGCAACCCCTCCCACACACCAGCAAACGCGGCGCTTGGCACCCGGACTGAGTCCAGCGACTGCTAGACTCAAGTATCATGTCGACCTTGACGAGACGTGCCGGCGACAGGCCTTCAAGCATAACCGCGTCACCCAGGTCAGTCTTAAGATATCCAAGTAACATCTCGATACTTTCCTTAAATAATCGGGTTTGGGATCCTCGCCACGCTAGCGAGTCTCCTCCGGAGTTCCTCTCTCAAAGGAGCATCACACAGGAAGAATTCTGACACGAATCAACAAGCAGCTGAAGCTCAACTCCCGCGTCAACCACATGACCCGCCAGCGCAAGGCCTCAACTCCGCGCCAACGCTGGGCCCACGAAGACGAGGACAACCACCGGCTAGCCCGCGACCGCACCATCGCGCTGCCCGGCGACGGAACCGGCAACAAGCCGCGCCTGCAGCGCCAGGAGGCATTCCGCGCGCCCAGCAGCAGCAGCAGCGCATGGCTCTACACCGAAATGGTGGACGATGACGACGCGGACCTGTACCATCTAGGCCTGCTGTACGACGACGAGCAGGCCGGTTTCGGGCTCGACGCCATCGCGCACTCCGATCCCGTGTACGCACTCCGCCCAGCGAACCCCGCGCGCAAGCGCTGCGTGGGACGGTTAGAGAGCAATGCTCCGGGGTTGGCGCCGGACACGTTCGCGTCTCTCGATGGGTACATGGAGATTGCGCGGTATACGGCGCCTGATCTGGACGAGATCTCGTTTCTGGATACTGAAGCTGCATCTCTTTACCCGTCCCAACAATGCCGAACCCGACGCGAACCGCGAATCTAGGGCCATGATGGTGGCGTCGCACCGGTAGAGGGTGACCCAAGCGGGCTGCTCTCCATCATATACGAGCTCGTCGAGAGCTCGATCCGCTCGCTGGTGTCGTCTCCGACAGCGTGCGATTTTCCTGATTTGATTCATGATGCTGTCAACGAGGAGATAGAGGATGAGGAAGAATATGCAGATGATGACTGGGCCTTGGTTTCAAAAGCCGCGAACTCAAGTCATATTGCCGCTGCCGCCGTCAACGCGCAATGTCCGCCGCGACCGACGACGCCAGAATCGTACTGCTGATTGACCGCTCGTAGCAGGTCTGTACTTGGGTTTCCCTCGAAGCCCCTGGATCTCGACTCGAAGTGGAGGGGCTGGCGGCGGCTGCCTCGGCTGCCTCGACGGGTCCTTTAGACCCAGCCCTGGCGCTGGTATGTGGGACGAGGGGATGGGAGGATGGTTGGCATCTGGATGGGGAAATCGGATTGGAGACGCAAGGCAGCTGTGTGCTCGTAGCCTTGAAAGCTTCTTGAGCTCGCTGCCAGTGTTTGAGGTGTATAGCAAAGTGTACACCTTGTAGGATTGATGGCGCCGCGGCGCTGCGGATTGCCATGTTTTGGTGCTTGAGTAGCGACCAATACCTGTCTCCATTAATTTGTCACGATTCATGATCTTCTGTGAGCAGTATCCATCTGTATATGTAAGCGGTATGTGGGGATCAGGCACGCTGTCGGGTCGTACAGGGACCCACAGGGCATCTAAGTGTATTCTACCACCAACAAACAGTCGATAGACCTTTTCTTGAAAACAAGAACGCGGTCACGCTCATACTGCACTTATCGTTTCACGGATAATGCTCTCATCTTCTATAGAATTCAGGCTCTCTTTCGCGTAGTTCTCGAAGCGCTGTGGACGTATGCGTAGGTGCTTGCGCATTGACCTACCTGCTTGCACCTTGCGTGTGCGATGCACCCTTATCAGTGTAGAGTCAGCCCAGTCAGGGTGGTTCCTACGTGCGATACCCCTGTAACAGGGGAGGGAGAGGCGTCAGTGGACGGACTTCTTGTAACAAGTGGTGTAAAACCAGTCCTCAATGCGTAATGACGAATTTTCATAGCTATCCGGGTACCCTAGACCATAGCATGACACTGCACATGAGCCCTACAGACTCGAAACATCCAAGCCCCGAGCGACCATCTCCAGGTTTTGCCAAGCCTTTTCGACCTTTTCTCGAATGTCAGCTTCGCTGTGGCCGACACCAACCATGATCTGCTTGTATGTGTTCTTCACAACCCTGCCGAACGGGGAGTCGAAGCCGTACATCTGGTCCATATGGTCGTAGACATCGAACAGGAACCGGAAATAGATGACCCTCAACTCCAGGCCGGATTTGGCCATCTCTTGGTAGATCTCCTGGTGCATTGGACCGCACAACACATTGGTCAACGTCGACAGCGCCCAGGTGTTGATCAGACGGTCGGGATAGAACGGCTGCGGATGCAGTTCTGGGGTGATTTCGAAATACATCTTGATGCCTACTCGGAATGCTCTGTAGGGTTCGGCAGAGTCGAGGTACAAGCTGAACAGTCGACGAAAAAGATGTGGTACTGGCTGTCTCGTCCATGTCCACATGCCTGAGGTGACACACATTTGGAGGGCTTTCCTCACATCCTCTATGCTCGATTGCTCATTCTCATATACGGCGAACGCTTCGGCTTGCATCGCAGACAACCGTCGCTTCGTCGTAGAATCATCGACAGGGACGGAGTGTCTCTCCAGCCGGGATGCGTGGGTACGTGCCAGTTTATCAGCGAGCTCGCAGTACTCGCTGGGAAGTTTCTCGGGTATTCCCACGAATGTGTCCTCGGCCAGTGTTTGACCTTCCTTACACTTCGAGCATTGACATGTGAAGAGATACTTCTCTTTGAGATCAGCCTGACGCAACTTGGATGGGTCTGTTACTTCAGTGTACTTCAGATAAATTTCCTCGCCCTTCTTGATGGGTTTCAGGGCTCGAAGTAGCGTCTTCGGTTGATTGAAGGCCAGGACAGTATTAGGGTCGCAAGAATGATTCGCGCTGCAGATCACAGGGTCGAAGCCGCTGCCAAGATTGATGTCATCAAGAGAAGAAGAAAGCTGAAAGGTGTTGGACATGATCTAGGGTTGAAGTCGTCAGCTGAAACTCATTTTCTAAGCGCGATAAGAAACCAACATTGAACATGAGTGCTTTCGAGGCAGATTTCGCCTCGGTATTGGGAATCTTGGGCTCTCCAGCGTAGTGGAAAGCCGCATGCCCAAGCATTTGGAAGTCGTCGAATCTCTGCTTGTCCAGACTGCTAAACTTGTCTAGGCCGCCCGGTTCTCCAGCCGGTCGAAATTTCAAGATATCTTGAACTGTTTCCGTGAACCCCGGGTCCCCGTTCAGGCGACCGAGAAGCTTAACGACGCCGCGTACATGATGAGGCAGATCGGGGCGGTCATTGACGCCCAAGACCTTGCACTCATACTTGTGCTCACGTTTCCACGCCTTGGACTGGCACGTCTTTGAACAGTACGAGACCTTGCGGCACCCTGTGCAGCTCTTGACTTCTATGAAGCCAGATGGTAGTCCCATCGCCGCAGACTGGGCCTTCTCAATTGGGTCCGTTGCTCCACGTTGAAAGCACCAGGCACACGTGTCTAGCAGGCGATCGGTCTCGAGTTCTGCGAACAGCGGCCGGTCGATGGAGAGGACTAGATCTCCCGGAGCAAAGTCCTTGCGTGCGAAGAGGCCACGTCCAGCGCCACCGATATGGGACTGATTGACCTCGACATCTTCGCTTTCAAGGGGCATCTTTGTTGTAGGTCGGTGGCTTGCTAGGTAGGTACTGACGAGACTAGAAATTCGAAACGCGCTCGATAAATCTGGTGCCTTCCGTATAGGAAAGGTATTTGTTGGGTCTGGGTTTTATTTAGTCTGAACTTTAAGAATTACTGCTTTAGGCTTAGTGAGTTGAGCCACTGTGGCTGGTACATACGGAAGGCGTTGTTGCGAACTTTAGTGAAGCCTCTCACTCGATGAATCAGTGAGCTGACTAAAGGGATCTAGACTTGATCGGGCGTAGCGCTGTGGATCCAGTGCATGGACCCATATGAAGTATTCTGGTAACCCCACCAGATAGATATGTTGGAGGTTACCTGATGAAGGCTGCCTGGCAACCCTTTGTTGCCCCAGGTACCTCACCACTGTAATTTAGGTATTTAGATACATCTCGGATGGAATCCTTTCCATCCGACCTGTTAATCAAGCACCGCCCAGACAACTGATAGATTACAACAAGACTTGTGATTTATCAGCATCTGGGAAAGCTACCAAAAGGCACAGCGCTACACCTAGAGGAACTTAGAGCTGGTTAAGAACATATCAAGGCGATACGCGAGTGTATGAAGGAACAAGATATGCACTTGGAGGATCCTGCGTAATCGTCCATTCCCGCAGCTTGAACAAACGACTTTTGGCTTCTCATTGCCAGCTTATTCTCATTTCCCTGCGTGTCGACATTTTGGCAGTGAGTTGAGAGGATGACACTTGATGCCCCTCCATAGCTGAGTATTTCGACTATGTGGGTAGGACATGTTGGTTTTGAGGTCCTGACTAAAATTCTATCATCCAAGTCCAGCACAGGCAGATTAACATCACACCGCAACAACAAGTATGTGGCTTTGGTTGGGAATTATCTTGAACAATCTAAATGCTATCCAGGTATCTTAAAATCAAAACGAAAACAGATCAGGTATATCCTATTCAGGCTGCGCTCACGGCCTCCCGCCTCTCAAAACACCACCCTGGCCTCGGGCACTCTCCTCATCAGCCGCCATGTCGCTGTTGGAATCTCGCTTCTCGACGTGGTCCATCTGGGCCTTGTTCTCGTCGGTTTCGTCATACGCGATCAGGAGTTCGCCGTTCTTTCCGTACCGTCTCGGCGCGTTCCTGGCGACGCCGACCACGGTGAGGAAGCCCTTCGCGCCGGATACCTTGTGGAAGATCGAGTCCATCTCCTCGAGCGACCTGTAACTGGTCTCGGGGAAGAAGAAGTAAACTGACGGTACCATGAAGGCGTTGATCACAGCGAAGATGATGTAGGTCTGGTATCCGATCGAGTCGAACGCGACTGGGGTGATCATGACGACAAGGAAGTTGAAGATCCAGTTGGCTGCAACTCGTTAGTTGGGGGTTTCATCGATGCTGGATATGAGCTCGTTTGCTTACCTGACGTAGACATGGCGTTCGCTGGAGCTCGAATGCGCAGCGGGACGATCTCGGCAGGGTACAGCCAGGTCATTCCAAGCCACCCAAATGCGAAGAAGCTGTTGAACACAAACAGGAAGACGATCGCGGCAACTTTGAAGCCTGCTGCATCCTGGGAGTTGACACCAGCGAGGATGGCCATGGTTGCCGACTGGCCAGCGGCACCAAACAGCATCAACTTGCGTCGACCGACCCGTTCCACGATGAAGACCGGTGGCCAGGAGATGAGGAAGTACTGGGTCGCGATACACGACGCGAGCACCAGACTCAGGAAGTCGCTCATGCCGAGCCCCTTGCAGATGACAGGAGCGTAGTAGGTGATGAGGTTGCATCCGCTGATCTGTTGGAACATCTGGTTGACGTATCCAAGAAGGGCTCGGTGGAAGTTCCTGCGAGCCGTGTGAGTACGAGACAACGAGAAAAACGAGTTCTAGAACCGACATACCTATCTTTGCCCATGGTGAACAAGTCGCGGAACGAGCCCTTGGACATCTCGATCACCGTATCCTGGATGGCAGCAAGCTCGTTTGTGATGAGCTTGTCGTCTTCACTGATGTCTGACAGAGCGGCCAACACCTCTTTCGCTTCATCGTGTCTGCCCTTGAGCACAAGCCATCGAGGGGACTCGGGGAGATAGCTGACAAAGCACAAGATGAATATGCAGAAGGCGCATTGGAAGGCCAGGGGGAACCTCCATGCCACTGATCCGGGTGCGAAGCTAAAGCCGAGATCAATCCAGTTACTGATCATAATGCCACCCGAAATGAGGGCACCTTCGATCATGACCAGCTTGCCGCGCTTGTGGGACTTGGATGTTTCTGACTGCCAAGTGGGAACCGTCGAGGTGTTCCCTCCGTTACCCATTCCAGTGATGATACGGCCGATGATGAATTGCTCGATCGTGGTAGCGGACGCTTGGAGGATTGCGCCAACGATCATAATGCTGGTGCCCAGCATGATCATGCGACGTCGGCCGAGGGGGTTACCAATGAAGATGGTGAGAATCGCTCCGATAAAGCAGCCCAAGTTATAGGAGGAGACAGCAATTCCTAGCGAAGAAAGTCGGGTTAGCTTGGACGAGACCTTTGCGAGTGGTCTGGATGAACTTACCCTGAGTGGTAGATCTCGTCGATGATTCGGCGGCTGTTAGACCGGCGGCACTAGAGTCGAGCATAGGGAACAGGTTCAAGAAGCTGGGCATTGTCAAGATGCCTCCCATGACACCCTGGTCTTGAAAGGTAGTCAGCTCCTGTTCGACTATCATGGGGCACCAAACACATTCTTCCGTTTGGGAGGCAGCCTCTGAGGTCCCTGATGGCACTGGACTCACCATATCCAAAAAGCAGGAAATCGCACCCGGCGATAGCGCCGATGGCATAGTTGAGGGAGTGGCCCCTGAGCCCGAGATACTTCTTCATGATTGCCATGATTGCAGTGAGAAGCCCGTGCTTGAGTATGAGATGGGATATCACAACTTGGAGGTGAGGTACTGATTTCACGGGACCAGAGTCTGGGGGGGGATCGGCGCCTCTATTTATCCCCAACCCCAACTTCTATCACCTCCGTGGGGTCGACCGCCCAGCCGCCTCTCCACAGCCGAAGTCAGTGCCAAATAAACTGCCATACCTACAATATCATCCTGTGGAGTTCGGGGTCTTGCCTGCAGCCGGCCAGTCCCAGCATGGGTAGAAACGAGTCGGCGCGGCGATGAGGTGGGGACACGCTCTCCTTTCACCTCCTTTTCCTTGATTCGGGCCGAGAATGACGGCGTCGTCCAGACTCCAGGGACCGCAAAATAGTAGAGTAGGATGCATACTGCCTGTGAGACGGGGCTGGAGTACCTTCACGTGCTTCGTCGAGCCAATGTCTGGCACACCTGACGCGGCGGTGTCCACAGAACAGGGGTTAGGGTGGGCCAAGTTGACTCGCATCCCCGTATGCAGTGGGGCTTGAATCCCCTCTTCTCCAGCCTCTCCACGACACGCGCCCAAGGCGCCCCAATGGGATGGGTCTACCCCGTAACCCCAGGCACAATCGAGATTGTGGCGGTCTGGGGGCAATCTTCCACGTGGAGAGGCCGAAGTTGTACCTGCGATGACGTCTCGAGCCTCACCTTTCCGACCGCGGTGTAGTGATGTTGGCGTCCCTGGAACTGTCCCCCGAAAGCTTGGGTCGCGCCACTTGAGCCAAAAAACTCTACTGCTTCGACTGATTGTTCAGCTTCCGAGTCGCAACGGCGCGCCCCTCGAAGCTTCGTTCACCGCCGGTTGGCGGGCAGGGCTGAGCCTCATCCTGCCGGCTTTCCCGATTAAGAAATCGCCTAATGCCTAGTCGCGATCCATCGATAAGATCAAACGCGCCGTTATATGAACGTTCCTGGGCTGACATCACTTCGGGTTCCTGTCGCTCATCCAAGGGACCGGTTTGCCGGTGTCCCGGCCATGATGCCTACTTTAGGCAGAGATCGGGCTTCTGGACCCGCTATCAACAATCATCCACGGAGCTGAGCCGATCTTTTCCGATGTTGAGGAATATGGTAGTCCCTTCACGGCAGACAAGTGCTTCACCGCGAATTCGCCAATAGTTCCATCGCGTCGCTAGGAACAACATACACCCCGTCTGAACTCGTGATGGCGAAGTGAAGGAGTCGCATGACCCAAACTAGATCCATCAGCTGTAGGCGAGTGACTGTCGTTATCTTTCGCTTCCCCCTGAACTCGATGCTTGGGCTGGATTCCATCAGAGTCAGCATGCACAGATGGACGAGACACACGCTGGATGGGTAGCAACCATAACTACAGCGGAATATGAGCTACGTTCACCGATGTTCCTGACTAAAAATAGATTGATCATCGATATGCCGTCTGCGGATATCCGGCGACGGCCATTTTCCAATTCTCTACCATACTCAGCCCTGGAGCCTGCGGGACTATCTACGCAGTCTTGTCACCAGCTCAGGCGAGGCTCTCGCGCCAGTTCACACCGCCCCAGGCCCACGACTTTCGTTGGTCAAGCGCCGTGTCCTTGTTCAGCCTCCTAGGGGTCTTCTAGAAGAGACGCCACCGTTATCAGGCTATGGGGAGTAGCGTTTCTTGTGGTGGTCTGTCACTCGCAACCATATGCGCCAGAGTCCCTGTCACCTACTTGTCATCTACTTGAATATTGGATCGGGGGCCGCCGAGCCCTGGTCTTCGCATTCATATCAAACTAGCCACGGGCAATAGCAACCTCGTCGGTTGGCATGGGCTGACTGTTTACATCGTTAGAGGTATATCGCTTTGCCCTTGTTTTTCTCCTTTCAGGTTAGCGAGGAAGCCCAAGACAAGCTGCGTACTCGACATCTCTGTCTGCTGGCGGCTTGGGATCCATACTGGGGAGTTTCTTCCCCAAGGGCAGCGTTTCACTTAATCCGAGTAACGTGGATGACAAGCGAGCGGCAATTACAAACGAACGGCAACTTTTCACTAACCTTCCAACCAACATGTCAAATAACTCGACCACAACGCATTTAATTCAATCTAATTAATCGGGTTCTTCTTCTTCAGACGTTTCTATCTCTATTGTACAAGTTCGCGCATTATGGCCAGTGTTGCCGCAAACGCCACAACGTCGCTCACGCGCTGCCGCCCTTCTCGGACGACGACTACCTTCACCAATTTCCTGTCTTGCCAGCTCATCACTATCCTTTACAGCCTGGAGACCTACTACATCTTCAACAGAAAGTACTCTCTTTTCACTAAACGTTTGTTTTTTGTCCTCCGGCGTTTACTTAGTAAGTGATTAGCCTCTTCTAGCTCGCGGATCCGGGAATCAACCAAAGCAACCTTGTGCATAAGACCGTATATAGCCTTTAAAAATGAGCTCAACGCATCAACTATTGATGTAGGTGAGCTTCTTTGGTGGTTTCTGACTCGATTTCGGATATAAACCGACTGGTTTACCGCTTCGTTGATGGTGGTAGGCGTCTTTGAAGTCCAAGTAGTGCGTGGCAGATTGGGGTCTGGCGACGGTGTTCATATCTTGGATACCATGTTTTGCGACTGCCCAAAACCACGCGCGATACGCGTATAGATCTTAGTTTAAGACCCTCTGGTAATCCATCCTCCAATAAAAACGCATCCAGAAGCCTGGTGTGCGTTGAATGAAGTTCTGCGTCCAGTTCTTTCTAACGCGTCTATCCCCACGTGCTGCCAATAATTGATTTGCCATATTTTCAATATAACTGTGCCGGGGTGGAAATGCTCGCGCATCCAGGTCAAGAATGAAGGAAAGAATGGTATTCTTTTCAGAAACCGTAAGTTTCAAAGTATTGGGTATGCTATTGTGTCGTGATGGTCAGCCGGCGATTCTAGCCTTCAAGGTATTATATGGGACATGGAAAGTCTTAGAAAGCTTGCAAATAGTAATATGAGGGCCGCATCACTTAGCTTAGACAGCAAGCTGTAAGTCTGATTCGCTATAACGCAATGCTATTATTGTTGGTTGATCAATTAGTAGCCTTGATTGAAAGGTTAAGTGGCTGGTGAAAAGTTGCCGTTCGCTTGTAATTGCCGCTCGCTTGTCATCCACGTTATTTGTAGTTAGTTAAAGGGTAGTCAAGGTTTGATCCGAGCAATCAGAGGCTGACCTCACTAACTGCATGTCAATCAGGGGGTACTTAACTTAGATTGTTTAACTGTTATCTTAAGGCTTGTTAGATATTGTTATTTTTCGGCTTTGAAGGCATCATTGTGTAGTCCTGGACGAGCTGAAGCGATTGAGCATAGTTGCGACTAAGTATTACACCAGAATGGGGCAGTGATGGGGGTTCTGGAGATGACTGGTTGTTCGTGAAGGCCGAAGGGCACGGTTTACCGCGCGCGTGCGTGTTGTGGATGTGGTTGATATGGTAGATGTAGTGGTTGCCTAGGATGGTAGATGTAGTGTATCTGGTGGTGCGGCTGGTGGTGCGGCTAGCAAAGTGGGTCTGGGGGAAAAGGGAGGCTTTTTATTAACCCGGAGCCTCCGCATCGCTTTTTGAATAATTAAACGAGCTACTTTAATAAGGACTTAATCCTCTTTGTAAGGCTTATATAAGGCTTATATAAGTATTATATATATATATAATATACCGGGTTTAATAAATACTTATAAGGTGCCAGATTTGAGCCAATTGTCAGAGTGAAGTGTGTGTGTATTCCTTCTGTCTAGAGTGTCCTTGTGCGACCGTGGCAGTTTTATACAAGAGGGGGCTGGATCAGGACGGAACAACTAGGTTCCGTTGCCTATCTGTCTAGGTGCCTTCTAGGCATACCTTTAATCCAACATAAGGTATAAATATTATAAATAAGTTAAAAATCTTATAAACTTGACGTAGCTGACAAGCGAGTTGGCATTACAAGCGAGTTGGCACTCGTCATGAACTTTCTAACCAACACAATTCAAACCATTATATCTCTACCAACAATAATGGCACCACGTTACAACAAATCAGACTCACAGCTAGCTGTCCAAGCTAAATGATGTGACCCTTATACTTTTATATTTCAGCTTGCAAAACTCTTCAACAGCCCTTGTTGTGACAGCCTGTACAGACCTTCCCACATGACAAGTGGATATTTCCTAATAAGGGAAGGATCTGACCAGAGGATCCCCTTAAAGGGGCAACCTCACACTGTACCTATCTCTCTATCTCTCTTCCTTTCCTCTCTAGTCTTGATATTCTTGTTAATAGAGTAATAGCTGCTTGCTGCAGGCCATGTCCCAGCTCCCTAGTATGCTCGCCGTGACATTTGTTCCACTTTGAGCAATAGAATTAAAGGAATGCCACTACGGGGTGACAGCATTCCTAATACTTTGAAACTTACAGTTTTTGAAGAGAATGCCATTCTTTCCTCCATTCTCGCCCTGGATGCGCGAGCATTTCCACCCCAGCATAGTTATTATGAAGATATTGTGGATCCCAACCACTGGATCCAGCCACAAGTACCTTATTGGATCTCCTGTCATCCAGAACGTTCTACGATAAGATTACCTAGGATGGCTGCCCCAGGTGACAGGAACCAACCCACTGTAATTTAGGTATTTAGATACTTCTCAGGTGGGATCCCTTCCCATCCGAACTTAACCAAGCACCAACCAGAATACAGATCATCGCAACCAAGACTTGTGATAGATCTCTGTTCTGGTTCTGCTACCACAAAGGCACAATATGGCGAATCAATTGTTGGCGGCACGTGGGGCTGGACGCGTTGGAAAGAACTGGACACGGAACTTCATTAAACGCATACCAGGCCTCTAGACACGTTTTCATCAGAGGATAGACTATCAGAGGGTCTTAAACAAAGATCCAGACACATATCGCGCGTGGTTTCACTAAGTTGTGGCAGCAATCGCAAAACATGGAATCTAAGACACGGACATTTATAACTTTGATAAGACTGGGTTTATGATGGGCATTATTGGGTCTGGGATGAACATTATAAGCACTGAAAGACGTGACAGGCCTAGACAAGCTCAGCAAGGTAATAGGGAATGGTTTACAGTAATCTCCGCTATTAATGCTGATGGTTGGGTAGTCCCACCGTTCATCATTCTACAGGGCAAAACCCACCTTGCATCATGGTATTGCAACACAACACTACCACGCGATTGGAAGGTCGCTGTGTCTGAGAACGGATGGACTACAAATGAGATCGGTTTGAAATAGATTCAGTATTTTGACAAGTATACCAGACTGTATATGACTGCTGATAAATGCCTCCTTATCCTAGATGGTCATAAAAGCTATCATTCCCTGGTCTTTAAGAATTATTGTCAGAATAATAGTATCATTACCTTTTGTATGCCTGCCCACTTGATACACAGGCTCCAGCCTTTAGATATCAATTGTTTTAGCCCGCTCAAACGAGCTTATAATCACATGAATAAGGATCTCATCCGGCATCATGTAACCCACGTTTTAAAGGAGGACTTTCTTGCAGCATTTTGTGAAGCACACAACGCTGATATGACACCAAGAAATATTTGAGCAGGTTTTAGTGCTACTAGGTTTGTTTCTTTTGACACAGAAAGTGTCGTTTAAAAGCTAGATGCTGTCACTGTTGTACAAACACCGTTGCCAGACCCTAATCTGCCACCCACTACTTGAACTTCAAAGACACTTATCACTATTAACGAAGCGGTAAACCAACCAGTTACATCCGGAATCGAGTCAGAAACCACCAGAAAAGCTCACTTACATTAAAAGTTGATGCATTGAGCTCGTTTTAAAAGGCTACATATAGTCTTATACACAAGGTTGCTTTGGCTGATTCTGGGTCCGCAAGCTGGAGGAGGCTAGTCACTTACTAAATAAACCCCAGAAATTTGGAATAAATATTTAATAAAAGAAGGAATATTTTCTATTAAAGATGCAGTAGGTCTTGAGGCTACAAAGGATGGTAATGAACTGGCAAGACAGGAAATGGGTGAAGGTAGTCATCGTCTGAAGAGGACGACAGCGTGTGACGGCCTGCATAGACCTTCCCACATGACAAGCGAATACTTCCCAATAGGGGAAGGATCTGACCAGAGGATCCTTTTAAAGTGGCAACCTCCCACTGTACCTATCTCTCTCTCTCTCTTCCTTTCCTCTACAGTCTTGATATTCTTGTCAATAGAATGATAGCTGCTTGCTGCCGGCCATGTCTTAGCTTCTCAGTACGCTCGCCGTGACACAGCGCGTGAGTAACATTGTGGTGTTTACGGCAACACTGGCCACAATGCGCAAACTTGTATAATAGAGATATAAACGTCTGAAAAAGAAGAATCTGATTGATGTCACAGCTGTGACGGTCTGACCTCCTGGAAGTCTGTCAACCCATCAAGATGGTCTGTGCGCAGCATCACATGACCTGGCGCACAAGACGTGTGGCCACAACTGTACTAGGCTAGGTAATAGTGGGGCGGATGGAAGGATCATTAATCCCACCAGAATTGGCTGGCGGGTCAGATCCTTCTTTCCCTCCCCACCAAGAGATTCTTACACGTAGGTAGTGCAATCAGGACTTTTATGTCCTCATCCTATTTACGCTTCGTGACAACAGCGAGCGTACTGAGGAGCTGGGACATGGCCTGCAGCAAGCAGCTATTACTCTATTGACGAGAATATCAAGACTAGAGAGGAAAGGAAGAGAAAGAGAGAAATATGTACAGTGGGAGGTTGCCCCTTTAAGGGGATCCTCTGGTCAGATCCTTCCCCTATTGGGAAGTATCCGCTTGTCATGTGGAAAGGTCTGTGCAGGCCGTCACAATGTTATATAAATTAAATTATAATTATAATTAAACTTATTTCAAAACGTCTTATAAAGTGTATATATTAACAATTCATTAAATCTGAATATAAGATAGTTTATAAAATATTCATGATATTTATGTATTTAATAACTGTTATAGTTTAAAAAAAAAGAAAAAAATCTGGTTTTTTTTAACAAACCCCTACAACTTTTTAAATATAAATAAATATAAATAAATAGATAAACGGGTTGAACAGGATAAACATGATAAACATGATAAACAGGATAAACAGAAAAATAAACCAATTTTTTTTTTTGGTTTAATTTCATTCAAAACCATGAAACTAAATATGATTTTGAATTAATTTATTATTTCAATTTTTAAGAAAGTAGTGTAATTAAAGCACCATATTAATACTGTTTTTTATTGCTTTAAATACTTTATAACTTTTATATTTTATATTATGAAATAGCCAACACCGTTTTATCAGTCTTAAATACGATATATGATACCTCATACGTTTATTAAAGGTATTATGATATTACAATAAATTAAATTAAAAGTAAGTACTTATAAACTTCTTAAATAAAATACATTTAAGATATATCTTTATTATACGTAATAATAAATATTATTCTTATAAAGACTTGATATAATTATTAAAGAAATAAAGTAATAAAAAATTTAAGTTTATGTATTTTTATTTAATAATTAGTTATTAATTACTTAATAAGTATATAGTTATGCTTCGCTGCGTAAATTTTTAATTTAAGCTATTTCAAACTAAATTAATAAAACACCTTTAAATAGCTATATAATAAGTATAGTTGCAAGTATTGCTATCGCAAGACCGCAATTGCGGCCGCGCAACCGTAATTGTTAATTAGTAATTGCTTCTGTGCTGCTAGCCGAATTGGGCTTATGTCCGAAAGCACCTACCACCTACAACCCTTTTAAGAATTCAAGTGGTCAGTTGATCTGCATTCACGATTGGATTGCTCAGGTTATGTTAAACGCTAGCCAAAGGACACTATCTCTAGAAATGAACGAATTATCGAGTTCGAGTTCATCCCACCCTACCCTCTCGACAAATGTCATGTGGTCTTGGCGCACGGTACTGGTCTGGCCCCTTTATCACTCATTGCTTCCTTAGCCTGCCAATGCGTCTGGAGTATGGTCTGAAAAGGCCTGGCCAATCACGAAGATGACGACGGTGGAAATCACAAGACATGGAAGGCTTGGTTGAAAAGAATGGTGCGAGCATGTTTCTTCGAAAGTCAGCACGCCCTGGATTTTGTCAACAGTAGGACAGCAAAACCAACTCTCTTTCCCACATAAGCCATATCACCGCACCGGCAGGCCCCGAGATCAACGATAACACCGTCACCACAAAGGCAAGCTTGATCCAACCAATTGCAGCCAGCGGCTGACTTCTTGAGTTGATGTACAGGGTCGAGGACCAGATAATCGCAGCTGTTGAGCCGATGTACTGATCGTATTGAAAGAAGGCGTGCATCGCCGAGCCCATGGACAGCATTTTCTCTGTCGTGTAGAACGGTGTGGGCATGAAGACTTCTGATAGAGTCATTCTTGCCCTCGTAGATGAGGTAAAACCGGAAGGGTATATCCAGACTGCGAAGATAATGACGACTAGCACGAGGTGAGACGCCGCACAACAGATAAACGCGAAGATATAAGCCCGGGATATGATGCGGTATTTGTCACTTTCGTTATTTCGTCCTGTTGACGTCGAATCCGTCGTGCCGAGGTCCGATTCCCATTCTTTCTTACCAACGTTCGAGGCACGCAGGGGCTGGACGTTCGCCGGGAGCCGGGGGCATAGAATCTTCCGCATTATCATAGACCACAAAGGGGACCCTTGCCACAAGCCACCGAACCATTGATGAAGGCTATTGGACGGTAGGGGGAGACTCATCAAGATCGCTGGTAGAGTATATCCTATAAGCAGAGCCTCAGGCACCACTTCCACGTCGAGTACGTTTATGATGGAAGCTGCTTCCGCTAGCTCCGTACCGAACACTCCTGAGGCCGACGAAGTCAGAAGGTGGAGGACACCGTAGAGCGGCATCACGAGCCCGTAACTGAAGATCTGCATGGCACAAGCCCAGCAAGAAAAGCTGATGACACGGTCAGCATACGTGATCGTCAGCAATTTCTCACTTGAAGAGCTCACAAACGGAATGTGCTGGACTGGTTGCCGCTTCTCATGCCCTCCAGCATCAGGACTGTGAGTATACCAAGATACTGCCCGGCGAAGTGAACCGCGTAGAGGGAGAGCTGCGGGAGCGAGCCATCCGTCACGTTTGCGAACATGACACCGGCCAGTGTCAGAAGCTTGTCCAACAAGTTGATCCCGGTGTAGCGTGGGAGGATCGTGTTCGTCGAGCCAGGCAAGTAATGCGGTCCTTCACACCAAAGCCGAATCAGGGCGTCGATGTAACCACTTCGGTAAAGCGAGCCATGCAAGGCGAAGAGACCAAACAGATGAGCCAAGATCAGCGCCACCGCTGCTGTGCGGTTTGTAAAGTTGGGACTCATGTTCAAGTCCGATATCACGCTGTGTAACCAACGCAACCGAGTAGTCAACGAGGAAGAGAACAGCTTCGCATGAAAAGGGTACACGATTGAGATTGGCACTGCTACGCGTACTTCGAGTTGAACAACAGCCGGTCTTTATGCAAGATGGAATACATTACTCCATGGTCTAGACCCGCTCGCTTCTGCTTCATGTCACACGTGGTCCCTAATCCGAAGCCCACATAGCTTACTACATCACGATGGAGCATTGGGTATCAACGAGGCACAGGCTAATATTCGGCTGGTTTCTATGTCGTGTTATAGGGACTCGGGAATTTAGCCGGCTTGTTCTGTCTATGTGATACCTTGTGATCTATATTGGTAGGATAAACTCACACATGATTCGCCCGCGTATCCTGACTGATCGCATATAGCTGCTCGCAGTAATATTGAACGCGGAATGAAGCGGAGCCCATGCGTGACCCCGTGCCTACCAATGGTCGAAATACTAATCACATGTTCCAAGATTCGGCTACACCAACACGAAAGCAAATAAACTGCTCGGTGACATGGTATGGATCTTGCGGTGGGTTTTCGAAACAATGGCTGCTGGCGATGATTACGCAGCCGTAGTCCTGCGCCTCCTTTCCCAAATCTTATCAAATCCATCAGAAGTGCCCACAGGGTGTCGTCACTCAGATCAACTTTATAATCCTCCGTTCCCAGCACGTCCTTGCCAGAACACATGCAAAGCCCCGTGCACAAGGTATAGGCAATGTCGGATTCGAAGCCAAGCCAAATACCGCTATTAACAACTACTGCTCCTTCCAATGAACCCCTTGGTAAAGTACATGATAGCATTTTACGCAGTGTCGGCCCCCGAGATTCGCGGTTTGCCATCTTCGTTACAACGTGCATGGCCTGCAGGATGGTATCTAAAGTTCCCTCGCCTCCCAGCACTCGCGAATTATACCATCAGGGGCGACGGGTTGGAGGGGGCGCGGCGCCAGAGGCTTGCGGGTTCTTGCTTCCAAAGCCGCATGCGGCGCCGCCTTGGCTGGGCTGAGAGGCTGAGCTATGTCAACCAGGTAGGTACGCGTAATCCCAGGAGACCGGTCCATGACAGGCGATCAACTGGGGGTTGGACATGAGCTCAGCCGCACCGGCAGGCTGTCCCAGGCGACTAGTTGCACGGATCATGTCTTGCATATCAAGGAGAAGGATGCGTCCGCAGAAGGGGAACATAGGGGCCTCGTGTAACTACTACAGTCTACGGGTGGCACATGGATCACCTTACCTATAAGTAGCTCTTATTGCCACTGTATCAACCTGGATTCAATGCCATCAACAAGAGTACCGAGGCCCGGATGTTAGTCCGGTCTTTGGTAGCTTGAGCGTCCGGTATTGCTGATGAGCTCGCTGATAGTACCTTTTCTTGTCTCTGAGTACTACTCTAAGGTAGGTAGAGTTTTGTGTTATATAGGTTTGTGGCCGCATGAAAGACGTCTCCTCTCAAGGTGGTGTCTCTGGTGCAGGTAATCTACACTTCTAAGAATCGTTAAACACCAGGCAAAGGCGGCTTGCTCATTGCTGGCATGCCCTCTAAACACACACGTAGCATGTCATGTAAACCCCAACAAGTTGCTCACATCCGCGACACTCGCTACATTACTTTCGGTATCTGCTCACCTCACCACCTGAACCGCCTTCCTTTTCGAATTCGACCCCGCTAACGATTGTTTCTCCGCTGACGAGACCAGCCAAACATCCCCCTGTCTTCCCCGCGCGGGACCCCCTTACCCCAGGTTCCACACACCATAAGGTTGTGGCCGAGGCTTGGCAGTTCGCTAAGCCAGATGCCAGTTCGATCCCATGGATGGTGTGCTCCGTCTTCTCGGGGAACTTCAGCTATAACTGCCGCTCTCACCCACCTTCCTCTTTACATAGTAGATTTGATCCTGGCTTGGAGCATGAAGCATATCCTCTAACAACAGCCCCTACTCACCAAGCTTAGAGATAAGCATCTAACCTTCAAGCTTGGTGTATGCCTTGTATGGAGGATCCGCCAGATACGTGCCCCCTTAATGTGAAAATACGGCACGAATAGTGGATCCCTTGTTACCTTTTCACGGCTACACCTTTGCACACGTGGATTAGATAGATCAGGAACTATCTTGCTAGTTCGGTGGGGAGGGTTACGTCCTTATCGCCCTATTGGCTGTTGCCTTTGTGTCTATCTTTGTGCCGAACTTTCACATTAACGGGATGTTTGTTGCAGAATATTATACCCTGTCATTGCTCGTAGATAGAAAGGGGTATCACGATGGGCAGCTTCTAATGTGAATCGTATCTCACCACCCATTGAGGTTCGAGACCTGGATCTCACCAAGTCATATGTGAGAGGATGATGCCATCATTTACGCTGAGTACGTAAGCCTAGCCCTCACACAGCCAATGACCATGCATTCACGAGGTATCTAGCAGAGCGAATGCACACCCCGGGATAGCCAAGGGTATGGAGTTCACTTGGCATTGGCAACTGGCCAACGATCCTGCCGGATCTGTCCCCTAGCTCATCAGAGCGGCACGGCACGTCTAGGCTATCGGCCGAGCTAGGGCAGCTGCAGGGCTCTTGAGGAATCATACGAGTCTTGCTTGGACATCTCTTGGGGCAGCTCTTCATTGCCTTCAGTGTCAGGACCGACGGGCATTCCGATATCAAGACATGACTTCGAGGGTTGGAAACTTTTCAATGGGTAGTGATCCATGCCTCCAAGTCATGGATGAAGCACTGCCTCTCCCAAGCGCTGAGATACCTGAATCATATGTCTATGGCCCACGACTCTGAAGAGTATGCCGCGCAGCTAGCGCTGGAGACTCGAGAGTTTTGGAGAAGCCAAGATTGGCCACCAATGTCCTGCGTCTTGTCCCGAGGTGTTTATAGGCCCTTCCCCACAGCCTCCATCATGGATTAGCATATGCAGCTCACAGGCTCAGCGTGACTTGCCCCTCAACATGAGTGTCTGGAGACCTTTTAAAAGCTCGTGCTGCTGCCCGCTTCTTTATTTACTTCCTCTCGATTTACTAAGCCGGTGAACAACAGCAGCCCGCTAGTTACCATGGACCACGACAGCGAGAAGGCGAAGCTCGACTTCGATCAGCTCGAGAAGGAAAAAACCGAGAACTCGAATTCGGTCGAAGAATATGACGCGCTTGAGGCAAAGCGAATCATGCGGCAGATCGACCGTCGGCTGGTCGTCACGGTTGGGGCCATGTACTGCGTCAGTCTGACGGACCGCACGAACCTGTCCGCCGCCGCCATTGCCGGCATGCTGGAGGAGCTCAACTTGATCGATAATCGATACGTGAGATTCACCCCACCTTGGTTCAAAAGTGTTGTGTCCTGAATCACTGATGGTTGGCTCTAGTCTATCATAACCCTAGTGTTCTTCGTCAGTTATGTCATCTTCCAGCCGCCGTCGACGGTCATAGTACGCAAACTTGGCCCTCGCATCCATCTCGCTTTCATCACGTCCGCCTGGGGACTCGTCATGATCGGGATGGGGTTCGTCCAGGACTATAAGACACTCACAGCTTTGCGGGTGATTCTGGGTCTTTTCGAGGCTGGGTTCTTTCCCAGCTGTGTCTATCTTCTGTACGTGAGCGTTCATCATTCAAATACTCCCTAGTCACGAGTTTTACCCACCGGTGACGTTTTGGGCAGTTGCTGACATACTCATCGAACAGCTCCACGTGGTATACCCGATGTAAGTTCCCGAAAAGAGCCTCCGCCTTCCCGCGTGACGGAGAACCAGACTGACTTAAGTGATAGACGAGGTTGGTAGGAGATACTCTGCCTTCTACGTCCTTGGCGCTGTCGTGTCTGCCTTCGGTGGAATCCTTGCTTTCGGTTTGGAACACCTTGACGGGGCTGGTGGACTAAGCGGCTGGCGGTGGATATTCATCGTTGAGGGTAACGACTCGAATCATCCTTCCTTCCCATGAATGAGGAGCTAAACACCCCCTCTAGGCATTATCACCACCGTGCTTGGAATCGCGGGGTATTGGCTGCTGGTCGACTTTCCAGACTCGACGCGGAAGTCTTGGAGGTTCTTGAGCGACCCCCAGCGCGCGTGGGTCGTGCGACGCGTGAACGCTGATCGTGGCGACGTGGCGACGCCCAAGTTTAAGATACGGAGGTTCCTTGGTTCCGGTCTGGATTGGAAAGTCTGGTTTGTCTATGCTGAAAGTCTCAAGAAAGCTGGGAGGAGTGCTTGCTGACGGTTCGAGACAGGGCATACGGTCTCATAGCTTTCGGCAGCACGACGATGAGCTACGCCATAGCATACTTCTTGCCCATCATCCTCAACAAAAACCTTGGCTTCGACGTCGGTGCTTCCCAATGCCTCGTTGCGCCTCCTTACGCCTTTGCGGGCATCTTCATGTACGGGATGGGCTGGTTGGGTGATAAATACCACGTCAGGGGTCCCATCATCATCGGCAACATGGTTGTCTGCCTCATCGGCTTGCCCATCCTGGGTTGGCACCCGAACCCCAAGATCCGATATCTGGGTGTTTTTTTTCTTGCGGCCGGAGCAAACTCGAACGTCCCGGCGTCACTGGCCTATCAGGCTAACAACATCCGTGGACAATGGAAACGTGCATTTGCCAGCGCTACCTGGGTTGGGTTCAGCGGCGTCGGTGGTATTGCTGGAAGCCTGGTCTTCAGGTAAACCTATGCCATCTCAGATGCTGTTGAATATCGCTGACAATCTGTTAGGTCTCAAGATGCTGCCACAGGTTACAAGCCCGGCCTGTGGGCTTGCATCGCCTGCTGCTTGCTGAACATTCTGCTCGTCTGCATTTGCGACTTGGCATTCTACTTTGAGAACAAGAAGGCGGACCGAGGCGAGAAGGAGTTGGAAACCTCCAAGGTAAGGATGCTGCGTTCATTGATAGCCGTGGATGTGACTGACAAGCACACAGGAGGACTTCCAGCCTGGATTCCGATACACCTACTGATCAGGTGGTCGTGAAGCTTGAGCTCAGCTGATGACAGTATGATAAGGGAAGGGACTGTCCATATGTGTGGACGGACTATGGTTCCCTGACCTTCTGACTCGGTTGGGTCTGCTATAAGGAGGCAAACTCCGTGCATAACCTGTTCCCAGACGTAGCTTTCTGATAGAACATGACATCGGTGGTGTTTTGGCAGCGTACGACCGTGGAATTGAGATCAAGCACAAGAAATGTCGGCATTATCTGTGAATACCTACCCTATGTTTGTCGGTCGGCTTGTCGTTCCCGACGACCCCCTAAAATAAATAAAGTCTAGAAGCCTTGATTGCTGTGGGGTAGGTATGGGGCGCGCCAGTCCCGCACGGACCCCACCCCACCTCCGGCGGAAGATAGATCTTATCGATAAGCATGCAGGTCTACTTTTCGTAAAATGCAGGATGCTGATAAAAGCGATCCTCTCCAACCAGCCAGAGTACGATGCGAATTCACCACCACATTTCAAGATGGTGGCCGAGAACAATGCGCCCGAGAGGCCCAGCGGCGATCTGCACCCTGCCTCTGCAGATGCGAGCAGCAAACCGGTCTCTGCTTCAAGTTCCGCCGCAAAGCCAGAATCGACGACTGATGCAAACACTCCCGGTCCAGACCGTCGTGGCGGTCAAAACAAGCAGCGCAACCGGAACTTCGACCCCAGCAAGCGCGGCGGGCGAGGTGGTCGGGGTGGTCGGGGTGACAAGCGCAAGACCTTCACGTAAGCTCCGCCCCCTTGCGACGTCGTTCCAGAGACCATAGCCAACCTGCTAACTAGGCCGAAGCCACGAACCTCTAGACAGGAGGCAGCGAAACAACGAATGGCAAGATCAAAAGCGTAGGAAGATCGATGAAAATGGAGAGTCCGTCTCTACCGTCGCGGCCGGCGAGCCCAGCTTTATGAGCATACAATTCCCCGAAGCCGAGATCACCGCCGAAGAGCGCAGACCGAAGCGCAAGGTCGCCGTCATGATCGGTTACGCTGGTACAGGATACCATGGACTCCAGATCAACCACAAGGACAAGACAATCGAGGGCGATATCTTCGCCGCCTTTGTCGCCGCCAAGGCCATATCGAAGGCCAACGCCAACGATCCCCGAAAGTCCAGCTTTGTGCGATGTGCGAGGACTGACAAAGGCGTCCACGCGGCGGGAAACATGCTCTCCCTGAAGTTGATCATCGAGGACCCGGACATAGTCAAGAAGATCAACGACGAGCTGCCGCCGCAAATCCGCGTGTGGGGTATCCAGAGAACAAACAATGCTTTCAGCTGCTACCAATCTTGTGACTCCCGATGGTACGAATACCTGATGCCCAGTTACTGCTTGCTGCCTCCGCACCCAGAGAGCTTCATAGGGAAGAAAGTCCAAGAGTCGGTCACAGAGAAAGGTGTTGAGGCTGAGTACGCCGAGCGATTGAACGAGGTGAAGGATTACTGGGTGGAGGTAGAGAAGAACGATATCCAACCGATCCTGGATAGCTTGGATCCCGAAACTCGAGAGGCAGTAAGGCAACGCATGCACTCGGTGGACCCTGCAGTCAAAGCAGCGAAGCGGCAGGCTAAGGAAGAGGCTGCGGCGGCGGCCGTCGACAGCGCGACTGCGAAGACCGAAACGATGATACCAGAATCAATAGGTTCTGGAGCACAAGACACCTCCATGACTGAGCTTGAGACAAACGCCGCTGGGGCCGCCGACAGCTCAAGCCTTGGTGCAGAGCTAGCCACGGCACCTGTAGCGTCCGCGGCGGTAGAAACACCAATGGAAGATGGGCCAGATACGACAAAGCCGAAGGAGTTGAGCCCAGTTGATCGTGCGCTGAAGGAGATCAAAGCGGCGTATGTCGCCGCCAAACGACGTTATCGAGCGACGCCTGAGCGGATATCACGACTGCAGGAGGCTCTCGATCAGTACGTGGGCACGAAGAATTACCACAACTACACCATCCAGAAGTCTCACGCCGACCCTTCCTCCAAACGCCTAATCAAATCTTTCGTCGTGAACCCGGAACCTATACAGATCAACGATACGCAGTGGCTGTCGTTGAAGGTCCACGGACAGTCATTCATGATGCACCAGATCCGCAAGATGGTAGGCATGGCCGTCTTGGTGACGCGATGTGGCACGCCGCTTTCCCGCATGGACGAGAGCTACATGGCCACCCGTATCAGCATCCCCAAGGCGCCGGGCCTCGGATTGCTGCTGGAGCGACCTGTGTTCGGAAACTACAACAAGAAGGCTGTCGAGAACTTGCAGTTGCAAGAGCTAGATTTTGGGAACTACGAGAAAGAGATTCAGGAGTTCAAGGAATCGCAGATCTACAACCGCATCTTCGACCTGGAGGAGAAGGAGAACTCGTGAGCATCCCCTATGCATCGTCCCTTCACCGCCCAGTAATAGAGAAGATGATGAATGCTAACAATAACCAGGTTTCACACCTTCTTCCACCAGATCGACAACTTCAAGTCCGACTACTTCTTATGGGTTACGGCCGGTGGCATTGACGTAGCGCACAACCGAGTCGGAATCCGAGAGCCTATACCCGAAGAACTGGAAGCGGAACTGGGCGATGAAGGAGAGGAGGAAGATCCGGAAGGTCGCGAGGGTTAGGAATCCGCTATCGGCGAGACATTTGCCCTACGGGACGATCTCTGCATCACGCCAAAACTTGAATAGGCTTGGTTCACGGAGTGGCTACTTTTCATCTGCTACAGGTCACGAGAGGGCATGCGTCGATCTGGTCATAGACTTAATATACCGAAAATTAACTACCCCATCCTTCAGCCGTCTCACTAGGAGCTCCGATGAGGCACTATCGGGGTCTTGACAACGTCAATGTGGCCTCGAAACGCCATGACCCGTCCATATTGCCTGTAGAGAATCCGCCCCCAGACACATCGTAGCAGTTCCCAATGGCAGCCCCCATTTTCGTAGTATAAGAACCTCCCCAACGAACGAAGGTCGATCCCGCATCCCGCATCACCACCCATGACATCATACCCACCACGCAAGCCTAAGCAGTATTTCCGCCGCCGTTACCCTGCTGCTCCTGCTCCTGACCGCCCTGCTGCTTCTTCTTCGCATCGTCGTCGTCCTTCTTCATCTCCGAGGACCGGTTCTTCATAACCATAAGCTGGCGGTACAGCTCCTGGACCGCGAAGGCCTTCTGGTCGATCTCGGCCTCGCGGCTGTCGTCCTCGCCGGGCTGGCGCAGCGAGCCGCGCATCCAGAGGACTTTGATCTCGCGCGTGAGGCTCAGGAGGCCTTCGACTTCGGTGATCTGTTGTTTGCGTGTGGTTAGGTTGGGGTTAATTAGCTGGGAGGGGGTGGGGGGTTGAAGTATGTAGTGGTGAGGGGGTGAGGGGGTGAGGGGGTGAGGGGTGGGTGGATGGTTCTGGGTAGTTGGGGATGGTGGGTTGGTGGGCGCAGTTTGATGACTCGGGGGATCCGAGGAATGCACGGGAGGAGTAACGGTAGATGAGGGATGATACGTACCAAAGCGCGCGTCTCCGTCTCCATCGTCATGCGGTTCAGCACGGCGTGCTCGATGATGGCGGTCCGCGGCAGGGGCTCCGTGGCTGCCATGACCATGTTGCGGAAGCGCGTCAGGATCTGTGCCATGGCGCGCTGGTGGCGGTCCATAAGGTCACTCTTGTTAGCTCTCTCGGACGGCTTCGGTGCATAGGAGGCTGTCTGGGCCACACGAGCGTGGTTCTGGCTCGGCTTCTTCTGCTTCTTCTTGGTGGTGCGGCGAGGCATCGTGGATGTTGATGGGTCGGACGGTTGGGGTCCTTGTTGCTGTTGCTGCGCTTGCTGATGTTGAGGCTCCTGCTGTGCTGCTTGTTTCCCGTCGTAGATGAGGCGTCCGTAAAGGGACGGGGGTGGAGGGAGAGAAGGTTGTGGATGAGGTGGGTATGTTGCGCCCTCGAGTTGGGATGCAGGATTGAGGCTCCTGGATGGCCGTGCGAAGCAGATAGTAGCGTTCGTATCTGGGGTTCAGACCGAAGAGATGCAGATTGAGGGTGGTAGGAAAATGCTGCGGTCTGTAGCTTGTTCGGAGCAGGACGATGCGTGTATGGATGGCTGATAGATGTCCGATTGCCTTGATTAGTCTCCGCTTTTCCAGACGATAAACGCGCACGCTTGCTCGGGGAGGTGATGTCCTGGGTTTGCTCCAAGTCCTCGCCGGGCTCAGTCAAGACCTGAACACTGATTGCGGTCGAGAACACATCCACCAGTGGGCCCGCACACACTGAGTACCGACGTACTCATTGGCATCATTGTGAGCATCGGCAACTGGAAGACCAGCACGTTCGACGTGTCCTTCGACCCCAGGGCGTCTGAACTGTCTGACAGCTAAGCCTACAGTGTGCTCATCACCTCTGGCAGAAGCGTCGTTCTCCTGGCGAACGCCAGCTGGACCGGGTGTGTGAAGGCCATTGTCATCCTGTGCGCTCTGCAGGGTACCAAGGTTAGCATCGTCACACCAGAACCATATGAGCAAGTCCGGCACTGCTTATACAGACGAAGTGTCTCTACAATAAGCACCCAAGCTCGTGCCTATGTCAACGAAGTAGGAGAGGCCACCAACCTTGGAGTTCATGACCATGTTTTCAGCGGGCTGCTGAGACTCGTCGACCATTTCGGGGGAGCCCATCGTGCAAAGTTACCAACGCAATCAAGTGGTGCGATGTGCGACAGCTCATGACGTTTGATGCCGATGATGGCAGACAGAACCGCCCAAAAGCACATCTTACATCACGATGTTTTGTATGCACCTGAGGGTCCCTCGTCGCCGGGCACCCATTGCTCTCCCAGGCGACCGGGTCTCCTAAGTCGCCAGGCTTGGTCTGCGCCCGACACACGCACAGTTGCGTCTCTCAAAGAGATCCATGATGCCTTGGAAACGGCCACTCGTGGTCGGTGAGCCACCAGCAGAGCCACGATTTGACGTCATCCAAAACCGAAAGTCGACACGATATTGCCCAGCCAGGGAAGCAGGTATTGCAAAGCAAAAGACAGAATGAGCACTGACTTACCCATGATGCTGTTCTGCTCCTTTCTATTCATTGTGGGCAGATTCAATTCTTCATCTGCAATACCATCCCTTCTTCATCCTTGTGATGGGTTCCGATTTGAAGCCTGTCGAGCGAGGCTGGGAGCTCGTTGTTCGTGTCGCAACCATGGAAGATACAAAGCGTTGATCCACACAAGTGCCATGACCTTCGTGTCTCATGTGTCACGTGACTAGCATACCAGTGCGCGACTAGGTACTTACCTTATCTACCAAACCACCAGGACACTTCTCGCGGAAGATTACAGGTACGCGGTGTTTAAGGTGGCACCTTCGGATATTCAGCACTGCTAACAGAGTGTCTCATCTGGTTCCGTTGACAGAGAGTTGGGGATCGGAGTGCGACCGTATAATCTATCCGAATGCGCCACGAGCAGCCTGGTCCGTCCTCGCAACCGCCAAAATACAAGGTGCATTGATTAAGGTGACATCGACTATTCTATCTGCTGTACCTATTGGCTTGTTTGCGGGCCATAGGGCCATGTGGACGCCATGGTTAAGGTTTTGGTGGATTGAAATGATTTGTGCACAGTGTTTTATTCTGCTAGACTTTACGTACAGCACGGGCGCTCTGCTTTCTGATGTATTTTAGGGCATTTGGGTTTCCCTCTTCTCTTGCGGTTGAAGAGCTTAATAAGAAAATAAAACCTGTTCGAGGGCACGCGGTTCCATAGAACTGGATCGATCCCGTGCTAACCACGATGGGTTTCCATACGCACCAAGCATTACATACGAAAACTTACAAGTCTAGTCATTAGACTATAATTTATATCAAAGACACGTCCTAATCTTCAGTTCCGGGAGTCTGTATCGCAACATCCCCTTTTCATGGGCCTTTCAGTGCATTCGCTCTGGTGGTCCAAATGAACATGGCAGTAGCCGGGGCGACACTTGCGAACATCCGAATCTTGAAATCTGGCTCAAAATGCAAACTCGAAAAGACAACTGTATGCGGCTAATGAGCAGGCAAGGTGGTTATTATGGTCCTGACCAAGCTGGGCTCAAGCAATGCGGCGTTTGCCTGTACAACGAGGCATGGTTTGACGACTGTCTCAGCTCACTGAACAAGAAGAATGACCCAGAGGATGAATCGATGAGTTGAGTACTTCTAAGCTGTTGGAACATGTTTCATCATTACCTAACCATGCCCACGTCAACTTAGTTGATAAACCGGGCCGGTTGAGCTGGATTGCCGGCGTCATATCCTTGGGTTACCCGGACGGAGTGACTCACAATCCTGTATACCGGTTTCATCCCGTGAAGACTGAGGTAGCTCGCTTGACATTTCACGATTTGCGGTCCGGCTGAGATGTGATTCTATGGGATGTGGCTCATTCTGCACCAACAGCAAGGCAGGGACCGGCCCATGCAAACGGCCACGGGCGCCTCATCACTCCCAAGGTTTATACATTTCCAGCCACTCCCTCCGTAGAAGAACCTTCCGCAAAACAATTGTCTAGAGGTATATAATCGGGTTTTGACATCCCTCCGGGCCGCTTGTCAAGCTTCGTTTCTATCGGACACCTATTCCTTACTTCCAAGTTTAAGACACGTCTCAAATTCTGCACTCACAGAAACACTCCATCACACTCGAGCCTCCATCCAACAAAGTCCAACCGACAAGATGATGGACCTACGGAAACAGGGCCAACATAAACAGACCAAGCTCGCCATGGCTCAGAAGATCATCGGCTACGACTACCCCACCCCAGATAACCTCTGGGAGGCACTCCAGGCGTCCGGGAGCTACTAGGTCTTCCTGAACGGCCGCACCATGACCGAGGGCAACAAGCCCCTCGCAGGCATCGGCGATAAGGTGCTGAGCCTCGAGATTGTTGTCAGTAGCGTCAACGCCGGCAACCCTATTGGTGAGTCCGGTGAAAGAAGCAAGCATTGCAGACTGTTTTGTGTTGGGGGCTGACCAGAACATTATCTCAACACAGGCAAGAGATCCGCACTCCTCACGACGCAAACCTGCAACGCGCGCCTCACCGCCATCTGTGACGCCACAGGCCTGGCGGCCTACATCAATGGCAACCCGTCGCAGCACGGCTTCGTGTCCCCGCGCACCCGGGCCGATACCGTCGAGGCGGTCATCGGGCCGCGTTCCGCGATGGCGGACTGGAAGCTGCGCAGGCGGTCGTGCGCAACTTGGGGCTGCTCTGACTTCTTTGGTCAACCGGTACATCGTCGCACCAGATACTCCAGCTCTTTGTGATGTTGTTTTCTGACGTTCTCAGCTGGGACATATAGACCCGAGGACGACGGCTGTTGCGTCGGCTCTCTAGTGCATCCAGTGTATTTTTCATGAGTGCATCCGTCGCGATGCGCATACTTGTGGTAGTCAGGTTCCGAGAGCTAGGCTCGTTCGTTTGAAAGGTTGCTCAAAGTTCCCGGACCTTACCTTGTCGACTGTGTTCTATCGCGGTGGATGCTTTGATGAGAGCGCCAGTGGATGCACTTGCTGAACTGAGGCAGTAGTCTTGGTGGTCATGAGGGATAGGGGCGCAGACAGAGGGGGTGAACTTTGCTTTGGTGCTTGCTTGCTTGGCTTGATGGGTTGGGGAGGTCCATTCAACATGGTCAGTAGTTTCTGAGATCCTATGCGACTCAGTCAGGTGCGCGTTTGGCGAAGAATCAGTCGTTCCCTATGATAGTCAATCGTCCCTCTCCATGTGACAACCTCTTTGATGAGCATGATAGCATGATAACATAGTGGTAATGTGTAACGGGGAAGATGAGATGGTCGCTCTCCCCCAGCGTTTTCTGCATCCATCCTACGTGGGCACTTTTTGACAAGCTACACCACAGCCACAATGACACGGACCACCTAAATGCAATGCGCCACAACATCATCTGCTTGGTCAGTCATGAGGGAGATCACTCATGAGGTGTCTCTCTTTCAAATTCTTAACACTTTTTAGATTCTTTGCCCATGACTGGGATCCGAAGAAATGAGGTACCTAACCCGCAGGATGCATCTAGCGAAGATCACCTTCGTCCTCAGTTGGTAGCACCCGGTATGCGTCAACACCATCACCATCTCGCGAGGAACTCCATCACCTCTTCTTGAGCAGATTCGGATATCTCACACCTCCGAAGTGGTCAATCAAGAAGCTGCGACAGGTCGTCAAGATGAGCGCAATCCAAGCCGCCTGCTTCCCGGCGGCACACCTTGTGGTGTCCCCGACGAGATCGTGATGCTGATACTGCGCGAAACGAGCAAACGCGACAAGAACAACCTGATGCGGAGTTGTCGCCGGTTATACCCCATTGTCCGTTATGAGCTCCTGACGGAGAACATCCGTGACGGCGCCTCCATCATGCGTTGGGCATGTGCGAAGGGTAATATCGCGGTGCTTGCCACAATGCTGCAGCTAGGCGCATCGAAAGACCACATTTTCGAGTCTCACATGGACATTCGAGCCGGCATATCTGTGTGCCTGTCAGGAGACTTGCACTACGCGTGCACCCCGTTGATCGCTGCTGTGGCCTACCAACAACATCGCATCGTCGAATACCTGATTGAAAAGGGGGCAGACGTGAACTTCGCACCGGCTTTCCCCTCCATGGCGAAAGGGAACGGCGACTTGAACTTGAGCACGGAATCGTCACTGGGGCGTGTCGCTCGGCCAAACTGGTGGCATTACAGACCAATCCACTGGGCTGTGAATCCGAACCTTGATCTCTGTCTCTGGCGCCCCGCAAGTGCCGCCGTTCAGTTGCCCATGGCGAGTCTGCTCGGGCCATCGTCGCTACTCTATTGGCATCAGGCGCAGACTTGACAGTCTGCACCGTTCATTTCGACGGCTATGGTTCCTTCTCAGCTCTCAATCTTGCATTGGCCAACGAACATGTTCCAGCAGGCGTTGTACGCATGCTGATGGACTGGGGCGCAAGCCCCCTGAGGTATGCCGACCAGAAAGAAAGATCGGCTCTGACTCTCTTCCATCGTTACCGAGGGCGCTCATCCTTCATTTCACAGAGGCGTATCATGACAAACGACGAGAAGAAGTTGAATTTCCTTCTATCACAAGATATTGCCGAGTCAGAAGCAAGGGACCGCGTTGGAGTGTTCTTGTTCAACTATCTCGTCCAGAGAAACCCAACCGTGATGCAATTGGGATTCATGCGAATTCACCTGCGGTATCTGCCGACAGGTATCATCAATAGTTGTGATGGGTCCGGATGCACAATGCTCGTCATCGCAGTCAAGGCATGGAGGATTGGTACCTGGCGGCAAGAGATACTCATGATTGGACACATTGCGAGTTTATTGAGGGTGCTAAGAGTCTATTCACCCTGCTCCTCGACGCCGGCGCATTTCCGGACGGCAGACTAGGAGGCCCTGTCGTATCTCGCGAACCGGACACGCCCCTGACAATTCTTTGCAACAGCAGCGTCAGCGAAAGCAGTCCTGGGCAGACTCAGATTCCAGTGGCGACGTACGTAGATCTCTTCATAACGCGAGGCGCCAGAGTCGACTTCGCTTGCGGAACCGGCCTGAAGCCATTACATTACGCTGCCTTGACTCTTCTGTCGGACGTTGCGGCTAGTCTGCTGGAAGCAGCGGAGAACCCGCGCCGCATGGTCGACGAACCGGACCCGCAAACCGGACTCACACCCTTGATGACAGCATGCAAGCTGTCTGCATCTCATGGTTCTGAGCGCAGCCGGGGATTTGTCTGCGTAATGCTGGAACACGGCGCCTCAGTGTCCGCCACGGACCAGAACGGCCGAACCGCACTCCTTTATGCGTGTGATCCCGGAGACGTCGATCTGGTCAAGCTCCTTGGTGAAAGCTCAAAGATCGACTCTGAGAACTTCAACCAGCTGTAGAGGGCCCTACACGTCTATGTCCGGAAGGAATGGGCCGTGAGAAGGCGTCAGGTGAAAGAGCCCCGTATGATGGTCAGGCTCATCACGGCACTGTTTGCCTCTGGTGCTGATGTGTCGTATCGAAATGCGGACCGGTTGCGCCTTGTCGAAGTAGCCGAGCAGCATGGCTATCCAGGACTTGTCATCGAGAAGCTCAAAGATTCCGAACGACGCTGTTAAAGGTTAAAGCAGCTCTGGCTTGGTCGCGTGCAGAACCCATAGGCTGACGGCTCTTTGCCACCGCATCGTCGTTAGACCGCATCAGCTTTCATGCCACGATTCGCCTGAGTCCCGGCATCCAGATTGGTTGTCAGCTTAGGTCGGAAGCACCCAAGACCGCCTCACGTTGCACTGGGGATCATACACTCTGGAAATCTTGCGGGATAAGAGTTTGCTCTCCAAGACGATTAGGGGTCTGCTGACGGGCGGTAACACCACAAAAACAACTATTTTTCTTGGCGCCCCGCTGTTAGGGCGCAACCTCTATATCTGTACTAAAGCAGGCATTTGTCTTAGTAACTGACTATCTTTGCCAAGGCACAACAAAAATCTTCTCACAAGCTGGATGGCACCCTTTCACAACAGGCACACAAATACGCTAGTGGCCGTCCCAAAGACGACCACTGGCGGCGTGCTCAAATCCCTGGTCCCTAAAAAGACATACGGTCCGGCAACTCCGAGCAGGCTCCGCCAGGCGCTACTCGATGACATCAGCAGCAGCCCGTCACAGGTCTCTGAGGCTGACTTTACCATTGTTTCCCCTCTGAAAGGAAAATCCTGAAATATTAATAATGGCAGCACCACTGATATAAAAGGACATGCCTTGATCTGGTCGTGACACAATTCTAAGCTCTTCATTTCCTTGCTGGCGAAGCAAGTAAAATATCTCATCAAACCCCTTCTCGCATTCATTTGCAGTCACTGCGTCGGCTGTGCATAACGATAAACTAGACCACAGAACAAAAACGAAAAAAAAAAATCGAGTCTTTGATGCCAAAGAAGATAGATCACGGCCCTCCGACACGACAGTCTACCCGCCTCTCTCAACAGAAAGACATCAACGAATGGACGCCAGGAGAAACGAGTCCCAAGACCGAAGAGTTAGACAAAGACGTCCTCATTACACCCTCGAGCCCAGCGCCAGAAGAGCCCGCTCAAGCCCTTAGCAACCTAGAGCCAGAAAAGCCTGTTGCCCCTCATCGCGACTCAGAGCAAGAAACACCTGTCACTAGCAGCGAAGTCAAAGAATCCGATTACGATTCTGTTATTAAGAACTTTGAGGTCCATTCAAAGCCCAAGGTATTCCATAAAAACTCTGCTACAATTTCCCCCTTTTCCCAGCCGCCCGATATGCCTGAGGACAACCTCAACCCTACACTCCAGCAGCTAATGGCTGAGATCGCCTCCCTAAAGGCCCAAGTCAGCGCTGGAACCCACAATGACAACGACCGCCGCTCTCGCGAGATCACACCCGCGAACAGTGCCTTTGGCGGCACCGACTTCAAGCCCACCGGGTTTGCGGCCCTTCCCGCGTTTGTGCCTTTTGGCCAAGACCAGGATGCCCGCAACCCCCACTATGATAAAAAAGCTAGAGAGTCCCGACACGAACCTGGCATGTTCGCCAGAGAAAAGGACCTCTTTAACAAATAGATCATCAAGCTGGCCGATAAATGCGAGGAAGACAAAGAGACCTTCAAAAAAGAACGCAGCCATATGGCTCTTATTTTCAACATGACGGCAGGACCTGCTAACGACCTTCTGGAGTCCCGCTACCAGTCGGTTCTTATGCCGTTCCAGAACACTGTTGAGATGGTCGCCACTCTTTCCGCCGTGTACCACAACGCCAACTAAGCGTCTAAAGCTTAGGCCGAGCTAGCGAAGCTCAAATATAACCCCTTTGACAAGGAAATAGACATCCACCAGTTTATCGGAAAGGTTAACAGCCTGGCAGACAAAGCAGGTATCGACAAGGACCTGCATAAAACCACTCTCTATGAGCATATCCCTGCCGACCTTGACACCCGTCTGCTGAAGGATTCTAAGGATTTGCGCATCTCTTACAAAGATTTTACTGCTTCTGTTGTCGATGCCGCCGTTGCTCGTTACCATGCTCAGGAAGAGAGGAAGGAGCGCAAACTAACCCGCCGTGAGCCGTCTCCCCCAGAGACCAAACCCAGCCGCCGATCTCGCGGGTACCGCGAGCGCCGCAAGATCAAAAAGGAAGTCAAGACTACGGCTGTGCCTGTCAAAGAGACTCCCTCTCTGTTAGAAAAAGAGAAGAGCGCTCTCATGGACGCCGGACTCTGTTTTTTGTACAAGAAGCCTGGTCATCAGTCTCGCCATTGCCCCGATCGCAAGATTATCGCCAACATGCTCCAGGCATTTGACCACGAGGAATCTGACGCACAATCATTGAGCATCGCTGAGAATACTCCTTCTGATTCTTTTTCTGATTCAAAAAACTAAAACGGCTGTCGGAAGTCTTCTCAATAGCCTACGTACCACAATTGGCGAAAGTCAGTAAATCATTAAGATCAAATACATTCACTAAATCTGTCAAGTTATTAGTTAATGGCATTGGTCTTAAGACACACGCCCTTTGTGATACAGGAGCTGATATCTCTCTCTCAATGACCCCCAAGATGGCCCAGAAACTCGTCGATCGGGTAGGTGCCAAAATGGAGCGGTTGGACAAGCCCTTGATGTTGAGCGACTTTAACGGAGCAGCGACTGCTCGCGCAACACACCAGATTCGAGTCACCCTTGAGATTGACGGACGACAATTTCCTTGTCAGAAATTTATAATCATTCCTATCGCTAATAATGTCTTTATCGGACAAGATTGGTTAACCAAGCAGAATGTGTGGATGTATCCTGCTTCCCGCATGATCTGTTGGCCTGAAGATCGACCAGCTTTGGCCCAATATGCCCCAAGCATCTTAGTCAAGCATTCTTTACCTTTGCTTGATATGAAGGCCCAAACCGATGTTTTCCACCGCGACCGCTTGATGACAACTGAAGACCGACAATTGAAGGTTCGCAAGATCTTATAGAACCCTTGGCGATCGATATCACCAGCACCCTTGGTCGTAGCGATGTCCCCTATTGAAAGCAAGGCTTCAACCGGCGACAGCGACCTCACTGCCGGCATTTATGCCATCCTTACAGACCCTCGTCAAGAGAGATAGAAGAAGCAACAGATGCCCCAGGTTGCTGTCCCGCTGGAATGACCCTCAACATATCCTTCGGTCAGCTTGAACGCTCTTATTGTCGATCCCAAGACCTGGAACAAGACTTTCGACAGAAAGCATATTCTATTCCCGGAAGGAGAGGACCCTGAACATATAGCCAAGGTACGATCGAAACTTCCACACGAGTTGGCCCATCTCGAAGGATTCTTCTCCAAGAAAGCCTTTACCAAATTGCTGCCCAGCCGCCCCAGCTTTGTTGTGATCCTTAAACTGGCGAAACCCTTAGAAGGAAAACCTTCACGATATCCTATGCCATTCGTCTTCCTTAGACTAAGAAAAGAAACCACCGACGAGCTACTGAAGATTGGATTCATCGAGCGCTGTATGGCCGACAAGCCTACCCCTACGTTATTTGTACCCAAGCCTCACTCCGGAGAACATTGATTCTGTGTGGACTACCGTTGGATCAATGATTTCATCAAGGGAAGACAGGTGCTCGCCCCAGACGTCCAGGGCACGATCAGCCGCTGTGGACGAGCAAGGCGCCTCACTAAGATTGACATTATCCATGCTTTTAACCGCCTGTTGATGGACCCCGGGTCTTGATATCTGACGGCTTTTACGACCCGACAAGGGACTTTCCAATGGAAGGTGCTGCCGTTTGGACTCAAGGTCGGCCCCGCCTGGTTCCAAGGCTTCATCAACGCCCAGCTTAACGAACTACTTGACCTGTTTGCCAGCGCCTATGCGGACGATGTATTGGTTTACTCAGAAGGCGACGAACCAGAGCATTTTGAACAGACTGAGGAGGTCATTTATCGGTTGCATCGAGCAGGCCTCCAAGGAGACATCAAGAAATCCAGCTTTAACGTCACTGAGGTGGATTATCTGGGTATGATCCTTGAGACAGGCAAAGGTGTTCGAATGGACCCCGCCAAAGTCGCTGCTATCCTCGACTGGGATTGGGATGATTTGAATTCAAAGTCAGCCGTTCAATCTTTCTTGGGATTATACAATTTCATCCGACTGTTCTGTTATCACGCCAGTGACCTCGCCAAACCGCTTAACTGGTTGCTAAAGAAAGACGTGCCCTTCGAGAAAGGACCTGAGCAAAAGGAAGCTTTCGAGGCGTTAAAGAAGCTTGCCACTGAAGCGCCTGTCCTTGCCTTCTTCAAACCTGGCCGACCAACCAAGGTTGATACCAATGCCTCAGGCAAAGCCACAGGTGGTGTCATTTGGCAGCAGCAGGAAGATAGAGAATGGAAACCGATTGGCTACTCTTCAAAGATTATGTCTGTAGCCGAGCAGAATTATCCTATCCAGGACCAAGAGCTTCTCGCAGTAGTGAACACCCTTAAAGACTTCGAGCCTGATCTATAAGGAACCAAGTTCTTTGTTCAGACCGATCATTAAGCTCTGATCTACTGGTCAACCAAGAAGCTGCTCTCAACAAGACAGATTTGCTGGTCATATTACCTGGCCAATTTTGACATCACGTTCCGATACCGCCCGGGCAAAGACAACGTGGCCGCCGACGCCCTTTCTCGTAAGACCATCAAGAACCCTACGGTCAAAGCCCGGGAATTGCAAGATCGGACATTCGCCCTGATACCACTAGAGAGAGAAAATCAAGCCAATTGCCCCGATTCAAATACAAGGGATCAATGCCCTTACTACGACCGAGTTGCGAGGCGCTGATCTGGTGGATGTCATCATCAAAAAGAACAAAAAGCAAAACCTGGGCCGAAAAGAAGGATTGTTGGTCGTTCCTGAAACCATCATGGATGGAAAGATCTTCCTGTGCACCGCTTTGATACGTGAAGCTCATGAGCTGAAAGCTTTCGCCCACGCCGGCCAAAACAAGACCCTTCAGCTCTTAAAGAAGGAGTACTACTGGCAAGGCCGTAATAACAATATCAAGCGGTACATCAAGAACTGTCGAGATTACCAGAGGAATAAGACTCGACATGACAAGACCCCAGGGCTCCTTCACCCATTACTTATCCCAAAGCGCGTCTGGGAGCATGTTATGGTTGACGGCAAGAGCATGCCAAAAAATGACAAAGGTTATGATTACGTCTGGGCTTTTGTCTGTCAATTTAGTAAGCTGTTAGCTACTCTCCCTGGTCATAAGAGAGACACCGCAGAGACACTAGCCCACCAGTATTACAGCGCTCTCTATCGTTTCCTTGGTATTCCTTACAAGTGGATCAGTGACAACGCCGGACCCTTTATCTCCGAGTTCCTTGAAATCCTCAATAAACTCACCAGAACAAAGCATTGCCATGGTAGCTCTCGACACCCTTAGACCCAAGGAAGCATCGAAATCACAAATGCCAAATTGGATCAGAAGCTAAGGTTCTACGTGGATAAATACCAAACTAGAGAGAGCATCTCCCTGCCCTGGACTTAGCCCATAACGCTGCCTATCACTCGACTATTGGGATGTCCCCGTTAGAAGTCGTCCTCGGAACCAGCCCGCGTAACCCTCTCTCTCTGCCACTGCCGGAGGTAGATTTAACAACCGACCAAGAGAAGAAAGCGTTAGAGATTGTCAAACAAAACCAAAAGGTCCAGGAGTTAGCACAACAGAACGCTGTAGCGGCACATGCGCTGATAGAAACCCAAGCCAACAAGAAGCACCAATCTGTGGACTTTACCGTTTCCGACATAGTATACGTAAGTAAGAAGGGATTCTTGACTGAAGCCCCGACCATGAAGCTGGACTCCCAGAACGCCGGTCCATGGACCATTATGGAAAAAAGAGGCCACAGCTTCATCCTTGACACGCCACCCTGGTATAAAGGTAGCAAGCTCTTCCACGCTAATCGCCTTTGGAAAGTAGCTCAGAACCTGCTGCCGCAGCAACAGCTGGAACCAGAACCGCCAGTGGAGATCAACAGAGAACCGGAATAAGAAGTGGAAAAGATCCTAGCATCACGGCTTTTCGGACAGCGTCAAAGACTCCAATACCAAGTATCCTGGGTAGGATTAGACCCGGATGAGACATGGTACCCAGCCAGCGACCTGAAGAACTCGCCGCTGCTATTAGAGTCCTTCTATAGAGAGTACCCTGATGCAGCTGGGCCTCCAGTACGCCTGCAGCATTGGATACAGAAGGCTGCGGAGAACAAGTTCAAGGGGGATCATAAAGACGACAAAGTCGCTAAACACAAGGCAATAAGAGTGAGAACCAAGAAAAAGCACAGAACGAGACACTCCTGAGACAATATTCTCGCTATTTCTCTCTTTTCAAGCCTCCTGACCGCCAGGCGATCAGGGCTTGGAAGGGGGTAATGTAAGGACCTGCTCCCAAGCAGCCCTCAACTACCAGGACTGTGGTAGCCAATCGGAAGCTGGCTGTGGGGATCAGGCACAAGCAGAGCTCTAACTGCTCCTGGACTTGGTTGCGCTTTTCGCAATGCGTTGTTGGTCATTTCTTTCCTTTTCTCTTTAGCTTAGAATCTTTGTCTATAGCACCCAATGGACTGAGTTCGCCTCAATGCCTTGATCTGGTCGTGACACAACACAGTCAAAGGACTCCCAGTAAAGTCAACCAGGAGGGCTATGAAAACTTATGTTATTCTTATTCTTATATATGGCTTAGAGGCCTGGTACCCAGGAATCAAAAAAATCAGGACCTCATGTGAGACATCAGCATATCGCATTAAAGGGCTTCTTGGAACGATAGATGCTGTACTACAAACAGCAATTAGGGCTATCCTGCCGGTCTAGAAAACACATCCTGGACATATCCTACACTTTGAATCACAGATTTTTCTAGCAAGAGTTCTTATAAAGTCAATAAGACAACGTCACGGCCTATAACTCGAATAAATAGACCAAAGACACCTTTTTGTTAACAGGCTCTAAGTACAAGCTCGCAAGGAACCAATAAGGCTACAAAAGAGCTTCCAACTAGTCCCTGACTTCTAGAGACCAATACTCCCCAAACTATTATGGAAGAAGCCCCCAATCTATAAGGACAAAGACAAAAAAATAGAGCTCTTTAAGTAATAACTACGGGAGAGAAACGTGAACACTGACCTTGTCATCTACTCAGATAGATCACAATTGGACGACAAAGGCACAACCCGCACTGGATGGGGCTACACCATTAGAAAAGACAACATTACACAAGAAGTATACCGGGGAAAAAACAGACTTCTTCAAACAGAAGTAATAGATGCTGAAGTCCATAGTGCTCTCCAAGGTCTTGCAGCAGCCAGGGCAATTGGACACGGAAAATAGTTATATGTCTGCCTGGACAACACGTCAGTAATAGATGGGCTCAATGGGACTCCACCCGAGACATCACAGAACATTTTTCTATAATTTCAAGAACTTGCCACAGCACACACTCCCGGAGTGACCATTAAATAGATTCCTGGACACAGAGATATTGATAGCAATAAAGCTACCGACACACTAACAAAAAAGGGTGCCATGTTAAAAACAGACACGATAAACCTTTCTATAATCTCTTGGGTCAAGAGAAATCTCAAAAAAAAGGACAGGAAAGAGTTCAACTAATGGTAGAAAGACCAATCAGAACCTAGGTATCAAGAAGTATACTCATATACAGTAATTAAAAGAGACCTTATATCTTTTAAAAGGAGTGCTTTACACAGACTTCTAGCAGCCAGATCTGGACATAGCGACTTTGCTAGATACCATGAACGCTTTGGGCATACAGATTTGAATGATCACTGCAGCTGTGGTGAGAAGAAAACATCACAACACATTTTCTTTTGTAAGAGGCTGGGGAAAAACCGGCTGCTGCCTAGGTACTCGCCTAGGACAGCTTGTTTACAATACTTAGGGAAGAGGAACACAAAATGGGCAAAATTCATGGAGAAGAGCAAGTTCTTTTCAACAATCTGCCCCCGATAGATAGCTTTTCTTAAAGGACCAGATAGATGACCCCAAGGTCATACCGCCACAACAACGGGGATGGGCCCGCGAGCGGGACTGACTGTACTTATTTTCTTGAGACCTCCACAACCCTGCGATACAGAGGCTCTGGAAGGCGTGGTTTGCACTACTGAGGAGCGATCCCCCACGTTAAATACAATCAATCAATCAATGACGGGCGGTAAGTTACGTCGAACGTAGTATTGGTACCACCACACAGTCACCACAGTCGCTCGCGCATAATGTCCTACTCACTACATCAGGAACTCGTAATCTTCTTGTAACTTTGGGCATCGCAATGTAATGATCCCGCAGAGTGTTATGCTGGTGCCTGCGCATGCTGTGCTCGCTCAAGACTCTTGAGGTTGGTGCGAACTTTCTGGAGATCCATCAGTCAGCGGTCAGGGGTATGAAGCCAGGGCCCTGGTAGGTCATCTGACATCTACTATAGATCAGACTCCCCACATGGTGCGCTCCCAATCACAACCCGGTGTTCATATCTAGGTGACCCTTGCAGTTTCATCTGATGTTTTTCCTCCAGTACGATACAACCCAGTTACGCCAGGAAGCGGCTCAGTTTGCGGCTCAGTTTCTCGATTAGGAAGAGCACTTCGAAATAAAGTGAAGAGGAATGGGATGATGGGGATTTCCATGGTTCTTGGTTGCTATTGAGACGCCGCCAAGAGAAACAAGTTAAATTCTTCGGTTCTACCCGGAAATCCGTGATCCATCGCAAGGTGGGCAAGCGAGAGGCTCGTGAGAACCGGGTCGCTGGGTTTTCGCCATGTGAATAAATACACCGCGATGTCCTTCACCTTCGAGACGGCGTTCTTAGCCCTCAAGCTCTCTCAGACAGTCGTTGTCGTCGTCTTCTCGTTCTTTACACATTCTCTCGTTCCCTTCACCAAGATTTCGTTCGTCCACTAGGCCCGGATGCCTTCTTCATTCGTTTCCCGGGCCGGCTTCGCCAGTGTCATCGTCGCTCAAGCCGCGCATGCGTATACCCAGGCCAACATCGCCACCCCTTTCATGTACAAGAACATCGATCCCATCGTGTTCCCGGGATCGTTCGATCAGTCGCACTTACACTCCTTCTTCGGATCCGATGCCGTGACGGCCAACACCAACAGCAGCGCTGAGCTGCAAGGGGGGTGCAGTAATGCCGATAACCCGAACGACTTGTCCGTTTACTGTTAGTAGTCCTATTCCTAGCAGCATTGTTGTATCTTCGGCTTTGCAAATACTGACTGTCTACCACTAGGGGTACCCACCGCTCTTTACACCACCGACTCGGGCTCGACCTGGACGCCTGTGCCTGTAATGCGCTTCAGCGCTTACTACAACCTCGGCGAGTCGCCGGCCGAGGTCGCAATCCCGCAAAATGTGAAGATGTTGGCCGGGGCCGCGAACGCCACGACAGCGGCCGACATGCCGCCCAACGCGGGCATCGAGTGGTTCTGCGAGGGCGACGACGGCATCGCAGCCGACGCCAACGGGTTCCCCAGCAGCACGTGCAGCACGCATCTGCAGACGCTGCTCTACTTCCCGGAGTGCGTCAACACCGACTCGCTCGAGACGGCGTACAAGAGCACCGACTACGGCACGACGAACAGGTGCCCCGAGGGTATGAGCAGCATGCCCCAGCTGCGCTTCAGCATTCGCTATGACCTGCGCTCGGTGCTTGCCGATGGCTGGAGCGGCACCGCGCCCCTGCGGCTGTCGTGCGGCAACGCCTTCTGCTCGCACGGCGACTTCATCAACGGCTGGACGCCGACGGGTGCCCAGAACATGGTCGCCACTACCAGCGAAAAGGAACACTTCTTGGCCGTTAATGGGGATCGCGGCAATGCGGGCGATCTGTCGACATGCACCCAGACGGATGCCGACCCGACGCACGGCACGAGCGACTTTGCTGAGAGTGTTGCGCTCATGAGCAGCAGCAGCAGTAGCAAGCGTTCTGTGCCTGCTGTTGGCTGGACTTCGAGAAACAGGCTTGCGCGCAGTCTTGCTCGTGCTTGATTGACGATTGACCGGGGCAGACAGAGTAGAGGATGGTTCATGTATACATTCACTTCTAGTGCACTTCGATCAGCGTTGTCACATGATGTTTTTACCTTCCTTTCAAAATCACCTCGGCCGTGTTTCTACTTGCTTCTCTGTGCGTCAGGACTCTCCAGCTGCTGGTGAATCCAAATTCCGAGAGATGAAGGCGTGGTAACACAAATGGAGATGCGAAGGTTCTTTAGGATCGTAAGACACAAGTCCCTGGCCGTCTTCTGTACGGTGAGGCAACGTTTCTGTCGTCGACTGTCCCCCATGATATGAAGCCGAGGTTGATCGTCTCGCAAACATAACCCCATCTGAAGAAGGAAAAGCCAAGCTCCGAGCTGGCCTCCGGGCGAGGCGGTGGCGCTTGTTTTCAGCTCGGATAGTTAAGGTAGTAAGTAAGACCAAGCACAAGACAAACCTCAGAGGTTGTGTAGCCACCGATGATCAGTGCATCTGATCGGCCAGACTACGAAATAAGCTAGGTAACGCCAGACAAGACCATCTCGTATAGATTGTTTGATTGATTGTATTTATCGTGGGTGCAGTCCCTCAACAGGGCAAACCACGCCTCCCAGAGCCATTGCATCGCAAGGTTGTAGAGGTGTCAGTCTAGGTACATTCAGATCCGTGCACGAGCCCATCCTCGCTGTAACAGTACCAACCTGGAGTGACCAGATGGTTTTAGTCAATACCCAAGCACGATTCTGTCAAAAAAACCTCCTGTCCAGTGACAAAACGACCCAATGAACCTCAGTCCTCTGGTGTACACATCGTTCCAGTAGCCGTTCGATATATGTCACATTAATGGGTGCAGTAGGTATTTGTTATCTGCTGGCAAGGGAAACCACAAGGGGAAAAACCTTACAGGAGTGGGTATTATGGAGATAAGCTGCTTGGCTATCGGGCTCTGCGATAATGGGGCCTCTCCACTGTCGTGTGCTGGTTATCGACTCGCACAAGCCGGGTCAGAAAGAGGCCATAGCAGGATTTGAACCCACTTGTTCTCGTGGCCCATCGCACAAACGAGAACACAACCAGGCGCAATGACTGTGGTCAGTATTTGACCATTGCGCCATACGGCCAGACCATCTCGTATAAGTTGTGACGTCAAGCAGACCAAGGAATCGCGGAAGCTCTATATACTTCTGATTGCATTCATTCCATTGTGGCTGAATCAGTAGCCCGGGCTGTTTGGAGTATAGTAATGACTCTGTCGGACTGCGTATGTAGCGTATGATCATATGCATCGGCTCGCCGTGAGGATTGTAAGGAGGGAGAAGCATTCAGACCGTCAGTCGTCTATCCGGAGCAGAGCGACGCTGGGCGGACCTCTATCAGGAAGAAAAAGAACAAGGCGGCTCACTTGACTCAGCCCCACGCCCCTTACCGGAGCAGCTGTGGAGATCCCGACTCATTGATGAACTAGAGACGCATCGAATGAGACCGGCAACCCGACCCGACCGCTATATTATTCGCTACGAGAACGCCGAACCTGGGCTTCGCCAACTGACGGGACGATCTCCGGGTCTCACATCTAGGTTTGACGGGCCAACGAAATCCCATCGCTCGAGGAAATCTTGCGTGGATACCCTGTCCACCCACTGCCAGCCACCACGACTCGATAGACGTGGGTGATACGTGTGGCGGCATTTGGGAATGACTTCAAGCGGCTGGGTGAGACATAGTGCAGTCCTGGCGTTCAGAGAATGCTGCTTTGAAGGTATATAAACCGACGATTCCAACCAACTCAAGGTTGACTATTAGCATCTACTCGACAACCTTCTACACCAGATCACTATCACCTGCATCTAGTACCTAACAGCCGCCCAACTCATTAATATGCAGATCACCAAGCTCGCCCTCGCCGCCACGGCCGCGGCCATCGCATCGGCCCGGGCCACCCACTGCGGGAACGCTACCGTCCCGCAAACCTTCGGCGTCCTCTCCATCCGCTCCGGCACCGACCTACAATACGCCGGCTGGGCCGCCGCCCACACGGGCATCTTTGACCTGCTCCCCGACCAGTGTGCCTCGTGCAAAGATGGGTCCAACAATTACAACACGGCGACCTTCCAGCTCGTCGACGGCGTCCTGAACCTCTACTCGACGGACCAATCGCGCCAGCAGCTATTTGTCGACCGGTCCGGCATGGGTAAGTTAAGTCGACGGGTTTCCCCGAATCTAACCTGAAGTCTGCTCTAAGAACCTCAACTGACTGAACACACATATAGGTCAAGGCAAGATCGGCTACACCACCGGCGACGATTCCGGGCCGCGCAACGGCGAGCGCAAGGGCTGGGCCGTCACGGACGGCGAGCTGACCTTCGTCGGAAGCGGCTTCCTGGCCTGTCCCGGGTATGAGGGCGGCGCGTGGGAGATCTGGCTGGCTGGCGTCTCTGACCACCCCGGCTTCAACTACAATTGCACGGGAATCGGGGCTCACGTTGTCGAGACCAGTAAGCCTGTCAGCTGCCTTTACACCCAGTAAGTTGGCTCGCTGTGATGGCTGGTGGGGGTGTGGCAATGATGGAATTCTCTTTGATTTGAGTCCCGACTACTTGAAGGCAGTTCGGAAGCTCTATCATCAGAACTGGAGAGTGATGAGTAGGATGAATGAATTGAAGGGTTTGGTCACTGTTGTTTCGAGAGCTCCCCACCGACAGGTCGACATTGGAATGCGATGGAGAGAAGTCAATTGGCTAGAAATTCCAACACGAATGAGTGATCGTCATGTATGATGTCTTGAATGAATAAAGATGTATCGTCACTGACGTATGGACCAGTCATATGAGTTGTGCTGTCTCACAGCACAGCGCTTACTTCACAACTAGAGGATCGAATTATAGCCGTATGGCCGACTCGTAGAGTAAACGAGGACCTTTCCGAGGCCCAGACTCGCTTGAGGATATGTCTGAGACGCAGCTGGGACCATAACATTTAGTATGCTTTATCTCAAACAAGCCAAACATGATGCATTATAGACGGGGGACGCAATACAAGTTCCACTGCCACAACATCACCGTGTCTCGTAGCCTTTGTAACATTTACCAATGGCGCCGTCATAATCTAGGAGGTGCCCGATGTAACAATATATCCCACTTCAGCAGTTCTATGACTTGGGCCAATGCTGATTCTACCTACGCAACTGCTCAGTCTGCTTCTATTGCTCGTGCTCGTCTCCAATCAAGGTCCTCGAAGTCTGGCATGGTTCCACTTGCAGATATTGTCGACCAGTGCATGGGTGGAGGCACAGAACACACACAGCACGGCTTGGCCCGCCAACCGACATTACACAACATTACCCGTGTAGCTGAATCGTGCGTGGGCAGTTATCAACCTATGGGGGATCGGCAGGTGACTGTCCGAGTAGAGAACCCCTAGCCCGTCCTGGGCCGCCGACTTCACCGGTGGAGGTAAGGGACGTGGAGGCCCGAGACATACTCCTTGTTCATGGATACCCGCAGCTAAGACAGTGTCTCAGTCGTTCTGACTTAGGTAACATGACCACTCGCAACATCACCGAGGGTGAAATTGCCTTTGCGGCCCCCAACAGCGGCACGAAGTTGTTTACTTCCTTGCGAGTCGTTTTGCAGATGTCTTGTCTTGAAAACAACCTTTCCTCCATCGGCCACAACATGCTAAACCTCACTACAGTGATACAAAGTGGTAGGCGACCTTCAGGGCTCCTCCCCGTCTCGTCCTCTTATCGCGCTCCACGGCGGCCGCCCAGGCGCTGGTCACGAGTAACTATATTTACTCACTCGCAGACCTGCTCGAACAGTAACTATGGGATACCACTAGTGTTCTACGATCAGATCGGCTGTGGGCGGTCGACGTATCCCCGCGAAAACAATTGGGGAACGACTCGTTCTGGACCTTCGATCTGCTGTTCGTTGCCGAGCTCAATAACGTGGTCGACCAACTGGAACTATGCGAGCGTGACTTCTTCGTCTTGGGCCAGTGCTGGGTTGGGACGCTTGCTGGCATGGCATGTATGTCGCCCAGCGTCCGGAAGGACTGAGGAAGCTCGTCATAGGAGGATCGCCTACTAATAGCTTCAACGTAGGCAAGAATCGTCGGAACTCGTTGTCGATGGCAACCTCAAGGATCGGGATGGCACTGAGGAAGCCACGCACATAGCGGTGGACACGTTGCTCCTCAATGGGCGATACGTTATGACGAGGTTACAGAGATGTGCGTCGAGCTCTGGTTTAGATACATCCGCAGGGTCATTTGGGTGGTATTCGAGAGTTACAGTCATATGCCGCATTGGGAGGAGCGGCCCAGGTTCATGCAGTTGATTGGGACTTTTCTAACCGAAGAGCCGAACGTCCTGCATGAGAGAACCTGGTGCCGGCAAGGGAACTAACACAGACTTTACCCACGAGGTTGGAAGCCAAGGCCCTGATATACTCAGGCTGGTAAGACAGACCGATGGGGAGACTCGAGAGGAATGCGAAGATGGCGGTTGGTATGAGTATATCCGTGGGACCCGAAAGTGCAACCCACGACACCATTCACAGCTCTTCAAGACACAAGCGCCTTCTGCAAACACCAGTAAGCTACTCGATACACAGCTTGGTGAGAGGGAAGTGGCGAGGGCCATCATTCTAACAATCAGGTCTACTCACCTCTTAAGTAGATATCTCTAAACGCAATCGTATGAACGTCTTACTGCTTGTATAGCAATATCCCCGTCTCTCCGAAAAAGCATATGTACCGCACCCACCAAGGGGTTTGCCAGGGAATCATACTCTGTTCTCATGTCCCAGTGTACTCAGTCTCATCCAGACACCTGGATTCCAAAGGAGCCAGGTCCAGACAACGTCCTTCAACTTGCAGGCTTCTGGATCATACCCCTAATCTTCCCCACGATTTCATCGATCTTGTACGGTTTCGATATTATATCGTCCATCCCAGCCTCCCTCATCACCTCTTGCTGTTCCTTCCGAACGTTCGCTGTCACGCCAAGTATCTTGATCCGCGGTGCTTTATTGTTTTCCTCGAGCTCGCGGATCGCCCTTGATGCCCCGTTGCCATCTAGACGAGGCATTTCCTGGTCCATGAGGATGACATCAAAGGGTAACTCATTGCTCGATGGTGAATGAGGTGGTGCGCTCTTGACGGCGTCGACTGCTTCCTCGCCGTTGTTTGCTGTGGTGACCAAGTACCCCTGCTTCTCCAACTTGCGGAAAAGCAGTCGCTGGTTAATGACGTTGTCTGCAAGGTACGTTAATATGGATTGTGTGTACGGTTGAGGATGCCGGGAGGGTGCATACCTTCAACCAGTAGGACATGTGGCTTTTCCGTTTTGTACTGGCTCTGATTACAGCCCCCTTCTGTTGATTTCGTATTATCCCTGTCAGTTACCCTTGCGGTGATCTCTGCCGAACGTAAAACCATTCCAGAGCCTTGCGCTCGAAGGGCAGGACGCATGCTGGTGGGAGCTTGATTAGCATCTGGTGGACCCACGTCCTTGTCCACCTCTGTGGCTATCTCGGCAGTATGGTCCCTTTGGGTATCTTCCTCTCCGGAATTGGGCTCTACTAATGATGTGTCCCGGACCGGCGCATGGTTGAGCGATGTGGGCATCTTGGATTCATCCGCACGATCCGGCTCCTCGGTACCATGAGCGCGCAGCTGCTCCGCAAACTGTCCCTCCGCCTCGTCCTCTCCACGATCGACCTCAGTACGTGAACCGTCCTCTGGTGTATCTGCTCGCCGAACTTTGAAAAAGAAGCCAAAAGTACTGCCTAAATTCTCTTTGGACGAGACACCGATTTCTCCGCCATGGATGTGGCAGATTTTCCTGGCGATATTTAGCCCCAATCCCGAGCCTCCATAATTCTCCTCCGTCTTGGGTGTGGCCTGATGGAAACGTTCGAATAATCTCTTCTGGCCGTCGTCTGTGTGCATATCAATCTACCGCTCCCGAATCCGAAGTGTCCATTGCCGAATGAGATCAATGAGAACAACGAAAGACTCGGCAAAGCTTCGTACTTACCACTGATGCCAATCCCAGTATCTTGAACCGCAATCATGACGTACAGTGCTTCGCCATTGCCCCACGCGGCGTCTTTGGTGCTGTCTAAGTGATACTCCTCCTCGCTATTGAAGAATACCACATTGGGTGGGTAGCTCGTCGGTCGGTTCAGCGAAGCTCCTATTCCGACCTGAATCTTCTTCTCGCCTTTTTTCCGAGAGGTAAACTTGATCGCATTCGTCACCAGATTTATCAGAACCTGGCCTATTCGTGGCAGATCTGCCATGACCCAGTCGACGTTGCTTTTCACTGTTTGAACATAAGCATGTCGTTCTTAACACTGAACGCATTTCTAGGAGTGGACAAGGAAAACACGGAGTCTATATAAGAGAACAATACTTGTGTGGTTAAAACGTAGTGTATCTTTCTTGCACGTACCGTACGAACTGTCAATTTCATATTCGAAGTCAATCCCTTGCTTCCGGAACTCGGGCTGAAACATCTTCAAGCTTCTCGCGACTTGCCTCCTCGGCTGCGATGGCTGTGGCGAGAGGGACAAGATTTCGGAATCAAGCTTCGAGAATGACAATACGTCGTTGACGATGTTCTGTTGATGCTGGACACAGAGGTCGATCGTTTCGATAGATTCCCTGATAGCATCAACGTCGACCCCGTTAGGTCCGCCTTGTATGGCTTCTGCGACATCCTCGGAACAGTGCAACACGGCAGATAGGGGGTTTCGGATCTCGTGAGATATCATGTCGATAAACTTCTCTTGTTGCTCCCGTCGCTTCCGTGCCTCATTTGCAGACCTCCGCTCGCTCAACTCGGCACTCTTCTCGGATGTGATATCGACGACACTGCAGATGAAGCCACCATACTCGCGTAGGGAGACGTGCTGTAGACTCTCATTGCCAAGAGGGTTGAGAAACAACAATCTCCAGGGGTGGCCTTCGCTCGAGGCTCGGAACTCAGTGCGAAGTTGCTGTTGCGACGTGAAGGCTTCTTTGTAGGCATTCATGACCCGGTCGTAATCCTCCTCACAGATACTTTGGGGCCATGCTTGGAACGAGTTACCGTCGGCTCGATGCGACGTCAGATCAAAGAAGTGTTGGTTCACGAAAATGGCCTGTGCGTGGTTAGAAGCTGAAAGGCGAACTGCTGTCATCACACCGGCGCCACAATCTTACCTCGGCGTTATGGTCTAATATAGCCTGAGGATGGTTAGAGGGACTGACGCAGAACGAGGCGCGATGGGCAACGAGCTTACAATACCGCACGGAACCATTTCGGCGAAGCGATGGAAGAAGGGGTGTTGATCAAGCGCAACGTTGTCTTGTGGCTCACCGTCGTCCTTGGGATCTTCGAGGGCATCAAGCTGAGGGGTGCCGCGCGTCGGCGTGGCTTGTCTGTCTTGGTCGCCACGGGGTTTGTTGTCCGTCGGTGAGGGCGGCAACAGTTGGGCCAGCACGCCGGCGGGTTCCTTAGGCCCGCCATCCTCGGCGTCGAACAGTGGGCTGACCAGCAGAGTGTAGTCGGTGTCATTTTCTTTGGAAGCCCTCAGGATTTCATGACTCCTGATGCGGGTTTGCTTCCCACCCTTCAGAGCGTGGCACAGGCTCTCGTATGTCTCAGGAGACAACGACTTACGCTGCGGCTGGCCCTGCTGGTCGATGCCACCGGCTTCGGCCCAGGCGTGGTTGGAGAGCAGGATGAGATCCTCGCCCCAGAAAAGGGCGGCAGGGTAGCTGAAAGATGCAAGGGTCCTGGTAAAGGCCTGGAGGGCAGGGCGCCAGTTGTGGGCGGCGCCCAGGGTGCTCCGACTCCAGGCGTTGGCGCCGCCAGGAAGTGGATTGGTGTAGAAGGCGTCGACGACATCTCTGTTCAGCAGCGCGCCTGCAGAATGTGAAGTCATCGTGGTACCAGCCCCGTGAGGGGGTTGTGGCAGGTCGGCAGGTTGTGGCAGCAGTGAGCACTGATGGTGTCTCCAGGATCAGCCGCGTTGGGGCTGTCGGGGGTGTGGGTGAACATACCTTAAGCCTTAAGGCAGAGAAAGCTGGAGGATGGTGTGACAGACTGTGACAGTGGCATCAGTACTGGTGTGGCAGGTGGCAGGTGTCAGGTGGGTGGCAGCTTGAGATGTCAGGGTTAGAGGGTGTCGGGTGCGGCCCAGCGTGGGTACCCGTGCGTGGGGCTCTCTGAGAGACTCCCGATTTACCGATCTCCGGGCCTGGACACGATCGGGGCGGACGCGGGTGCCCAAAATTCAGCTCGGCGCACGGCAGTGACGACTCGTCACTAACACCGACACCGACACCGACACTGTCAACGAATAATGATGTCATGTCACTGTGCATAACCCAGATACCACCTAATCAAGTAGGTTACAAGTTGGAACGAGGCGCTAGATCTTCCAACTCTTCTTTAGCCCACTTCCGGTCCTGACCTTATGATCATGATGCATCTCAGATCATGTGATCGCTAAGTTAAACTTACCAATCAAGATCGCCAGGGGCGCATCACCAAGACCAGCGCGTCCATTACTCCATCATATCCTCCATGTCATCATTAACTTCCGTCTTTGAACCGAGGTTGAGTGCGCTAACACCCACGGAACAATATTGATGAAGATGGTCTCAGCCCTCAACGAGACAGTTTGTGACGCGACGCTGGTCGCGTCCGACGGATCACTTTTCAATACATTTGCTGGTGCTATCTCGCGCGTCGCGTATGGAATGAGATCAAAGAAATGAATCCGTCGAAGCTGGTGGTCATCAAAGCCCTTATATACGAGGGCAACTTTAAGGGCAGCAAGATCCTCCCCGCTAGCGCTGGCGGCATAAACCGCAAGAGCGGCCATATTATCCATCAGCGAGGCTGGCATGGAGGATGCGCAGGAGATGCTCGACAATATAGCTCCCCACTACAAGGCTCCACACACGTGGGCCTTCGATAAGGAGCAATACGTGCACGGCGCACGACAAGGTGACACTGGGGGTTAGAGCCTTTTTCGAGTCCCGTGATATGCCAGAGGAGGAGTTCTGTCAGGGCATGGGCGTCACGCAAGAGCAGCTCGCGGCATTGACGAAGGAGCGAAAGCGAAAGCGGCTGGAGGTAATTCAGGTCTTCCACGATGCTGCGCCCTTTATGGAGCAGCAGAAACATCGTGGAGACATGAGCCGGAGAAGAAGAGGCGAAGAAGCATGGCTGATGTTGCGCTAACAACATACGTCCAACAGGGTTGCCGAGAAGCGACACGTGGTACAGACCAATCTAGCACGAGCGATGGCTCCTTATGCGTCGCTCTACTGGAATAGCCGTGGTCGGCTATCCAGCCAAGACGACTTCAGCACATCGATGGGCCATCAACATCGTTGGTACACATCTTCCAGGATACGGGGCAAGTCTCATGCTTCGAAACATGTGCACCTCGGCCTGCGGAGTACGGATCTTATCCAGGACCTAGTTACGCTCGTGAATGCCATCAAGAACAAGCCTCGAGGTCATGGTCTGGTGATTCACCAAGACGATTTGGTAGATTCGGTCCCAGTCTCCTTCCTACTCTAGCACCCTTTTCGGACTCGGTCTTAGTGACCAACTTGATGGTGGCCTGGCCAGTGAAGGCCTGCTCTCCGGAATGAGGTCCGCGCCGCACCTCGTAGCTGTTTGGCTTGAGGCCTGCGAGGAACATCGCTTTCGCTTTATAACGAGTACTGCGGTTCAGGAAGAGCAGTATGCGCCGCGGATTCCGAGGTACAGGTTGATCGACAGGGGCCTCAGAAAGTCAAGAGCGGTGTGCTTTTCCCCTTTTGATGTGGAGTTGTATGGGAGGGACGAGCCAGTGTGCGTGATCCGCCCGTATGACACTCTTCGCATGAGAATGACGGTGTCCGGCGCCGCCCAAGTGTCGCCGGGCATGAATCACAGATAAATGTTGAGCAACTCTACAGGTAGCCTTAGTGATCAGTTGTATGACAGTGTTAGTGGTTGCCTCGATGAGTCGCGCCCAACGCACGTGTGATGATGCCCGCCTGGTGTGCCGTTTGACGCACCTACCTAGAGTCCCGTCGATACAAGATGTAATCAACACAAGTCTACGCAGCGTGCCCCTTGTGAGGATATTACGATATTACTGCTGGTGCTTCTGCACATTTTCCGGGGAGAGCTGACCCGCAAGATTCCATGCCAAGTGCTGACACTCACCTCGTGGGCAGCAGGAGCAGCAGCCCCACCATTGCCTGTCCGCGCCGCCGCCTTCCTTAAGAACTTTACCGCTCACCAAATCGCAGTCTGACACAAATTTCCCCATCATTACTACTTAGTTAGTACCTACGCCGACAATTGTCAAGACGCTTTCGGTTTCCACTTTCCACTTTCCACTTTCCACTTTCCACTCGGACGCAGACTCCTCAGCCCATCGTCTACTCTACCCCAATGGCGACGACACGCTCCGCCCAGGACGTCATCAAGGCGCTCAACCTGTCCCCCCACCCCGAAAAGGGCTACTTCATCGAGACGTTCCGGGATCCCGCAACCGCGCCGTCGTCGACAACAGACAGCACGCCGCGCTCGTCCAGCACCTGCATCTACTACCTCCTGGAGGGCGAGTCGGGGCTATCGCACTGGCACCGCGTCAAGGACGCCGTCGAGGTCTGGCACCACTACGCGGGCGCGCCGCTGCAGCTGTCGTTGTCGTGGGACGACGGCAAACCCGTCCGGGACGCCGTGCTGGGCAAGGAACTCTGGGCCGGCGAGAGGCCGCAGGTCGTCGTGGAACGGGGCGAGTGGCAGCACGCCCGCTCGCTCGGCGACTGGACCCTCGTCGGCTGCTCCGTCGCCCCCGCCTTCACCTTTGAGAGCTTCGAGATGGCGCCGCCGGGCTGGGAACCCAATCAGGGAGGGCAGGGTGCGGCTGCGTGAGGAGGCAGGATGGGTGGGCAAATGCTCCCGAGGCCCTGTACGCATGGGACGTTGTCGGGGAGCATTCTTGGGAGGAATGCATGGTGGGAGCCCTCAGCTAGCCAGCGGCAGGCATGCTCGCATGGGAAATACCAAGTCAATCGGCAGGCCAATTCGAAGAGGTTGATTCTGGGTTGATTCTCTGCAACAAACAGCAAGAACAATATTCGATCTCTCCATTTCGCCATCTCATTGAGGCATTCATTCACGACTTCTTCTTCCTCCTCCTATTTGTGTATGACAACCCAAGGGTCTTTCCGGGGTACAACCCCGAATCAAACCACTCAATGCTCCCCAAGCATGATACGAATTGATACGATGATGACCCCCGCGCTGACCAGGGCACGTATCACCCTATCACCTATCGGTGAGGTGAATATGCACGTACATGCACCACACTGACAAAATTGACGCTCGTGGTAGCATTGGTAGATAACGGATGCCCGTCACACCTACAAAGATACGACATGTGAGATTGACCCGGGCCTCGGCGGCGGTGTGGAAGCCCGTTCAAGTCTTGTCGAACAGCAGCATTACTCAGCCACACAGCCTGCCTCTGCATCGCCTCATCTGGTATGTATGCCCGTCCGTCACCGTGCATGTCGGGCCCTGATTCACTGATTCATGCATTCATTCATTCATTCATCCACACATTCACGAGGTGATCCCGACGAAAATCGCTGCAATGCGTCCGTGTCGCCCACGCTGCACACATGCATCACCTCAGTGGTCGTATGTAAGCTGACGCAACCCTACCCTTGATTACTTCGCTTTTCTCCCTTCTCCCCTCCTTTCTCCCCAACCCTAATCGCACGTTCGCTCTCAACTCCACACAAGTCAAGGTCGTCGTCACCACTGCCGCCGCCGCCATTATGGCCATCCCCGACATTCGTGATGACCTCCCGATGTCGATGGCCATGGCGGCCTTTGCGGGTATATCGTGGTACATCGGGGCCGAGCTCAACGTGTCGCTCTTCCTGCTGTTCAAGCGGCGCCGCGGCTTATACTTCTGGTCCTGCGCTCTCAGCTCATGGGGTGTGATTCTGCAGCCGCTGTTCATCGTGCTGGCCGACTTTGGCGTGTGGACCGAACTCAAAGGCAGCATCACCTTGATCTATCTGACATGGGTCATACTCGTCGTGCCCCAGAGCTGGGTCTTGTACTCGCGGCTGCACCTCATCATGCGCGATGATAGGTCCCTGAGATGGATCCTGGGCGTCCTAGTCTTCAACTCAATCGTGTTTTCTGTGCCGACCATCATCATTGGAATTCTAGCTGTGAGTCTTTTGATCTCCCAAACCCCCCTGTCTCGCCGCGCTGTCCACCAGACCTCCACCCGGAGCCGTCTGCTAATACTCCATCTACCCGCTCCGCAGCAAGCGACGAACACCAATCCGAATCTCTCCAACATCCTCTCGATCTGGGACCGGGTCCAACTTACCGTGTTCTTCGTGCAAGAGTCGTGCCTCAGTCTCACGTATATCCACCAGACACGGCGCAATCTCCGTGACTGCTCCCCGCTCCTCCCACCCGCCAGGGACCCGACCCTCCCCCCTATCTCCCACCCCTCTTCCTCCTCCACCAACAACGTACCCCGTGACCAGCCCGACGGAAAGATGGAAGCGTCCGCATCCTCCACATCGCTCTCGAGCGACAGATCTGCGTCCGAGCAGAAAGTCGTTCTGCGCCACCTGATCTACACGAACCTGCTGATCATCTTCCTCGATGTCGCACTTCTGTCGATTCAGTATGCGAACCTGTTCTACCTGCAGGGCGCGTTCAAGCCGTGCATCTACGGGGTCAAGCTGAAGACGGAGTTTGTTATACTCAACAGGCTGGTGAGGAGTGTGAAGGAGAGGGGGAGTGGCGAGACATGGATCGAGGCCTGATGGGGGTGGAAGATGGATGATTGAGATGATCCTGGGGTTCGAGAACCAAACGAGACGGGGGCGTGACGAGGGATATTGGTTCAGAGGCTTGATGGGGTAATTTTTGGGTAAACGCACCGAGGTCGAGCATGAACCAACGGAGCAGCTTGGGCTGGAGCGACTCGTGTGTGAAGATACAGCCCCCATGACTACGACAGGAATGCGATGCGAGATCAACGAAATGCTCGGGAGGATGGGTTTGCTTTTCGATTCACGATGTGGGAGTACCGATACGGCACGCATACCTACCCTTGGTTTGGTGGAAGGAAAGGAGTTCGTGGGAAGTGGTAAGGAGTCATGGGTTCTCTGGGCCTTGATATTACGGGGCTGTATGATACCATTTGTTTTGAGACTGGGATAGGCGCTGGGTAATGAGCTAAGAACGCACGACGGTGCGCCCTATGCTGCTTCTCTTGAGACCGACGGCGTCTGTCTCCCAGCTGTGGCTGCATCTTCGCGCTGGTATCTGATATGTTGTGATGACAGGAATCTGGGGCATCTGAGAAGATGATCGGGATTTGCGCTGGTGTTTGATCTGTTCATGATAGGTATGACCGATCTAATGAACTTCGTTAATGCCTCTTCCTTCAGACTTAAAAATATGAGTGAATGATGAAAGAAACGACAGGTCTGTGGCATCACGCGTTGTCATCGCCCATGATATATGACCTCTCATTGATGTGTGATCTTAACGTGTCTCTGTCTCTCTGTCTCATCGTGTGGCTATTGTGTAGAAGATCCCGATCATCTTCTCAGATGCCCCAAATTCCCGTCATCACACCAGATCAGACACCACGCGGGCTCTTCTCGGGCTCGCGTCCTAGATATCTTCCTCCTCGATTGGTGTATCATAGATCCGCAACTGGAGCCATGATGAAGGCATTCGTGGGTTTAGCCAGGGTTTTGCCATGGCGCTTCTTTCCGTCGGCATAGTCTTCTCACTCGTCTTCGTCGACAGGGTGTTGCGTAAGGTCCCACGGCGGCTGCTCCGGCATGACAAGAGTCTATGAGCATCAAGACATGACATCGAGCGTCGTCGAAGTGAGTCGACTTGAGATGCGAAAAGCTGACGCTGATATTGTAGGTCGTGCGCGCTCGGCGTCGCGGACTATCGGCTTGTAGACTTCTTCTTCTTCTCCTTGTTCTTGTTCTTGTTCTACTTATTCCATTATGATAATATCGTAATTCATCACCTCTATGCGCGGCACTAGGTTGCTTTGACGCCTAGCGCGAGAAATCATGTAGCGGACGGTGGCCAACCGATCGAAACGCACGGCAGACAGGAACTTTAGACAGGTGCCAATACACTCGAAGCGGAGACTGACCATGCCATAGAACGAACATGGATCACGCATCCCCATGTAGGCTGTCGTGAACTGTCGCAGGAGTAGGGATCGGAAGGCTTCATCTCCGCAATGGTCGCGTATGATGAACTTGTTGGACCTGGGAAACAGCTGCGGCACGACGAAGGGAAGTGGACCGCCAACAAGGCCAGCAACAACCTGGGCCTGGAGCTATGCCACGTCGTCAATACCGTGATTACCAGGAAGGCAGAAGTCTGGGACCGTTCTCATTGGCGCAGTGAGGGCTCATCAATTCTGACAGAGAACCCGAGTCGACGAGGGCTCGTTTCACATTACTTCCTCCGATCTCTCCTGAGATAAATTCCAGGTGGGTCTTCCCATCGTCGTCTCGTGCCCGGTCTCGAAAACTCAACATGGCAGACACGGCAATCTTGGATCGTAGGGATTCCTCGGCCATGAACACGGCCGCGGAGTGTGGGAGCTCGGGGGGACATACCTCTACGGGTGTGTTCGAACAGAATGGGTCTACGAAATGACCAAGTTCGGTGCTGCGGTTTATGGGCGCAAAAAACGACGCCATGCTCACATTGGTAAACGTTAGAGATAGGACTCATCCCTAACAAATGCGGCACGCGTACGAGGGTGTACAGGACGACGGGAGGGTATGCTGTCGGAGTAGGTGCGCAGTGCTAATAACGGCAACATAGAGTCGAGGAGCGGGTAGTCGCCTGTTTCGCGATCCCCTACAGCAAGGCAGGACTGTCGATAGCTATGTACTGGTCTGGCTTTGCCGACCAGCGACTGGAGAATCGTAAACAGGACTTGATCTGTATCTTCTTAGTGTTGCCCCAAAGAGCGTTCCCAGCCGATATTTTCCGGGCGTCATCGGCACTTCCTACGGCTTTGGCCTCCTTATCCCAACTGTGATTCTTGTTCTGCCATGCACGTGTTGCTCGCCGGTCTGCAAACTCCCCGCCACGTCTCGCGTTAGTATCTCGGTCGGCGGGTACTCAATTCGCGGTCCTCACAACGTGCAAGTTCCTGGTTTGGTGTTGAATTTTTCGTAGTACCACTGGGTACGGCTAGAAATGCAGCGAAGGCGGGTAACGATGAGAACTGTCACAATGTTGGGTGGATATTACGTCTGACTAAATCAGAACAACGCCGGGTTGTATTGTTGAAGCACTGCGTAGACGCGCGCCCTTTTGATTAAGCAATCCTATGGGAATTTTTCTTCTGAATCACCCTGTTTGTGTTATGTACAGTGCCATTGAGTAATGGCGTCAATTCAGCACCTCGTGACGATGCAGTGAGAGGCGATAAGGATTGTTTCTCGTAGGTGTGTTTCTCGTAGGTGTGGTGAGTGGTGCTAACAAGATACTGGATAGGCAAGAGATCTGCGCAGAAAGTGTGAGAAAAGCAAGGTACGCAAAAAACAAGTCCTGATTTCGCCCGGGTTCGAACCGGAGACCTTCAGTGTGTTAGACTGACGTGATAACCACTGTTGTGGATGTTAGTCAATTTGAGAGACTGACGTGGTTGGGAGAATTCATACACTACACCACGAAACCATGTCGGTTGATGCGATTCGGCATTTCTTGAGGGATCATATACCGCGTATGTGTGGTGGCACTAGGGTTGAACAAGTTTGTCACGAGCGGATCGGACTTAATACCCACTCCCGGGCGGCCCCCCGCAGCCGAGGTCGAAAGCGGTGTCCACGTCCCACTCTACGGTGTCTCTACCCACGCACGCCACGGTTGTCAAACGCTGGTCCGCTTGTGGTGAGCCAACGCCCGTTTCTGCCTCGCCCACATGTGACATCAGTGTGATACTTCTTTTGCTCTGGAGGGCTAGTGTGACACGCTAAAAGCAGAGGCCCCTGTACTGGTCGTACAAGGTATCGGGCTATATATGGATGCAACAGCCAGCAATGAGGGCAGGGGCATGACCCGTTCCCCAACATAGTGGACGCCATGATTTGGTTCCTTCCGGCGACGTTCTTTATCAGATACCACAAAAGACCATGAAGATCATGAGCATCCGCCTCTCCCGCGTACGCCACGTGAACTGAAGTGAGACCACTCCTGTTGATCAGCCGGGCCAAAGCCGGACCCCGATCCGAAGGCACTCCGGTGGTCGTCAATCAATCGAGTCTAACATGGGGCAGATACGGAGGTTCACCGCAGCTTCCCTCGGGACGCAGTGGCTCTTGCCATCTTTCCCTTCCGGCGTTGTCGGAGCAAGTGGCTGCGAGCGCCCAGGCGGGGTAGACGAATCGTTACGTGAGTCCAGCTGTCGGCACGGTGGAAGCATTCTGCAGGATCGATATCGTTGAACACCCACCGAGCTCGCGCGAGCCAGACCACAGCCTTGTACTCATCTTTCCTGGTCGGGAACTGTTGGGTGCAGACCGGTTCGTCGCTGTGGGAAGCTGTAGTGCTGATTCACGCTGTACCTCCGGTGTTAATTCAAGCGTCGAGGCTTGAGCCGTTGATTTTTGAGCCGTACCTCCCACCCCATGGGCATCGGGGGAAGCGAACTTGAAGGGCCCAGGCGAACAGCCGGATAACTAGTGCTGCGATCCGGTAAGAGGAGCCGGGTCATGCTGCGTTCCGGTGAGACGTTGATGTTCGAGCCGTTGACGCCCGAGTCGTTGACCTCGCACGGTTGCGGCGTACATAGGACTCTGTCGCGATGCCGCGTTTCAGAACATGAAGCATGCTCAGTGGCTTTCAAGACGATGGAAGATATTATTCCTCTTACTTGCATCTGTGTTATTGTTCTGAGTGGCAAATTCGTTCATCATATGATAGGCTTCCCGTATCGGAGAACTCCTTGGTGGCCAAGCTGCGCTCGTGTGCCCCGCCGATGATGATGCAACTGTACTTGCTCAATTGCTCGTCGGACGTCAATTCCTGTAGCAGGACACCGTCGGTCGTGTAGAGGACACGCGCGTCCTCGCTGATGGCCTTGTAGAAGCGGATACTGAGCCTCGACTATGGTGTGGTTGCGATCATACTGAAGCATGCGCACTCGCTTCGCCTGCGCCTTGGCATAGCGCGTCGTGACAATGGCACGGGGAGTCTCTTCTCGCTCCGTCGTCTTGGGCCGGACCTGAAGGCGTATGTCCTGCCATTCATTGAATATTTTGTATCCTAGCTTGCACCTTGAGCGATATTACCAGCACGGCAGGCCATTGCGGACTCTAAGACAGGTATATTATCTGCTATAACGTAATATCCCTGTTAAGGCTGCCTTTGTCGAAAGCAGTCGTAGCCAGCTTCATGCACATCTCATTGACGACGTGGGTCGAAATTCAATGCTTTAGGAGCTTGAGTTCTTTGCTCGTGGTACCAGTCTTCAGAAGATATTGTATTGTTGTTGGAACAGGCTTGAACGATCAATCATAATACTCGAGTATGGGGTCAAGGTCATGATGTTGCTGATGGTTGGATTGGGAGGTCTAGCTGGACCTGAAGGTCTAGCTAAGTGACCTCGCAATCCGGTATCTAATCACTTATCTAATCATACATGTGGGTCCTGGTATAGGTGGTTTGCAGGCTGGAATCGCATGGATCCAACAATTGTTCTGTTTATTTGAGTTTTGGAGCCCGCCCCAAGGTTGAACTCATCTCCATGGCGGGGCCGTTTGATGCGTCGTGTTCCATGGCCCGCCTCCAGGGAAGTGACTGCGTGATCTTAAACATTTAAATGCATTGCAGCCTGATCCGTGAGACATCACTTCCTCTTACAGCAAGAGGGCGTGGGCGCCGTGAATGATCCCTTCGTAGGCGAAGCTTCCTAGGTTGGCGTTTAAGATTTTGAAAATGTACCGATTGAATGACTGGTTGTCGAGAATGCGGGTGAGCTCGTACATGGCAATGATGTCTAGCTCATTGTTGAAAGGATTGGCCTGATCCAGCTCATATTGTCGTGCATATTTGTGCCACATGTTGATCTCGTATTTCTCAGAGATCATGTCGATAATAGTAACGTTTTAAAGAACAAAGCCTCTAGCCAATGCGGATTACCTGTCCCACGCAACGTCGGGAATCTGGAACACAACCATAAGGTCATCTGATGACGAATGCTGTGGATTATGGCACGAAATCCACAGAGGAAACCTTCGGCTGAGGTACGGACTATTTTCTTACATGGTTGCTTAGGTGAAAGGCGTCTTAGTGGATTTGCGAATTGAATCCAGATGACGAGTTCACTTCGTGTGTCTGAGCCAGCTAGCTGGTCATGTCTTATGGCTAGGGCTCTACCGGTGTGGCCAGACGAGGTGCTTGCTTGGCAACCACACGTATCTCTACGGCAGCGATATCTGATAAAATCTGACGGGAGGATTGGAGTCCGGTCGGGGTATCTAGCAAAGATTCCGCTGGTGGTTGTGATAGACTGGGCCCATGCCATCGACTGACACAGCTCTGCGGGCTCGTTTACCAACCTGTGCATTCATCCCCTGGTTCTGGTTTCTGGCACTCTAGAAACTAGGAAAGACGATGACTTAGCAGCAAGGTTGGTGGTTAATCATAACCATGCCCGTTAAACAGCCGTGTATGACTGCTTTATTCGATCCCTGTCAATCGTGTTTAAGCTATATTGCCCGTTCTGACATGTTGTTTGTCCTTGGGTAGCTGGAAAGGGAAAGGGGTGTGGAGGTTTGTAGGCTGCCTGGTTTTCAACCGCTCCCGCCCGGGGTGCTGCCATGAATGGGACTTGGTGCCCAGGCACATTCACGAATTCGAGTGTTTGCCTTGAACATGTAGACTGCTGGTGATTCATAAAGGGTTGAGTGGCCTGTGTATGTCTATGAACGCTCGCGTTCGCGAAGCCGGCGTCTGCGTTGTAGGCTTCACAGAAACAAACATCTTGACATCTTTCGCCGCCAGCTTGTCAGCCTTCCACTTCTTGGACGTGGCGATGGTGCTGAAACGATGCTTCACCGCATGCCAGTCGAATAGATCTCGAGGGCAGGTGGGGTTGTTTGCCTCAAAGTCTATATTCTTCTTGACATATCCTCCAAGCTCGGAGTATAGTATAAGCCTACACGCTGGTTAAAATGACACTTAACGGCGGGAACCCCCAAGTGGGACAGCCCCCCCAATGGGACAGTTTTCCCACCAAAATGTCACTATTGCGACCCTCATAACTCGACCGATAATAATGGTACGACGTAGTTATTTGAGCGAGAATATTTGTCTCTTTTTTCTAAACTTGTAAAGTATGGGTGCTCATAGTAAGTTATGGTTATAACAAGAGTTGTAATAGCATGAAGTTTTACCCTTACTAAATTTAACGTTCCGGGCTGCCGTGGGTCTGGTTTTCCCGACCTTTTGGTGAGAGCAAGGCATGGTCAAACTTCAAAGCACCGCCAAACGCTTAAGAAAAAAGCAGTAATTAATTACTCAATCGCCAAGAAGACATTAAGAAAAAAAGATTCAAAGGCAATAGGGACAGTATTTACAGCTTCATTCCTCGTGGAGATATGTATAAGTGAACATTGTGATGTTGGGTGTAAAAACTGTCCCACTGGGGGGGCTGTCCCACTTGGGGGCTCCCGCCGTTAGTTCGTAGTTGGTAGCATGGACACCGCCGTGACTGCCACGGCAGTGGCCAGCGCCGGCGAGAGGCCCCAGGGGCGGTCGGCGGCCACGGGCGGATCGGCAGGGCAGAACAGAAGGACCCCGGAGTTCCCAATCAGCATGGGAGACTGCAGCTGAGTGTCGTCGAGCTGGGGGTTGGCATCATCTGGGATGGTGTGTCTAAGAGCTAGGATCTCGGCCGAACTGCTTATATCGTTCTTGAGAGAACATCTGTCCACGTCCGTAATAGCTTGCTTACAAGCTTCATAACCCACAATATTACAACGTACATGCCAGCGGCCCGTGTAGACACCATCGCGTGCGAACCGATTGCGAGCCTGGTTAAACGCGAGTATTTTCTGGTTGGAACGGCTTTTGCGGTAGGTGCCCCGGGCAAGTGCTACGCATCGTACTCTTTTTTAAACTGACGTGGCGAATAAAGCTGATGCCCGAAGGCGGCGGTAAGTCCTTTGTCTGCAATTCCGATCTGCGAATGATGATAGCCACTGCCTGTCGGGCAGCGAAACAGTGTTGAAAATCATGGAACGAATCACTTCCCGGGTTGTAGGCTTGTCGTTTGCGAGGATTAGTGCCTCGTTGTCTCGCTCTCGTTGTTCGGGCGCTGACTTCGTGTTCTGTCTTCTTCTTCTTCGAAGCACCGGCGGGCCGCGAAGCACCAGCGGCCTGCGGAACATCGGCGGCCTGAGCGCCAAGGCGGTCGGGTCTAGGTTTTGCGCTGCGATCCCATGGTAGTACTGCATCATTGCCTGGACACCGACTTCGTTGCATAGACTTTCCACGTATACTTCGCGCGTGTGAAGAATGCGGCCGACGCCATGCCAACGGGCCTTGGCCATAAGAGACGTGCCAGAACGTTCTGGTCCGGGCTACAAAACCCCAGTCTTGTGGACGGATGTTGGAGAGACTGGAATGGATGGCAATCGGGGACCTTGCCGTTCCGATCATCCGTGCGTAGATCCCGTGACAATTGCTGTATCCAGATCATTGGTTCGAACAAGCATCTGCAGCTCTGGCCTAGGCGACCAATGCTGTACTGTTTCGTGACCTGGTGACTCTTTCAGCAGCCTGTCGGTCTGTGATGGATGCTGGATCTTTGCCCAGCCTAGCATACTCGGGGTCAATCTCAAGGTTGGTAACCCTCGTCCTATGAAGGCTAAATGGCACCTTTTCTGGGCGAATACGCCCGTCTCGTATGTCATCCTAGGCATCCCGTCGCCCTCTGGGACCCAAGTTCTGCCCCAAGTTCTTGACGAATCTCCGAAACGGTACCAACGGCTGTCTTTTTTTCCAGAGGGGCCGCTGTAACGAGCTTTTATGTCGTTGTATACGCGGCCAGCATAGTCTCCATGTTTCGTGAGGTATTGATAGCTCTTGAGTTCCTTTGTATTGCGCTCTGAACTGGTTCGGTGCTTTTGGAGTTTGGACAGTGGGTAAGGTTTGTAGACTCGGGATGGTCGGCCATTTCTGTGTCTCTATTCGCTGACTGGGTAAAAGTACGAAGGTAAAAGTACGAGGGATGGGTACGATTCCCGACATGTCCATCATCGATGTGACTTACTGGTCTCTGCTTTTAGGTCTTGCTTCCTGTTTGATGCTGTTGTCAGAAGGATATCAGAGACTGTGGTAGTCCCAGCAACAAATCAGACCAGGTGCAGATAATGAGGAAGGTGGATGTGTGAGGGTTGGTGGATGCGGGTAAGTGTTGCGGATGTGTTAAAGGATTGGAAAGGCTCAAGTCGTGCTGTGCGCAGACATGGGTAAAATTGTGAAAATTTTGAAAGGCAACGTAGGAACTTGATTGTTGAACTATTTAAACTAATCCTTGCTCACTAGAGACGCAACGCAGAGGCTGTTTTGAGCCTTGATACCAGCTATGGTTTAGAGGCTGCTTCGAACTGTGATATGTGTCGTTGTTGTGCAAATACAACGCAACAGCTACTTCGGCCGTGATGTGTGGCATCCTTGTTCCGGTCTTGTATCATCCGTCGATGAAGAACATCGATTTTTCGTTCTCATCATGTGATGAGGGCCCGGCTTACCCTCCTACTGTTAGCTTATGCCTCTAACATTGTTAATTGGAGGGGGGAACTCCGGGAGAGAAGGGCTCAGCCTAGCCGACTGACCATGTGCACTCATTGGCCATGCATGCTGGGGGTTGGCTGGAATTCCCTGTGTCATCTTCTTGCAGCTGGGGCGTGAAAAATCCGCGGCAGGGGATGCAGGGCTCAGGGAGTCATGGTAGTACACGTGTTGCGGGAAATGGGGGCGGACTCGGACAGTCTCTTGGCCATCTGCTTGATAGCGAGCGCCATGCTTTCTTCAGCAGGTAACTTTTTACGCCACTCATGTTCTGAATGATCGTTTCTCTCGTCATAGAGATTGCGCTCTCCCATCGGGGTGGCTATCAATCTCATCTCTCTCAGGGCCAATCCGAACTCCGCGGCGGAACCGGTGGTAGTTCCAACCAAATGTTGGAGAACCTTGACATCAGCGTCGAGCAGCACCAATGATGTCCTCAAAATCTGTGAGCACAGGTGATGTGTCGTTGGGAAGTTGCAGGACTTTGAGGATCTCATCAGGGGTGCCTCGGAGGTCCTCGTTCGATGCTGTGAAACCTGCAACCCAGTTGCGAATCGAGGTCACGGGGCAGCCGCCGAGTGTAATAACTCCAGTAGGTTCACCCGGGCTCCGGTCGACGTTTGACCTCGGGGCGGGGCGAAAGGGTCTGAACCCCTCGGAAGGGGTGCGAGTGATATTTGGGAATGATATTGACGTATAGTAGTGCGACGAAGATGTTCCTTGATTTTATCGCTGTGTAGATCTCCTTCCTCGGCGAGCCCTTCTTATAGTGCTTTGTGTAGGAGTCGCGTGTGTGGCAGCGCTCGTCTGGCCTCAGAGGCATTATTCGTTATGTATATTAAGGACTAATGCGTACCCGGTCGTAGATTATGGTTTACGATACCCTCAAGTTTTTTTTTTGTCTTTTTCTCTTTCCAGGGGCTTCTTGTGCGATCTGGATATTCCCGGCTCTGACTTTTGCTGCTTGCGACACTTCCCCTATACGGGTTTTCAGTTGTCCTTGTTGAGCAGATGTTCGTAGTCCTGACCCCCAGTCAGCTTGCTGAGAATCTTGCCGTTCTGGTCTGTGACCTACCCATCTTAATAGATGTTGAATGGGCCCTCGAACATGGCAATGATTTTGTCAGCCAGAGTCGGAGCAAAAGACGGATCTGGACGGGCGCAGCTTGCTTAGCTTCGTCCGGCGCATTCAGGAGATCTGCGGCTTCGGAAACCTCCTCCCGTTGTAAGTGTTGCGAAGGCCGACTTGAGCATCACAAAATCCCTGTTTGGGATATCCTCACGTGTTTCCGCCGCCACTGTATTGTCCTGGTCCCTCGTATTGGACGTCCTCCACAAGCTGGTGAGCTGCTGAGCTCGCAGGAAGTGATGGTCTGTTGCCGCGACGGCGTGATGTTGGCAGCCGGGAGGAAATATGGAGGTTGGCCGTTAACTGAGACACCGGGAGGAAATCCAGACTGTCTAGTTGTGTTATCGTCGCTACTTGTTCTGATTCTCTTACCTTGGTGTTGACGGTCTGTGTGCTGGAATTGCGCACGATCTGCGCGGTGGTCAGCATGATGCGCGGAGATGAAGAAGGTCGTGCCTGGGTGTAGACAGTCGGTGCGGTGTAGGTGTTCGGTCCTTCGGCGGCTGCTCTGCAGGCTTTCGCGACTTCGTTACGGGCTCGATAGCCTTCAGCGCTGACTTGCGGACGCACTGAGGTTAAGTTTTGTGATATGGGAGTCTCATTCCATTTCTATGTGTCCATGTCTATGAGTCAGTCGCAGCCAAGAAACCACTCCAGCCCAGACGCAGTTGGAACACGCTCCATCTCGTTGAGCGCCAGCCCTGTAACATCCGTCAACAGGGCCATGCATGGTTACGCGGTCGGAGAGCTTAACCATAAATAAATCGTGAAGCTTTCGTCGCAAATAGAGCTGCGGTATCTTTTGCTTGCCTTGTTCTCTTCAACCATTTTTATGAACTTTGTTGCTCCGGAAGATACTCTTTTTGCTTTGTGCCAGCTGCGAGTCTGACCTGTTACAGATGCGGCTTACTCCCCATATCGAAACCATAATCGAGAGCGACATGATGGATCATGTGGAGTATTTCGCTAGGCCGCAGGACGATATGGTCATCCTTAACAAGCACTAGTTTTGAGCAGCTTTCGGTCGTTTGTGAAACCCGTGGGAATTATGCTGATGCGGCCATCTTTGGCGGCAAGTCGGAGCGCTTGAAGACCTTTTGGAATATGACGATAGGGTTTCCAGTAGACGATGCTTGCTCAGCCGCCATGGTGAAATCTAGACCACAATATACCACCCGCCCAAGGTGTCCACTATCGCAGTTTGCTATGACAAGAGGACATGTCTCGGGTAGCCGCCACGAGGAGGATTGGGACTGGGAGCTGCTGTGCAGTCAACTGACGCAGCCCTTTCTCGAAACCTCGTTTTACGAAGCGTGGGAGGTCTCTGCCCGATAGCTTGTATCTCAAGATTCGTGACTGGACGTCACTGATGGCGTTGGTGTCAGACCCAATATATAGGTCGTCGGGATGGTTCGGCTTGACCATAACCAGATCGTAAACACTGGGGCCGGTGCAGATGTCATCCGGATTGGTCTGGACGTCCCCCTGGCTGGAATGGGCCTCCAGCAACTCTTCATCGCCATCTTCTTAGTTCTTATGATAACTTTCCACCGCCGTGCTGTGTCGAAGACTCCGGACAGCGATTCCCAAGACGAGACCCCAAGCTCGTGCGCCCCGAAGGCATTCTCCACGGCTCAAACCAACTTTGGAACCGTCGCCGAATTTGGAAACTGCTCGACATGGCACGTCTCGGCCATGTCACTTTTGGTCACTGAACATGAACATTGGCCCGTTCTGAATCGGCAGCATATTAGCATACCTATTGAGGGCAGCGACTAATTGCAAGGCCATGTTGCAAGTCTGGCAGCTTCGACGCGAGTCTACGAGCCCGGACACCAGCAGCGATGTATATGATGGTTCCAGATTTTTTCTCTGCGAAGCCATTTTCCCCATGAAGCTAATTGGAGTGTAGCTCGCAGTCTCGTCCTGGCTTGGTGAGCATGATTAAAGTGAGCAGAAGACGTGGTCCAATGCTTCGATGTATTCATGAGCGGCCCTGCTTGGGTTGTGGTCTTGATCTACAAGCCTTCATGTAACTCTTTGGGATCCCGCCGTCGCGACTGAACGTCGAGTGGGAGCTAATGATAATCAGTGCTACTCGAGGTTTCTTGTCGATGCTGCGCGCGAGCCAGTAACCTTGTCCTCGGGGCACCTCCATTGCGACAAGAGGCGGAAGAGAGAGGGGAGAAGAGGGGGAATGGTGGAGAGTCGGGAGTGAGGATTTCGTCGTCGAAAGGGGCGGATACCAATAGACTCGGTCAAGGGATTATTTCTGGGATAGCTCCAAACCCTTTGCAAAACTCGGGCTATGTCGCGGAAGAATGTGTTTTGCGACTCGAACATTTGGGACGGCGGTTCTTCGTGCGTAGAACAGCAGCAGTCCGGCACCAGCCTTTCGTCTTCACGCACCGTTGTGGCGAAGCACCTAGTCTCGTGTGTACATAATCGTAGGATGATACGGTCGTGTGCTGGACACCAGATGTCCCCTAGACAATCCCGGCGGAGGAGGTTCTTGTGGTGATTTTCATCGCACAAGTGGGTGGGGTTGAAGCAGGTGCTCACCCCACAGAGGTGTGAGCAGTCTTCTATGCAGTTTCTACCCGTATATGCCAGGTAGGCAAGCCTATGCCGCGACACATTAAATTCAGAATTACGAGGTACCGCGTCCCCCCGCAATTTTGCGCGTATGCTGTCCTTGCTGGGTAACTTTGTCGTGCCTTACCGGCGACAATAATGTGAAACGAGAATGTGACAGCATAATGGTGATCAATTCTGGGATCAGAGAGAGAGGGTTGTTAGCCTCGGAAATGATTGGTAGATCTAACAGACTGTCGTCTTCGAGGTTAGGGTACAACCCGTGGGATCGTCAATGAAGGATTGCCAGTTGTTGTACAGTCTAACAGCGAAGATCCGCACGTTGCGCGAAATTCATGTTGTACTCGTGCCACTTGAAGCGCTTGTAATTGAGAGTGTCTATAAACAGAAGGTTCCGGATGTCGGCCTGCCAGATCGGGGGTGGCAGGATAGAGTGTGAGCAGTATCCATCTGTATATGTAAGCGGTATGTGGGGATCAGCCACGCAGTCGGGCCGTACAGGGACCCACAGGGCATCTAAGTGTATTCTACCACCAACAAACAGTCGATAGACCTTTTCCTGAATACAACGACGCTGTCACGCTCATACTGCACTTATCGTTTCACGGATAATGCTCTCATAGAGTTATGAGCCCTGTAGGAGACTTATGAAGACTGTGACGTTGAGGAAGTGTAGCAGTAGGTAGCAAAACCTTCTCTATGACTGATCGACGCTGGCGCGAACTCCGAGAAGGGGGTGACATCGTAGTCCATGAATAGGGTCCGCCACAAGGTGTCATCCTTCGGGGAGGGGTCGTCTTCATTCTGCGATAGGTGAGAATGCAAGTGGGAGTGAAGAAAGTATTGAAGATGGGCGTGAGTGCAGGTGAGAGCATGAAAGACGCGCTCGAAAATATGTTCAACCTTTCTGCGAAAAAGTGCTACGTAATCGCGAGCTATTTCACCCGGATGGTTGGTATAGTCGCTTAGATGGTTGGTATAGTCTCACAGGTGGTTGGTACTGCCGTTTAGATGGTTGGTGCCGCCGCCCAGATGTTTGGTATTGCCGCCTAGATGGTTGGTAATGCTGCCCGCGCGGCTGGTGCTGTCGTCTAAGTAGCGGTGCTACCGACCATTTGGACGGTGCTGCCGTCCGGATGATTGGTATTGCCATCCGAATGATTGATACTGCCGTCTTGATGACTGGTGCTACCGCCCTGACTGGCGATGTAGGCTTTAGGTAGGGGTAATATTAGCTACAAGCATGTGACAAGAGGAGAATAACTGCACGCCATTTCCCGCCTAAATTTTCAGAATCAGTGAATAAAATTAGGGACGATGAATAGACGCCTTATTAACTGACCTGTCAATTTTTCAACATGCTTAGTCGGCTTGACTATTTTAGCGCTTCAAGTGTTAAGTCAATAAATAACATATGCGATGAATTTAACCTATTAAAAAATAAAAAGTTCCCGAATCGTTACCTTTTATTTATTTTAATCATATTGTTTGACATAATATTAAGCGCGTGTTAAAATATTGTTTAGTTATTAATTTTTAATGCGGCCGTCCTTGTAGAATGATTGATTGATTGTATTTATCGTGGGTATAGTCCCTCAACAGGGCAAACCACGCCTCCCAGAGCCATTGCATCGCAAGGTTGTAGAGGTGTCAGTTTAGATACATTCGGATCCGCGCACGAGCCTATTCTCGCTGTAGCGGTACCAATCTGGAGTGTCCAGATAGTTTTAGTCAATACCCAAGCACGATTCTGTCAGAAAAACCTCCTGTCCAGTGACAAAGCGACCCAGTGAACCTCAGTCCTCTGGTGTACATATCGTTCCAGTAGCCGTTCGATATATGTCGCATTGATGGGTAAAATAGGTGTTTGTTATCTGTTAGCGAGGGAAACCATAAGAGGAAAAACCTCGCAGGAGTGGGTGTTATAGAGACAAGCTGCTTGGCTATCGGGCTCTGCGATAATGGGGCCTCTCCACTGTCGTGTGCTAGTTGTCGACTCGCACAAGCCGGGTCAGAAGGGGGCCATAGCAGGATTCGAACCCACTTGTTCTCGTCGCCCACCGCACAAACGAGAACACAACCAGGCGCTATTTGACCATTGCGCCATACGGCCGCCGTCCTTGTAGAAGATATGAGGGCAACCCCGCACAACGTGGCCGGACAGGGGACCTTCCTTGACTTTGCCTCCGGAATGACGAATGGTGGCAGGATATGAAACAGCCAGGTCCTTCGCACGGCCGCCATCGAGCTCGAAATCGAAACTATGAAAGAGGAAATATAATTGACCGCATCGTGGACGGCCAGCGCCTCGCGGGCGCGCTCGGTGTGTCGGAGAACAATTTATAATGCTCTCAGGTTCTGGTCGAAGCGCAGGCCCTACGTCTCGAGATCCCAAGGGATCCGTCGGAAAAGGTAAAGCATCGTCTTTAGAGGTGCTGCCAGGTCTGAGCCTCGACCATCAACATACGGCAACGCGATCTTCGACACTTTGATCAATCTTGATGGTGGATGAGTTGTCAAGATAGCCTTGGGATTCCTTCCTCGTGTTTGTCGCATTTAGACCCATTGTTACCCATTCGTCGATGACTTCTTGGGAAGAAATGGCGAGGTATAATCACATCAGACGTCGTCAGGCCCGTCAAAAAAGACTGGCTAGCCCACATCATGAGATTCTCCAAAGTCGTCTTGGGAGTATGGACATACTTCATAATGACGCTCTTCCCAGTGCCGGCCTTACCAGTAAGTCAGAATAAGCTTTAACTGCTCTGAAGCCACTCGCTGAAGAGGGAAGCTCCTGTTTCGTCGATAGTGAGGTATTCGTCATCCCATTTGGCATATGAAACATCTTGCAGCTGAAACAATAGTCCTCACCAACTTACAGATTACGAAAAGGGCACACCGTCGATGGCGACGTTAGCATCGGTCATGAAACCACTGGCGCCGCTGGCGAAGAAGACGCAGAGACCGTTCAGGTCATCGACGCTGCCGAGACGGTAGACGCGGCGGATCGTATGGAGTTTCTCCAAACTCCAAGGTGAAATCGTTTAGGAGAGGCGTCATATTGAGACACATATTGAAAACATCTTCAGTGCTTGGCCCGATTTATTCGTCTGTGGCGTCAAAACTGCTACCGCTGTGACCTAGAAGCTGCCTTGGTCTCTGCAGAGACGTGCCAGTCAAGTGAGGCGGGATATAGGCAGTTTCCCTGGCTCTTCCTCGTCTAACATCATAATAAACTGGGACATTGAGCGAGCCTAGCAAGTTTAGATCTCGGGCTTTAAGCCCAGCATCAATGAAGCAGCGTAGTTGACCTGTACCGAGATGCTCTACTGCCGACCCAATTGCTTCCTTCAAGGTCTCGATCTGCCAGGGCCTGTCATCTTCAAAGCCCAGAAGCAACTCCAGTAATTCTGGATCGATGTGCAGCTCAACTCCAGTTCTGAGTAGCTGTGGCTACAGGGCTCCGGGGGCTGAGATTGTGAGGCTATGTATGGTTGGCCATGAGAATAGTCGTAGCCTCTGTTTGGCAGTATCAAAACTCCCTTGAACAGTACAGTGATTGTAGAAGACTGATAGTTTGTCTGTTGCCTGGCGGTGGTCTTGTGCGCCGTGGTACTTGCGGTGGTGTGAATCGAATCGTTCCAGTCAACGTGATGCAGACTGGTGAGATTAGATGGAACTGGCTCCTGAGTTATACGCTGTTCGACACCAATTAACAGCTTTGCAGTGGTAGTGGATGTAGATTCGCTGTGTGTACGTACATGTGCGTATGTTTGAGCGTGTTCCAGGATGCTCTGCCACTTGTCGCGCTAGAGTCACACAGCTCGAGAGCGAATCAGAATCGTACCTGATAGCGCAACCGCTCAAGGTTCGCACTCACAAGTGCTCGTCCCCGCGCGGCCTATTGAAGGTGCGTCAGCCAAAGTCTTTGGAAGAGGGTATTGTACTTACAAGCATCTTCTGCTTCGCGAGCTTAGGCGGGAAAAGAAACAAGATTAGCGCATGTCAATGGTAACTGAGATTGAGGATAACCTACTTCGCTGGTCCCAAGATGCCTTGCATCGTTCTTGATTTATTTTGGCTTCTTCGAGTTTTCTCTGCGTGTGTCTGAGTTCATGGGTTGCCCGGGAAGTATCCGTGGGAGAAGGACTGAGCCGTGTAGGTGCGGGTGCCGAGAAGGGGAGCTCTAGGAGGTGAACGCGGGATTCAAGGTCGATATCCGTCCTCGTGACGGGTGTGACGAGCCGTCTAACCTATAAGGCTAAAGGGTTCTATAGGGTTTATGTTCTGAGGTAAGTCAACACAAAGGACGATAGAGGCTTCTGTCAACTAGAAGACATTCAGATGCTGGGGCTTGGTCTGATCCAGGGGATCACTGTATAGTCGAGTCGTCAGCAAATTTCTCTCACCTTAAGGTTGGCTAAGATGCTTAGATTGATTACTGAGATAGAGATTGTTTATTTATCTAGTTAAGAAATGTCTATCCTTATATATCCAATCTCTCTCTTATTGATGAGGTGTGCTCACTGTTGCTCGCATGATCAGAAGTGAGTAACCTTCCCTTGCTCACCATTGCTCGCATGAGCAGACGTGAGCAACTCTAGTCACGTGATCCTGACTTCCTGGATCACGTGCCTGGATGCCCTGCGCTGTTCTGTATTGTGGCCCCGTTCTAATTGGGTTCCCTCATAGGTCATCCTTTTCCCTTCAGGCTTGCCAACGGGCCCGTGGTATTGTTGGTTCGTAACACCCGAAGGCCCTTAAAAGTCGGGTGTTTTCCTATATTTCGCAGGGGCATGGTTTAGACGACTGGGATTTTTATAAAGGGAATTTCGACAAGATTCTTCACAGGGTTACCGACGGATGGAGGTGGGGATTTCCAATGCAGTAACTCGTAAGTTTTTCTTACTGCTGTAACCAGCAAGTCGCAGATTCCTGCCAGTGAGTCTCTCGTCTCCAGAAACCTCGCCAAGACGAAATGGGATTTTACGTTTGCTGCTTTGTCCATGGTGTTATACCAACCGGCATAGGCCCGGGCTATAGTCTCGAACAAATCCCAAGGAAGTACGTCATCATTTGCCTTGCGCATTGCTCCCTACAGCTAAGTTCTTCGGGGGGTGATGGAACTCTCCGTATCTGCGTGTGCCTGCGTATGTGTCTGTGCGCCTGTCCTCGCAATGATCGGGCTTCACCATCACTAAAGCGTATACGCCCCAGACCGGCTCGTAATCAGGGAGAGAGGATAGAGAGTAGAATAATTCGACAGGTGAGGGGGAATACAGAGTAGAACATCATCGATTCCAGGCGCCACGGTAAGGGGAGAATGAGCTTGAAGGTTATCGTACACAGGATCGTCTTTAAACAGGGTGGTGAAGTCTGGGTTCGGGTACCAGGTGAGCAGATCTATGGGCTTTTGATCCGTAACAGTCCAAAGCAAATTAAACCAAACTCATCAGTATAGAGCTAGAGGTATGTTCCTGTGTGGGGTATCGAATGAAAATTGTGTGAGCGCTGTTAGATGATGTGCTGACAGTAAAATCCAGAATAGTAACGGTACTTTTCTCTTTGTATTCAAAAGTAGGACTGCAAGATTCGGGCACAATACGTGTGTGATGACCCGGCATTCCTTGCGGCGTCCGTCTGCTGGACCACTGGCCATTCGGAGTATTTTATTACAAGTCTCCAAGTGATGACCACAAGTTGAAGGAGCCATGTCGTGAGAAAGATGCGGATTTTGAGATAGGTGATTGTTATTCTCATAAAGGAGACGCAATAGGAGACCTGCAATCACTCCCATGATGCTCCGCGAGGGTTGTACCCCTTCGAGAGATGGCGTCCCTCTGTGACACATGTAGGCGTCTCTGCCCTGTTGTAGTAGTTGGAAATGTTAATGGAAAGATGTGTCACTTCGTAGGCAGCCAGACACAGCTGCAAGAGAGTATGTAGACTTTGCGAGCCTCGCAGGCAACTGTTATTGTTAAGGTAGGTGGCAAAACAGTAGTGAATAGAAAGGGTGCAGGATGTCATGGCTGAATCAAGATAGATTGTTGCTTGCGGAAGTAGAGCGCAGAATGGTACAGTTTGCATCTGCGCTCAAGGAAGTATATCTCAAGGTTGTGGTCAAAGAGAGATACGAAGGTGTGCTTGATGTCAGGTGTACATTGGCGTGACTGGGCAGCGTTGGTTCCAGCTTGGTTCTGGTATCCATGAGGAACGCAGCGAAATGCGATACGTGATGTGACTTTGTGTGTGCAGATCCAAGACTTCGGAGAAGTTGAGGTTTGATTGGGGTTGAAACACATGCCGGAACGCGCTCGCGAAGATATCTCATTGCTTCGAAGAGAACTGCATGTATGATGTGCAGGTTTGCTGAGAGAGAGGTAGTTGGTTTAGGTTTGCTGAGAGAGGTGGTTGGTTTAGGTTTGTCGAGAGAGAGAGAGAGATAGAGAGAGAGAGATAGAGAGAGAGAGATAGAGAGAGAGTGAGAGAGAGTTGGTTCAGGCTCGCTGCTTGAAGGAGACACCCAAGGAAAGACTTGTTAAGGGTGGTTATTGGAGTGGATCAGAAGGTTGAGAGGATTCCTCATTGCAACGGGCACTCATGTCGAGAGATGACATGTACTAGGATAACAACCAAGGAAGCCGTCTGTAGGCGCTTGAGTGACGAACCTCGCTCAGCCGAGGCAACAGGTGAGCAGGGCCCAAGCAGCGAACAAGAAGAGTTTTGGGAGTATGAGAGTCCTCTCGTCGCTTTCACGAAGGTGAAACGCTTTGAATGGCCAGGCGTCATATTGGTGTAATGGGAGAAGCTTACACGGCGTTCGGCTCGCCATCCAGGTTCAAAGCATTGCACGAGCCAAAGCACCAAGGCAAGAGGAACAATTTCTCAAGGCAAGTACTTGATTGATCCATTGGGGTATACAGCACCGAAAAAGGCATCTTCTCAACCAAGTACGCCTGCCTGTCCGCCTACCCGTATAATCCTCAGTCTCTTCCTCACATCCTCCTCTTCCCACCCCCCCTCCCCGTCCTCGGCCCACTACTCTCAATCTCATGAATATCCCTCTTACTCAACTTCAGCGTACCATTATTCAGCCGACCCACCGACGGCGCCCCAACAGGTCTGTCTCTACTCCCACTACCGGGCCCCCTCCGCTCTCTCCCCCTCGCCTTCGTCGCCTTCCTGCCCAGCGCCGCGTGCCCGACCGCCGCCGCCGCACCGACCGGCCGCTCGAGCACGATGCCGTTCTCCTTGGCCTCCTGTCTCCGTCGGCTCTCCCGGCCCGCCGCCGCCGACACGATGCCCTTGCGCATGTGCATCGGCATCTTGTCCTGCTTGAAGATGCTGCCCTTGGCGCCGAGCGCCGTCAGCCGCAGGTCGGTCGCCAGGTGGCGGTTGCGGCCCGTGTGTTCTGTGCTGCCTCCGCCCCCGCCCCCGTTTGTGGCCGACGAGGAGGAGAAGAGGTGCGATTCGGAGAGCAGGCGCTGCAGCGCGAGGTCGTTCTTGATGAGGGATGGCGCGTCTTCGTCGGCTGTGGTTTTGCCCTTTTTGTTTTTCGGTCCGGTGGTGGCGACCTTGGCGTCTGTTGCTGTGGGTGGGCGCGACGAGAGCCAGGCTTTGGCTTCGCGCTTGGAGAGCCCGCTGGGGAGGGTGGTGGGTGTCTTTGTGTGCGATACGACTTCGACTGTTGTGTTGAGGGTCGTGGATCCCGTTTCCCCCTCGGTTTCAGAGAGGCCGCCCCATGAGCCGTCGGAATCGTCTTCGTCGGAGGCCAGGTCCTCGGGCTCAGGCGCTGAGGCTGGTTGGGTGGATTGGGTGATGTCTGGTAGGGGCTGGAATTGCGACTCAAATAATCGTCTGAAGACCTCGTGGGCCTCCTCGTGGGATATTGGAGGCTCTGCCTTTTGTGTGCGCGACTTGCGCTTGCCTAGTACTGTGGTCATCGTGCTGTTTGTCTGTGTCTGAATAGTTGTAGAGACGAGAGTCTTTCTAACGATCTCGAAAAGTTGATATGGAGATCTCTGCAGCCTCGTCAGCCACACAATTCAAGCCAATCACAGGGTCGGACTACTGTCAAGCCTCAGAACACCCCGCCATAGCCTCGTAAAGCTTCAGGCTTCAGCGGGTTTCTCGACGACCCCACCATGATCATTGATGAGTCCGTCCATTCTAGGCTTGATTTCAAGTTTATTATTTGAATGTCCTCTTCTCACATATTGCATTGACACTTTCACAATGACACGTTTCAGACCCTGCATAGACCTGCACGCAGGACAAGTAAAGCAGATCGTGGGCGGCACGCTGGACAGCACGACCGCCGAGCTCAAGACAAACTACGTCTCGAAGCACTCGGCAGGGCACTTCGCCGCTCTATACAGAGATAATGCCCTCGAGGGGGCGCACGTGATCATGCTAGGTCCAGGCAACGACGAGGCGGCGAAAGAGGCCCTGGCTGAGTGGCCGGGACACCTGCAAGTCGGGGGCGGCATCAACGATCGGAATGCGGCCATGTGGGTGGAAAGGGGTGCGAGCAAGGTGGGGGTTCCCCTGACTTCATGTATTTTGGCCAGATTATATCAAACATGATTGCACTTCCCATGTTTGCTCTTCGTCTACGTCGTGTTTAGCTGAACTGATGTCCATTAGTAGGTCATCATCACTTCCTTCCTCTTCCCAGAGGGCAAGTTCAGCCAAGAGCGCCTAGATGCCGTCTTAGCAGCACTTGAAGGGCAAAAGGGGAAGCTTGTCATAGACCTGAGCTGCAGGCGGCGTGGCGACGACAAGTGGTTCGTGGCTATGAACAAATGGCAAACGATCACGGATATGGAGGTGAACCAAGGTTGGTCCAGTCGCCCCTGAATGCTTTGAGACTCCTGGGCTCGCTCAACGTTATGCTGATGTGCCAACTACAGAGTCGATTAAGAGTCTAGAGCCGTATTGCTCCGAGTTCCTCATTCATGCGGCGGATAACGAGGGTCTGCAAAAGGGCGTCGACGAGAAACTTGTCGAGAGACTGTCGGAATGGTGCAGCATACCAGTCACCTATGCTGGTGGAGGTAGAAACTTGGATGATCTGCAATTGGTGAAGAAACTGAGCGACGGCAAGATAGATCTCACCATCGGGAGTGCACTAGATTGCTTTGGCGGGACGGGTGTCAAATTCGACGATTGTGTCGAATGGAATCGGAATAAGGGGTTGTAAGGAGCTACCAACGCCGTGCGTTGGCATTCGGCTCGACTATGAACATTCTTACGCCTGACATCGATCCGCTTCTTGGGTGATCCATAATGCATGGAGGATGGGCCGATACAAGCCTCCCGAAAGCTCTACAACTCCCAAGGCGCCCCATGAGCATGAGTGATACTGCCGCGGAGCGTACGTACACGCTTCGTCAAAATCGTTATTCATCGGCCCCTCAACCCAAGCCCCTTTTCGTACCTATCCTACTGGGATTTTTTCTCGCTCATTCGATACACATCATGATCTCAATTCCTCCAACTCCAGTTCGAGCTGTCGGATTCGTTCACTTTGGTCCTGCGATCCAGATCCCACCCGCTTCTTCAGGTAATCGACTTCAGTCGTCAAGTGATTGATCTGCTGTCCTTGCGTGCTGAGCATCTTGGTCTGCGTCTCCAAAAGTTGCTTGATCTGTTCTAGTGTTGATTCGGCCCCCGAGCCCGTTGTCGCACTGCTGGATGATGTGGGAACGGGCGCCGATGAGGTCGAAGTGGGTGCATACGTAGGTGATTTGACGGGGGATGCTGCCTTTGGTGGCGGAGCTGATGTCGTTTTCGTAGGAGACGAAGGTTTGGGCTCGGATCTGGCAGGCAGAGCACTTCGCTGCGGCGGTTTAGATACTTCCTCGAAGCTTGAAGTCTCGTCTGCGTCGTCCTCGTCGTCATTGTCTTCGTACTTGGATGCCATTGCCGCCATCGACCGATTCTGCTCTTGCATGGAAGGAGGGGGGGATCGCACAGCAGCAGGTGCAGGTGCAGGCTCAGGCTCCTTCTTAGGAGCAGGGTTAGAGACCAGAGCAGGGGCGGGTGTGGGAGCCGGAGGCTTGTAGTCAGACGGAACCTCGACCGGCGCATTGCCCTCATAGATACTCTCAAAGTCAATCTTGGGCGGGAGGCCAGTCTTGCCCGATAGCCAATCGTGAGCGCTTACGGCGGGCTTAGCGCCGACACATGGAGGATAAATGTCGGATTGGAAGGTCTCGGCACGTCGAGGCACCGTGAAAGAGATTGGCTCGATATAGGAGTCGTTCACAGTTTTGTACGCTCTCATGACCTCGTTCTCGTGAACCTTTCAACTATTAGCAGTGGTCCCAAAAGCGCTGTTGAGAACATACATTGACGCCTCGCTTGGGAAGGAAGGCAATTCCTCGTTGAGGTTCTGGGGACTTGTATTCAGAGAGAAATTCGAACTTGTCGCTCTCGTATTCAAAATAACGAATGTTGCCATCACTGCAGGTTTCGGGTCAGACATGTTCGGGTTTGATATTTTGCTGGAAGATCAAGCTTACCCCTTTCCAGCGAGGTATAGAGTATTGCAGCTGTCATCTGAAGCTCAATGTCAGCCGTGCAAATAAAAAAAGTGTAGACGATGAGCCTACCCCAGAAAGGCATGCAAACACCCGAGATGCTATCGAGGGTTTGAGGACGGCCGCCAATCGGCGTGGGGTTGCCAGGTTCCCATAGAGCCAGTTGGCGATCACTCATTTTGGAGAACCCAGTAGTCGCAAACCGGTTCTGCTCTCCTAGCCAGACGACTCGACTGCTCTTGGCTCCTTCGTGGCCGGGACTCTCGTGCGCGGGTCTCTCCTGTCGCACATCCCACACGCGAAGCTTCTTGTCTCTCGAGGTTGTAACCAGCATTGAGCCGCTGGCGTTCCACGACAAACTTTGGACGATGTCGGTGTGTTTCAGACTGTGGACGGCCGCACCAGCACCGACATCCCACAGCTTGATGGTCAGGTCACCGGAGGCCGAGGCAAGAATATTTTCAGCAGCGGGGTTGAAGACAACCTGGCCGACTTTTCTCGAATGGCCCTTGAGCTGGGCAACGGGGGCGACGTCGGCGGGCTCCTCGGCGTCGGTCAACAGGGTGAAGCCCTGAGGAACCTGCCAGAGCATAACCTTTCCATCGTCGGAAGCGGAGGCGATGAGGCGATCGTTGAAGGGGTTCCTTGAGCAGGGTTAGGTATTGGACTCGGGTGGACTAGGGGGCTAGAGTAGCTATCGCTATCGAGGGGTCGCGTGCGCACCAGTCGGTATCGAGGACGGTAGCAGTGTGGCCACGGAACAGAGGAATGACGTCGGGGACCTTTCCTCGCTCGTTCAGGGGGATGACTGCAAAGGCTCCTCCGCCACTGGCCTCCCAATTGACGGCGAGGTATTCGGGGTTGGCCTGTCGCGACGGGGGCTGTCAGCTGCGACTGGTTCTACCGCCGGACTATGTTCAAGAGACAGGCGTCAGAGAAGGGACGAGGGAGATCGCACCTTGACCAAGTTGGTGTCCCAGGCATTTCGACTAATGCGCAGGTTGTCGTAGCAGAACTCTTTTCGCGTAGGCTTGCCGAAGACATGTCCTGAAGTTGAGGTCAGACGGATTGTCCAATGTCGCAACCTGCGAGCTACGAGGCTGTGGGATACACACGGTACTTGGACGCTCGTACGAAGCGGCCAGACATGGTGGGCAGCGGACGAGGGTTGCGATGATGGGCGAGGACAAAATGATAATTCAATAGGTGAGCATGCAACGGCAAAGAGGAGGTAGGGGAGATGGGGGGGAGCACGCAGCAGTATTGGAGAGAAAGAGTGATGAAACCTAGAGGGAGAGAGCTGCGCCCCGTGGCCTCGCCAGTGCAGTTTCAAAGAATGAAGTTCGATGTTCTAAAGTTTATGCAGAGGTCGCAACTGCATATGGCGACTACGGGAGCCCCTGAGCACTTGTGTGGCGCTAAAAATTGGTGGGGGTCTGCATTACCCAGGGGCACTAATTATGTAAGTACTTATGCATGTAGCATCGTCCAGACTTTGATGAGTTGCTACAATCAACCTTGGTATGAGAACATTTGACCCATATTGCAAAGGAGTTGAGAGATGCAATTGCTGCAAGATTCCATTGCTCAATAAATCCGACTGTGCTGTTGAGGATTCTGATAATTGCGCATTGGAGGAGCAAAGGGTGATCAACAAACATCGAAGAGCATCTTTCATTTCAGTTGCCCGTCTCGACTACTTAGACACGGACACCATCCACAGTCTTTGAGTTGCGCCATCGACAGTAGCAGTTCTGGCAGCAAGGACTATGTAAAGTACAACTTACCAATGATCACCTTCAGTCCTTCACCATATCAAGCAAACGCAAGTAACTTAAGAAATAAGAAAGGGGGCATCCTTTGGCGCCAAGTCACGTGCTAGACTCTCCCAATTTACGCCAAAGCTCCAAAACGTTATCAGTACAGCTCCCCTGCGCGCGTCGCAGGGCAAGTGCCAGGTGGGCTACTTGACGCGACCAACCGACTCGGGCTTGTACCTGGCATTTTTCGCATCGGCGCAGCCTTCCTCTTCACCACCACCACCACATCCCTTCTTGGAAGCTTGCCCTCGCCATCACAAGCATCGTCAACATGGCAGCTATGTGAGTAGACCTGCACCCCGAATGCCTAGGTTCGAAACCGCGTACTGACTCATTACGCGACAGTGAGAACTTCGACAACATTTACCTCGACCTCTCCAAGGAGTCGGGCAAGTGCAGATTCGCCGAGAATGGTCTGGGATGGAAGCCCTCCGCCGGCGGCAATACCTTCACCCTCGATCGCGGCGACATCGCTGCCGCCCAATGGAGTCGCGCCGCCAAGGGTTACGAGGTCAAGATCCTGAAGCGATCCTCCGAGATTGTCCACCTCCACGGCTTCCAACAAGAGGTAACCAGCCAGTAGACATACCGTGCACACCGTGCACACCCTGTGAGCCATGCTAACCGTCGGAATCGTCATAGGACCTCGAGCGCCTGGGCAAGATCTTCAAGGTCTGGTACAGCATAAGTCTCGAATCCAAGGAGCACGCCCTTCGAGGATGGAACTGGGGCAAAGCCGAGTTTAGCAAAGCGGAATTGATATTCAACGTCCAGAACAAGCCCTCCTTCGAGATCCCCTACTCCGAGATATCAAATACAAACCTTGCCGGTCGCAACGAGGTCGCCGTCGAGTTCACCGCCTCCAACGAGGATGACACGGGCACTAACGGGTCCCTGGGCGGCGCGCGAGGTCGTGGCAAGAAGTCTGGCGCCGGCAAGGACCAGCTGGTCGAGATGCGCTTCTACATTCCAGGAACCACCACTCGGAAGGAGACGGAAGGAGAGGAGGCCGGCAGCGATGCTGAACAAGAGGAAAAGAATGCCGCTTCTCTATTCTATGAGACCCTCATAGACAAAGCAGAGATTGGTGAGACCGCCGGTGACGCTATTGCCACCTTCCTGGAGGTCCTGCATCTCACACCACGGTACGTCCGCTCTAGCGCGTCTGAACCCGGCATTTGTCATACTTACATTGATACAGTGGTCGTTTCGATATCGATATGTACGAGGCTTCCTTCCGATTGCGCGGTAAGACATACGACTACAAGATTCCGTACGACCACGTCAAGAAGTTCATGGTCCTTCCAAAGCCCGACGAGCTGCACTTCATGCTCTGTATCGGTCTAGATCCCCCACTCCGTCAAGGGCAGACGCGGTACCCCTTTCTCGTCATGCAAGCGAAGAAGGACGAGGAAGTGACCATCGATCTGAACCTCACGGAGGAGGAGCTCAAGGAGAAGTACAACAGCAGATTAGAGCCGCACTACGAGCAGCCCCTACATCAAGTCATTACCTATATCTTCAAGGGTCTGGCCAACAAGAAGATCACATCTCCGGCCAAGGACTTCATGACGCACCGACAACAGTACGGCATCAAGTGCTCGATCAAGGCAGCCGAGGGTTTCTTGTACTGCCTGGAAAAGGCGTTCATGTTCGTCCCAAAACCCGCCACATACATCTCATACGACCAGACATCGTCGATCGTCTTCTCTCGCGTGAGCGGAGCCGTATCGGCCTTGTCAACCTTCGATATCGCCATACACATGAAGACAGGCGGCCCTTCGCACCAGTTCAGCAACATTAACAGAGAAGACCAGAAGGCGCTTGAAGATTTCTTCAAGCTGAAGGGCCTGCGGGTGAAGAACGAGATCGACGAAGACGCCAATCTGCTGAAGGCGGCCCTCCGGGAAGAAGCCATGGACGACTCTGAAGAGGAGGTCGTTGGCGCCGCGGCGGACCGCGGATCGGCCGACGAGGACGAGGAGAGTGTGGATGAGGACTTCCGCGCCGACAGCGAGAGCGACGTGGCCGAAGAGTATGATTCCGCACATGAATCGTCGGGCTCAGGTAGTGCTGAGAGTGACGTCGACGGTGGAGGCGATCAAGACGACGAGATGCTCGACGAGGACGATGCTGAAGAAGAAGCGCCGAAACCTAAGAAGCAGAAGACGAAGAAGTAGGAGTCTTCCATTGACATTCCTGCTGTGTACCCCCATTGGCCCAACATTGCGAGACCTTGATGATTGGCATTGCCTTTCCAACATCTTCGGCGTTAACGAGTGGTCTCAAGGCTCTCGGATGGTGGAAAACGGCGTTTCGGTGGCTAGCCAACAACTTGTCTTGTCTGCTCCAGTGCATTCGTTTTGCATTAACCGCCCCAGAGAGACCAGGGTCTCTCGTTTGGTGTGCGTGATCGTTCCAGATATCTATCTGCCCTTGCCTATCGCGCGGCTGCCTCGTCCGTCTGTTCGGGCAGGACGTAGGTACTGCTTCTAGCTGGACTGTGCGAGCCACGACATCCCGCGTTCAACGATGCAAGTCGGTGCTTTGCAGTGTTATGCAACTCGCTCGATGCGATGCGATGCGATGCGATGCGATGCGTTAGTTGTTGACAGTTCATAGTGGACGTACATGACTATCATGTTCGGGCGGTCCTTCATAGGATAGGGGTAGTCCAATTCTATGACTTGAACCTGCACATTACTCGCTTTGCTGCCCACCGGTGATGTAGTCTTGATCTTACGTGTGATCTCATCCCGTATGTTGTATATATTTCCCCTTGCTTGACGACCACCACTTCTTTCTAGTTAATCATGGTCAGAAGTGAGCACCCGGCGCGATGTGATCTCAACACCCATGCCCACCTGCCTGCCTGTCAACCACACCCTGTCAACGTACAGACGAAAAGGAGTAGCTAGGGTGAACAACACTGACTGTGCCAGCATGACAATTACGTTGTCCTCAACGGCCTTCGTTGTAAAATGCAGTGCAACTGGCTCGCCTTATCCCATTCCGGGAAGCCTCCTTCATTTGATACTCAGAGAACAGACAGTGCATGCAGCTATCGTCGTTGGCTGATTTGTACGGACCAAACTATAAGGTAGGGTTGTGTCCTGGAGCTGGCTAAGCCAGCGTCCTTCTCAGTCAGCTTTACCCTCCTTGCCTTGAACGACGGCCAAGCTTCTCACACTCAGCATCAATCTGTTCCGTCTAGCTCCCGCCCGCCGCGACCTATTCCCAGGCAGACCCCCGACCCCTTCACCTCCATGGGAGCCCCTAAGCCGATTTCTCAAACATCCAGCGCACCTGTACCAGATTGCAGATAGCCTTCTTGAGCTGGGCCTGCGACTCGACCTTGCCAGTCAGGGTTCGGGCTCCCGCCTTACTCTTGATCATCTCGTCGGTGATCGTAGACGGGGCACTCTCCACAAGCGTGTTTTTAGTCTGAGCTAATCTTGCATAAGCGAATTGGAGAGCGTTTTGGAGATGGTCCCAGCTGTTCCGAGCTCTTTGATGCAGTCGATCTCTTGTCGCATTTGCGTCGTGTCGCCTTGTTTGTACGTGGCGTAGCTTGAGGCGTGTGCTTCGGATGAATTGATGATCTACGGTACGCCAGTAGACGGTGTTGGACTGTGTTCGGCATGGTGTTGTTTGACGTGATGCTGTCTTTGAATGGGTGGTGGGTTCTTCTTGTAGTTGTTGATATTGCACGGCCGAAGATTGACGATCGTGTGTAAAGATGTTGCTTGTTGGCTGTGTTGGCTGTGTTGGCTGTTGCCGGAGCCCTTCCTATTGTGTTGTCGGTAGGTGGAAATCGAGCTTTGTGAGCAAGATGTAAGGAAGTGACAAAACAAGCTTAAAATCACTCAAACGTTGAAACACTCCTAGTAAAACAATGCCACGCTCACCTCCTTTGCAGAATCACATCACCGATACCCCAGTGCATAATCGTGAGAGAGCCTCGTATCCCCTACATCACTTCATCTTCGAAAGCAGCTTCATCCGCCCACCCCTGACGCCAGAACGCCTTGCTAACGTTCAACTGCTACACCCACAACACCCCTCGGCGTTTCCCTTGGCCTTCATTCCCTTAAACTACTCCTCGACCATCCAACGTGTTTATACCAACTTGCAGATCGCCTCCGCAATTGCTTCTCCGCCACCCTCGTCATGGCTGTCGCATCTTGCCTAACCTTCACCTGATCGCCTGAAGAGGCTGTTAGAAAGCATCCCATAAACAAAAGAACCATTCGTATACATATACATAGCCTCCGCGCCTAATTAGTACTGCACCTCTTTATAAAAGAACATACTATTGAACCCCCACCCCCTATGGTTAGCCTCCTGATAGAGGCCCGCCTCCCTAGCGGTTCTTCAGCAAAGTATAGCTTCTCATAAGCATGGTAAAGTCACTGACGAGGTCGTCCAGACCGAGCTCATCGATGGGGCCGATCTTTTGTCGTATCTGGCCGCTTGGGTCGCCTTCCATGTTGCCTGGTTCGGGTTGGTCGATGAGAACCTTCAGTTCGTGCAACTCGATAGAAGACCTTGTGTCTGCAGAAGACGTCCTGTCCGTGTCAGAAGACATTGAGTCTCCATGTCGTGCCAGGAGACTTCGTGCTTATTGGATGTTGGTGTTTTTATATGGTCAGAGCAACTGGAAGTTGGAGTTTGCTTGCTTGGTATACTGACTGACCCGAAAAAAGAACCATGGAAGTATCTTCCCAAATAAACGTCACAGGCGAAAGACGGTACCTAATCCATTCACTTTGTTTCTTGCGCGCCGCTCAGCTACGGTGCAAGCCACTGTGACCGAGCGTCTCCCAACTAAATCGGGGTACGACGATACCGCAACGCCCCAACAAGACAAGCATCTCCTCCTACTCTTCAGCCAGGCCTTTCGTAGACTTGGTGTAATCGGTCAAGCTCCTGGCGGAGCTGCGCCCCGAAGATGTATGTATGTTGTGACAGGCGTTGCTACTCGAGCCTGTCGCTTTTCCGGGGAGGTATATCCACCATATTACTCCGGTTAGGGATTACAGAACAGTAACTACATTCCCAGAAAGTGGAATGGGGGCACGCCTGTTCTAGAAATGCGAGACCGGGCGAAGAGAAAACCGCAAACGTCTCTACACCGAACCAAAACCATACGTTGTACATCCAACAATCGCACGGTATCGCAGTCACACAGCAGGAAGGGAGCGCATTGATATCCATAGTATGTTTTCAAACTTATTACACACAGCATAACGTATAAGCACTGCACTGCCCTGCCTTGCCGTACGTCGCACTGCGTCGCAGCAAAACAGGCGGTTTGATAAACAATTCCTACAAGAACTCCCCATCCGTCCGTGCCATTCCGCTACCTCGGCCGTATACACCTTACAACACCACAATTAACCACAAGTACATCGCAGATGCGCTCATTTCCAAACAGTCAATTTCACCAACTTGATTCAGCATCCCCACAAGTCCTCGGTGGCCTCATCCCCGTTTCGCATTGCACCATCCAACACCCTGCTGTCGCGAACGATCTCGCAGCTTGAACCAAGATGGGCTGTCATAGCTCGGCAGAATCCTGAATGAAGAGCCCAATAGAGCGGGTCTTACCACCCAAGGGACCGGCTAGGCCAAGAGCGAGAGCTGGAGGAACGAAGGTACAGATACGCCGCCAACTAGATTGTAAGCTCGTAGAACGATAGGTCGTAGACGGTGCTCAGCGGAGTGTCGCGTATCTTCATAGTCCGATAGTCATAAATCATGAAGCAAGGCTCAGCCGGCTCATATGATCATGCTCTTCGTTCTCGAGTGCGTTCTCCGTCCCTCAGAGCGCTTTCGTAGGGCCTCCTCCCGCTTGAGGATGAGCTCACACCACTTGCGGCGGCTGTTGGTTCCACCAGCAGAATCATCATCATCGCCGCCACGTCCGATAACATCGCCGAGGGCTTTCATCCAGCCGTCCTTGTCTTCCGGTGTGTCCGCGTAGAAGTCAATAACCTCGCCATTGTTGAACCGAATTCGGAACCCTTCTTCGACGAACATGTAACCATCTTCCTCTTCAGCGAATGCAGAGCGACGCCTCTTGCCGTTACGAGCAGTGGTTTCTGGATTGGTCAACTGATGCCTGTCGTCAATGAGACGCTTGGTGTTTGAAAGGTTGATGGTGGCACGCGGTTGGCGCGTCGCCTCGTGGAAGGCTGTCAGTTTGTTGCCCTGGAGCTTGAAGTAGCGGCGACGCCAGTACTGTCCAGAAGTCAGAAGTCAATCGCAGCTTGAGGGATTCATGGGGGAACTTACAGGACAATCACCACCCTGCTGGCTGAGGGGGCCCTCCCAGTTTCTGCTCAGCCTTTCCTCGGCAGCCTTGAGCTCCCGAATGGCCGAGTTCATGCTCTTGGGCATATCCTCGTCTGTGGAGCCCTTGGGTCTCGGAACGAAGAGGAGCTGCACCTCAAGCTTGCCGACCTTATAGGGCGCTCGGCGTACGACGGAGTTACTACCAACGCCAGCACGCTTGCTCTTCACACTGCTTGCGAAACCAGCTTCTTCGGTTGCCCATTCGTTGAAGGCGGCGATTTCCACCATGTAGGGCCGACCGTAGCAGCGGGACTCGTGCTCTTTAAGACAGACGTATGATCGGGCAAAACTACCATCGTCTGCTGCCAGTGGGGAGAGCAGGTCCCATCCAGTGGGAGCAACGTTTCTCTGCATGTTGACAGCAGCCCGTTGGGCCTGTGCAAAAGCTTCTTCCTCCGCCCGTTGACGAGCTTCCATCTCCTTGCGCTTCTTAGGACTGGCGAAGACGCGAGAAAAGGTGGACGGCTTCGGCTTCGACACCTTAGCCGGCGAGACTGGCTGTACACGCTTGGGCTCAGGTCTCTCCAATTTAACGTTGAGAGTCAGCTGGAACTCCAAGTCATTAGGAACCACTAGTTCAAACTCTTGGCCGATGGGTGCGTTGCGCGCCAACTCTAACCAGGCCGTGGTGACGCAGTGCACGCCATTATCAAGGGTTAGGCTGAACCAAGTCCTCTCATCTGTACACGGTTAGCGCTTTCGCTATGTCCATCGGCAGCTGGGCACTTACTCTTTGGCAGAGGTAGGTCGAGATCCTTGACCCCCATCACTTTGACGAACAGCCGGCCTCTCTCGCCGCACTCCTCGGTGGCCAACTCGGTTCCAGTTTCCTCCTCTTGAACGGCACTCATGGCTGTGGCGTTGCTTTCCTGACCAGGCATGGGAGGCACTGGGCCACTCATGCTAGGCGCGTGGCGCTTCTTGTTGATGCTTCGTCTGTGGTTACCATTCCAAGGCTCAACAGTCCACGATTGAGGGCGCAGTAGCGGGGGCTTGACGGGCGAGTTACCAGCCGAACGGATCGCTGACCGCTTTTCCTCCGTCTCCTTGTCGCTAGCAGCAACAAGTTTGGTGTTTTGGCGCATGAGGTAGCCGCGCTGTTTGCGAGCAGTGATGTTAGCATTGAGTCCTGCCAAGACAGGATTATTTGCACCAGACGTAGAAGCAGACACTTGTCTAGTCAAACTGTTACTTGCAGCTAGGGGCTTCTGGTTCAAGGAGAGTTGGAGGAATTCGACCTTTTGCGCCTCGATAACCCGCTCAAAATCCTGATCAAGACTGAGGCCCAAGTCAAGATCCAATGTGAGGCTGCGATTCTTGAAGCTCGGATGACGCTCCAAAAAATCATCACCAGTTGAATCGCCGAGGCACGCGCTGTCCATGTCACGCGAGAGGCGGTTACGGTGTCGATCAGGAATGGGAGGGATGCCGGGTGGAGCTTCGCGACTAACGTGTCTGCGAGCTTCGCGCATCGCCACGATGTCGGACGGAGTAGCCGAAGGGCGAGTCTTGAGCTTAGATCCCGAGGCCTTGATGGTGGCCACCTGCTCAGGGACCGCCGGAAGCTCGATGAACTCTTCCTCTTCCTCTTCCAGGTCCTCTTCGTCGTCCGAGACCGGGTGATGGATCACCGACTCGGGAGTACCAGGCTCCTCGGCTTCATCCTCTTCAGGCTCACCCCATCCCGAACCGTCATACTCGGGTTTGGAAACTAGTTGCTGCGGAGTGTATGGTCGTTGCAAGTAAGCTTGAGAATCAGACATCCTGTGGCTCTCAGTGTGAGTAACGGCATCTGCTTCATTTGGTTTCGGAAGCATGAAAGTTTGGAGACTGCGAGTGAAATCAGAGCCTTTGCGCTGGTTAGTCACTTGAGGGAGAGTGGCGCTGAAATCGGTCACTGCGTCCTCTTGTGTCTCTGGTGCTCCTCGTGCTGTCTGTGGTGTCTCTGGTGCCACTTGTGCCTTTGGTGTCTCTGGTGCCACTTGTGCCTTTGGTGTCTCTGGTACCAATTGTGCCTCTGGTGCCTCTTGTGCCGGGCTGGCTGGCCGAGGAGTGGAGGTTTGGTCCTCATCTACCCGTACCGGCTCCTCCTTATGCGCCTCGTCAGAGTAGTGGCTGTCAGAGTCTTCATCGCGCGCCTCCTTCTGCGATGCTGTCTCTTCGTCCTCAGATCGTTGGTAGAGATCATAGACATATGCCTTCTCATCATCCTCACCACCATCCATAAAGACGCTGTCCTCGCTTAGCTCAGAAATATTATCCAGCACCGAGTCCTCGATACTAGCAATAGGAACATCGGGATCATAAGGAGAGCTTTTTGTAGGGTTCGACTCTGGTGCTGGCGAGTTGAAGTTGTAGTCTGAGTCACGGCCGAACGCCTTGTTGCCATTGACTCGGCGCAAGATCGACTGGCGTGAAATGCTGGGCAGTTGGTAGTCCATGTCGAGCCCCGAGATATCACCGACTGTATCATCCTCCTCATCGGCCTCACTATCGGGCTCCTCGCGTTCAGGGGTTGGGCTTGCGACTCTATCGCGAGCACCGGCCCTCCTCATGCGTCGCTCGCGCTGTTGTTCTGCAAACGTCTTTGCTGGCCTGTCTGGTCCCTTGGGGCTCGTCTCGTCAGAAAGCATCATAAGCTTTAGTCGTTCCTCCAACGACATGTTTCCGTTGCCAATATTATGTGTCTCCGACTTGGATGCAGAGGCGGGTGGTGGAGAAGGCAAGGTCCGAGGTGAGCCGGGCATACGTTCAGCGTTTGCGGACAGCCCGTTTGAAGATGCAGAGTGCAATCGGGCGTCGCCCATGCCGGGAAGGGGAGGGAGCGGGCGGTGTTCGCCGCTAGACGTGCACGAGTCAGTGCGGCCAGGTTGCGGACGCGCAGCTGCTGCTTGCGACGGGGCCTTCTCAGGCATTGGGCTACTATCAAACCGGGTGTCGCGATCTTGACGCCAGTCGTCAGGGCCGACCACCGGGGTCTTGTCTGTGTCCTCCAAGGTGGCATCAAAGCTATCTTCGTGACCCTCTCCATCGTCGACGGGGTAGTGTCCATATATGTCATCCGCATCCTCATCGGATTCAAAGCTGCCTTCGCGCGAATCAGTACCGATTGTAGAGACATCCGGGGTCGCCATCTCGTATTCGTTGATCTGAGGAGGCGCCACGTCGAAGGTCACCGACTTGGCGTGTCGGGGGAAAGCTCTGCCATTAGGGAGCTCAATATCGTCGAAAGAATTGTCCGAGAAGACGTCGCCATCTTGCGAGTCGTAGCTGCTCTTGAAGCGCGAAGGAGAAAGCGATGACTTGATGGGCGAGCCATATTCTCTGCTAGGTGTCTGCGGTAGGCAGTGAACGCCCGTGGGACTAGTGATGGACTTTGTAGGACTGTAAAGCGGGATGCTGGTCTGGCTGTCCTGTCGCGCGTGGCCGGGACGGAATCCAGCGATGCCGGTACCGCCGTAGGCATTGCCTTGAACTTTGGCAAGAGGGCGCTCGATCACAGGTGTACGGGTAGGGTCGTATTCCTGCTTCTGCTCTCGAGCGAACATGGTACTGTTCTTGACTCGCGATGCCTTTTGGAGGCGCTCGATGGAGGACCGCCGGGTTGGCGAGGGAGAACCAGAGCGGCCACCGTAGAGGTCGTTCTCAGGCACGCTATTGCTGGCGGCATGGCGGTTATGCCAGAACAGGCGCGGAGAGGAAGTGCCATCTAGAGGCGATGATTGGAATGGGGACGAGTCGGTGTTAAGGACCATCTTCTGCGCGCCACCACTGTCAGTCGGAGAATTCGGGGCGCAAGGTGAGTCAAGCGATTGGAAGAAACATACCTTTGGGGACTGCAAGTTCCGGCTAGGGGAATTTCTTCGCTGCTCAGTGACTGGAATCTCAGACAATGGGCGCGGGATGGCACTCTTGGTGGGTGAAGGCGTGGGAGTGTTCTTGGAGATGCGCAATGGCTGCGTGACCTATTCCAGTGACCACCGTCGTTAGCGCTTGGGTGTCCTCTCTCTTTCTCTGTCGTCCCTTGGATTCTGCGCGAGGCAACACTCACCGTTTGTTGTGTAGCCATTTCTATTGACTGCTTCCAAACTTATGCTGGTTATCGATGCAGCGGGCAACGCATATCTCCAGAAAATGTACACAAGAATGAAAAGGACGTGGCACGTTGGCCTGGGTTGTGCGCCGACAGCGGTGCCGGTAGTCAATGATTGTGTGGTCGGGAGAAACGGAGCCGGGTAGCTATAGCTTTGGATCGCGGTGTTATGAAGTTGGAGGTCGGCAGGTGAAGGTCGAGGTGCATCAACAGTCAACACACGACTTTGGTCGTACTAGAGGAGCTGTCGAGGTGGAATAGAAGCGCGTAATGGCTAATGGTCAGGAGAGTAGGTACGAGTACGAAATAGCCGCTATATCGAATGCGATATACCTTGACCAGTGGTCGCACGCCCTTTGCGAGAAGAAGACGAATGGATGGACGAACTGGAGGGCGATGAGGGCTCGCGGGTGTATTCCAATGTGTGGTGGTGTGTCGGTGTGTTTGGGGCGGTAAGCAGACGGGATGTAAACACAGCAGGGGTGGAGGGGCTACCGAATCCGCTGTCTCCAAAACCCCCCCGCCTCCCTGGCAGCTGGAGCTCGCAGGCGGTCCACTCAAGCGTCCGCCGCTATGATCTCGGGCTATCATTGGAACAGGGCCTAGACAGCTGAAAGTCAGTGTCGCCCTGCCAACAGAACTCGCGCAAAGGCCCTTCGACTCTACCCGCCTAGAAATTGTCCGAATCTGCTGTGTGATGCACCTTGCGATGCAGGTGAATCTGGTGTCCATCCAATCGCACAACTTGCATAAGGCCGGGCTGCTGTTTCTCGGCTCCACCAGACAGCCCCTTGCACGGCGAAAACGAGGTTTTGAAGCAAGCTACTGCACCTTTCCCACTTATTGATGCGCCTTTGAGAGATCTGAGCCCATCTAAAAGCTGATCGATTTCTGATTATCATCATGCGACTTATCTGCTTGTGGGCCGCCGTTGCTGTGCCAATGATCTGGACCTAAGCAGAGTGTCGGAGGCTAATGCATTATGCCGCTGCGCTTAGTACTTACCAAGTTGAAGTCATGGGAAAGGCTCGCATGTAGAAGAGGTCAGTCGATCGGCCTCATAGAGACCAGGTGTGATCCCACACCATCTCGCGATTACATCCATTCATTCTCTTACGGGGACTACGCACTTAGCCATAACTGCAGAGATTCGCCATCTCATGAATGCTCGCAGAATAGCTGGACGTTGATATGGTTGAGTCTTGAAACGAACCTTCAATTATGTCCTCCCTCCATACACCAGTGGCTAACATAAAATACACGACCTTGCTGCTATTGGAGGACAATCGTCAACACTACGACGCAAACTGACTTCCACTCGGGTGGCGGCACATTCGAGGAGATGATCGTTGCACTAAAACCGTTTATACGAGTTCAAGTGCACCCTGAAGCTCAGATGTGTCACGTCGCAAAGACCTGGCAGCAGTTAGCAGGTTGTACGAAGAACCTATCGGTTAGACTACATGTAACACGTAGAGAAAGGGTATTGTGAGACTAGTATCGGGATCCGAGCAGCTTAGCAAGATGCTGAGGAGCTATGCTGATTACGGCTACCTACTTAACCAGGAGACATCGTGTGCGACATTGGCGGTGCTGTTCCGCGCTCACCTACGTGGACAAGTCTAAGACAAGGGCCGAACTCGCCGTTGCACTTAAAAGCATATCACCAACATACGGTATCTCTAGAGGAATTTAAGACGCGGTTTAAAAGCAGAAAAGTGCGTATATATAAACATAGCAATTCGTAATACTACAAGAGCGCGAATTAACGTCGAGGTTTATCTTATAAATTGAGGCTTTATTACAGCTCTTTATAAGTAATAAAGGGGCGTATTTAAAAGGGGTAAGATAAGCTCTTTTTGTAAAGCAGTTAAATCTTTATCCGATTAATAATTATATAAAATTACGAAGTAAAGAAACGTATTACTTAAAAAAAAAAAAAAAAACCCTCTTATTGAATAGATTGTGCCTTTGTGATAGTAGAACCAGAACAGAGATCTATCACAAGTCTTGGTTGAGATGATCTGTATTCTGGTTGGTGCTTGGTTACGTTCGGATGGGAAGGATGCCATCCGAGAAGTATCTAAATACCTAAATTACAGTGGGTTGGTACCTGTCATTGTGACGGCCTGCACAGACCTTCCCACATGACAAGCGGATACTTCCCAATAGGGGAAGGATCTGACCAGAGGATCCTCTTAAAGGGGCAACCTCCCACTGTACCTATCTCTCTCTCTCTCTTCCTTTCCTCTCTAGTCTTGATATTCTCGTCAATAGAGTAATAGCTGCTTGCTGCTGGCCATGTCCCAGCTCCTCAGTACGCTCGCCGTGACAGCCACCAGGGGCAGCCATCCCAGGTAACCTTATCATACAATGCCCTGGATGAAAGGAGATCCGATAAGGTACTAGTGGCTGGATCTAGTGGCTGGGATCTATAAGGTGGCTGAAAAGTATAATAACAAAAAAATTAAAATATATTAATAATAATTGTGATTTAGATAACTTTTTATCTAACTTTTTATAAAATAAAACTTATATTAAATAATATTTTTTAATTAAAGAAAAAAAGGTATTAATAAGAAAATAATTAAAACATAAGTATAAAAAGATAATTACATAAACAATAATAGAAATACTTTTTTATTACTGCTTATATATGTCGTTAAAGCTTGTGTAAAAACATATTAAAAAGCTTTATTTATCGCTTTATTTAACATAAAATAATCTAAAGCGTAAATAAACGTATATAAAAACCTTAAATATATTTATAGTTTTTAATATTAATTATTAACGGCGTAAAAGAGTTATAAAATAGCGGATGGTTAAAAGAATTATCAAGGTTACGTTATATTAAAGACTCGTTAAATTTAAAGCCGTTATAAAACTTGTCAAAATTACGTGAAAAATCCTTAATCTTGAGACTTAACCAATTGGAAAAAAAATCTCGTTTAACGCGTATAAAACTGTCGTTTTTTTCACTTTTATTTCTTTTATACTTATTATTCGAACTTATTATAACGATGTTTTCTATTATTATATTTTATAAAACGATTTTAAAATCATCAAAGGCTTAGCGTAAATTTACCAGTCTGTATTTATTTAAATAAATATATTATTAATAGATTTTGATATTTAATATATCGACTGAGGTTTTTTAATCTATTGATCTTATTAAAAATAACGTAGATAACAACCGAGCGGCAATTACAAGCAAACGGCAACTTTTTACCAACCTTCTAATAAACATCCCAAATAACTTGATCACAACGTATTTAATTCAATCTAATCAATCGGATTTCTCTTCCTCAGACGTTTTTATCTCTATTGTACAAGTTTGCGCATTATGGTCAGAAAGTACTCCTCTTTTTACCAGATATTTATTTTTTGTTCTCCAATATGCACTTAATAAGTGATTGGCCTTCTCTAGCTTACAGAACTAGGAATCAATCAAAGTGACCTTATGTATAAGACCATATATAGCCTTTATAAATGAGCTCAACGCATCAACTATTGATATAGGTGAGCTTCTCTGGTAGTTTCCAACTCGATTTCAGATATAAACTGACTGGTTTACCGCTTTGTTGATGGTGGTAGGCGTCTTTAAAGTCCAAGTAGTGGGTGGCAGATTGGGGTCTAGCAATGGTGTTCGTACAACAGCGACAATATCCAGCTTTGAAATGACACTTTCTGTGTCGAAAGGAACAAGCCCAGTGGCACTGAAACCTGTTCGAATGTTTCCTGGCGTCATAACAGCGTTGTGTGCTTCATAAAACGATGTAAGGAAGTCCTCTTTCGAAACGTGGGTTATATGACGCCGGATGCGATCCTCAATCATGCAATTGTACGCTCGTTTGAGCGGGCTAAAACAACTGACATCTTAAGGCTGGAGCCTGTGTGATGAGTGGGCAGGCATACAAAGGGTAATAATGCTGTTGTTCTGGCAATAATCCTCAAAGATCTGGGAATGGTGGCTTTTATGACCATCTAGGATGAGGAGACGTTTACTGGCAGTTATACGAGGTCTGATATACTTGTTGAAATGCTGAACCCATTCTAACCCAATCTCGTTCGTAGTCCAACAGTTATCAGACACAGCCACCTTCCAATCACGTGGTAATGTTATGTCGCAATAGCATGACGCAAGGTGGGTTTTGTCCTGTAGAATGATGAGCGGCGGGACCACCCAACCATTAGCATTAACAGCAGAAATTGCTGTAGACTATTCTCTGTTGCCTTGCTGAGCTTATCTAGACCTATCACGTCTTTTGGCACTTGTAACGACTATGCCGGACCACATAATGCCCATCATAAACCCAGTCTCGTCGAAGTTATAAACATCCGCGTCTTAGATACCATGTTTCGCAATTGCTGCTGCAACTTGGCAAAACCACGCGCGATACTCGTCTGGATCTTGGTTCAAGACCCTCTGGTAATCCATCCTCTAATAAAAACGCATCCGGAGGCCTGGTGTGCGTTTAATGAAGTTCCGTGTCCAGTTCTTTCTAACGCGTCTATCCCGACGTGCTGTCAACAATTGATTTGCCATATCTTCCATATAACTGTGCTGGGGTGGAAATGCTCGCGCATCCAGGTCAAGAATGAAGGAAAGAATGGTATTCTTTTCAGAAACCGTAAGTTTCAAAGTATTGGGTATGCTATTGCGTCGTGATGGTCAGCCGGCGATTCTAACTTTCAAGGTATTATATGAGATATGGAAAGTCTTAGAAAGCTTGACAATGGTAATATGAGGGTCGCGTCGCTTAACTTGGTCAGCAAGCTGTAAGTCTGATTTGCTATAACGCAATGCTATTATTGTTGGTTGATCAATTAGTAGCCTTGATTGAAAGGTTAAGTGGCTGGTGAAAAGTTGCCGTTCGCTTGTAATTGCCGCTCGCTTGTCATCCACGTTAACGGTAATAAGATATAAGTATATAAAATTTTGTTATTAAAGTTTAATGTTTTAAATACGCGGTTAA